TCTTCTCCAATCACATTGTAGAAGACGCTGTTACGTAGAGAGCCATCCTCGTTGAAGATCTCGTTCACGACGTCCTTGAACAAGTTAGCGATGTGACTTTGTAGGACTAAGGCTCTTGAGTTCACGTACCCAGGCGTAGATCTTGCCCTTGTAACGGTTCATCACCGTGGTAATGTGGTTCTTCAGGACATTGATCAGGGTTGTCTTGTCGGTGATGGAAGAGACCCAAGACGGGAGCTGGGAGTGCCACACTTGACGACTTTAGCTTCTCTCCTTCTGGCATGCTTGGGACCAAGGGATTCCAGCACTTACCGAGAGTATGACCACGGACCAGCTTTCCATTGGACTGAGCAAAGTTGACCTAGATTGCTATTAGAACCATGCACAGGAGCAAAAAGGCTCGATTCATACCAGATAGTCCGATCCAGTGAAGGAGAATTGCCCCCGGTTTGCTAATTTCCGTCTCAGCTTCTCGTACTCTAACTGTTCCGTAAATGGTGATACTTACGCTCAGTAGCATCCCACTTCATGCTGTTCTCCGGAGTCAGTTGACCGAAATCGGCCTTGATGATGGCGGGGGTCTTTGCGTTTTTGTTCAAGGTGTACTGGTCACCAATGTTTCCGAGATATTTCTTCCCGTGAGCCTTGAACTTGGCATCAATGCTCACAGAGGCCTGTCGGGCTTCAACAGGACCGGAAAGCGCTTGACCAGCGAAAAGAAGAGCCAGAGCGGCTGCCTTGATTTGAACCATTTTGGGAAACGTGTCCGGGGTTTGTTCTCGAGGAATGGAGAGGATAATGATAGAAGATGAAGACCGTCTGGAAGGGTTGAGGAGACTATTTATATAGGGGAAAAGCCAGCTTGTCATGGAGGAAGGCAGTCATAGTTGAGTAGTAATTGGCTCAATGGAGTTGTTTCCCCGATTCTGATGGGTATCATCTGCCTTTACCACTGATGTGGAACGGATATTGCCTATTTCATCCAATATCCTGGCATTTACCTCAATCAATTTTTTGCCTAAATGATTGCATAGCTTTAGCCTGGACGCTGATCTCTAGACACGATCAAATCATCAAGCTCCCTTTGGACCGGTAGGCCCACTGTAAGTCTAGCCTCTACATGTAATGAAGAAAGGACCATAAAGCCTTGGCTTGTGTTCAAGGGGAAAACATGGCGGTTAGTGGAAACAAAAAAAAGGGTCCTCCCGTGTGGAGACGACGGGGTCCGATGATACTTTAGCGGTCATCGAAACCAATCATCTTTGATTTCGCCAAGTTAGGCTTGCCCTGGTTTCAAAAAACTACATGCTCAAATTCATTTTCGGCTTCCCCTGTCAAATATTCCGAGGAACCTCCGAGGGTCATGCCGACATTCTTCAAGAAGGCACAATGAACAACCCACACATACAGATAAGCCATCAAGCTGAAATTGTTTGAAAATTAGTGTTACTTATAGTGAAACAGCCTTAGGACTATGATGTCTCAGTATATTTATATCCATTGAGCGTTGCCATCGGCACCCACGTGTATGTTCGTAGTCCATTGAACCCAGTATCACGAGGCAGTTGAACAACTAGGCATGTACAGATTTTAACAATAGCCTGAAGAAAACCCTGGCATGAATGCCTCGGTGCGGGGTGCATGTCCGCTCCTATTTCCAGAAAGGCATAAATCCGGCGGACGAGTAGTTCTGGCTAATGTACTTTATCCTGAATTGTTTCTTTGAGAGCGAAAAAGAAATAATGAAATTACCAAAGGTTCCTTTCCACTTGAAACAGCGTGGAGCCAACTTGCATATGAAAGTAACTGATCTCACATTTCCCGGTTAAACAAATCAATCGTTAAGCTGCACTTTGAGGATTTAAATACGGTCAACCTCCCACCCAGATGTTTGGTCTTTCTGCTTGGAGACTCTCAATCATCCTTCAATAATCACCACTGACGGGAACCTTCTCCACAATGATGTTTCTCAAGGCTAAGGCTGGCCTGGCGTCATCTGTCTTGTTTTTGCTCGCATCGGCGCCGGCTGTCGTCGCTGACTGCGCACTCCCGTCGACTTACAGTTGGACATCCACTGGCCCTCTCGTGAACCCAAAGTCAGGATGGGTGGCACTTAAGGACTTTACCAACGTGGTCTTCAACAACAAACATGTCGTCTATGCATCAACTGCCAATGCAGCTGGGAACTACGGCTCTATGAGCTTCAGCCCCTTTTCCGACTGGTCTGGTATGGCATCTGCGAGCCAAAACGCAATGAGCTTCAACGCTGTTGCGCCCACTTTGTTCTACTTCCAGCCAAAGAATATTTGGGTCCTGGCCTACCAATGGGGCTCGAGCACCTTTACCTATCGAACAGCAAGTGATCCTACCACTAATCAATGGTCATCGGAGCAAGCCCTTTTCTCTGGAAAGATCGCCAATTCAGGCACTGGTGCTATTGATCAGACCCTTATCGGCGACTCGACACATATGTATCTTTTCTTTGCAGGAGACAATGGAAAGATCTACCGCTCCAGCATGCCTATCAACAATTTCCCAGGAAATTTCGGAACGAACTCAGAGGTGGTGCTCAGCGACACTCAAAGCAACCTGTTTGAGGCAGTTCAAGTCTATACCGTCAAAGGCCAAAACAAGTACCTTATGATTGTCGAGGCAATGGGATCACAAGGGCGGTTTTTCCGTTCATTCACCGCTAGCAGTCTCGGAGGCTCGTGGACCCCGCAGGCAACGACCGAGAGCAAGCCGTTTGCCGGAAAGGCTAACAGTGGTGCTACCTGGACCAACGACATCAGTCACGGTGACTTGGTCCGCACCAACCCTGACCAAACCATGACTATCGACCCATGCAACCTCCAATTCCTCTACCAGGGCCGAGACCCGAATGCCGGTAGCCAGTACAATGCTCTTCCGTACAAGCCGGGCTTGCTCACTCTGAAGAGATGAAGTGAAATTCTTGTTGCAGTGGAGCCTTCAAGGCGAACTTGCGGGAGTTTCAGGGTGATAACCCTGTGTGTGCGAGTGCATGTAAAGAAGGAATAGGGTTCATTTCTGAGATAGGGCGGATGAATATGATGTTCTGGACCGGTACTGGTACTATTCTCTGGCGCCATTGAGTGTAGATAGAAGTTCTTGTATCCGATGATCGTCTACACGCGCGTGTGGAACGATAGAAGGGCACAATTAGAGCCACCTTTTTACAAACAAACAATGCATACTAGTGCCGTCTGACCATCTAACCCACTGAATAATCACCTTTCACTCTTTATTGTATTTCAACCCAAAATTGAAGCTATAACAGGGGATACAGCGATTGCTTTAGCATAAAATCTCATCAATGGACTATTTCCTTTAGGTGTTGAAGAATAAAATTTCTGTTTGTATGTATCAATTTTGTTTCAGTTCAAAGCTCCTCGAATCAATACAGAAGCCTGGATCTCTCCTCCCAGACACAGGACTCAAGATACTATGAATGTCCAGATCGATAGAGTTGAAGTCGTATTCCTAGGAGCAAGCGGCAAGCATTATCAAAGATCAAGTGAGAAATAAAACTAGAATAGATCAACAGACTAGATTTACAAATCATTCAGTCAGGATTCCTGGATATTGTAAAACTAATAATTGAGGGTATGTTTCCCGCAACTATGTACAGACGGTAACATGGATGCGAAATTCGACGATTTGAATAGTGACATGGCCGCCTGATAGTAATGCCAATGAATGTGGCCCCGCTGTGCAACTGGAGGCAAGTCGTCAGGATCGACCGCCAGTTATCTCTTTGTTAAGGGGACAACGGTCAAGAGTGTTGGGCAAAGACTGCATTTAGTTAGGACTAGCGTGGTGCATTTTATTGAGGTGAGCTGCTATCTTACTTCAAGTCATCCGGCTTGTAGTTATAACGATCAGGTGATTAGTTCACTTACTCCGGGGGCATATTCAATGATTATGTAAGACATGGATGCGTGCTCAGTTTTACTCAGTAAGCAAAAAGCGGCAAGAGGTGAGCACTAAAACGGAAAGGGAAAGCCAAGACTTGCCAGACATTCTCCTATCTGTATGAGCTGTCGTCCGATTAGGGAGAGATTCATGACTTGGCGGAAATTCATAGCGATAAGCTCTTGGAGATGATCGCACACTATGAGTCCTATTATCAGGAATCTGGCATGTTCGATAGTTCCTCGATGGTGTAGGCGGTGTTGAAGAGCCAGAAACGATGGTGGTAGCCCTGAACCCCGGTATGTGTATAAACAACAGACCGACACCCAACAATAAACTCCAGGTAGATAAATACGATTTCAAGTTTTGATTGCACTCAGGAGGTCTGTTCGATCTTAGATTTTCGCCGTCTATAGTCGAAATATTTGTTCCACACGTGCTTGTGTAGTCTGAATAGAAATTTATATATAACCGTTTACTTTTTTCTTGCTCTTTTTCTGTTTTCGCTCACAAGTATACAAGGGATTGTTTCTATGTTTCTTTCCATATTCTCATCCAGAGAGTAAATTACCAAGTCATATACTTAGAATGCACACTGATATTGGTGAAGGGTGACCTCGAGCGCTTGCAAAGTCGCAGAATGTCCACAAGCATGATAGACGGGTTGCACAGAAGTTTACGTGTAATAGAACAGGGGTGATACTTTCTGAAAAGATAGATACAAAGGCAGATAGATGTATATCTCCTGTGAATCAAGGATGTTATGTGACCCAAGGTGGTGATTACAACTTGAGAGAAGTGGACCAGCAAACATCCGCACTTGCCCCGTAAGGGTAATACTACTCCAGAATACAAATGCCAATAACAAGAGCAATTGACCCCGACTCGTCCCACGCGGGGTGAACACAGTGGCAGCGTGGAGGGGCTCACCCGCTATCAAGACTACAAGACATTGTACGGGAAGATTACAGCCTACAAGGGTGACAGGCAGGACGGAATGAAAGTTTAAAGGTGTATCATTTCACAGCCCCAAGGGCCTTTTTGATTTTCCGTTCTGCCTTCATAGAGGCCATCCTCGGACCCCTATTCTTCACCCCGTGGTTATGCTGGACAGAAAGGATGGTGACCACAACCTTAATTCGCTAAGGGCGCATGAGACGCTCATCCGCAGTCGCCTAAGTACGTTTGTCTCATAGCAGAATTCCATTTTCAACCCGTCACAAGAAAAACTCCAAGAAATAAACCGCTTAATCCTTGGTCTTCTGGGTACCGCGGAGCAGACCAGTTCTGCGGGCGGCAATGAGACCGGCCTTTTGACCCTGGGTGGCGTAGCGGGAGATGGTCGAGGCCTTACCGATGTGCTGGTGGTTACCACCACCGTGAGGCTGTAGAAGAGTTGTCAGAAATTGTTCCTGGATTCAACCCAAAAAGACGGGTAGGTAGTGAAAACTTACGTGATCGACGGGGTTCATGGCAACACCACGAGTCTTGGGCCAAGAGTTGCGCTTGACGGCGAACTTGTGCTTGGCACGACCGGCCTTGAGCAAAGGCTTGTCGGTACGGCCACCACCGGCGACGATACCAACCATACCACGGGCGGTGTTCTTGATGACCTTCTTGGCACCGGAGGGGAGCTTGACACGGGTCTTGCCATCCTCGGGGTTGTGGCCAATAACGGTAACGTAGTTACCGGAGGTACGGCCGAGCGCACCACGGTCACCGGACTTCTCCTCGACGTTGGTGATGACGGTACCCTCGGGCATAGAGGCGAGAGGGAGAACGTTGCCGACGGTGAGGGCGGCGTTCTTACCAGCGTAGATGAACTGGCCAGTGTACATGCCCTCGTTGGCGATGAAGGTCTCGGTGATCATCTTGAACTTGTAGGGGTGGCGGAACTGGACCTTGGCGAGGGGAGCACCACGGCCGGCATCGTGGATGATCTCCTTGACAACACCACGGGTGTATCCGTGAGCCTCAGCGTAGTCGAGGGTACGGAACTGGGCAGGGGCCTTGTTGAGACGGGTGTTGGCCGCTGTAGAAAAAAAAAAAAAATCGATATCAGCACTGCATTCTCTTTCGCAATCTGTGTGGTTTTCCAGGTAATCCAGGGAGTCCAAGTTGTTCCTCCTCTTCGCTGCTCGAGTGCGCAGCCTCAAAATTCGTGCTGGGATGATTTTCGGTCGCACTCACTGAAAATGGAGCCACGGCCCTTCCTCTGGTTGCGGATGACACGACCCATGGCGACTGTCTAAATAAATCCTGTGTTAATATTGAATGACAGGAGTGTCGTGTGGGAGGGGAAAATCGGTCGTACCTCGAATTGAAGATAGGCTTGTCGTTGAGAAGTTGAGAAATCATCGGACACGGGGACTTGTGTGGGCTTTAGGGTGCGGTCGCTAACCTAGCCCGATTGGGCTTAGTGCAGAGTCGCTTACTCGACTTATGGAACTACGCAAACACTGTATCTTTTGCTTTGTAAGGTGGGAGTAGATTATTAGTGCTCAAAATGATGGATTGGACTATATGAAAATGATGTTTTCTTTTCAAATCCATTTCTACCGTTTTCTTCGTGTGCGAATCGAACCATTTCAGCAAGCCCTCTAGATTTGGGGAGGGCAATTACATAACCATATCACGTGCCCATCAAAGGACATTGTCATCATCGACCGACTCCTGGCTATCAAGTGTGGGAACACTACTGTCCTGTTAGGACTTCAGCTTACAACTTAATATGATGCAATTGCTATACAGAATCGCTTTCCTTAGCTGTATACTTCATACGGAAAGATCAGTCTCGGTATGCTGATGACACGGACTGTGATATCTAAAGCCATATTAGCTAAGTAGTAATCACTACTGGTCGCTGGAGCTTTCTCTGTCCTATTCATTGCATTGAGAGCATATTAATAGAGATCTCCATACCCATTTTACCCCTCTCAAGCTCGATTCTATACAAATCCACATGAAAGACCCCGTCTCTACCTAAATATCCCATTCTTGTAAATCATGACATTTATAGAAACCTATAGCAGGTTTTAGTAAAAAAATCGCATAGAAAAGAAGCAGTCGCGCTGGGAATGTATTAAATAATCACCCTTCGGGCGCAAGATCGGTGCAGACGTGACGCTCGCATGCGCGAAACTCACTTACTTTCCTTCATCATCGTACCCCATTACCTCCACCATGCCCCTTTCAGATTCAGAAGTCTCCTCCTTATCATCTGCGCCACCGACAGACGACGAAGCCGCCATGGCTGTCGATGAGCCAGTTGGCATCGCAAAGTACTTTAAGAAGGAGTCGGAAACACCTCCGCCGAAACGGGAGCCGTCACCACCGCATGAATACGTTTTCGCCGACAACCCTGATATTGCCGTGAGTATAGATCTTGAGAGTTATAAAATGCTCACCACTTAAACTGCAACCTGTCTATGACGCGTTCGGTCCATTATAGGACACGCTTACTGAGTTGTCGCATCTTAGTTCATCGTCACGTTCCGCGCGCGTTTCCACGAAGTGTTCCCCCGAGGACTGCCACACTATGGCCCACAGGACATTGAGACTGGAGTTCAAGAGGCTCCCCCTGGAGAATACATTGAAAGGCTTCTTTGTGCATTGCTTGGGCTGGTCTTGAACCGTAAGAAAGATGTTGAGTATGTTCGCCACCCACGACATATGCGGCAGAGCGCGCAAGCGCGCTTTTACGATCACCAATTGTTGGCTTCAGTACTGATTCAATATGTGAAATAATTAGACGTGCGCACTTTACACGACCCCTCGAAGAAGCAATTCACACACACCAGTCGCAGTGGCCCAAGGCCTGGGGAGGCAAGAACCCCCTCCACGGGGGACGCAGCTTTGCGACCATGACTCCCGAAGAACGCGTACGTTTCGAAATTAACCGCACCTCAATTGACAATTCTGATATGTTTGATTTTAGATCCAATTATTGAAGGCCCTCATACTTTGGTCACTTGCGTCGTCTGAAGCGGTCCAAGCAAAGATTAAGGAATCATACAAGCAATCGCGGCATGATGATGACCTCAATCAGCCACTGTCTGTTCAGTCCTGGGGCCGAGACAGCTTGAAACGTCGTTATTGGCTTATTGAAGGGCAAGAGGACACTCATTTCCGACTTTATCGCGAGAGTAACCCGGCTCTTAAGCACAATACTTGGTGGAGTATTGCGGGAGACATTCCTGAGCTTGAGTCTGTCGCTGCGAAACTCGAGGGAGAGAAAGGCACCAATTCGAAGAAACTGAGCGAGAAAATTCGCGCATCGATTCCTCGATTTGAGGCATCCGAGGAGGTAAATTGCTATCTTAAAGATTCAGTTGGACTCAGCTTACAGGATAATAGAAACGGAAACGACGTGACTATCGTTTGGCAAGAAAAGCCGCGTTCGTTCGCCCAGACCCTGGCTTCTCCATGTACGAAGGTCGTACGCGTGGAAAGAAGCTGAAATACACATACGATGACGAAGACATGTTCTCTGAGGATGAAACTTCAGTTCGTCGCTCAACTCGTGGTGGCGGCGCCGCTGCAGCCCCGACGGAGTCATCTCGGCCTCGGTTTACGGCGAGTGGACGGCAGATTCGATCTCGCGCAGGCGGTCTTTACGGAGAGACACTACTGGCCGGACAAGTAAATGGTGGCGATGACGAGGAAGATGATGACGAAGAAGTCAGTAGACCGCAAAGGACTCGCACCTCCAGAAATCCCAACGGGTACTCCGGATATGACGCTGAAGACCTAGAAGATGCGTCGATTCATTCAAGCGCAAATGAAAGTGGCAACGAATGGCGAGGCCCTGAAGATGACGAAGAGCATGATTTCGAAGGTGACAACGAAGATGAAGAGGAAGAAGTAAGCGAGGAGGATTCTGATGTCAGCGAGGAGCCAGAAAGTCTGGTTGTACAGCTTCGATATAGCAGAGGGAACGCACACAGCAACGGCAAAGTCGAAAACCAGAACGACGAACCTCCCCCTGCAAAAGATGTCCACATCAAGAATACTACAGAAACAGCAGCACCTCCACCCACTCAAGCATCGACAATGCCCCCTCCCACAAACCCAAGTGAGAAACTTGCATCGGAGGCTACATCTTCCCTTCCTTGTGTTCCGATACCACAAGTACCAACACAGCCGGCCCCGATCATGGCCCCACCCCCTATCTCCAAGCCCCAAGAAGCCATGCCACAGGGGCCGATGGCCTCGACTTCTCCATTACCAACTGCACCGCTAGCTGCTCATCTCGAGGCACGGAAGGCAACCCAGCCGGCAGAGTCCAATGGCGTGAATCGGCCTTAAATTATGTATGCTTGGATATTTTGCTGTCCCACAATTACTCTAGCACCATAATGTATATCTACTATCTGTTGCTCAATAGCAGTGTAGCTCATTCTGAGCTACCTTTCTATAAAACAATCAAAGGACCAAGACTATGTATGCAGACTCAATCGCAGACTCAATCGCAGACTCGAAAAGCCAAAATAGCTTCCAAGGACGTGAAACGCCATATCATAATCTCGACGATGATGTGATGTTTGACTACACTGACAATAGAAAAGCGCGTGCGCCGTATGTTCTAACATGGGTTTATACACAAGCGTTGTATCCGTTCATGGCAGACTATGATAGATCACTAGATCATTCTAGCTCGAGCTCAATGGCAAGAAATCAAACAGTATGCTGGAGCAGGGATATCAGAAATGCAAATGGGAATCGAGAGAAAAGAACGCCTCCAAATTTCAACGCCATAAATGCAAGCAATCCAGTGTACGAAGAGCCCGCCACTGGATCCCTGAATCAAAACAATAGATCGCACCCAGCAATCTCAATCTCAGTCAGAACTCGCGTTAGAGAACTGAGCCGTGTAGAACTGCAAAAACTCCTCGACGTCAGTTTCTCCAGCTCTGTCCGAAATCAGATAGGAATTCGGGGGGGGGGGAGGGATAGGGGCAGTTACTCACATTTTCAACATCTGACGCCAGTCGATCATTTCTGGCCGTGCCCATATGCGGTAGATGCCAGTTGTTTACTTCGTACCACCATCTGCGGATTCGGCTGCCGAGGGTGTGGCCACTAAGTGATGCATTGCGGTTCCAGAAGCGCCAGCCTGAAAGGGCGAGAGTCCAGACGGTTCCTTGGATTAGAGGGAGAAGGACCTGCAGGTGAAATCAATGCATTAGCCATTTATCACTATGTTTGTCCCTCACCCTCACAGTTGTGAGATCAATTCAAGGGTAGGGAAGCTTACTTGATCCCTGGTGGTGATCCACGCCACCCGTCCCCAGGTGTCGGCATCCTTCAAGCTAGCCAGATAGCTCTGCTCGAAACGCAGATCCGGGAGAGGAGGAAGAGTCTGACGACGACGGACTGGTCGAATCACTCGGTTTGGATCAACGATATCGGAGGCGATACTGTCAACATCGGAGTCTGGGCCAACTTCAACGGGCTGCTTCTCTGAAGCTGCGGTAGCTGGGTTGATGTCATGAGCAGGATCGGGATTCTTATTGATGCTCGCAGATTGGATAATCTCCGGGATCTCCATCGCGTGGCCGGCCATTGTTGAGGTATACAAGAGAGCAATTCACGGGGAACGTCAAAAGCCGGTGGATCCTGGGATACCTTGCAGAGTCCAGTCCGCTCTTTTCTGCCAACCCCTCCATATCCTCTTCCACCTCCCACCTTTTCACCGTCAATTCATCCATCTTTTTCTACTATTATTCACAATGGCTGCTCCTCAAGGTTACCCTCTTCTCTGTCTGGAGAACCCTCTCCTCGGTATGTGTTTTCTCAGTTGAACTCTAAACTACAATACTGACCGCTGTTATAGACATCCAGGCTCGTGGGTATGGATACCTCAGGAGTAATTGAGGTTCATTTTCAATGCTGACATCATAATTAGTGATGCCGCTCTCCTCGAGAAGTACGACTTGAAGGAGAACGATGCTATCCTTGCCGAGGACAAGCACATGGGTATCTACGAGGACCTTCTCGCCCGGGACGCCAAGCTGATCCCCGGTGGTGCTGCCCAGAACACCGCTCGTGGTGCCCAGGTATGCTATTATACTACCAGAGATGTCCCAATCTCGATACTGACATGTTTATAGTACATGCTCCCTGAGCAGTCCGTTGTCTACATCGGCTGCATCGGTAAGGACAAGTTCGGTGACATCCTCAAAAAGACCTGCGAGGAGGCTGGTGTCCACACTGAGTACCGTATCGATGAGACTCAGCCCACCGGAAAGTGCGGTGTTGTCATCACTGGCCACAACCGCAGCATGTGCACCCACCTCGCTGCCGCCAACGAGTACAAGATCGAGCACCTGAAGCAGCCCGAGATCTGGTCTCTGGTTGAGAAGGCCAAGTTCTACTACGTTGGAGGATATCACCTGACTGTCTGTGTGCCGGCCATCATCGCTCTTGGTGAGGAGGCCGCTGCTAAGAACAAGGTATGTGAACCGTATTATTCTAATACATTGAAACTTTTGCTAATGCCATTGTTCTGCTAGCCTTTCATGCTGTCTCTCTCTGCCCCCTTCATCCCTCAGTTCTTCAAGGAGCAGCTCGACAGCGTTCTGCCCTACACTGACTACACCTTCTGTAACGAGACTGAGGCTCGTGCCTACTCCGAGAGCCACCAGTGGGGCACCGAGGATGTTGTTGAGATCGCCAAGAAGCTCGCTCAGCTCCCTAAGAAGAACACCCAGAGCCCCCGTGTTGCCATTGTCACCCAGGGCACTGAGCCCACCGTTGTCGCCATTGGCTCCACTTCCGGTTCGGTTGAGGTCAAGGAGTTCAAGGTCCACGAGATCTCCAAGGACGCCATTAATGACACCAACGGTGCTGGGTAAGTTATAGTGATTAAAGCATATCTAAGTTCAGTTTTGCTAACCTCTCGTGCAGTGATGCCTTCGCCGGTGGTTTCTGCGCTGGTATCGTTGCTGGCAAGAGCCTCGATGACTCTATTGACATGGGTCAGTGGCTCGCCAGCAAGAGCATCCAGGAGCTTGGACCTTCGTGAGTTTCCCTTCTCATCTATGTGATAAGAGACCAACGCTAACTTTTCATCAGCTTCCCCTCCCCCAAGCAGACCTACTCTCGCTCTTAAATGGTCAACATAGACCCCCAAAAGCATAGATTACAACCTTTTCAACACATTTTCCAACTTATTGGGAGATTTGGTACAATAATCCAGTTCTAACAACCGGATCAATGCCGCTCGATTTTGGATGATTCAACCCATATACCCAACTTTTCTGTTCTTTAAACCTGATGACTTCAACGTAACGTCTAACAATCGAATGAAACTATAATTTTTCTCTTTGGGAACCTTGTCCTCATTCTGTGGCCCTTTTCTTGTACAGTCACATAGTGCCGGTTCCCAACAATCTCACAATGAGCACGTTCGGGCTTATGATTCTCTAGCCACGTACATCAACCAGACTTTACACTAAATTGACTGTAAGGAGCATATGGAATACAAATTTGTTATTCAGATGCCTAAACAGCACTAATGCACCATCAGACAGGTCTCATAAACCAAGCCAGTATTTTGTGCCATATAATTCCTCTGCCGCAAAAGACAAGGCCAACGAGACGAAACGAAAAGAACAAGTCATGTCGCATGAAAATCAAAGGGAAGAGGCGCAAAACAGAACGAAACAAACGTCTCCAAAGGCATAATGCCAATAATTCATCTCCTCATCAAGCCACGTGTTGAACGTGCCTATTCATTCGCCCAGACAAAAAACTGCGAGGTGAAAACGGGGAATGCTGGAATTTTCACAATCGGGGCAGATCCGCCGTTTCCTCGGTCATCGGTCACTAGGGTTGATATTCCGGCACTAGGGGGGCATGGTAGTAGCGCGGGATCTGCCACTTGTGATGGGGCTAGTTGTAGTACAATCACGTCTGGTGGTTGCAAGGATGTAGGCAGTGGGCTTAGGGGCTGTATTTTAGATTCAACGAAACCGTAAATGAGTTCGTATCGCACAGCATAAGCGTCCCGTGCCCACGCTCAAACAGAGTACATGCGCCAGGAAAGCTGCAGGTCCAGGTGCGCAATTTGGTCAGATGGCTTGCCCAGCTGGTCGTGCTGCATGAATTTTGCACAACCAAAAGAACTCAAATATTCGAGAGCTGGGGTTATGTGATCAGCCTCCTTGGCCGCAGGGTGGGGTTTGACCGATTGTTCCCAGCTGAGAAGACTTGCGTCCGATTCCGGAGCCGTAGGGGGTCGCTTGGGCAAGACTGCTGGCAATGAAGGCTTCGTTGGCCCATGAGGGATGTCCCAGGCTGCTTGGGTGTGTTTGGCTTGGGATCTCGAATGCTCCAAAGGTGGTTCTGCCGTGAGGCTCTCGGTCCCAGCCGTTTGTCGTGGGCCGCGGCTGCGTGTTGGACATGCTGGGTGTCATCCATGGAGTAGGCATTGATCCTACATCCAGCGAGTTTGAGTATTGAGTCTGTGCAAGATTGTGTCGCAGCATGAGTTCATGTGCAAGCTGTTCATGCGAAAGAGATCTCTCGGAGCTCATAGCGTTTGCGGCAGCCATTAGATGCAAAGGAGGTTGTTGACCGACTTGTGGGCCTAGACCAGGAGGAGTTCGGGGAGGGGCTGGGTCTCTCAGCGGAGTCCAAATGCTCGGAAGGCTAGGAATGGCAGGTCGGGGAGTATATGACTGAGCCGATGATGCCCGAAGCGAATCTGCCGCATTGACGACCGGTGGCCCAAGCCCAGGCGGAGGAGCGGTTGGGGTGCCAAGCGATGGTGAGTTCTCTTCGCCGAATGGAAAGGAGTTGGTATTCGGGGACAAATGTGTGGGCGTCGGCATCTCTCCAACCGGACTCAGGAAAGCGAATTGGTCGGGGACATTGGGCGCATTCTCATATGTGTCCGAGTCGACAAGGCGCTCCACGCCTTCAACAATCCGGTTCATATTGGCGGACATAGATGCCGATGCAGACTGAGAACCACCAAACAAGCTTTGAGCCTCCGCGACAGAGTGAGAATCCAAGGTTGGCTGGGGAATATCTTCACGCTCAATGCTCGCGGACGAAAGCGCATGCTGTCGGCCATGAGGGCTAGAGTAGAATTGCGACGGCAGATCCTCTTCCTGGTAGATAAATGTTTTCTTGTCCTCACTATCCACAAGAGCAACTGGGATTCTGTTACTCACAACCAGATCGAGTCCATCGATGACAAATTCGCGAATCCGATAGAGCATTTCCATATTTGGATGGCTTCTTTCTACCCCAAGATCATGCATCCGGGGCTTTGCCTGATCGCCACCTCCTACATAACGCCGAGAGGTAGCACCTTGATCTAGAGGCGCAAATCCAAGGCTCTCTTCGTCCTCTTCCAAAAGATAATCGATTTCGGGAAGGCTCACAACGTCGAATGAGGATGCAAGTAAGCTCAATGTGCCAGCGTAGATTTTCCAGAACTCTTTGATCTGGATTGATAGTGCCGAGTCCTTTTCATCCTTCTGTTCAGCTAGAGATTGGCTGTTTGTAAGTAGCCACGAGCTGTAATGCCGAAGTGCGGGCAAGATCCGGCGAGCAACCACTGTCACCTTGTCAGGGCTTGGCAATGCGTCTTTGCCGTTCGAATCCTCAAATGAAGCAGTGCGTTCCAATTCCACCAAGAGGATTTGCAGCAAGGTGAAGAAAGTCTTGACATTGATTCGTTGGAAAAAGACGCGGGCATCCGAGACGGATTCCTCTGGGGTATGGGTAAGCGCATGTATGAGCAGTGACAACATCTCGAATACTTACCAATGGACCGGGCCCTAGCAAAGTCTTCGGCTGCGATATTAATGAGACAGAACTTCTGAAGAGTGCCTTCAAGTGACCGTTCTCTAATTTCAACTGCAAGTTGGCTTAGGACTTCACTCTCCAGCTCATCATGCTCCGCGAAATCGGTTCCCTTGTAACATTTGGCGTGAAGGTAAAGGAACCATGGCGTCAAAGCTCTACCGGGGATACCAGCATCTTCAGGACGAATCAGCTCTCTTTTCGCCCACGCGCTCATGATTTTCCGGAGCTCGATCTCCAAATTACCCTTTGCCGTAGGGTGAGGCTCTTGGGCCGAAAGAGCTCTGTAGAGGTGATATGTGGCGCGAAGATGATTTCCGTCTGCAAGTGCAATAATCGCCAATTGGTTCTGGGATGCTCCTGATGCAGGGTTAATCACTGATGCCAGGTCGTAATAACCGATGGCAGGACCCCAATTACGGTCCTTGCTGACGAGTTCCGATTCGCGATAACGGGAAAGGTCCCCGAGTCTTATAAGGGTTGCGTGACATGACTGGAGGATGCGCTTGCGTAGGTCGTTGGAAGGCTTGATAGGAGGTTGGCCTGACAAATCTGTAAACAGCCGTTGATTAATATCTGAAACCCCGGCGCACAGCATTCATGTCTGCCTTACTCTCGAAGTTGAACTTGCGCGCCACACTCTCCAGCTCCATGATTCCCCCAAAGCGTGACGACAAATGTTGGATATATCCGCGGTAAAACCGCTGGCTCGACTTGATGAAATCAAGGTAGTGTCGTTCGAGTTTCCGTCTCTCCACCGGTTTCTTCTTGCCGTGTTCTTCGCGGAACTAATTGGGCCAGAAATATCAGTAAATTTGGCCTAGCGAAAGGTGTCCATGAGGTACCCACGCGAAGAAGCTGCTTGCGAAACCGGTTGTTCACTTTCAAATGCGCATCCCATAGACGACTCTCCATGTCAACTTCGCGAGCGGCATCGAAATCAAGGAGGATAGCATTTTGGCAGGAGATCCGGAACCTAGTAATAAAAAAAGAGGTCAGAATAAGCGGGCGTGCGCGCGGGGCTTGCATTTCGGCGTTACGGACTCGGATAGGAAGTGTTCGAATTCATCGAACGTGCGCCGTTCCTGCGAGAAACATTGTAGGAGCTCCTTCTCAGCTTCTATCGCAATTCTGTATCACGGTTAGATGTGGGTTTCGAGGAGGAGAACGAGAGCACTGACTTCCAGGCATCCGTGAACGAGGGCGCCATCAGGGAGTTGGCCCGGGGATCCCGAGCGTCGACCTCGCCGGTCAAATTGATTGAAAAGTGAGCAGTGAGCAAGCCATCAGTAAGAGAAGAAGGAAAAGGCGCGCGTAGGCTAAAGGCTGAGAGTATGAAAATGCATAAATGCGCGGGTCCGATGCTCCCGCTGATTGGTGGCGCCAAGGCGGGAAGTAATATTGCCCGTACAGTGAACAACACCTTCTGTCTTCCTCACTGAGAGCAACTTGGATTTATATTGAACGTCGAGAGAATGATTAGGCTGTTTCAAGCCCAATGACTGGCTTGGGCCCTGAATGCTGTGCTCCACTACCCCCTCGCCAAGTCGACCTATCAACCGGGCATATGCAAGGCGAATTAGACCATGTCTAAACGCTCCAGAAGCCACTCGAGATCCCCTTCTCTCGATGGGACAGGCTCAATATCTTCAACTACTGTGAATATAGCGACGCCACCTCCAGAACGCAACAAGTTGCTTGACAGTGGCCCCAATATTCTCCCAGAAGTGATGCATTGCTCCTTACCGCCTCACCGCGAGACGCTCTCGTTTGCATCCTACGAGGACTACGAGGTTCATTACCTGCAAGCACATGTGAATCGCTGCTCTGAGTGCAGTAAGAACTTCCCAACTGGCCACTTGCTCAATCTGCATATCGAAGAGAACCATGACCCATTGGCTGCTGCCATGCGAGCCCGTGGAGATAAGACGGTAAGCGCAGCTTCATACCAGCCATCGCCATTTAGTCAAGTTGGATGCTTACAGACTAATTAGTTTGGATGCTTTGTCGAGAATTGTGAGCGGAAATGCTCAACCCCTCAGAAAAGACGTATGCATTTAATCGACAAGCACATGTTTCCTCGGGTATGGTGCCAATCTGTCCATTCAGTTCCATTAACTAACACATAGTCTGCAGTCCTATAACTTCTTTATTGTCAATGACGGTATCGATAAGCACACCTCCATGTTGCGGCCTATGAACAGCCACAGACGGCGCATCTCAACCTCGTCGGCTTTGGAGGGTAGATTGCGGCGTCGGAGCTCTGCTTCGCAGTCGAATCCATCGGCAGCTGCAGTCCTTGAACCGAAACCGTCTGCTGATATGGAGATTGACGAACTGGAAAAGTCCATGTCGGCTCTGCGGTTCGTGCCTACAAGCGTGGCGAGAAACCGAACCAAGATGCCTGGAAAATAGTCTTTGTTATGACATTATGATTATTCACGAATATGCGCTTGGATCGGGATGAGACTAGATCATGTTAGCTTGCTGTTGATAGGCATGTCAACGCCATGGTTTGATAATCTTGCAATGACATTTGAATGTGTCGACTAAAAGTATTTTCTCTGAAAGAAGCACCGAAAATATACATCCACACCAATACGAATTTGATCATTCGAAATATCCTCCACCAACAGCTATGGTCATCCAATATTTTTCTATGAGAATTGAGTACTTCTGACATCTCAGTGTTATGCAAGCTAAAGGCAAAAGTCCAAATGAACAAAGTGTGGCATTATCCTCAACACCAACAGGGTATAGACAGCACTAGGCAAGTGACAAAGTCATCCATAATACATACATATCAATAAAGCAAACAAAAAAAATCCCAGAACCTTGGAAGATATCCTCGTCCCAGCTTCCATATATAAACGCCAAAACATCAATCAAGAAAAGACGTAAATATCAATAGCATCATTAAAATGGCCTTTCCAAAGACGCCATTTAAAGCTTTTGGCAAAGACGAAGTTATATCTTTGCCCCAAAAGTGGGTGGATTAGACATGATGCCCAATCTGTATCCTTTTAAAACCAAATATTCAATAATTCCCAGAAAGCTGGAATCAGCACTCCAAAAGGTCAGCATAAGCATCCAAGCTAGACCCGACTAAATCAACAATTGCCCAACTAGTGTTGCCCTTGAAAGTCCGCGCCCAAACGCGAACAATCGCAACACTAAGTTGGCGCACCTTGTATGGATTAGCCATGAACTCAATATCCGGTGCACCAGGTGGATCAACAGCCATTTCGGTTTCATCCATCATGCTCTTGATCCACAGGAGGAGTTTGCGCTCATGCTCTGACAATCTCTGTTCCGGCTGTGAAGCCGGGATAGAAAGTAGCCAGCGGCTAAGCAGGAATGCACATTCCAAACTGCAGAGGGAGTGCTGGATGCTCCAGAAGAATGAATGGGTTCTAGCCACGAAGTCAATACCTAGACGAACTGGGATTGAGAGGGCGTGGGCTGAGTGGAGTAGCGCCATTATTAACCGTGGACTGCGTGCGATTGCAGGCGACTCGATGAGAGCTCCTGCAATTTGAGTTGGATCTTGAGTGATGAGGTGACGACAGGGACCCAGATCAACGTGGAGACGGATATAGGCGAGCCCAAGCAGGGCGGTGGAAGTGAATGCAATTGGACCAGCAGGGTTCTGGGGATCGATGCTGGATTCGGGTGTGCGCTTCCATAGAGCCTTCCATGCGCTCAATGAGTTATCCAGAACATTCAAATCGTCTTGCCTTAGACTGGTACCCTGCATGTGAGGTGCTGAGAGGCACAGCTGTCGAGCGAAGAAGATTTGTTGTATGATGGCATGGATAAGGATATAATTGCCCAGAGGGGATATCGGTGCTGACGGGACAGCATGAGATGATTTGAGGAAGAGCCTGGCAAAAGCCTCCTGAAAGGGGACATCCGAGCCCTGTCTGGTGCGATGAACACGGCGCCATTGAGGAGCATTGGCTGCTTTCCAAAGATCATGGGAGCAGGGCATATTCAACTTCAACTCCCCATTTAGAATTAGAGGAGGTATGTTATACATGATCGAGTGAAGATTGAAGAAACAATACACGATGAGCTTCGTGCGTCTGTTGCCTTCTCTTCGGACCCACTCTTCCCAGCTGATAGGATCTGGGGTAGGAGGTGGCTCGGACAAGCCATGCTCGCGAACAAGTCTAGCCAACGTACTTTGGAGTGAGAGAATCTCCCGCAAGAGTTCTGGGTGTCGTTCCCATGAAGCGAATACAGTCAGAAGTAAAAATGTTCGAATCACCTCCATATGAGCATCCGAGTCGTCCAATGTGTAGATGGACGCATTGATTGGGGCACTTGGCATGGGTTGATGATGTTGAAACGGGCTGCTCGCCGTGTTTGAAATCATCGACGATCCGCGAGAGTTGGGAAAGCCAGAGGGCGGTGAAATGTAGTTCCACGTCGGTTGGGGTACTTGCTTGCTGTCTCGTCGACGAAGTCGTTCTAGTAGGATTGCCTTTGCAGCATGGAACAAGTCAATGCCTCGGCTGTTTTCGAATCGGTAATGGGAACCGGCAGCTGCTAGCGCCAGCGTAAGTTCAGGAGAAGACTTCGCAACGGACAGCGTCGGGACATGTAAGAATGGAAGATGCTCGTTCAGTCCGTTGATATATCCAGCAAAGAACCTGGACAGTGCATGGCGTGATGGTGGAACAAACCCTTTGGGAAGGACATAGGAGAACTCCTCGAGTTTCGTAATGAATGCTTGACGGTCTGAGTTAGAGATATCCCATGCAGGCCGAGTGCTATCATCAGCAAGACCGATACGGTCATCCATTTCGTGGGATTCCGGTTGCAATGAAGGCAGCCGAGATCCGAAATTTGAGAACGACGGCTGATCATCGACCCGTGGATCGTTCATAAGATGTTCACCCAGTCGCGAGGACATAGTATCACGGGGTGGTTTTGAATCGATTGTCATACTTGGCGGCATCATAGGTTCCTCAACCGACGAGAACACGCCCGAGTCCCAATCGGACGACAGACCCACACTTTCCAAGAAAACCGTGAAATCCTGAACAGGATCCCCCAGATCAGTAAGATCGAGAATAGAGGGCTCTACGCCATAATTATCGTTGATTGTTCTTTCCTGAACTTGGGGAAGTGGTTGTGATGTTGGGATAGATTGTGAAGATTTTCTGATAGACTCCAAGCTCTCCTGTTGACCCTCCAAAGCAACATGACTTGCAGCATGGGACAAGAGGTTCAGATCATATCCCCAAGAGGGATTGAAGTGAGGTGTATCTATAATCGGAGGAGGCTGGACCTGGACTTCGGGGGGAGGAGGCGGCGGTATTTGAGTGTGTACTGGGATAGCGTCTGCGAGTTCTAGCATGCGCGACTCATGGTGGGCGGGCTGAATGATGTTGTTCTGAATTGGTGTTTCACGGTTGGGTTCGGTGCCATTCGTTCGATGCTCTCGACTGGCAGCCGACTCGGCAGGATGGACTAATCGCTCATGTCGCACTAGAAGATCACTGGCAAATAATTTCAGCAAAATGACAGGGGCATTCAGAACAGTCCCAACCTTACCTCCGAGCAAAAGACTTGGAACAAATGTCACATGAGAAGGGTTTCTCCTTTGTATCTGTCCTACATTAGAAAAGAAGGAGCCGGAAGAGGGGGTTACTCAACGGGTGCGGAGATGGCGTTGGAGATGCTCCAAGCGAGCAAAGGACCGACTGCAATATTCACACGACAATGACTTTCGGTGAGCAGCACTCTTCTTTTTCTTGGATTTCTCGTCCTCCATCTTTGGGGATTTGGGGGAGAAGGAGAGGGGAAGATTTTGAGGTCTGAGCGGGGAAATTGACTGTGGGGTGAGGGGACAGTCACGTGCCCTCTCTCTATATGTCTCTTCCAACACCTATGCGGAGTGGTTGTGGTCTCTAGAGGCAGGATATGTCTGATCTCCATATCTTGTGTGTTGGAGATAGGCTAGGTGCATGTCTGCCGCTGTTCTGGCCCGACGTGCATACGCTCGGGTCTCCACTGGTGCGGAGAGTGGGAGACACACCGTATAGACCGCATAGATGGTCAGCATCAGACAAGATACAGAGCGGACTATGCTAGACTGTCTTAGTCTATGCTTGGTTGAAAAAAGAAAAGGCTATATAAAGGCAGTCTGGCACACCATCCACAAAGGCTTAGGGCTTCCGTATCTATAAGTTAGTCATTTTTATACATGTCAAGCCCGCTACGTCTCAGGTTGTATCGGGCAATTATAACAGATGTCATCGGTGCCTTTGGGGGTTTTTAACCGACCTTGTCTTATGATGTCGGGATCTATAAGTTAGTGTTTGCTATACCTATCTCATGGCTATTTTTGGATACAATTACATATTTCCAGATCGGACAGGGCACTTGAATTGAGTTCAATAGAAACCCACTAGCCACTCCGATACATAGAATAACGGAGCTGTGTAAGACACCAAGCCTACTTCAGGTTCACTCCGTAGAGCCGCTGTTTCGTCCGTGGGGCTTGGAAGCCAACTCTTCACCACACCAGGGAACATCCCAATAGTAAGCGGTAGACCTGGTTATATCCGTTTAGTCTCAGGTGGATATAAACCCTCTAGTGAAACAGATGAGACAGAAACGAGTGGGGGGGGGGGGGCCAGGTTAGGCTTTCCCCCTTGATAAAGCACTTAGTCAGAGACTCTGTTCCACTGGGTTTCAGGTTACAAAATCCACTCCCCAGCAGTTTTTCAGATCTTAGATCTGCTTCATATTCCTGCCTTTCTGCTCTGGGTGGGGTTCTCTTGATAGCCGATCCAAGCACTAGACCCGATCTCGCCCCAAAAAAGCTCAGACGGTAAGCTGCAGTGAGGTCCCTCATTTCGATCTCGCCTGTCCGGCTGAGAGCATCCTTTTGCTTGTATCTTGGTAAGTCTTGCTCTCCTCTTCTGTCTACTCTTTCGCTCACCCCACCTGGGGTCAACTCGGATCATGCTGACTGGACTCCAGGGAACCGGGATTATGCGTTGACTGACGTCGCATTTTTGATCGGACCCCCAACCCAATCGGCCAGAGACGCCCTTGAGAGTCCGAAGAGCACACTGCGATTGATTCCGATACCGAGCGAGGGGTCGAAGTCAATCCGCGCAACCCATTCGACATGTTGGCTCCCAAGCAATATTCCGCACCTTTGAGTGTGCCCTCTTCCCAAACCCCGACTGCATATCATGCGAACCCGTTACAGAGACCCGCGACAGCCACAAGAGCTCAGGATGGAATGGGATTCGCCAGTCCGACAAAATCGGAGCTTTCGGAGGGGCAAGACGATCTGGCATCAGTCCGGTGAGTGCCCCAATAGTGGATCAATGACTGCAGTTATCCTGACCATCCAAAGCGCCTGGGATGAGAAGCGTGTTGTCGCCTGGCTTCACAGCATCAAATGCGGGCAATATGAGTCTTTATTCAAAGGTATGTTTAACTGCTTTGTCACGAAGGCTACAGGTGAACTGATCACTTTCAGCCAACAATTTCAACGGGGACAACCTGCTTGAATGCGACCAAAAGATCCTACAGGAAATGGGCATCAAGAAAGTTGGCGACCGAGTGCGCATATTTGTCGCCATCAAGCAACTCCGAGCCAAGTCTGGTACCTCATCACGACAGAAGAATATGGTGGGTTCCCAGTGCATATTGTGTATCCCTCTCGCCGTTGCTGACTGGTGAAACAGGATACCCTAGCTGCCCTTGAAGCCACCGCGCTATCTAATTCCTCCCGCTATTCTCATTCCCGCCTACCATACCGACGCACATCTCAGCTGGCTGATGATTATCTGAACAGCAAAACGCTGTCTCAACCTGCGTCGCCGCCCGCCGGTGACTCTGAAAAAGGCCCATGGCGCAAGGACTACCTGAACCATCCGTCTTCAGGCGGCTCAAGCTCTGGCAGAAACCCCGGAACTTCGAACGAGGGCCGAATCTCTCATCCTCGGAATCCTAGTCTCGACGGTCTCACTATGGGTCCTCTTCCACCAAGCTCCCCTGTCATCCGCGTCATTTACACAGGTGGACAAACAAAGGTGTTAGATATTCGGAATTGCAAAACGCCGGATGAAGTCATCCTGTGTGTATTGAAGAAGCTGCAGCTTCCGGAGCACCAGTACAGAAACTATTGTTTCTATGTTCTAGACGGGTTAGATCCAGATCTGTCTAATTGCAGAAAACTCACTGAACCGGAGCTCATGGAGATTTGCGAAGGATTCAACAAGTCGGAGCGAGGTCGCTTGATCCTACGAAAGATTCATGCCGGCGAGCCGGATATGGACGAGCTTCGACGTGCCTCTCAGCTGGCATATGATGAAAGTCAGGCCACTCATCATAATGCTCTCAGCAACTCCAACCAGCGCCAGAAACACAAGATCCAGCAACTTACTGGCGAATCTTGGCATAACATCAAACAACCGCTCTCTCCATTGGGCCCCCGGCATCGTCCATCCAATTCTAGCCTGGAAGAACAGGGCCCCAACGGTGAACGAAACCCCGTGGCTAAGCTTCGCTCCTTCTTCGGCCAGAGACCTCCAAGCGAGATGATTATTCACGAACTACAATCCTTCTTCCCTAGCCATGACCGAGAAAACATTGAAAAGACCATGCGCAGATCTCAGCGCTTGAGTCGTGCTGCAAGTCGCATGAGTGTTGTCAGCAATTACAGCGTTGCTTCAAGTATGAAAGATGCTCCTCCTCTACCTCCATTGCCTCCGATCCCTCCAATTCCCAGCATTGCGGATGCATGGCTTCAGGGCAACGGAGTGGCACAGGCAGTACGTGCACCCCGACCCATATCAGTCTCAAAGTTCAACCTGCCACAAACCTCGTATCGGGACTCCATTGCATCGAGCTCTCTCCAGCCACTCCAGGAAGAGTCGCCCATTGAGCCGAACCGCAAGTCATATGTCTCTTTCGAGAGTGGCTCTGATGAGCCGCCCAATACCTCCCGCCAGAGCCTCTTCGATGAGAGTCTCAGCGTCGCTGCTACAGATGGCGGTTCATTCAATGACCGGATGAGTGTCATTGTAGCCGAGGATGGTGAAGAAGAGGATGACGGTCTCACCGACTTCTTGGCTGGAAATAACTTCGCTCCCAAGAACTGGATGAAGGGATCCTTGATTGGTGAAGGTTCCTTCGGAAGCGTCTTCTTGGCTCTACACGCCATCACCGGAGAGCTTATGGCCGTCAAGCAGGTCGAGATTCCATCTGCTACTAAGGGCACAGAGTTTGATCAACGCAAAAACCTCATGGTCACAGCCCTGAAGCACGAGATCGAGCTCTTGCAAGGAATGTCACACCCGAACATCGTGCAATACCTCGGTACCGTCGCCGATGACCAGTACCTGAACATTTTCCTGGAGTATGTTCCTGGTGGCTCTATCGCTACCATGCTGAAGCAATACAACACATTCCAAGAACCCCTTGTCAAGAACTTCGTTCGCCAAATCTTGGCCGGTCTCTCATACCTCCACAGCCGGGACATCATCCACCGTGACATCAAGGGTGCCAACATCCTCGTCGATAACAAAGGTGGCGTCAAGATTTCCGATTTCGGTATCTCAAAGCGCGTTGAAGCATCCCACCTCCTTGGTGCCCGCGCCAGCGGCGGCGGTGGCGGCGCAGGCAGCCATATCCACCGCACCTCTCTCCAGGGGAGTGTATACTGGATGGCACCCGAAGTCGTGCGGCAAACCGCCCACACCAAGAAAGCCGATATCTGGAGTTTGGGCTGTCTCGTTGTTGAGATGTTCATCGGCGCTCACCCCTTCCCAGACTGCAGTCAGCTGCAGGCTATCTTTGCTATCGGTAGCAACAAGGCTCGCCCGCCTGCTCCAGACCACGTCAGTCAGGAGGCTGTGGAGTTCCTGGACATGACTTTCCATCTGGATTATGAGCAACGGCCTAGTGCTGATGAGCTGCTTAAGTGCGAGTTCTTATCTGCTCCAATTACATGATTTAGCGATTTTTCTTTCTTTTCGTTTCTGCTTTCGGGTTTCATTGATACCTGTATGTAACATGATTCTACGCATGATGGTGAACTTGTTTTTCTAAGTATAAATGTCTATCTTGGCCATAGGCTCTTCAGTAGTAATGTGATTTATCTGGAACTTATCCCTTTTGACTATGTCGAAGACTGTTCTGGTGTAATGTTCTCGCTGTAAATGTAGAATGAAATTGAAAGAAGATAGTACATGATTTCGGATAATCACAATGACCATTATGCAGGTCGTTTCTAAAGTTACATGCTGGATATCAAAAGACCATCCAAGTGGAAATATAGTAAGAAGCCAAAAGATGTCACCAGATGTAGAACCACTTTAGTTAACGATCTTTCCGTAGAAGGGAATACCCATGGCGCTTAGGAGGAGACGGGCATCCTTGTCGGTTCTGGCACTAGTGTGGAGAGTGATGTGGCAACCGGGGATCATCTTGGGAGGGTACCTGCAACGCAAAATTAGCTCCGACCAACCAATATAGAACGTGGTGCACACTTACATATCATAGTTGACCTCGATCTCGGGGAACAGGGCAACATTCTCCGGTTCCATACCGAAGGTGATGTTTCCACTGCTGTCTCCGCTGGTACCTTTGACACCTTCCCAGTCCTTGATACGGGGCAAGACAACATCAACAAGCTTACCCAGGAAGTGGTACATGTTCTCGCCGTAAAGCTCAGCCTTGACGGCAACAGAATCACGGCCGGGCACAATGCCCCAGTTAGCAACGCTAGTCTTGGACTTGAAAGTCTCAACACGGACATTGGAGATGGCCTGGACAGCGATACCGGCCACGTGCAGCCAGGACGAGTTCTCGGTGGCGGCCTTATTAACGTAGCTGTGGATTGTGATGCGCTCGATTTCGGGGATATTGTTGAACTTGATGGGCTTGCGGAGGAGGCGCAGGACATCGCCGCCACGGGGTCCGCGGAGCACACGGTTCTTGTGGTAGGGGGAGCTGTCGTCCCATTCGCGGAGACGAGGCGCTTTCGGGGGAGGCTTGAAGCCGGGTGGTGTGTGAACGTAGCACAGACTCATGATGTCCGAGGCGACGGTTGAGTCGTAGGTCTGCTCGGCTCGGGGAGCGGAGAAGGGGCCTGGGACGAACAGACGGGAGGAGGGATCGGAGGCAGGTGGCGGTTGGTGAGGGTGAAGGGGACCCCGGTCGTACTTGGGAGAGCGGAATTGGTAACTAATCGAAAGGGTTGAGGTTAGTTGTCGTTCGTTTGTCACAGGATTCGATATGGCTGTCGTGTCTGCAGATGCGCATGACTTGGGATAAGGTTGGGTTGTCGTACCGACCACGGGGGAGCTGAGTCTTGCGAGCCTTTGCTCGTGCGACGGGATCGAATGACTGTGCTGCACCTTCAGGCACAGGTGTCGACAGAGACGACCCCGATTCCAGCTCGCTCAGGTGGTCCGACAGACGCCGCGACGGGGCCTCATCGGAGACATTGCGGCGCGATAAAAAGCCCTGGGGGCGAATTGAGGGTACTGAGGCCCTGGGCAGTGCCCTTGAAAGAAACCTAGATGGTTCCCTGGCAGCCATTTTGTGATTAATTGGTGTTGTTGAATTGGCGACCATCCCGGACCCTACCAAAAATTGTTTGCGCATGTCGACACGTGACCGTAATATGTGGCGCCTGATTTCCAAGGCGCCACACTTTGATATCAGATGGACGAAATGAACATACGTGGCGTATTTATGTAGCTAGTGCAGTACGTACAAGTAGCAATGACGGGAGATTTCAAGTATATGTATCGCACAGCTATTCAACTGCTGTTGCCTGTAATGACCTCCAACCGATCTATACGGCAGCACAAGTGTATTATATCTGCCTAAAGCAGTGTCTCAATACTACTTAGGACATGGTTTAGCTTATCCAGCTGGGAATATCCAATATTTTGTAGTTTTCGACACTTCATAACTTCAAAGTTGAAGTATACAAACTTGAAAATTATACTGTACTCGGAAATACCACACTCCAGTCTCTCCGTAATTTAAATTACCACTTGGATCTCTGCCCCGCAGATCACCATGTGAGCTTCATCTTCGATTTAGTCCTTGACCCATTGACCTTTTGACTCTTCCCTGTCAGCAGATCTTAGCTTATGATGTGTTCTTGCGCATTCCAGAAATCCTGCAGCCTTGACTAATCTCTTGGTCTCCGGTCTCAAGGACGTCTTGATCCCCGCATGTCGCCTCTCACTTCGGCATTTTTCCATTCGATCTAGAAAGCCTGCGATTTTGAACCTCGTCTACCTACAGTCATAATGAGTGGAATCCACCGATTCCTGACACGTCGCGACCGACACCAAAAGTTGCACAAGCAAAGCAAAGAAGAGGTACTCGCCTACAGCAGATCAGCTTCGCGCTTCAATCTATACATGTTGGCTAATGCCCGAGGCTTTCTAGGCATCCCACCTTCTCTCGCGGCCGCTATTCCAGAACTTCTTCAAGTCAGAAACCAAGCTAGAGAATAACCAGGAACATGACAAGAAGGTATGGCCTGGTCGCATACGGTCGGCTCGCATACATCTAATGATTTCAACTTTCAAATAGGTCAAAGCCCTCATCCAACGCATTAAACAACTCGGCATCACTGCATTAGAGGAGGAACATATCAGCTATGCATTACAAGCTACCCAAGGAGATACAGAAAAGGCCTTCAGTCTACTTCTTTTGCTGGAGGACTCCATTGAAGGCATTATTAGGACCTACACACCCAACACAAAGCTTCTAGGAGCAGAGAATCGTGCTGGAGTTACATGCTACCTGGATGCATTATTGTTCGCCATGTTCGCACGGCTTGATTGTTTCGAAGCCATCCTCTACAAGTCATTTAGTGATGAGCCGCGTCGAAAGCTTGCAGTTCTTCTGAGATTCTGGGTGAATCTTTTGCGATCAGGAAAACTCATTACAACTGATATGGTAAGTCATTAATCTTTGTGTCGTCGTTTTTACATGCAGGCCGATATTCACATGATTTCCTAGACAAAACATTTACAGGATGCTTTAGCGGAATGTGGATGGGAAGATGCGGCCAAACTTCGCCAACAAGATACATCAGAAGCATTTACATTCATCACTGAGAAGCTTGAGCTACCACTCTTGACTCTAAAGATGGATATTTTTCACACCGGCAAAGAGGATGAAAGCGATGACCACAAGTTCATCAACGAAAGGCTTCTGGAAGTTGCCATTCCACCCGAGCCGACCGATGGAGAGCAACCACTTACTTTGGAAGACTGTCTGGAAGCCTATTTCAATAACAGGATTGAAGTAAAACGACACATGGAGCGACGCAACACAGCTACCTCAATCCGATCAACGGATTCTGCTTCCATATCCAAGGGCTCCACTACACATGTTGAGGCCATCGAGATTGAGACTACGCCTACACTATCCCCTAAGTCATCTCACACTCTACAACCTGAAAGGCCCGGCCCGTGGTCATCATTCACTGAGTTCACTGAAGCCCTCGGCTCATCTCGAACTCCTGGTCGACGCGCTAGTATTGTTCAGGAGCGCTTTTTCCCAGAATCAAGTGAAGACACAACTTCCGATGATACCAATGATGGGACCGAGAAAGCCGTCACTCCGGAAGGGCAGCCCCGAAGGGGAGTCTACAAGAAGGAAGTGATGATGCCTGCATGGCAATTTTTCAGCTTGATTCGTATGATTTTCATCCTGTTCTACACGTGAAACTTGAACTAATTCGGACCTCAGCGTGGTACACGGATAATACGCCAACAAATGATGCACAAGTTGCCGCGCACTTTTCCTCCAAACGGCCAATCCTTGGAATGTGCCTCAAGCGCTATTCGGTCTTGCCAAATGGCAAGGCCGTCAGACTCAACACACATATCGATATTCCAACCGAGATTGGCCTGCCTCACTTTATCCAGGATGACAACCTGGATGCAAACGCTCCCATCTATGGCAATTTCAAACTCTCTTTGCAGGCTTTGGTCTGCCATAGGGGCAACTCAGTTGATTCCGGGCATTACATCGCAATAGTCCGGGGCACTAGCCCCACTGCTGACTCCCCTGGCAGCTCTGGCTCGGATTCTTCAGAGACATCGAAACATTGGATGCGTTTCGATGATCTTGCAGCAGAACGGGTGACTCTGGTTGACATTGATCAAGCACTGAAAACCGAATCCCCCTATCTCTTGTTTTATCAAATTCTTCCGATATCCGAAGATCCATCTGCTGTCAATATTCAGCCTGCGCCATCCTCTCGGGCGTCAGATGGCAGCACACTGGGCGATCAACTAGATTTAACCGATGACATGGCTTCTGACCGACCAAGTGTTGAGATTACTGGACCCCCTGAAGCTCCTGAAGCTGGCACGCCGACTTTGACCAATCCCCCAAGGCGTTCCAGTGTAACGTTCTCAGAAAACAGCAACCCAAGCGGTCTTCAGCCGAATTCTATTCCATCATCGTCGCCTAGATTGGCACCTATGGAAGAAGAAGGCACAAACAACTGGCGGTCGTTCTCTCGTCGTGGATCCCGAACAACTAGGAGCAATCCTGGAAGCCGTGCCGGCAGTCAAACCGGCGAAAACAGAATCAGCGCTACTTTCTCGCGTTTCGCTGGACGTCTGAGCCGAGACAAAATCAACAACGATGGATTTAACGAGGATGGCGAAGGACACGAGTCTGCATTGGACATCGACGAGACAATGGACGAGATGAAGCTTGGGCCAGGTGCTTATGAGAAGGAAAAGCAAGGAAGAGGACGAACAAAAGATCGTGAGCGAAACAAGGGCAAGTCCAAGGAGAAATCCAAGGAAAAGAGCAAGAGACCGGACCGGGAATGTATGGTGATGTGAGCCAGGACGGAGATGTCACGATTTCCTTTCTTCTAGATACCCAGTCCAGCTGTTGCATGTTTCACATATGATGATACCCCACGATGCATTGTGCGAAGTGACTTTGTGATTTGTACTTATGGATCCAACAGATAGATGCCTAACTATACATGTTTGATAATTGTATTTCTGCGTGTGTGGAGATTTAGCGATTGTACATCCAAGTACGTGTAGGTAGAGCGATATTGGCCTCAGGCCACACATCCTAGCCTCCGCATTCCTCGGACCTCAAGTCTATCTCCGTCTCGCACCAACGTGCAGTCTTGACCTGCCTCAACTATTGCTCGATCGGCATGACATAGCGCTGCCACAGCTAGCGCACTATGGCGCTGGACGGATCCAGCAGTTATGTTGCTCCCAGCAACTTAATGGAGTCTCCGAGCTCCTCCCTCCCGATGTTCGACGTTGAGCGGGTGCAGCTAGCCTTCAACATCGCCGCGGACTTTGTGGCAGCGCAGGTCGCGAACAATGTACTTGTGCTAGCTCTGTCAACAAACCGCATTCTACGAATTGATCTTGATTCCCCTGAAGATGTCGAAGGTAGGTTTCCGAATCTTCCCCGCAGCAAATGCTGGCCACAACAGCTTAGCTAACTTGCTCGTGAACAACAGACATCGATCTTCCCAAGAAATCCTCCGAAGTTGGAGTCATCCGGCGCATGTTCCTTGACCCTTCCGCGTCGCATTTGATTATCACCACGACTCTCGGTGAAAACTACTATCTCCATGCCCAGTCACCGTCGCGACAGCCCAAACCCCTGTCACGTTTAAAGGGTGTGTCAATCGAGAGTATTGCCTGGAATCCCTCTCTACCAACCGCATCCACCCGGGAAATTCTCCTCGGCGCCACCGACGGCAATGTGTACGAGACTTATATCGAACCATCCAACTACCGGCGTGAGGAGAAGTACACCACTCCAGTCTTCCAGGCACCCGGCGCCTCCGCGGTGACTGGAATCTCGGCGGAGCCGTTATTCTCAAAGCCTGATCACAGAAGGGTTATTGTGGCGACCTATGGGAAATTGTTACACTTCACCGGGCGGACCGGAGGTTCGAAGCACGGGAGAGAGAGCGGTGGGTCTGTGTACTCGGAACTGTTCCAACGCGAGACTCCCTTGATCCATGAACTTCAGAATCCCTCCAGCTCTGCACCGTCTTCTTTAGTGATTTCTCCTGCAGTGTCAGAAAGCCATCAGGCCGAAGGCTATACCGAAAAGGAATTTGCTTGGCTCAGCTCCGAAGGAATCTACCATGGCCAGCTCGCATCAGAAACTCCATTCAAAAATGCACACATGCTTGCGCGGTCGGTTTTCCCGGCTTCGGAATCACCACGTGGAGGTCCGAAGTTGATCCAAGACCCGATTTCCGCGATGACTCTGTCCCAATGGCATATCTTGGCGCTTGTTGGAGGTAAAGTGGTCGCCGTCAACCGTCTCAGTCAAGAAGTTGTATACAACCAAACAGTGCTGGAGCCTGGGCAGAGTGCGCTGGGTCTCTTGACTGATCTCACAAAGAAAACCTATTGGCTCTTCACCACCCAGGCCATTTTCGAGGTCGTGGCAGGTGACGAAGACAGAGATGTTTGGAAGATCTTCCTAAAAGAGCAAAAATTTGACGAAGCTCTCCAGTATGCCCGAGGTCCTACACAGCGCGATGCTGTTATGACTGCTTCGGGTGACTTTTTGGCGGACAAAGGTAACTTCTTCGAGGCTGCCAAAGTATGGGGCAAGAGTAGCAAAGGCTTTGAAGAGGTCTGTCTTACTATGATTGACCACAAAGAGCATGATGCCCTGCGAAACTACCTCCTCTCCCAGCTAGCAACATACAAGAAAGCCTCTGCCATGCAAAGAATCATGGTCGCGAGCTGGCTTGTGGAACTGTTCATGTCTAAGTTGAATTCGCTTGACGACAACATCGCCACCAAGGCCGAATTGACAGAGGGCACGAGTACCGGCGAAATCAAGGATCAGCTTGGCAGCGTCCGGGCTGAGTTCCAAGAATTTGTCAACAGCCACAAAGCTGACTTGGACCGGAAGACAGTGTACGATATCATCAGTAGCCATGGCCGCGAGGAGGAGCTTCTCTTCTTCGCAACTGCTACGAGTGACTACAACTATGTTCTGTCATATTGGATTCAGCGCGAGAAATGGCTGGAGGCTTTGAAGGTCTTGCAACGCCAAAGTGATAGCGATGTGTTCTACAAATATAGCAGTGTGCTCATGACACATAAGCCTACAGACCTGGTCGATATCTTGATGCGCCAGACGGACGTCGATCCTGAGAGACTGATACCCGCACTGCTAAACTACAACAAATCGGCCAGTGTTGCTTCCCTCAGTCAGAACCAAGCTGTCCGCTATTTAAACTTCGTCATTGTCAACCACCCCAACCCATCCGCAGCGGTCCACAATACCCTCATTTCAATCCATGCGTCCAGCCCCTCCGCATCCGAGGCTGGTCTGCTCACCTACCTCCAATCGCAACCATCCTCGCCCCCTCCCTATGATGCAGACTTTGCCCTTCGGCTTTGTATTCAGAATCAACGAGTTCAGTCATGCATCCACATATACAGCACAATGGGTCAGTATCTACAGGCCGTTGAACTAGCCCTGGAGCACAATGACATCGAGTTGGCTGCAATTGTTGCTGATCGGCCAGAGGGCAACGACAAACTTCGCAAGAAACTGTGGCTCCTGGTCGCAGAGAAAAAGATCCGTCAACCAGGCACCGGTATCAAAGACGCCATTGAATTCCTGCGACGTTGTGAGCTTCTTCGCATCGAAGATATGATCCCCTTCTTCCCTGACTTCGTCGTCATTGACGACTTCAAGGATGAAATCTGCACCGCTTTGGAAGATTACTCCCGCCACATTGACGCCCTGCGTCAGGAAATGGACAACTCAGCCCAAACAGCCCGTCAAATCCGGGGTGAGATTGCTGGCCTGGATACCCGTTATGCGATTGTTGAGCCGGGCGAGAAATGTTGGATCTGCTCGCTACCTGTTCTCAGCCGTCAGTTTTTTGTCTTCCCCTGCCAACATGCTTTCCACAGTGACTGCCTTGGCAAGGAGGTTCTAGATGGTGCTGGTGGAAAGAAGAAGTATATTCGCGATTTGCAGGCCCAGCTCAGTAACGGCGGTATGTCCTCCTCTCGACGAGAGGACATTGTCAAGGAATTAGACTCGCTGGTCGCTGAAGCTTGGTATGTGATAATTTTTCCATATATTTCTGTGTTCATTTCACTAACCATATTTCCTTACAGTATTCTCTGCGGTGACCATGCCATCAAACAGATTGACAAGCCCTTCATTGCAGACTTTGAGACAGCTGACGACTGGGGCCTGTAATAGTATCAATTTATCTAGCTGCCTGATTTTTGTGGCCATGGATAGACGTTTTTTGGTTGGGATACTCTTTGTTTTTCTTTTCCTTTTCGCAATACCCTGCTCTACCTTAAGCAATTGCTACGTGGGGTATAGTCCTCTTATATAGACATGGATCGCCATACTGCATTTGATTCGGACCCACGCATTGACAATTCATATGATAGCAAAGAAAAGTAGATATAGTAAGGATGAAATTAAGCATAAGACCAGATAACCAACTCCATGCGAAAATACAAGCCCCAAAAATACAATATAAGGAAGACACTATACTATATCACAGAATACACTGTACTCTAGGAGTAATTCAAGGATGGAAGAGAAACTAATGGTCAGGCCACAAAGATCGCAAAAGCTCCAGGTCCTGGGCAACAGCCGGACTGTGCACAGCACAATCTTCCAAAAAGCCTAGCATCTCCCCAACCCAGCGTTCCCAGCCACCAGGCAGAGTATCGCGGAGTCGAGGACTAGGCGAGTGAGCAATACAGTAGAAGAGAAGTATCTGGCCAAAGAACCTGAATAGAACAAATAATGTTAGCAAACCAAGCCCGATAAAATGTAACAATGTAACAAAGTAACACTTACTGTGAACAAAACGCAAATCTGATCGGGATGCAACTCTTCATCTTCCGGAAAATACCCTGGGTAATGGGCCAATCCATTGCATGCAGTAGGCCACTCTTTACTTGCTCGAAGTCTTCGTCTGTGAGGAGAGCTGGATTCCGGAGGGCCTTGTATAGATATGGCCGACCGATGTGGAAACGGGCGATCATGTAGCGGCCTCTGAGCATTGCGTCTGTCACTGCTACTGCCGGCGAGAGGGGATGGGTTGGATCTGTGGTCCTGGGTCTTGGGGAGGAGAGTTGGGTTTGATTTTGGATTGGGGATGCTGTTGAGCCGGGCGAGGGATGGATGGAGGAGTGGTCGATTGGTGTGTTGTGTGAGGAGTAGGGGGTATTTGTGTTTGTGTGGTTGTTTGCGGTAGGGGTTGTGAATTGAATTGCCGTTGGGAGGTTTCTGCGCCATTGTTCTAGTTGGTGGTTGAGTTCTGTGTTCACGGCGGGGAGAGGGAAGGATCCTGAGTCGGCTGGTTGTGGTATTTATGCATTAGTTGATGTTGAGGATTCGAGAATGGCTGTGATGCTTACAGTAGAAGTATAGGGAGTGGCGGATCCGTGTGAGAATAATGCGGTGGGCTACCTGGGCCAGGAAGTGATACTGGAAGTATGAGTCGTCGACCACGCCTGAGGAGTTGTAGCGGGTTGCGGCATAGCCTGTCGTTCCGAAGCCTATAAATTTGGGAATTGGGACTTGTTCTTCGAGGCGCGAGAGACCGCTTGAGGGGAGGTGTAACTCTTGCACGAGAATTGTTTCGTTCATTAGGCAATTCCAATATACGCGGGATTTCATGTCACCTTCCCATCCGTCGAAGTTCACATCATGACTATGCGCGTGTTAGGATTGTCTTCGCTGGTGGTATTGTATGGAAAGGACTTACTTGGTCAGCATTGACAGACAACATGTAGCGGCACGATGTATCATTGCCCATGAATCCATCGGACGGGGAATCTGACTATAGTATACGCTGTGGGATGTCAGTACCAAGTTTGTAGTTATGCTAAGCCTGGGTGTGGGTACGCACGAGGAGAGGAGGTAGAATTGACAACTCTGGATGTCATTATCGCACATCAAGAAGCCAATACGTCGACGGGCCTCGTTGAAAAACCGCAATCCAGGCTGTTCTTCATATACCACATTCATCCATTCGGGTGGTTCAAATTGATGATCCCTGGTTCCTGGCAAAGGATAGTTTCCTTCTTGAGAGGCCAGAACAGCAAGACATCCCAGTGCTAGCACATTGAGGACCAGACAGCTTTCCAAATTGTAGCCGAAGCCACTCTCAATAGCTGAGCCAAGCGTGAAGGAAAAGAAGAAACCTTTATCCATAATGGGAGTTGACGGATTGAAGACACTGAAAAACGCATCTGCTAGACCTCTGATCATTGCCAACGGAAGTTCTTCTAGCCAATGTTCACCCGCCTGCAGAGGATAATGACTTGTGAACATCGGAAGTGGAGGTCGGGCTGATTCCAGTTCTATAACATAGTTTTTCCCAAGTAATTCATAGGCAGCGAGTAACTGTTTGGGAAGGATCTGCCGGGCTCCAGGCCACAGAATAACTCCATGTTGACTGAAAGAGATGGATATCCGACCTGCGGAGTCCGGCTTTGTTTGATTTTCTTCAAATTCAAAGTCATCTCCATTCCCTGCGGCGGCGGGAGTGAAGTTGTCTCCCATGGTGGCCAGCATGGACGTCTGGTTACCATCATTGACAGCAGGCGATGCCTGCGTACGCAATCCATCGGCAGGAGTACAGGTCTGGCTTCGAAGATACTGCAAATCACTCAAGATGGATGTGGGGATGTTTTCCAATTTTGTCTCTAGACGATGTAGAGTACTCATTATCATGGTAAGGGATTGGTCCCGCCTAAACTGTATGAGCAATTGAATGTATAAGCCAGCATTTTCACGACTCACTTTGACGATTTACGCTCATTGTAAACACATTCCAGGCCGAGCGACTTACAGAGCCCACATCTGGGGCGCGATTCATCGCATCGCGTCTTCTTCAGACGGCAGGTCTCACACGCCTTGGAACGAGCGTTAGCGACGCCCGGAGAGCTCGGTCGCGTCATATAATCAGGCAATTAAGACGTATATATTACTTACAACCGTGGCAATGAAGTTCCTGGGCTTCTTGGTCGGTCCGGAAGACTGCCCGTGTTCCTCCTCGCCGGGCGAGAGCAGGTCATGAATAGGCAGAAGGCCATTATTTTCGGGGTCAGGCGATCGTTGCGCACCTCCCCTGAACTCCTCAAGCGACCGCTTGCTCATTTTGCATCATCGAGAATGGGGTTCTCGTGTTTTATCCCGGCATTCTGAGAGTTTGATATTGAGGCGGTCGTTTTTTTTATCCGGTGGGTTTCTGACAAGGTTCGTCCAATCAGAGCCCGTTCTGTTATGAATCATCATCGCGACTTGTCTTTCCATGATATTATACTTGTGAGTTGTTTGCATTATAGTAAGGGTGCATTTGTATTTAGATCATGTCTTAGCCCACAATGCGAAGAATCAAGCCCTCGACATGACTAGGCTTCAAGCGATCCGTGTATTGTTCTGAACCTATGGGCACGATATCAACATTTGACAACATTCTATACTGATTGATGATGTGCTCTCTTTGATGGTTTTACTTTGACATTACAGACTTCAATAAAATCCTTGGTCGTATATCAGCACCTAGTAGGAATTAGATGCACGCAAGTATGATTAGCGACATCCTTTTTGTACTTGCGTCTAGTATGCGCTTATAGACGTTTTATGTGATTTGATCATCTTCATTAGGTAAAGTACCGTCTCAACATGATGATGGATTGAATTGTGACGGTATGTATGCTCTTTTATGTCAAGATCTCAAGTCGCTGGGAGTAGATCTGGGGTATACATAGAAAACTCATTTCTCGGTACAAGAGTATTCTTCTATTTGACATCTGTCAACTTTCTTTCTTCCCTCTGGTTCTATCTACTGGGTCCCAGGGACACACTTTGAAAGAAAGAAAGAAAGAAAGTGGATGGCCAGTGTCCATGTTCATGACGATGTGCTTGCAGTAGGGCTGGGTTTCGAAAACGTGTGCAACATACTGCCAAGTTGTACATGTAGATCCCGAGCAAGTCCCCGAGGATCTTAATCCAAATATCTATATCCAATGAGAAATCAATATCCACTTTGCTCAATTTTACTACTATATTTCAGTACGGGAAAAGGGTGGAGAGATCGGCATTGAAATTCGGAGAAAGTTTGCAGAGCTGCAATGGACGAATCGATCTCCGATAATTATCGACCCACAACATAGTTTAGTGCCAGGTCCACTGGTCAAGTGAATTGAGACAATTTGTGTTATTTCCCGACAAATATAAAGGAGAGGAGAGACCCCTGGCCTTTGGGCCAAGTTATACTTTCTACCTTCGTCAATCTTTTGCCTCGCCTATACACTACTTCCAAAACATCAAGATGCAGTTCAAGAACATTGCCCTCGCCACTTGCATGGCCCTCTCAGCTTCGGTTGCTGCCTCCGGTGTTTCTGAGAATGCTACCGACATCGCTCCCTCTGTTCAGAAGCGCCTCGTCCAGCTTGACCTTGGCTACAAGAAAACTGGTCTTTACCTGAACGCCTTGGTTGACGATGCTGGTAACCTCACCTCAAGCGTGAGTAACTCTTTTTGAATTTACTTTCATCTCTTGTTCATTGTGAAAGATGCTAAACCTCTGCTTTCCATCTCAACAGGCAGTCGTCCAGTCCTACCTGAGCATTGTCTCCGACGAGTCGGACGATGTTACCAACAAGACCCAGCCCGCTGCTGGTACCATTCCCGACACTACCCAGTTGATTCTCTGCCAGAGCTACCACAGCGTAAGTTTTCAACTCCTGCAGAATTGGGTAGCAGAAAGGTAAACTAACACTGACGTAGATGGCTCTCAGCGGTATCGAGCTGAACGCTGGCTTCGTTAACCACGCCAACTACTTTAACAAGACTGAGCGTGCCCAGGTCCGCCGCGGTCTGATGGCCGTCAACGACGAGACCAACGTACGTTGACCGATTGCCAATCTTGTCTTGTGTTCTTTTACTAACCGTCAATAGAAATTCTTCTCCGACGTTGGCAAGAAGTCCCTGACCTACTGCGAGGACGCTCTCTCCCTGGACAACCAGGCCATTCACACGTCTATCCGCGACGCTGCCAGGGCCCTTGACCCCTCCAAGGCTGCGTTCTAAACTATCTTTACACCATCATCTCTCTCACTATCGGGCCTGAACCCTTGAGAATTGGCACGATTCCTTCGATTCCTTATTCCATTTTCTATGGTCCATTCTTACAATAATTAATTAGTTGAATCTGGATCAACTTTCTTACATATGACCTTCCATTCACTTGACCAAATTGAAGTAGAACATTGGGATTGAAAATGCTAATACCCACACGGGGCCAAATCACCATTGGAACAATATAACCTGATCTGCTCAGCAGCTCGGTTCATCTCGGATTCCAGGTTGCTGATCGAACGTCATCGATCAGATCGTCCAATTCCAGGGGAAATCTCCGTGATCCCTACGAGGCCCACTTGATGCCTGTGCAGCTGAACAAGCGTGCCCGAAGTGGGAAATTGAGATCTATAGTCTCGTTTAATCGAATGACTATTTGACCACGCACAAAGTTTATGGGTCATATTGTAGATCGTTTCCCAAGTCCAAGATTGAAGAGAAGAAAATGTTTCGTCGTGAACAGATTGAAATCCCCTTTTAACATTGCGATCGCCAGGAACGAAGACCCACACAGTATTTAGGGGCAGATTATGACGCTATACTTCTTGCCAAAATCCTCCTGTAAGCAAGGGTCTAAACGGATTAGTGTAGAATACAATGCAGTAGGCTTAATGTTATCTGGACTGTCTATGAGCCTCATTTCACACATCATCACCTCGCAATAGCAGCATTATGCACTACCAAATTGAGCAAGAAAAAAGAAGTCGTGCCCCGTCAATTGGCTACTCAATCCATCTGGTGCAAGTATATGTACTAACTACGTATCCAATGTAGGCTTGTACTATGGAAGAACTCCCGTGCGCGTCTCAGGCAGACATAGACGTCAAAGTTATCGTCTTCAATAATGAGGAGCAGGGGATGATCACTGAGTGGCAGCGAAAGAAACGTTTATGTCGTTATTCCCACTCCCAGCAGTCTAACGCAGCTTTTCAAATTGCTTGCAGAGACATTGAGGTTTCAAGCTGAGGTGTGTGTATCAAATGAAGAGCTTCCGTCGAAAATACGATGTCTTCTTAGTTCGATTCAGCGAGTTTTCTGAATGTGCGCATTGAGAGTAAGCTCGATCATTTTAGGACATAGTTTCTCTACTACGCATCACAGATTCAGACCAAGCAGTGCATCACGTCGGCCAATGTAGTCTCGTGGAATTCGATTATCTCGTTGTCTGCTTGTAGCTAGATTTCTTTTTCGGATATTGCAGAAATACCGCATTCCTATCTTTCCCAGATAGCTCGTCTCGATAAAAAAAAAGATGTGCTTTGGACCAGCATTCTCTGGAAACGTATTCAATATGCCAAAAACTGTCTATGACGCCAGTGATCGCCATTTTCGATTGTATAACGTTACACGATGCCAAATCGGGATAAACACCAAACATTCTCTTGATTTTATTCAATTTGTTGAACATTTTCGATGATATTTGATCTTAGTAAGAGGCTTTTATGCCGTACATAGGTGCTGCCTCTACTTAGCCGCTAACACTGACAGGAATTCTCCAGAGATACGTTGACTCAATTTCCTCTGCTTTGTTTGAAGCCTGTCTCAGCCATTTTGTTCTTTTAACCTCTTCGGTCTATACCTTTTTTTGGTGATCTTGTGGTCTCAGGGTAGGTAATCATCCTCATCTTGTCGCTTGAAGCCCGATATTGTCCTCACTTATACTGGCACGAACGGTTACACAGCATATGGTGTTCATGCATCTGTAGCACTCAAAGTAGCGGCCTACAGCACGACTAGGACCTGATCTTATCCCGATCCTACTTACTACGACATCTTACAGCATCTTTTTGCCCATAATAGCAACTTACAGAAACCTGCTATATGTATAATGATGGCATCTATCGTGGCTAGGTAGGCTATAAATATACCTTGAATCTCATAATATTGTCTTCTATTTGAAGTCTCAAACTTTGGTATATTCTTCAAATCAAATCATAATACAACTGTTCGCCATTGCCCTTTGTTAATTGAAGCGTCGGAAATATTGAGTAGCCGTCTATTCCACTAAAACGGTCGGAAAGAGTTCAAGGTCAGCTTTTACTCTATTTCAAGGGCTCGGCGCTGACTCTAGCAAGGCTTTAACATGGGCTATCCATCAGAGCAAGAGATTTACGACCTGTTCATCAATTTACAAGATTGGCCGAAAGGCCATTCCATCTTCTTCGATCAGGCCTTGGAAAAATCGACATGGACCCTTACAGGCCATCATCCTTTCTCCAGAGCCTTCCCATGCAAGTCCGCCTTCCAAGAATGGAACTGGAAGCCACACGGCGCGATGTTCGCTCCGCCTGGTCCGTGTTTTATTGTGCCTAATGGACTCGAGAGCGTTGTTTGTGGAAGCAATGGGAAGGTTGCGATCGAGCTCCGCATGGTCAACACTGTCACAAAATGTGCGAGGCTCAGCTATGATCAGCAGTATTCGTGGCATTGCAAGTTCACTGAAGAGGGAAAGATTGAATCTGTGCGGATCTACCTTGACTCAATGCACACACGAGATGTTCTTCATTGTGAGAAAGCGGCCCAAGAGGGCGTAAGTAGTTAATTTAAATACAGGGTAATCGTTGCTGGATTTCATGATTTCAAATCAAAAGTGGACATAAAGTAAAGTGCTACAACTTAGGTCGGGCGGGAGAACTTGAACTTTGAACATCGTAAAGATATGGCATTCCTGCTTCAAAGTTTGCAACTATCCTCCTATTAGCCATTAGAAGCGATGAGCATGGACTAGAAACAATATCGCTGTAGTATTGTAATTTAGATCATAAGGACACTTTCTCATCGTGTGACTATGTGACTACGCGCGTCGAAAGAAGTGGCTTCGATCTGGTTGAAGCTAGATCATTCTGAAAAACGAAGTCTGGTAAATAAATAATTTTTTAACAAACACACCGCATAGGACTATGAACACCACCAGCATTAGGAACCTGTGGTCGTCTCATTGAACGGATGTTTGCCTTGTGGCCTCATAATATTTCTGCCTAACGTCAATTCTACAGGCATTAATTAGGTGCGGGGACTTTTCTTGGTCAGCAAGAGTTCAACCAATAGGATGCTCTGCTCACTATTGACATGAATCATCGTATTTGTCGTCATTCTATTTGCGACTAGAAGAAGTTTCCACCTCCTGTGATATTTGATTTAATCAAGGATTATTAGAGGTGTCAATCGGATCTACCCTATGACAATTCATCGACTTCATAATGGTGTTTTGTTGACGAAGTCTGTGATAGCAACCAGATATATATTCGGCCGGTACCGTGACCTTCCAGGCACCAACCAGTTGGGGATATATCCGAATGCAATCATAACCAGCCCACCATGAGACACTTGGATATTATTCGTTATAGATAGAGACAATACAGACTCGCCCCAAACTACGAGATGACGAGTCGACTCAAAATCTAGCCCTTGATTCCGATGGGGTGGCTCTATGATCACAAAACATGTCCTCACCAATCATCAACCATGTTGATTATGTCAATGCCAACAACATCCAGACCCAAGACACAGACCCAGGGTACTACAAGCCAGGGCCAATTGCGAAACTGTTTGCCTGTTGGAAACACGGCCACTGTAGTCTTGCGCCACCCAAAACAAAGGAACTCGAAATAGTTCAGATGTCTCCAACAACGGCATTTCCACTGTCGACTTTGTCATGGCGACTTGATCTAGATGAAAGCGGAGACCTGATGTCATGTTATGATTCCGTCCTGCGTTGGCAATAATAGAAGCGAGAACCCGGTCTCCACTCCTATATTACTCATTCGAAACGTGTCCCAACGTCACCGAATATGAAGATGTTCATCATATTTCCTGTAATATTCGTAACTATCCACTTGGACACACTTGACAGGGGAGGTGACGTTGACAGGGGGAATGTGGCATGGGGTAATTCCAAACCCGGCAAAGGAGGCCGAGGACGGCACCCGCGGGTATGTTTATTTGGGAGATGGGAGAGGTATACTGTAGTATACAGATAAGTCAAGACAAACAAAATAGACAGGTGTCTTTGCTTATGTTTTGTGACCTACAGTAGAATGACTTAGAATACGCCTCCAGGCACGAACATACACCCCGGATATTGGCATTTGGATTATGTCTTGAGTTATGACACAAGGACAATAAAGGAGGGGTCGCCATGCTGATGTTGACTTGGCAACGGTTAAGGATTCAAAGTCGACCTGTCAAACGACCTGAAATTTTCGAGATGGGTCAGAAAAAGGCCCCAGGCTGGCTCCCTTGCAGGGCGATCCGACGCATGATTGACTTTTCTTGCGCTTGACTTTTTCGACCTTGCCTCTTTATTTTTTTTACTGATTGCATAGTCGCACACGGAGAAAAAAGCGAGACCTACAGGAGGCTGGGGTCATACCATACATTGAAATGCATCCCGTTGATGCGTTGATGCGTTGATGATCCTGGATCTGTGTACATCGTAGTCGCACAGGGCAATGCAGTGTAACTTTACTCGAGGCAGTCTTCCAATCCGAAAGTGGAACAAGTGTCTAGAATCGGAGGTGATGCTTGTTGTTTTGGATTTGAATCAAGCCATTCGCGTAGGATCGTGCATAACCATGCATTGAGTGTGGAGGTTGGACACGGGACCTGCTACTAAGAATGATGGCGCTAGAATGTCATCGAAAGAGAGTAAGCGAGAAAAAGCAAATAGAGAGCAGAGGCCAGTTCAGACCAGAATCCGGGGAAGTGGCCCTCAAGCCGGTACAATTCCCCTCTTTAGATGATCTCATTATCTCGGACATCTCCCTCTTCCACGACTATCTTCAAAATTGAGACATTGCGAATCTATCTGGACGATCGTGCGGGGAATAGAGTTATCAGAGTTGAATCCATTTCCACGGATACACTATTGAACGCCCTAATGAATCCTTGTCTTATCGGAGGATACTTCCACTGCCGACTTCTCCCGGGGTTAGATTCCGTACAGATAAGATATCATATATCGCCATTGCAGTTTTGTATCATGTTTATCACTGTATAGTAAGCAGTATGAAAATCGCGCATAACAAGCATACGTTTCACTATGTATAAGATTCACATTTCTCGCATAAGGGGGTTGGCTGATGCAAAGCGCTACACTAGATGACGAAACACTCTCTTAAGGAGGGCTGGGATGCACGATCTGCAGTAAAATAAAGTAATGGATATGGGGACGAAGTCCGATGGAGGGGGAGATCAAGAGCTGAGCCGTGCCCTTCTGCAGCACTTCGGCACTTTGCAGTATTGCGTGTTGGATGTTAATGTCGATCCAGGGTCAACTGGGACAAATTAGGGGGGGCACTCTAAGAATTGGTTGGTCTCTGCGTTTCCCGGAGAATGAGGGGGACATGAGAAACGCTGTAAAGTGTAAAGTGCGTCGCGTGATGCCGTAGTCGTGCCACATCCACAACTCTATCGGTTCTGTACTTCCTTGCAGACCACAGGAGGCGGTCAAACCCAGTGTAGGGCTAGAATCAGGCAGGGTCCCCCCTTCACCGCTACAGTGCTACAGCTGCGTGGGTGTCCGACAGCTAAGAGCATGCTCCACTAGATCGTGCAATAGAGAAGTGTACTCTGAGCATGTGTTGTACTATCCACGGGTACATTTAGCTTAGCTTACTTTACTTCATGTTATGTTATCTACTATCAATGTCAAGCGGAAATCGTGGTCCAACCTATGACCGAAACTGATCAACACCCCTGATACCAACAATACAGTAGACCCCCTCATGGATTGTCTCATAAACCCGCGCGCCAAATAACGTTGCAGACAGCCCACGGGTGCTATTCAAGACCACCAGGTCCGGGGTAACCAATCAGGGCAGATCACGCCATCCCACTCCATCGCGTCATGCAGTCTGGAAATAGTGGCCCAATACGGTAATCTGATTGGTCAGCCGTCCCAGAATGGACTGCGCAATCAACCGCATCTGGTATAGCGCGCCACCTTGATCCCTCGGCTTAGGCTGTGTCCCTGCTGCGAGAGTTTGGTCTCAAAGATAGGGGTCACTGTAATCAACAGTAATATCATATCTGGACTTATGGTGACATGGACGGACTTGTAGATAGGCAGTAGTCTATGAAGTTCCACTTTTCGACCTTGATGGGGCAACCGACTATGGAATTTGACGTTATCACCAATTGTTGACGCCTTCCAAGGGCCAGGAATGCCTAGAAGGTTCATGAAACTTGGTTCGGTACACCGAATTATTACGTATCATACATTACCCTTACCATTCACCCAGGAGACGGAAACGGGAAAGGACCTCGGGCGCCAGTCAAACCAGGCGGAAACTGCAGATCACTCGGAAAGATGACAACGAACGGTCCAGTAGATACTCGTTTGTGACCGTATGACCTGTATCGGCCAATGGGGATCCACTTTGCCGCCAATTCCCCGGAGATGTTAATGACTCTGAACCTCTCTCCTCTCTGCTTTTGCTTCTGCTTCATCTTCATCTTCCATCTTCCATCTTCCATCCTCTCCCCCATCGCTTCTCTTCCGTCGCTCTTCCGCTTCATCTCCCCCCTCTCCACCGCCCGCCTCCCATCACCACTTCGTCGCTTCTGCGTCTCATTCACGGTTCCAGCGTTATCGCAGCTTCAATTGTCCTTGACCCTGCCTACCGTCGACGACCTGCTCTTGCTTGACAGACTGCGAGTGTTAAGATCGGATTTACTGGTCTTCTCTCTGCACAAGGGTGTCTCTCGTCTACGCGCTCTCTCCTGATCCCCCCCTTTTCCTGGACTTTCCGGGTTGATCCTAAGCTCTGGTGACTCACGATCCGCAACTGCCAAAGGATCCACCTTCCGTCAATCAGTCGACCACCGAGCCCCTTTTCAGTCTTCGTCTTTTCAACTCACACGAAGACTCTACCTGTACTGCAGGTATCATACGTTCCTCGGACGAGACCTGCATTGAGACCTATTTGGGAGTTCCATACCTTGGGGCTAGCTGGCATCGAGTATCCCTGCTTTTCCATCTGGATTAGAAAGGTACTCTACCGGATTCCTCATCAAGCTCAATTCGCCTCACTGCAATCACTTCTACCTGGCTGGCCACCCATGACTCAATAATTCTCACTATTTTCAAACTCTTGAGTCACGGCCGCTCTCGCCCTTGAACCCGGTGTTCATAGGATTCTGTGTTTCCTTTCTTCTCCTATACATCTTCGACTTTTTCAATTACGATATTACGCAGCGCTTTCCTCTCGACTCCCGTTCCACCATCTTCATCTTCACTCTCGGTATCAGGCCGACTCTCAACTTGTTCAAACTCCTTGATACCTCGCGTGTCGTCCATCCTTTGTCCGGGCCCTCCCCAGTTTAACCACGAAAACGACATACAAATGAGCACATAACGGTCTTTACACATTTCCTTAGCGTCACCAACCCCCTCGGGTACATTCAGCGCCTCCGGGCCTCATTCTCTCCTCTTTTTCATCTGTCGATTTACCTGCCTTTCATCAGTACATTTTTTATATCACATTTCGAGCCGACATCACCTCTCCGCCTCGTTTATTCTCTTCATCCTCATTACCTCGCCTGATACTTCTCTTCCTTGTTTAATCTTCATCAGCCCGGTTGCTTCCATTTGTCTTGACACACCTCGACGCGTTCTTGACACATGCTTGTGTGATTTGAGCGGTTCATAGATTTGTCTTATTTCTTTGTCGGAACATTATTTCTCCCGACTCTTCTCAACCTCTTTCTCGCCTCTTTGCATCTGCTCTTCTTGAGATTAACCACAGAGCCAACATGTCGACCATGGAAAGCTTGACAAATGATTTCGTGGAGGGGCAGCTTCTGGATGGTCGTTTCCGCACCGTCGCCCCGCTCAATCATGGGTCTTTTGGCATGGTCTTCCTTGCCAATGACATCAAGACTGGCGAGGATGTCGCTATCAAGCGCCTTCTCAAGGCGTCTGCTGCGGACTCTGCCGTCTATCTTCCCGAGGATCGGTTCGAAGAACTTGAATGTCACCGTCGATTCGGCTTCCACCCGCATTTGGTGAACTTGATTCATACCTTCGACACCGATACTCATACCTATCTCGTCTTGGAGTACTGTGCCAATGGTGACCTGTACGAGGCCATTCGTCTGAACCGGGGTCCATTGGAAACCGAACATGTCCGGGATTTCTTGAACCAGCTCCTTAGCGCCGTCGAATTCATGCATGCCAATGGCTTGTACCACCGTGACATTAAGCCGGAGAATATCTTCCTGACACAGGATGGTGCCATGAAGCTCGGTGACTTTGGTCTTGCCACTCAGGAAGACTGGTGTCACGAAGCTTGCGTCGGCAGTGACCGCTATATGGCCCCCGAGCAATACGATCCCAGCACGACAGGTTACTCCCCAGCCAAGGCCGACATTTGGTCTCTGGGTATCTGTCTGTTGAACATCTTGTTTGCTCGGAATCCCTTTGTAACTCCTACCGAGTCGGATGTGCTATTTGCGGACTACGTACGCGATCGCCAGTCTCTGTTCGATATCTTCCCCAACATGTCCCAGGATACCTACGAAATCCTGACCCATGCCATGGCTATCGATCCTGAGAAGCGTTCCTTGGAAGGCGTCCGTGATGCCATCCAACGGGCTGTCTCCTTCACTACCGACGATGAGGCTCTTGATGACTTCTGCACTGAGGATCGTGAGGTGGTCGCAGCCAGCGCCAACCGCGAGCCTCTCCGCACTCCATCTATCCAGAGCCCCTACGTCACCCAGGGAGATTCCTTCCCTTGGGCCAAGGCCCTCCAGACCAGTCCTCCTCAGGCCATTCGCCAGCTGTCTGCCATCCCGGACAACGAGAGCTACACCGAGGATCTTTTCCCCCCATCCGAAGTTGCGGGAACCTCCTGGTTCTCGGTCAATGCCGACACTCCATCCATGGCTTCCGTCTTGGACTCTCACCTCAGCGAATCCTTCCGCTCGCTCAACCTTCGCAAGCGCCAGGTCCCCTTCCTCCCTCGCTCAGACCCGGTTCCTATCACCGGATCTCTGCCTTCTCATGCCACCAAGCCTCTGCCGTCTTTGTCCATGGTCTTTGGTAAGAACAAGGGCTCAGAACAGATCTCTAAGAGCTGGTGTGACATGTGGGAGGAGGATGAATCTGAAAGTGAAGACCTCGCTATGTTGCAACGTCGGGAGCAGAACTCTCGCAGCTGGAGCCAAGAGAGCAAGGAAGCTGTCCTCCCGGGATTGCGCGAGCAGGACTCCGCTTCCCTTACTCAACGTTCTCCAGCCCCTGAATCCGGCTTGACGAAGGAACTTCGTGGCATGCGTGAAGACTCTCTGGATCTAGACAGCGATTCAAGTACATCCAGCAGCACTCCGCGCCCCATGCACAGTTCCCCCGCCCCAGTTGACAAGTGGTCTCGTCTCGGTGATGTTCGTCGCAACTACAAGCCTGATCAGCGTCGCAATATCAAGTCTCGTGAGGTCTTCGGTCCCAAGAGAGCCACTCCCTCTCAAACCCGTCGACACGATTGGGGCCACGGATCTTCCGGTTACCGCCATGGACCTCAGACCAAGCGCGAATCCTCTTCTGATGCTCGTCGCCGGCAGCTGTTAGAAAAAGACTGGCGCCGCAATGGACCTAAGCCCCATCACACCAATGCATACGACGGTACGGTCGACGACGATCTCGACCTCGTTGGTGGATGGCTCGAGACTGACTTCTAAGCTCGTCCACCTCCGCTGTTTTTCTCTTCCATCTTTATCCTGTTCCCTGCTCTTGTTTCGTCCCATTGCGTGTTTCGATTCAGTTGGAAAAAAAAGTTCAAAAATTCTCAACGATAAACTGATGTTCCAATTTGTTGTCTCGTGTCTCTTTGTTTTCGGATTGAGTGTTCATTGTCTCCGCCTTTCAACAACAATGCAGTGCCTGCATAGCCTGCTTGCTCTCTCCGGTCACCCATCTGTTCTTTTTCTTTTCTGTATAATATCAGACCGAGGGTGCAGACTGGCGGAGCGCATTGAACATAAGAAATCAGCAAAAAGGTTAGAAGGCTGGGTCGGAATGCCATGGTGGATGTTCTTTTTTTTCATGGGAAGGTTTCTTTCGCATTTGGACAAAACGAAGTCGCGGATTACAGGGAAGCATGGGACGAGTTGCAGCGAAGGTCAACTGCGTAGCAGCATGATTTGGTTGAAACAGCGGCCGTTTTTCTCTTCATTAATAGTACTGAGCCCCAGGCGCATCCTGTAACTAGTTATTATTTTGGGACAGTCAAAAGGGGAAATTGATCACATCCGCTAAGAAACAAACACTTTTACCTCATCTATAGTAAATCGTAGTTTCATCCGATATAAAGCCTTCTTGGCATAGCTGTCACTAAGTAAACTCCATTCTTCTACACGCGGGAAAGGCGGTCAGAGCGCTCAACGGTTGAGATGCCTGTCCACTCCTTGTTCTCCAACCCCTCAGATACCGCTCCTTGTCGCCAATTTCAGTTCTTTCACCGTTGCGACAAATTTCAGTCCATCACGCCATCCTATACGTTGAAATAGATCCCCCGAGGACCGCCCTAGCGCCGCTTCCTCCCTCTCCCAGCCACCACAATGTGCTTAGCATGCAGGACAACTCAATAGCTTGAACCACACCGAACAGCCTTTCTGTCGATAGTCGTGATCGTCGCAGCTAGACTGTGGCGTCTCGCGCCCGACAAAGAAAAGAGAAAAGCTATATCTGCGCGTTTGCCTCGCTAACATCCTTATCAGCACACACTTCAACCGACAGCATGGTGACCGCGGGCCGGTCTTGGGTGTCCATGATATACTGCGTCTCGCTTTTGCTTACGCTTTGCCATGATGTGCTTGGGAATACCACTGTCCAGTCTTATACGAACACCGCCACTGCCCCGATACCGGTGACGACGTGTCCGGCGCAGAGTTCCTGGGATATGGAGGCGCAGTTGTTCCTCTTACCACCATGTCTGGAGACACGCTGGGGACCAGGTCGGGATTTGTTTGGTGATGCCACGTCCCCCGAGCCCAGTGCTTTTGACTCGGAATCTGCTGCCGCGTCGAGTGAGATACCACAAGGGACTGGGACTGCTAGCACAATGCCCGATCGGAACTTGGAGCAGGAACAGGAACATGATACAGATTCTTTATTGGATAGTGCCAGCTTCCTCTCATTCGAAGAGTGGAAGAAGCAGAATCTAGCGAAGGTCGGACAATCAGCTGAGAACATGGGCGGGAGTAGACGAGCTGTTGCTGCAGGGAAAGAGGATCGACGCCAGCCTGGAATTAATAATGCATTGGATTCCTTGGGTGACGACGCAGAGATTGAACTGGACTTTGGTGGGTTTGGCGCTGAAACGCCCGAGGCTAGTCCTACTGCGTGGGGGACGCACATCCCAGCGCGCGACGCGGGTCATGCAGATGGTGCAGATGGCCAGGCTGGGGTCGATGTCTATGCGCAGGGTGCATTGCAGAGAGGTGCGTCCCGCCGAAAGGATGCAGGCACCACTTGCAAGGAGCGATTTAATTATGCTTCTTTTGATTGTGCGGCTACGGTGCTGAAGACGAATTCTGAGAGCAAGGGTTCGTCGTCTGTTCTTATTGAGAATAAGGATAGTTATATGTTGAATGAGTGTCGTGCGCAGAATAAGTTCCTTATCTTGGAGCTGTGCGATGATATTCTTGTTGACACTGTCGTCCTTGCGAATTATGAATTCTTCAGCTCCATTTTCCACACATTCCGCGTCAGTGTCTCGGACCGGTATCCTGCTAAACCAGACCAGTGGAAGGAATTGGGTGTCTACGAAGCCCGCAATACGCGTGAAGTGCAGGCATTTGCTGTTGAGAATTCACTTATATGGGCAAGGTATCTCCGCATCGAATTCCTTACGCACTATGGACATGAGTTCTTTTGTCCGGTCAGCTTGATTCGTGTTCATGGTACTACCATGATGGAGGAGTATAAGCATGACGAGAGCTCAGACCGGGCGGAAGTCGAGGAGTTGGAATCTACTCAGGTCAATCGGCTTCCTGAATCGGAGAAGAAGCCTGCTGATATCCCGGTACCGGTTGAAGAGCCTGTTGTTCCGGCCGTCACTCCTTCTCGGGTCCAGGAAGTTTGCCCCAATACTCTCGCAGACCCAAGTGCACTTTTCGAAAGACTCCTCCATGCGGAGACGTGTGGTGTCAACAAAGGGCCGCCTGTTACTGCCCCCTCAACGCCAGCCACGGCAGCCCAGACAAAGATGCCACCGAAGCAGAATTCTACTGTCATTGCAGGGATGAACACCTCTCTGACTAATTCCGGACCATCTGCTCCTCCCAAGGCTGCAGAACATACTCGAAAGACGGGTGAGCCTGCGAAAGGCGTCGTGACGACCCCAGAAGCATCGGTTGCTTCTTCAGAAACAACTCAGCAAAACACTACGTTCGAAACAGCTGGCAAGGCCACTACAAATGCTAAAGAGGAATCAAACATTCCCCCTCCAGAATCGACCAGACCCTCAAATACCCAACCACCATCTGCAAATCCAACTACACAAGAATCTTTTTTCAAGTCCGTCCACAAGCGGCTACAAATGCTCGAGTCGAACTCCACCCTCTCCCTTCTATACATTGAAGAGCAGTCTCGCATTTTGCGGGATGCATTTAACAAAGTCGAGAAACGTCAACTCGCAAAGACATCTACCTTCCTCGAAAATCTCAATGTTACAGTTCTCAACGAACTGAAAGAGTTCCGTGAGCAGTATGACCACGTCTGGAAATCTGTCGCTCTCGAATTCGAGCACCAGCGCATGCAATATCATGGAGAAGTCCACTCAATAAGCGCCCAGCTAGGCGTTCTTGCCGATGAACTGGTCTTCCAGAAACGAGTCACCGTCATCCAGAGCATCATGGTTCTCTGCTGCTTCGCTCTCGTCCTGTTCTCCCGGGGCTCTGTCAGCAACTATATGGAATTCCCGGGCGTGCAAAGAATGGTCGCTCGGTCCTATAGCCTGCGTTCCTCGTCTCCTATTTTCGCCTCGGCCTCGCCCTCTGCAAGCCCTAGCTCTACGCGCCCGACATCTTCTTACCGTGAGAACGGAGGCCACCGCAGGAATCTCTCCGATTCATCTGAAGAGAGTGCGACCAGCCCCACGGTTGCTTATGTCCCACCGACACCGACGTCTGATTCTTCGCCGGAGCCTGAGGAAAACCACAAATTGGACCAGCCTGCTTCCCCAGAGTCGATGTCAGTGCCCACTCTTGGAATACCACATCTCCGTCCTCATAGCACCCCACCTGTCCTTAATGGACAGATGGCGGACTTGGATACCACCGACACTCAAAGTGACAATCCACGGTCTGATGAGCTGTGATTTGATTGCCTGCATTCCAGGATTTGAACATCTTGGCTGGCTCCAATCATTTCCTATTTTTCTTTTATTTCTATGTATTATGGCACCGGCCACTATACTGTTCTGATGACTCTGCATTGGGGATCCGTTGGCGTTATTTTGCATCTGTACTTCTACACTGTATGTTTGGACGAATATATGATTCCCACTTTTAGTCAAATACATTCTGCATCAGATTCTAGATTCTAGGTCAAAACTTAGACATCAATAAACATAACTCATTAAGTAGAACATAGAACAAGAACAACAGGAAACAATGTGGCGCGTCATAGCCTGTTGCCCAGCCAACAATCACCCATATTTTCTCGTGCACCAACAACACGTTTTTCCCTCTTATCCGATCGATCTGCCTGTGTTTTCTGTCTCTCTCCTCCACCCTCCTCCATAGCTACTTACTTGCTCTACCTCCAATAACTACACACACCCACACAAACACGCTCAAAATGGACACCACACAATCCCAACCCCAACCTCTGGCCGACCGCCCTACAAACACCCACCTCGCCAACACAGACAAGACAGACGTAAAGGGTGCCGATATCTCATCGATGGAGTACCACCGCCAGGTCTTGCAGGGCAAGGTAGCAGGCGAAGAGTGAGTATCCCCAGTCTACCCTGGTTCAACTCATACCGCATTGTCCCGACCGCTAGACCGCTATGATGATGCAACTGCTAACGCGACTTGTTCTAGACAACCCACCGCCTATGTCTCGCCATCAGATGATATCATGAGTCCCTGCACGAAGAAGCTGAGTGATATCAAGGGAAAGCGCTTTAAGAAGTATGGTTATGTCCCTTTATGCTTGTCACTCGGATTACCGAGAACTGCCTCGGCGCGTGGAGACCCTATTTTTGTCCAGCTGCTAACATGTCTTTCTTCCCCTCAGTGCCGGCAAGCCCCAGTCTCTCTTTGCTAAGCTTGGCAAGAAGAGTTACGAGCAGTCGGCTGAACAGGGCCGAACTGCCAATGCCGAATAATTGGAGTTGGTGATGGCCTGGCCTGCCTTCTTTTCTTTCGGGCTTGGGTCTATTGATTATTCATCTTTATTCTTACGCTCATTCTGAGTGGTTGATGTCTCGGGTTTGAGACTTTATTCGTGCCGTTCTCCTTTCTTTCCTCGGTATGTCTGGCCTAGAGCGCCGGTCGCTGGGTTTGGAGGTATTGAGGGACGACTCGGTTGAGAGTTTGGACTGGATAGAGTCTTGAGTTGGGCCTGTCTAGTGCTTCAGGATACTTTTTCTTCTCTTGTTCTTGTTCTTTTCTCCTTTGTGATGACCCGCAATGCCTTTTTCTTTGTGTTTTTCTTGTGTATCAACGGGTGTTGGGATTGGGGTGTAATTGGGAGGGAGCTTTGGAGCTCATTGGATCAATGCAACCTTGGAACCTTTGGCTTGATTTGTTATGTGTAGTTTGACTTAGGTTGTAACCATTGTAGCTCGTATTGGACCTCGGGGATCTGGCCGAGGTTGAGGGTCGGTTATAGTATGGACCCTGGACAAGGGGATCAGGGAAGAAAGGGACAAGGAGAGAATATGAGAGCAAATTACGAGATCTTGTACTCTGAATCATACGATATACTCTATGACATACCTCTGTTCCCTGCCAGTTGTTCTGGCAAGGGAATGTAGCTATACATCCTGGGCCGAGGCAAAACCCGCCACTCTCGGCTTCTCCACACATCTTAGCTCTTTCTCCGCAATCATGGCCTGACCTCTTCTCTTTATATTCAGCTAGGCCACTCCTTTTTCTCCCACATCATCAATCATGTCTGCCTCAACTCGCATCCCTCCTATCGCCCAGCCGTTCGTCAGCGACAAGGCCAAGCGCACCCTCGACCTGGTACGTACTCTATACCCATCCCCGGCCTGAACCCGCCGAGCCGCCCGGTCTATTTTTCCTCACTCGGACTCTGTATACTGACAATTCATCTTCATTGCAGGTTGAGGAGTTTGTTGAGAAGGACTGTATCCCCGCTGATGCTGTCTTTACCGCCCAGCTTGGCGAGGGCGAGCAGCGATGGAACACTACCCCCGCTATTATGGAGACCTTGAAGGAGAAGGCTAAGAAGATTGGCTTGTGGAATATGTTCCTGCCTAAGAACCACTTTTCTCAGGGGGCTGGTTTCTCTAATTTGGAGTATGGCTTGATGGCTGAGTTGCTCGGCAAGAGCAAGATTGCTTCCGAGGTGGGTAGCTCTGTTCTATCACTTTGGTCGATTATGACTGACACTTGAATTGATAGGCTACCAACAATGCTGCCCCCGATACTGGCAACATGGAGGTGTTTGCCAAGTACGGTAACGACGCACAGAAGAAGCAGTGGCTTGAGCCTCTGCTGCAGGGCAAGATCCGCTCTGCTTTCCTGATGACCGAGCCCGACGTCGCATCCAGCGATGCCACCAACATCGAGTTGAACATCCGCCGCGAAGGCAACGAATATGTCCTCAACGGCTCAGTATGTCCCCTCGACCCCCAGGCAGCATCTATTGTCAGGGTCTAACAAATATCCATAGAAATGGTGGTCCTCAGGCGCCGGTGACCCCCGCTGCGCCATCTACCTAGTAATGGGCAAGACAGATCCCACCAACCGCGACACCTACAAGCAGCAATCCGTCGTCCTTGTGCCAGCCGGTCTGCCCGGTATCACCGTACACCGCATGCTCCACGTCTACGGCTACGACGACGCCCCTCACGGCCACGGCCACATCACATTCAAGGATGTGCGCGTCCCCGTATCAAACATGGTCCTCGGCGAAGGCCGCGGCTTCGAAATCATCCAAGGCCGCCTCGGACCCGGCCGTATCCACCACGCCATGCGCGCAATCGGCGCAGCCGAGCGTGCCCTCGAATGGCTTATTGCCCGCGTCAACGATGAGCGCAAGATGACATTCGGCAAGCCTCTCGTCGCACACGGCGTCATCCTTGAATGGATTGCCAAGTCCCGTATCGAAGTCGATGCTGCTAGACTTATTGTCCTCAACGCAGCTATCAAGATTGACCAGGGTGATGCCAAGGGTGCACTAAAGGAAATCGCACAGGCCAAGGTTCTCGTGCCGCAGACTGCGCTGGCTATCATTGATCGTGCTGTGCAGGCTTATGGTGCTGCTGGTGTCTGCCAGGATACCCCGCTGGCTTATATGTGGGCTGGTATTCGGACGCTGCGCATCGCTGATGGTCCTGATGAGGTTCACTTGCAGCAGCTTGGTAAGCGTGAGAATAAGTCGCGTAAGGATGCTGTTACTGCTAAGTTGAACTGGCAGCGTGATGAGGCTGATCGCTTGCTTATTGCTTCTGGGTTTAAGGCTAAGAGTCGTCTGTGAGCGTGAGCTTAGTTATGTTTAGTCTACTATATCCTGCCTGCTTGACTAAATTGAAATAAATAAACTTGTCCATTTCGGGATTCAGATCATCTTTTCTATTCAACTGGTAGTGGGAATACGAAGTGGTTAATTATGAATAGTATGAATTGTTGTTTAACACACCTGATCATGCATGCTAGTAGATACAGAGCTGCACTTGATCATGAGGTTGTCCAGTCCATCTCCCTTGGATTCCAGTGGTATATTCAAAGGGAAGGGGCTCTTACACGGGGTTTTTTCCGTGTCTCTGTTTCTTTGCCGTCTGCGAGTCCTTTTGTGTTTGGCGGCGTTGTAGCGTCTTCGTTGATGGACTGCTTTTGCCATCGTACATCCAATTCCATGGTCGGGAACGTGTGTGCTATAGGAGGAACAGGGAATTGCCTGCAGTGACATATCCACTGTGCTGCGTATTTGGAATCTTCGAAGCAGAGGCACTTCTCCTTGTTGCTGGGTCACCTCTTCTCTGTGCTCGGCCTGTCTCCTCGCCTTGTTAGCCCGTCTGTTCCTTCCGTCGCCTCCGTGCCATCAGATACTTCGTTTGGATCTTCAGCCTCGTCGCCGTCGGATGAAGATGATGGGCACCCGGACTGTTAACAGTCAATGTCACTGACTATCAATCATCGTGGGCGTGCATGCCGTAGGATAGACAGCTGTGCCTCAGAGGCCCGGGTGTGCCGGCAGGGACCTGTTCATCGTGCTTTTGAGTCGCAACCTCTCGAGCTGACCAAGACTGCCCACCGCTTGTTGCTGATTTTTGGCATTGAAGCTTGTTCGGCTTCAATTGCGTATGGCTGATGCGGAGCATCTAGCCCTATAGGCTGTGGGTTAGGGTTGTTCCCAGTCAGGTCGATGATAACTGCGTCGTCAAGGAGGGCCATCTCTGAACCTGGAATTTCTATTTCCGAGTCGTCAGAGCCACAGGCATCGCCATCGCCCTCGGAGGTATGATCAGACTCTTCGTCCTCATTATTCATAGATGACGAGGACTAGTCAGGGAGGCCCAGGGGAGGGGGACAGAGGCAGCAGAATTATTCACGTCATCAGGGACGCTGCCACTCGCAAAAGAACTTGTCCTTGAGTGTGTCGGACAGACGCTTTGTTACTCCATAGTGGTAAACATCCTTACTACCTTTGTTGATTTACACTCGGGCCCTCTGTTACTACGTCTTAAAAGACGTAGTAAGAAAGCATAGTAACAGAAATAAGCATTAGGACTAACTATTAAACTCAGCCTTATTGCAATTCACTACGTTATCCTCTACAGGGCTGCTGAGCTAGTCAGTGGGTTTGTTGGTATTTTCTTTGTTGCTGCAGACCTGTCTGCATGATCAGACTGCCGTTGAGCCATCCCCATTACAATAGATACTGTTATATACTACATCGCCGTTGTTTATACACGCCCAGGAAAAGTATCACTGCCAAAACGAGACCAGACGCAAAGTAATGAACCTTTTTTTTGTACAAACAAAATATGAAATATGAATAGCGTGGCCGTCAATGAGGTGGCCGATCACCAAAGGGAGAGTGAGTATCTCGCCCAGATACCGAAGATTTAGCACTAGCAGCCGAGGCATACACCATGCCATTCTTCATCTCCAAACTGTCGGTGGGACTGAGCGCACGAGTATGGTTCTCAGAAGTGATATCGTAACCATGGCCCATTTTATCATGGTGTGCAAGGCGCGACTCAGTCCAACTCTCCATCTCAACGGTGCGCATGATTTCAAACCGATCGCTGTCGTATCCAGGCTGACGAGAATCATTGGCAAGGAAACGTGAGTTTCGTGAGCGGCCGGTTGACGACCACAATTTTTGAGAACGAGATCTTTGGTTGTAGGAAGAGCCGATGTTACGGGTCGACTGTAGGAGCCGGGGGAGGAAGGCTGCAATGAGAGGACGAAGGGCTGGTGCCGAGGAGCAGATCTGATATCATGAAAATTAGTATACTGGTCTGAAAAGAATCATATCCGTGATTACTTACCAGTCCCAGACTGATCTCCACGGTTGCGGCTATTAGCACTGGCCATCCAAGCCAGGTTGCGTCGTAGCCGACTACCATACTCTTCCAAACATACACAGTGCGGACGGAGCCTGCTACATTGACCACAACACCGAGACCAAAGATGGAGATGACGGCGAGACGTTGGCGGGCTGGGAGCTTTAGACTCCAGATCAATGGCATGGGCAGAGCTGTGACCAGGAAATCGGTGAAGATGTTGATCACACTCGCGGAGAAAACAATGGCACCATCGTTCATGCAGTGATATGACTCTGTAGGGTTAAGTTGCCAATATGCCCGAATAGGACTGGGCGAAACGTTAGCACGGCCCTGATAATGTGGAAGCAGTATACTTACGTGCACTGGAAAATGCTGATAATAGTGAATAGACCCCCAGAAAGTCCAACAAAAACCATTGCCCCAATAAAAGTCCATTGGTACAGCACGAAATTGCCTTTTCCCAGGAGTCGCCGACAGAACCACAGCAGGGAGATCTTGGTAATACTGGACGCCATGGAGAACATAATTTGGAAGCAAAGATTCAACTTCTGTACGGTGGGTAATTGCAAAGGCGAGATATCCCAGATATGACGGTTCATGCCATATTGTTCTGTGGCAATCGATGTGATAACAACCATCGCAATGGCAAACATCAATCCAGCGACGATCAGAATATCGTCAATACCGGTGCTGTATGTGATCCCAACCCGAGTATATAGACGGAGCATGACCACAATAAAGGCGAAGGACATGCACGCAATGTTCACGATGACTACGCCATGTCCGCGAGTTGGAGGATCAATATAATTTGGTGTCGGCCATTCAGCCATGACGGCAGCTGGCGGGAGCTTCATGATGTTTGCGGATTTGGGGGTATACGATAGATGCGCGAGAGAATATAAAGACCGGAGGGTGTATGGGTATCAAGAGTGAGGAGGATTATAGTATGTAAGCAATGGTCAGAGCCATGACCCAAGAAAAGAAGTAGAGATAGTCGTGAACATGAAGGAAGAAGAGTGCCAGCTCATGCAGCCATCGTGAATCGTGAAAAGGGAGGAACTGAATGACCACACCCGGTCAGGGATCTGGGGCAGATATAATACGTGCAGGGATGACAAGCCGAGACCTTGGATCCATAAATCTATGGGAAAAAAATAACCCCATATGATCTATATTGAGGCGAGAGAAAGGCATGAATAGACTTTCGGTGCCATCTAGTCCTGGGCAAGTATAAGAGCAAATTACACTCTTCCAAAGGCAGTGAACCTTGGACGCTACAGTCTCAATCCACACAATTGTTCCACGCGAGATCGAAAAGAGTAGCAAAACCGAGGCCCAGTGCGGGTGGGAAGCGATGGACGGACGGCGATAGGTAGATCCAGAGCCCCATAGTTCCCCTCTGGATCCACTACGACTCTGGATCTGTGATTTGAAGCCCGTGAGAAGCGTCTGAGAGGCGTCTGAGACTTCTTGGTTCACTTCAGGGACAGTAGACCGTCAAATCAGTGTTGAACATTTGTGTGTTGTGAAACTTAAAAAGAAGCGAGCCTCGTATATACTACAAACCCCTGCAGAAAGGAGATTTTACATGCCGCAATGCAGCCGAGGCTTACCACGCCACCATGTTAGGGTTTCATTGTTCCCAATCATCTAGCTCAGCAATACTCCGTAATGCCCTCCCTCATTCTTCGAATTCTAAGCGAAACCCTCATGCGGGGTTGAGAGGCTTCGTAATCGCAGTTATCCCGTTCTCCACCCTATATTTGCCGCCATACTGTCCACGGCTCTGTACAAATTGCCCGGTTGAAGTTGCCCCTCCTACAAGTACATATGATGCATTTAATATAATATACTATAACGCCCCTGCCACATGCAAAAAGTCGCGTGCTCACGAAACTGAAGCATATGTAAATCTCGGTCTCGGGCTCAGAAACAAACCCGACAATTTTCCGCCCACTCATTTTAATCCCTTTCGCCCCCCAAAATCTTGAGACTTTTCCTTCCACATGTGGCCCACTTCGGGTACGGTACTTGCTTCGCGCAGCTAAGCCTTACAATATGATCAAATCCCCACTCTCTTTGCCCTCTGTCATACTATGCGGTCCGCGGAAACCCTCGAATGTTTCAAATGGGCAAATAACACACTGTTTGAAACTACTAAACTATTAGCCAATCCAATAGTCTCAGCTTCCTGAACGAGAATGGATATTGCCCTCAGAATAGACCGACCTCCCGCACAAGAGTTTCTTCAAGACTGATCACCCTCAATCTGACCCACTCTGCCGGTCAATTGTGCTAACCGGTGGGACCCGGCCGAGTCGGATTTTGATCAACTCGACGATAGCTCGAATTTCGGCATGGAACATTGTACCCAAATGGACTGACTGATCTGCATCGGCTCGCAAATTCCTGCTATAGTCCTCTAACTTTGATCCTGCATACAAACCCGAGAAATTGGATAGATCTACCGCCATGCGTACGTAGATCCGGACTTACCCAAAATTGAGACCACATCATGAAGCAGGAGCATGAAACTGGTCATGTCGCAGTAAGGGAACTTCATACCGGTCGGATGGAATTAGCTTTGGAATCGTTGTCGATCGGGATCTCCAATAATTCCCGGAGAAGATGCCCTAGTAAGCTTCTATGTTTATTTCTTTCACCGATATCGTGTAGTCCGGCCCGACTCATTCTAAATTAGCCCCCCTCCCCTGAATCATGCAAAAATTAGCAAGTCTGTTGTTTTTAATGGTCAGATGAACCCAGGAAAAAGTCCGAAACTAGTCAGGCAAGTCCTCAAATTTAAGATCGTTGATCCCGTGACAGAAACCACATCCATGGTTACTTGGAAGCTTCCTGTGCACAAATATAACCTTAAAGGAACCGAAGACATCTGCCTGCGCGAATGAACTTACTTGAGAATCGATTGTACGTACCGAAGGGCTTTGAAGCTGGATCCTTGCACCCGTAGGGTTGATTTGAGGCACCGCCCCAAAGAAAGCTTACAGATGCACCTAAATCTCGCCCCATCTTTGAAAACACCCGTTTTCTGTCAATTCATTCTCAAATTTGAGATATGCAGAGTAGAACTGGCTTATTAGGACTTGCTCTACTTCATATGTAAGCCTGACACCGGAAAACGAATCCTGAATCGGATCACATGCTTGAATAAGTTCTCAATATTGGCTGGCATCCAACACCGATGACATCAACTCACAAAGCATACCATCGGAGGAGATACTTGCGCCAGGGGCTAGACCAGCGCTTACTGGCCTGGTTCTTCAGTCGCGTCTCTTTTTTGGCCGCGAGGAAGATGGCCGACTTAAACATGGTCCATGTAAATATGGATGGTTCCAAAATCTTTCAGTCAGCACCTATTGAGAATGATGGCATCATACTTAAGGTCTAGCTCTATCATTTGCTTGTATATGTCACGCCAAGGACTTCCCAAAGAGATATGAGGACTGAGAGGTATATTTCAATGACCCCGAAAGCACTTCAGTGTCCTCAGGAAAAAATGCAGGAGGAAAAATCCTAGGAACCTTCTTCTGACCAAAACTCGATATTCGGCTGTTAATTCTTCCTAAATGTCGTTTCGCGTGTTGTGAGTCAGATCCGTTGCGCGTGGGAATATTTTTCCTGTGGCGTTTTATGCTCAATACAAGTATTTGATGAGGAGTATATAGAAAGAGCAGAAGATATAGGAAGCAATAGGAGCTCCCAGACCACATGCGTGTAATGCAATCTATTTCAATATTGCATCTCGATATCCTCATCTGATAACTAGAGGGGGCCCGGGCCGCAGTTACCCCCACGCTAGTCCGGAAAGGGCAAGAACATCCGACACAGCTGATACTCCAACTTTGGAACTCTCACCCCTTCCTCATCAACCCCTTCTTCCTATTTGAACAGCGCTCATTATGACTGACCATAAGATTCCGCTGGAGAGCCTGCCCAACCTAGATGAAATTGAAGATATCGCAACCAGAAACGTGAGCAAAAAGGCTTGGGCATATTATTACTCCGCATCCGACGACAAGATCAGCAAGCGCCTCAACTCCGAGGTCTTCCGCTCTATACAATTGAGACCAAGAACCTTCATAGATTGCACAGAATGCAATCTGAGTACTGAGCTGCTAGGCAACAATGTGTCTATCCCGATTTATATATCCCCGGCAGCCATGGCCCGCCTGGGGCATCCCTCAGGCGAGGCTGGTATCGCAGAAGCCTGCCGCAGCTATGGTGCGATGCAAATAATTTCGAACAATGCTTCTATGACCCCGGAGCAGATTGTTGCAAATGCGGCCCCGGACCAAGTATTTGGGTGGCAGCTGTATGTGCAAGACGACCGAAGCAAGAGTGAACGGATGCTAGCTCGAATCAATAATCTGAGTGCGATCAAGTTTATTGCGCTGACGCTTGATTCTCCTGTTACTGGGAAAAGGGAAGACGATGAGCGCAGTGGCAATATTCTCAACACTATGGTGGAATCGAGCTCGACGGAAGCTGTGTACCAAGAAGTTGATGAGAATGATTCTTCTATGCCTGCTAAACCAACAGAGGATCAAACTTTTACCGGCCTAGATCCTTCTCTCACATGGAAAGAGACTTTGTCATGGTTGGAGAGGCACACGACATTGCCGGTGGTTCTCAAGGGCGTGCAAACCCACGAAGACGCTTACATTGCCGCCTCATACGCGCCTCAAGTAAAAGGAATAATTCTCTCAAACCACGGTGGTCGATCTCTTGATACTGCTCCTCCCGCTGTTCACACCCTACTTGAGATTCGAGAGTACTGTCCTGGAGTTTTTGACAATATCGATGTTTGGGTTGACGGCGGTATCAAGAGGGGAACGGATGTCGTTAAAGCGATTTGCTTAGGCGCAAGAGGAGTTGGTATTGGAAGAGCTGCCCTTTGGGGCTTAGGAGCCGGAGGCGTGGAAGGTGTAAAGAGGACGCTACAGAGTATGAAACTACTAGAAAGTTTTCGAAGAGACGTCTGAGTTAACTAATTTCCTCGTCCAGTTCTCACGGATGAAACCAAGACGTGCATGCGCCTTCTTGGTGTACAAAATGTCAATGAGCTTGGAAGGCAACATGTAAGCTTGCACATCGCCCTGCAACTAACCCCCCGGCATTCTTCAAGATCAGAGATCTAACAAACATTCTTAGATCAATGCTCGGCTGGTGAAGCAACAGATTTATAATGGGCCATCGGGCCTCGAGGCCTGCCAGACCAAGCTCCGATCAAAGCTTTAAACACGGCGATTATAGATGTTGATGTGAATAGAAAAGCATGCAAAACACTTGAACTTAGGCTGGCTGTATATTACGAAAGAAATAGAAGATGGAGTCCACACCATATGCTGTCTCTAGATGAGCATTGCAATTCTTACACGTACCAGCATGTCTGCACCTACCAGATCATATTCTTTCCTCTGCTTTGAACATTCAGTTGGCTTAAACCAGCTGAAAAGATCCATAAGATATTGCTTGCGACCTTGAAGCTAGCCGAAGTGCATGACTAGACCATGCCAAGCGATCCATCCTTTACACACCCACATAGCTAGAACCCCAAAGAGTCAGACATTGTCTACAACAAGGATAGGTGATCTCGGGTAACCGGCACAGTACCGATGAAGTCCAAGTGAATATGAGCATGTGATTGGACTGTTGCGATAAAGTAGTGGGGTCGGAGTAGACAACCATGGAACGAATGCGGGGATCCAAACGGTTGAAGGTTAGATCGTAATGGCGGCAATGCATAAAAGATCGAAATTGAGGTGCAAGTATGATGCGCTTATGCTCAGGTTTCGTGGGATTATTTCAATAGAGGTCTTATGCTGAACATGGCTTTAAAAAGAGCGCGTGGAACACACCATCCTGAATCATGCTCTGGTGAACGACCAACACCTTTCCCTGTATTGTTCGATAACCTGAAAGAGTAACTTCTTGAATTGATTTTTGTTTTCCTGCTCGCGCTGGCAGTTTTAATAGCTGGATCTGCTAGAATAATCGAAACGATGGGGTCCACCATGACTGAGACGCCATCCGAGAAAAGCATTGCAGATTCCAAGGAAGAAAATCAGCCGACAGAAGTAATTGGTACTGAATATAACAAAAATGACCTTGAGACAGCTCTTCCGCCCCAAAACCGATATCCGGAAACAGATCTGAGCCGAGGCATCGTGGGCTGGGATGGGCAAGATGACCCCGACAACCCCCAGAATTTTGCGGCTTCACGAAAATGGGGCCTACTGGGGTTGACAAGCGCTATCACCTTTGTGTCTCCGCTTGCGTCAAGCATGTTCTCGCCATCTGTGAGCTATGTCGCAATTGATCTAGGTGTGACGAATAAGACACTGCTCTCATTCAGCATCAGCATTTATATTTTAGGCTATGCAGTGAGTCTTACAACTAGCATTCAAGAAACAGAGACTAATCTCGACCCATGTAACAGTTCGGTCCATTGGCACTAGCACCCTTGAGCGAGGTTTACGGGCGCCGAATCATACTCAGCTGTGGAAATTGGTGGTTTGTTGTCTGGCAAATCGGATGTGCACTCGCACCAAACTTGACCTGTTTGATCATCTTCCGGTTCTTCGCTGGCATCGGTGGGTCAGCATGCCTTACACTTGGAGCAGGTGTCATTGCAGACCTTTTCCCCATCGAACAACGAGGCTTAGCGACTGCTATTTGGAGCTCTGGTCCAATGATCGGGCCGGTAGTGGGTCCCATCGCAGGGGGCTTTATTGGTGAGACAATTGGCTGGCGATGGGTCTTTTGGGTGCTGTTGATGATCTCTGCCGTTGTATCGACAGGAATTGAGGTTTTGAATCGAGAGACATATGCTTCTGTTCTGATCCGATGGAAGACTGTGCGCCTTGCCAAGGAGTTAGGCCGTCCCGATCTCCGAAGTGCTTATGCACCGGATGGAGAGCATGTTTCAGTTATGACCGAGCTCAGGCACGGGTTGACGCGACCAGTTCTCTTGTTCTGCAAGTCACCCATCGTGTTCCTGCTCTCCACTTACATGGCTCTCGCATATGGCCTTCTTTACCTGTTCTTCACCACGATCCCGACCGTATTCAGGGATCAGTATGGTTTCTCCACCGGCCTGTCAGGGTTGGCATTTGTGGGGATAGGGGTTGGGTTTTTTCTGGGGATGGGTCTGGTCGCATCCACCAACGACCGGCTCGTTGTCAAACTGACCCAGCAGAACGGCGGCCAATTCCAACCGGAGATGCGGCTACCGATGATGATATTCTTTGCTTGTTTCTTACCTATTAGTTTCTTCTGGTATGGCTGGACTGCAGAAAACCAGGCCCATTGGATCGTCCCGATCATTGGAACGGTGCCATTTAGTTTCGGCATGATGGGCATCTACTTGCCCATTCAGACGTATGTCATTGATTGCTACCCTGGCTATGCGGCGTCAGCCAACGCCACCCTTACTGCCAGCCGGTCATTGGTGGGCGCACTGCTCCCTCTTGCGGGGCCACAAATGTTCCAAAGTTTAGGGCTTGGATGGGGGAATTCGCTGTTGGGCTTCGTGGCTGTGGCCTTTATTCCGGTGCCAATAGTATTCTCGCGGTATGGACAGGCCATTCGGGAAAGATTCCCCGTGGAGCTTAGATAGAAAAAGAACACGGAGAATAAGTTATAAAAAACGACTTCCCCTGGGCTAAAATTAAACGTGCGGACGTGTCCGCCGACTCCACTATTGGCGTGTTGGTCTAGATCCCGATGAAACGCCCCTGGCAAGCCCGCGTTTCACTTTTCTCCCTTTTCTTCTTCAGTTGCGATATTTCCTCTCGTTTCAGCATTTGTCTTTTGTCTATACTTTACTTTCGCTTTCTTCATTTCCTTGCTGTTGTCTTCAATCATACATTCGTTAACCATATCGGCCCGGCTCCGAACCCTTTGACCTTCACTTTTAGATACTTTATTCTTGTCAATTTTTCTACCAACTGATATTCCAATTACCTACCATGACCGACGGTCATAGTGCTCCCGTGGCCGATGCCCCTGCAGCAGCAGCAGTGGCCGACAACACCGCCGCACCCGTACCAGCCGACGTACGCTCCCATGCTGCTTACCACCATGACACGGCCCCATCGCATGAGAAAGAGCAGGGCTCCTCAGTGGGCCGTCTGACTCCACGACCAACGTTCCTGGAGAACTTGGCCAACTCGCGAGACACGCAATTCCAGCTCGACCGACGTGATTCTAGTGAATTGGATCGATATTTCGTACGTTTGTAACGCGGATGTTCCGTAGCTTTAAAGCGCAGCCTGGTACAATAAACTGACAGATCCTTTGTGGTTATAGCATGGCCCCCGCAATATGGAGAAACACTCGAAATGGCCAATCTTCATGCGAATGCATGGCAGTGTCATGCCAAAGATGATACTGCCACTGCTGTTTGTTGCTGCTTGGTCGACGTTGATCACCTTGATCTCGAAGAAAGTTCACTCTCGTAAGGATATCTAGGATATTTGGTGTAAGAGAGAAATTCGCTAACCGCTTGAAAAGTCGGTATTAACAATATCCTGCTCACCGTGCTAGGTTTCGTGGTGGGTTTGGCTTTGTCTTTCCGCAGTTCGACTGCATATGAGAGGTATGAAATCTCTATTGTGGAATGGGTGGCATAAGTCATTGACTAATCTCCCATATCAGATGGGCCGATGGACGCAAGTACTGGTCTCAGCTCATTCAGACATCTCGCAATCTTTCACGAACGATTTGGATCAACACCGGCGAAAGGGAAGGCGAAGAGGGAAAAGAAGACCTCTTGAGAAAACTGTATGATGACCTCCATCCGTAATGCATGCCTGAATATCTTGTGCTAACAACTCTTGAACAGCTCCGCCATGAACCTCATTCTGGCCTTTGCCGTCGCCCTGAAGCACAAGCTTCGATTCGAGCCCGATATTGCCTACGAAGATCTGGCTGGTCTTGCTGGACACTTGGACACATTCGCCCGTGATGCCCATGACCGCAGGGTTGTCAACCCCCCAGTTAAGTCTATGTGGAAGTCGGCAGGTGAGTATCTTGGTGTGTCTTTTGCCGAATCGAATCCTCGCAAGTTGGTCAAGAGGTCCAAGAAGCCCGTGGGGCATCTTCCCTTGGAGATTCTCAACCATCTGTCCGCATATATCGACTCATGTGTTGCCAATGGTACCCTGGTATCAGCTTTGCACCAGGGCCAAGCCAGTAAGTACCCATAGCCCTTGTTCGTTGAGCCAACTCATGTCTAACATAACTGCAGTCACCATGATGGCCACCTTGAACGAGGTTTTGACTGGCACAGAACGTGTTCTGGACACCCCTCTGCCAACAGCGTATTGCATTGCTATCTCTCAGATCGCATGGATCTATATCCTGGTCCTTCCATTCCAGCTATACACTGCTTTGGAGTATATCACTATCCCCGCTTCAATTGGTAAGTCCAGTCTTTTTATCGAAAATCAAAAGAGAAAAGAAGTAGCCAACTCTGACACCGTCTTAAGTGGCCGCTTACATTATCCTCGGCTTGGCTACAATCGGAAGCGAAATCGAGAATCCCTTTGGTCAAGATGTGAACGATCTTCCCTTGGAGACGTATTGTCGTCAAATTGCGGTGGAAATCGATATCATTACTGCCACGCCGCGACCGAATGTCGATGATTTCATGGAACGTGCCGATAACCTCGTTCTCTTCCCACTTAGCCAGATGGGATACCCTGACTGGAAAGAGAGAAATGTGGAGGACATCCGCGGTGCTCTCAGGACAAAAATGGTTGTCAGCCCATCGGCTGCGGCATCGGATTCCTCTACTATTGTAGAGAATATTCGCACAAAGTCCTCTGGGTCTGTGTCTGTCTGATCCTTCTGGCAATGTTGGATGGCGCAAGCCAAAGATAAAAAGGTGTATTGTTCAAAGCTCTGAGATGATGAGCCTTGGGAGGTGAATTGCATTTGACTAAGCGGCATCAAATTGTTTTTGGAAGGTCGAGCAGCGTGTGAGTTATGGCGTTTCATCTGGGTCTTTGTCGACTGTGATCTCGACCCAGAAGAGTTCCGATTTGTTTGATATTTAAATACAGAAATTGGTATTTGCTTCGAATTGATTTCTCCTCGATTTTTGTATAAACCGCTCGATCCAAGTGGTATATTTGCCGTCCTGGAATGTGTAGAGGGAGCGACCTAGAGACAAGGCGGCGGCGAAGCTCGCGGAGGCCATAGCGGAACGGCCGAAAATACTATATGCACCAACCAGACTTTACTCGAAAGCCTAGCCTCATCGGACTGCGCTGCCCTTGTAATTGGGCGTTTTAGATCAAGCTGCGCATAGCCCGTCGGTTGGCATTGATGCGGCTGTAGTTGCATCCGTCCTGCGGGACAGGTTTGATCAAGATATGATTCGAGCAGATGCCATGATAGAAAATCTTTTTTCCCCGTGAGGCTCAATGATGGTGAGCATCACCCCAGCTCACAAAACTAGGGAACGAACAGATCCGCCCCAGACCCAGCCGTCAAGGCACCCAAAAAGTTCCCCTTGGCGCAAACCCTCCATGCGACACCCGCAGACCCCGTTGTATTGCTTCCGCCACCAATCCAAGAGCTAACCGCAGCGACAACAGTCGCGGCATCTTCGCGCGGGACACGAATCCACAGAGAGTCATGGCGGGAGGTCTTGGCAGCTTGTGTTGTAGATGTAGCGTTGGACTTCGGCGTTGAAGCGAGTCCATGCTCAATCTTCAATATGTCGACGGAGATGGCCGTCCCTGTCAGGCCGAGGAATTGCGACAGTGCGGAGGAGAGGTACGTGCGTGCGGAGAGAGGGTCAAGTGCTTGAGGTGTATTGCCGGGCTGAGGAACACTGGATTTACAGATTATGTGAGCTTTAGTGTCGTGACAAGGGGGTGATTCGAGCAGCTTACAGCTTGAGCTTCAGGTAGGTCCAGGGTGGATTGCGGGACGTGAAATGTATCGTTTTTGCCTTAGGCTCAGAGGCTTTGCGCTTCGCAGGCTCTGCGGAAAGGGCCTCCTGGTCAACCTTCATATCGTCCTGCATATTTTCTGTCATTTTGTCTAATGCTGTAGAAAGGTGCTGGCTGGCGGAGGTTGAAGTGATTGGGTTGAGCTCCGCCAGAAAAATCATGGAACTTTGCGTCACGGGATCCCCAAACAATCATTGAGCTCTCGAGAAGACGACTACACCCCTGAAGCAAACGCCATTTGATTACTCCATCAATATCGAAAAAAGCGGGCAAGAATTAACGTGTTCTAATGGCGTCAATCAATTTTTGCGTCGCTCGCTTCAAGAATGCATCTTCGCTTTCGTCTCCGAGTTCCAAGTCGACAACAGACAACGTTTTATTCTTCGACTTCGCGCCCCGGGTCACTTCGACATTTGACTTGGGAACCTTGAAGATCTAGAATGTTGTCAGAAAAGTTGCCGTATGTTGGATTGCTCAGAAAAAACCGCAAGATGTGCCTGGCAGAAGTCACCAACCTCAGCAAAAACCTGCGACACCGCCAAATTAGCTGCCCCGTCGCGTGGAACAGCAGCAACAGATACGTCGACACTGTTAGCGCCCACAGCCGTGATACCGGTGCGACGAGCGGAGGCATTGGGCTTCACGTAGCAAGGGATGTGGAGGGTGTACCTGGTGGGGGAACGCGGTTGTTTGCTTGCGACCAAGCGCAGGAGGGCCGAGGGGTAAGTCGACATGATTAGCCGTTAATTGACGTTTGTACAAATGTTTCGGAATTACGAGTGCGAGACAAAATATGGTAAGAATATTAAATTCAGCAGGGATAGCGAAGTACCTTGAGAAAGCAAAGATGACAGATGGTCATAGTTTAGCCCTAAGTCTGACGCCGGCTTGGAAACCTTAAGAAGTTCATAAGCATCATTCATCGCAATCCATCCCACCATTTCCATAGCTTGTTAGCATATTGACCTGCAGTCAAACATACTCTGCGTGGCGCTCATTCTCGCCAGCCTTGGGGGATTTTTGCGGGGGTAATGGAATTGGGACCTGAGCAATGCGGTACAGCTCAGGACAGACTGCATCTTTGCGCATGGAGACGTAGCGTTTGATCCACCAGGGGAGAACTTGAGTAAGTTGATACTTGGCATGAGTTCGGGTTGGGACGCCAAACACGAAGTCCAGCTCCTCAAGTGAACGCTGCATGGTCTCGGGCATGAAAAGGAAGATCAAAGTAAAAGCGAGAAGATTCAGGCAGGCATAAAATCCGAAAGCACCCTGCGGCGTCAGGGCTCGAAGCATGTATGGGAAGGTCAACGATAGAATTGATGCCCAGAAGTTATTGGTCGCAACGGCCCATGCCATTCCTACTTCACGGTGAGACAGGGGGAATACCTCTGCGGAATAGGTGAACGGGACAGGGCCTTCTCCCGGCGAATAAAATGCGTCAAACAGGTAGATAAAGAACGCAATCATCCCAATGTGTGCAGTGCTGCCAGTGGGAATCCAGAAACAGAACCCGGCTGCAAGAAGTGTCCAACACATCTGTGGAAATGTGAAAAGTAGCAAACCACGTCGACCGAACGTATCAATTGTCCACACAGCAGGCCAAGCAAATACAAAATTGATCAGACCGAATCCGAAAGAGGCAAGAAGTGCTTGGATGTTGGATGCACCAGCGAGCTGGAAAATCGTTGAGGAATAGAACGAGATAATGTTGACTAAAGAACGTGCAAGGATTAGTCAAGATTATTGTATAATTGAGAACGTCTCCCAGGGAATCTTTTGGACCTACTTCCACACATCTGCTGGGCAATCATGACAATACCAGAAGCCTGGACAGCGCGGCGCAAACGGGGTACCGTGAACAACTCCACAAATCGGACGATCATGTTGCTCTTCTGGGAGAAACCAGACTCAATGAGCGTATGATTCTCCATCTCCAACTGGGCATGGATCAAATAAAGATCTCTAGCTGCCTGCAAAGGTGTGTTCCGCAGTCTGAGAAGGGATTGATATGCCTTCTTGTGATTTTTTCTGGTCATCAACCAGCGTGGAGACTCGGGACAGAACCAGATTCCCAGAAGCAGAGGCACAGCAGGGATAAATGCAGAGCCCAGCTGTAGCCGCCAAGCAATCGTACCAGTATTGGCCACTATCAAATTCGCACACGTGCCGAGGAAAATACCGAAGGCCGTCCAGATTTGCCATGACATAACAAGGCCCCCACGAATGTTGGTTGGTGCATTTTCTACTATTGTCAGCACGGAGTATCTCAATAAGTTACATCAACCAAGAAGCCTTTTCATTGAAGGAAGGGATGCACAGTGTATGAGCAATTACCAGCCGAATAGACAGGCACGGTGACTTCCTTGAGTCCCATGCCAAGTCCAAGAAACACACGTGTAGCAATGAGATGGCCCCAGTGTTGAGTAAAGCCAGAGCCCAGGGGAGCTGCAAAACTGAAAATTGCAGCCAAGAAGATTGTACCGCGACGACCGAGAATATGATTGAGAGGATCAGAAAGCCAGGCAACACTATGTGAAAATAAATGGTTGAGAAGATCGTTCCCATATACTTCACAACAATACTTACAAAAGACAAATGGTGATGTATGGGGTGGCGTTGATAAAGCCCACAATCCACTGGTTACGGGTGCAAGTGGCCGGGTCAGCACACTGAGGAGAGTTGTTCGGTATGCCGAATTGGACATCAAAAGTCAAATTGGCGCCGTTGGATCCTATGCAAAGGTCCTGTTAGTCAAGTTCGATACACAAATGGATAGCCAGAACAGCACTTGCCAGTCTGATCCCAGCCTTGGATAGCAGCTGAGATCGAATTCAGGCCGATGGTGTAGTACAACGCGAATGGGTGCTTCCAGCGCCGAGTAGTTTCTTCAGCCAGGATGCGACGATCATCATCGCTCAGTTCCGGGATGACTTCGATTGCAGACGGGGACTGAGCCACCAGAGCTCCCTTCTTCAGGATTGGAAGGATGTCTTGGAGATTATACTCGGTGGCATAATCTGTCACATCAGCCATAAGCCTATCGTGAGGAATTCCAGCGAGAGGGTTCTTGATTCTGAGATATATTAGCCCAAGCTGGGGCGAGTGCCGATAGTCGTGTCGCGGCACGTCGTAGTTTGTTACTTACTCTCCGGTGACATTTTCAATCATTCTAGTCAAATGTCAGTATCTGAATCTTAGCTTGATGATGTGTGACTACATACCCCCCAGCCACATCATGACCAGTGACATGAGACATCTTGGAACTTGAAGACTTCAGTGTAACAAAAAAGAGAGATAAGCTAGGGAGAGAAAGATGATGAAGTGAAGCAGAGTGATGAAGCTGGCTCAAAGATTGATGGACCAGTGAGTTAAAGAAGGCAAAAGCAGAAACGATTGAAAGCCTCAAAGGAGAACAACAATCAACACCGGCAGAAGCAAACGGCTAAAGCGGTCACAACTTCAGCAAAGCAAGCCATCATATTACTTATCCCCAGATGGAGTAACGTAAGCTACAAAAGGAACTTTGCTCTTTACTCAACAGGCAGTCTCCATCATTAGCGTTGCGTATGATTATAGCTTGATGAAATGGGAGTACGCCTTCGATGTATTGGATAGGATTACAGCAATACACTCCAAGCTGGTCTTTCCAATTACTCTATACCTTGCCCGCCTTGTATATCCTCATTGGACTGATGAAATTGCTGTACTTCGGTCGAAACAGTCCTCAACAGTGAAAGGTGGAATCTCTGAATCAAGATTTTTCAACTCATGCAGTCCGCAGAGGGACCTGGAACATTAGAAGAGTGACTTGACACGAAGGTTAGATATCCCGGAGGTACACTGCGTCAAAAGAGCGTGGTTCACAGGCTTGACCCAAGGTATTAGTCCGATCTACTTGGCGTGCGGCGTGGCCCGGGTTAAAATATAAACTGGAGTACATGTACAAGGATTTGGTGCCGTCTGGATGGGAAAATGCAATACTCACCTCTCTTCCCCTAATGTTAGATGTAGTAGACTAAACATTCATCGCATGTACGGGTCACCGATGAGGAACTTTGTTCGTCTTAAGCAGCCTATCCCATAGAAACGGCGGACTGTGCCACTCAACCGATTGCCAAAGCTGTCATGCGATGTTTCACGGCTCCTATACTCGTTTCACGGGATCTATTTGTGACCCAGACAAGGTTGACAGCTATACAAACCTATGACCCTTTTTTTTAGACGAGTGATCCAAGTATCTCGAGAATAGTCAAGCAGATAGAAAAGGAAGAACCAGAGTATAACAGCAGAAGCCGAGATACGCGATTCGAGGTTATCGTGTTGTAACCTTCAATACTTTATAACACTACGTACACATCGATGACTCCATAATATACCACTAGTGGATCAGAATGAAAGCACACTGGGAGTGACTAGAGAGATACGTGATGAAGTGAGGGGCTGGGCGAGCGAAAATGGGCTCCACAAATGATCTTTCATCCCTAGAAGACGTTAGATGACAAAGGTCAGGTTCTCTATTTGATTTTTTGAACAAGTACATGAGATGGGACATGTCTAGAATAATAGGACACTGTCCAGACTGGAGAATCCAGCAGCCACGCCACCTTCGTTCACCTCTTTTCCTTTGGTTCTCAACAGGTATCCGCCTTGTTCGTTGTGCAAAATTTTGCCGCTGTTTTCCCAGAGAATGGTACCATACACGCCAAGCTCTGAGATGACATTTCCTCTAAGGACCTCGCCATCATTTCGCAAAGCAACATTCTGAGCACTCGGTGCTGGGTTGATCAATTCCATGAGCACCCAGCCCCTCCAATCTGACTCCGGTATAGACCGCAGGAACTCTGGAATATCCGACTTGTAGATGTTGTTACCACCACCTTCACGCTGAGGCTTGAGGACATGGTTCATGGCAGTGTCTAGGTTGAGAGCCAATTCTCGACCGCGACTATTGGTTGACAAGTCGTATTGTGGAGCGAACGTCCCCCGGACTCTTTCAATGAGCGACGGGTCAGCACCCTTCAAAAAGCTAGAAAGATGGTCTGGTCCCGTGGGCTCCGCCAGAACCTGTTGGACCTTCTTGCAGCCAGCCAATTGATTGAGCACGGAAGGACACTTGATCGCTGCGGAGCGTTCCAGGTGTGTGCGAGCCTCCCAGTCACGGTTGGATTTGTATTCGTCTGGTGCGTAGTAAGCTCGGAGATAAACAGTGGTGACTTCGAAGGTCGAGTCAGGAGAGTGAGGGGGGTGATAAAGCAATGGCCGAGAGGGATTGGAGCTGGAAATTGAAGTTTGATCCAGGACATCCACACTGGAGACACGGAAAACGGGGACTTTGTGGAATTTCTTGAGTTGGGTTGACAGTGCATGTTGATCGAAAACGTTCCGTTCTTCCTGTTGAACCACAAAGAGAACACAGAGAGGAAGAGCCGGTGTAGACTTTGAAGCTCCATAGGCCTTGTGTGCCTCTGCCAGCCCTGCAGCTAAGGTCTCGACCGCAGCATTCTCAGGGGGTGCATTGAATTGCAACAGCGGATGAGGAGGGTAATTGACAGATGATCCTGGTGGTACCGTGAGGAGATCGTTGTGCAATTCTCTCACGAGGGCCGAAAGCCCTCCGAAGGATGCTGAGATTGTGTTAAACTCCACTTGTTTCAGAGATGATGCACCCGTTGGCGCTACATGGGCCATGTAGTCGGACCGGAAAAGCCCCAATGACAAATTTTGCACATAGCCCTCTTTTTGCACAGCCAGGTGCACCTTCCACAAATCCGCAACGAAGTCATCCACCTCAATCAATCTAACCGGCACGCGAGTCAGCCTTGCTAGTATCTCAGTAGAAGGCTACTTACCCCTCCACGATCTTCCCAAGCCATTCTGTTTTACAAGTGATTGCGGCATAAAGCTCATTATAGATCGATTGCAATGCAGTTGCTTCCTGGAAGCAGGCCTTTGGAAAAGGACTGGGGAACAGAGTTACCGGTGCGTTAGTAGCGAGCACCCCGTTTGAGTCTGTTCCAGGAGGTACAATTGCTGGCGAAGGTCGAACAGCGAGACCATTCTGAATGGCCCAATCTTTCACAGCAGTGACAAGAAACTTTTGTTGAGCTGGCGACAAATCCGGTGGGTAACTAGAATAGACTGAGTCTGCCATATTGCTGATATTTTCATATAAATCGAAAAGAAATCGGTCTTCTAAAAAGAAATTATTCAAAAATCAAAGGTTGTCTAGGGATTTGTAATTCGCGGGGCATCTGAGACCTGAGGCAGATACTTAGGACATGACCGCTTTCTTTATTAGGCAATTTATGCCTGAATCATGCCTGAATTGTCTTACCGCCTAGATAAGCTATCATATTTCCGGCAGAATAAGACTTTTCCCGATTAGGAAATCAGAGGGCGTCACATTGTCATTTTGGGGGTCTGCCTCCCTTCCCATATATTTGTCTTCTTTTTTCTTTCTTTCTTCTTCCCTCTTCTCTCTTTTATCTCTCATACAATATTCTACCAATCATTCATCTCAGCACAAGTTTTGTGTCTTTGCGATCCTACCGCAACTTTTTTGTGTCTTCCTTTCTTTTTCTTCTCTTGTTCTTCTCACCAAGCATTTGATTACTTCTTCTCCCATCCCCACCCCCACCATTCAGCGCAAGCCTTGTCTTTGCAGCTTGCAACATACACCACTCGCCACTCATACTCACGCTGATACCATCAGCTTCTACCTGTGTGCCAAGTGATTTCACTCCCGTTGGGCATCCATTATGGTAAGCCTTAGTCACTCTCACCTCGAGCGTTGACTCTCACCTCGTGTGTTGACTCGCAACCCATGTATCTCCATCTCAAAACATATCCTCAATAAGTTTACTTCACAATAAGTTTGAGCAAAGCCCTAACTCTATAAAAGGCTACAGGATTCACTCCCACGTATCTCAAGGACCCCATAGACTGGTCCGTTGACGATGTCATGACTTTTTTGTGGCCACGGGTGCCCCATAAATGGGCTCACAGCTACCAGCCTCCCGACATTGATGTGTTGGGACCAATCTTCCGTGCCAGAGGCGTTAATGGTAGGGTATTGCTTCACTCTGTGACCACTGACCTCCTTCGGGTGTCAATGGGTATCACTAACATGAGTGAACGTATCTACATCTTGCACATCATCCGTTACCTGCGAGATCACTCGGTTGCTTTTGCTCATCCCGCTGCCTCAGGCCAGAGCCTTCCAACCGGGCCTGCCACCCCTACTGCTGGCACCCCACTGCAATCTACATCCAGCAAGCAACCTAAACGTGCTACCAACCTCATGACAACGCCACTCATGCCAAACCATGCAGGCCTTGCAACTGATCCAGCTTTCTGGACGCCCCTGTCAAGAGTCCCGGCAACAGCTACAGTTTCGGCACCGCCAATGGTTTTTGAACCCAACCCACCTGTTGATGCATTCACGGCGGAACTTCTACGACGCCACCCACCGGAAACCAATGATGACAATGCCTTGCCTCTGTACGGGGATTCAGAGAGTTCAGATTACGATGCCAATGAGCAGCGGGAGATTGAAGATTTGCCGGAGAAGGAACCCCCCAATTGGTCCTTCGCACGCATCCTGGACCAGTTGACCTGGCAGGATTTAATGAGATTGTCGACAATTTCATTTCGGAAGAAAGACAGGAATGGATTGGTAGCATCACAAGGGAATTAGGGGACTCGAACAGACTGTTGACAAAAGGACGTGATCGCAACGCTGTCAGAGACAGAATTATGGGAAGTCTCCGCAAGTTGGAAAGACGGCTTGATAATCTGCGCGACGCGATTTATGGACACAGGTACACATCTGCCCCCTCGATCTGCAAAAGCTGCGAATGTCTACTCGAGACTCTCAAAGACAAGTTCTTCTGCGAATGGCAGCTGGCAATGCTAGACCGCCCGAATGTACTCTCAGGAGACAGCGATACATTCGCCATATCTGCCCGCCCTGCCTCTGACGACTTGCTTGACTTGTCATCTTCATCTGATGATAATGAGGATGGCGAATCTGAGAATGGCACTGAAGATGAAGGGGAGCCCTGCGACTCAGAGGACTCACATGAAGCTGAGCCAGCCAAAAAGAAACCGCGTTTGGAGTACCATATTCCAGAGGGAAGGGTAATCATTGACCTTACTAGAGGAGATACTCCACCTCGAGTATCCGAGTCTAAGTAACCAGTGACGTCAATTGAAGCTGCAGAGTCACCACCGAAGGCTGCAAAAAAGACCTCACAACAGATGCTTCAAAAGTTGCAAAAGAAAGGCGTTACCCCAGAGCGGTATCGTTTGAACAAGGCGGCAAGAAAGGCCAAAGCCGACGTAGAAGCCGAAAGGCCTCGGATATTGGAAAGACTGAGGATCCATAGCACTATGGGCGTTTCCATGCTACTACAGCCAAAGTCTGACCCTACTCTTGACCCTTATCCTGTGATCTTGCACCCGCTAGCTAGGTCTGCTCCCTCTGTCAAGGGATCTGATTCCGAAGTTCCTGCTTTCCCCTGGTACTATGACCCCCCGCTTGCCCGCCTCAACGCCCCAGCATCCCCGGCATTTCTTCCCCAGGTTGTCCCTCCCGATCCTCGTTTGTCTCCTCCGGTTCATCCCCGATCAGTATCTCCGATGTCTGACGAGGGTTTGGCCATGTATCAGTAGATGAAGCCTACTCCGATACTGCTGTACAATTACATCTATGTCTCCGCCTTTTCTCGGCTGTTTGTGTCCCACCAGTCTAGCATTTGACGAATAATATGTACGATCACTGTATAGTCTTTGTCCAAGTAAACGTAAACATCTATAATTAATTATGTAATGTCTACCAAAAACACGGAACTCCCAGGCATCTGTCAATGCTTGACTCAAGCCTTCTCGTGTGATGACACCACTTCGTCCCCTTGCGTGATTATCGATAGGTGTGCTACATGGGGAACTTGGGTTTCTGATAGTGATTCGGCTGCATGGCATTTTGTCCAGTCTATACACCCCTCTTTAGTGCTAAAGCTACCTGGGGTTGAAGACCCAAACCGAACAATCTAAGAGCCTGTGGTGAGCCAAAGCCACGTGGAAGCCGTTCTCCATATGGTTATGTCGCCATAACAGAACTGCTATATTCACGCCACGGCGTGGCAATGAGATATGGGGACCTTGTTGTTCACAACGAGATTGCTGCTGCTTTGGACCGTGTCAAGACTCGAGGTAGCGTGTAGAATCTCCGTAATGTCGATTCACTGCATGTCAGAAACTCCAGGCTCATACCAAGGCTCAGTGATGAGATACATGTGCCTTGGCATGCACGGAGAAGGTGCGGCTGTTTTCGCCTGTTTCGAGGCTCGAGGTGGTGGCTTAGAAGCTCAACCTGGAGGATGAACTCGGCCGTGGGTGATCTGCTCGCTTGCTTTACTGGCTCAGTGCACACCGAAAGGACTACTTGGGCAGTCTGACGTTCAGCACAAGGGCACATGAAGAAGACTATATTACTGTGTTAGAGATGTGAGCTATTTTACGGATCTCGTAGTTGTCATGTTACAGGACAGTGCATCTCGAGGATGGCTTCAATATCGTGAGACCTCATTCATAGAGGAGCCCGTTTTAGGCAGTCCATGGAGGGGTGAATACAAAGTTAAGTTCAAAACCAACAAATAATACTGCCGCCGCAGCGTATTCAAAGTGCACCGGATCAACCCGTCAAACAAAAGATCGACCAATCACAGAGGGTTTGCTCTGTCCGAATTGGGACGGTCCTCTGGGGTATAAGTACCTGCCCTCCCCCAACTTTCCCTTTTTTTTCTTTCTTTCTACCTTCTTCATGCATGTCCCCCACTCCCTCTCCAGCTTCTGTTAGGAGTTGTCTTTTCACTCTTCGTGTTTGAAGTGGCAGGGGGTGCATGCTCTGCCCCGGTTGGATCTTGTTACTCCTTTCTCTGGTCGGGGCTTGACTCTTTATTTCGTTGGATTTGACTGTAGGTACGTGGGCATTCCTTCTTCGGTTGGGCTTTGTCATTTCCTTCGCTTCAAACTGAGTCTGGGAAATCCCCTTGGGTGCCTGGACACACCTTGGACTTACATGGATACCTTACGGGTGAGTCCCGGGGACGTCGCTGCTTGGGTCTCCTTCGGCAGACCTGCAGATAGGAGTCGCTGGGCCTCCTCATGTTAGAAGACTTCTCTCTGTTGTATATTGTATTACGGCTTAGGGGCACGCAAGGCTTTGGGGAGACGCTAATGAATGACTTCTCACTTTGATTAAATTTCCGGATGTATTCATGAAAAGCGGTCTCCCGTTTCGGGATCTGAGTCTTGAACCCCCCCCCCCCCCCCCCATTCAACCGGATGCTGCTTTCTCCTTCCTTTCCCTTTGTTTCCCCATCATGTATCTAGTCACCAGCTTAGGCAATTCACCAGTCATCAAACACAGTTTCCAACACTCGAATGATTGGCAGTAGACTCCCTATCTCCCGTTTCTTGTCCATGCATTTCGTTTGGGAACATGTAGTAGCAACCAAGACAGTCAACAGTAGCCTCAAGTCCTACCGCAACAATGACTCAAGATCAGCAACACGCGTACCCCGATCCTCAGCCTTCTTCTTCGCCGTCTCACGAAACGCAGCCAGCATGAGACTCCTCTTTCGTTCCTGAATTGCTAGAACTCGCTCCTCGATGCTATCCTCCATGACCAAACGCCAGACCGTCGTTTCTCGCTTCTGCCCAAGCCGATACACACGATCCACAGCTTGGTCCTCGATAGCCGGTGCCCACCAGCTGTCGGACAAGATGACCTGGTTCGCTGCAACGAGGTTGAGACCGACACTGCATACACTCAGACTTGCCAACAGGACGACGCAATCTGGGTCGTGGGTGAAGGCGTTGATGCTGTTATCCCGTTTCAAAGATTGCATCTTGCCGTCTACACGGGCATACTTAATACCATAGTTCAGGAGCTGTGGCTCGATCAAGTCCAAAAATGAGGTCCACTGACTGAATACTACGGTCTTGGTACCTGGTGCTTGGCCCTGGGCTGTGAGGATCTTGACGATGGTCTCAATCTTGCTACTTGGGCTGCCGGGATCAGCTTCGACAGCGTCCTCTTCGCCTAGGTCAGCAGCTGGTGAGACCAGTACTGTGTTGTCTTTTATATCGGCACGACAAAGGGGACACTTGTGTTGGCGTTCGATGACCTGCTCGATGCAGCCACGACAGTAGGCATGGGCACAAGCTGTTATGACGGGCTGGTCGAGGTTGTCCAAACAGATTGGACACGGCTCTTGGCTTTCGATTTGGAGGTGCAGCATGTCTTGCAGGGCCTTGATATTCTCTGATGTCAAAGGAACAATCTTGTGTTCGTCCAGAACGTTCAGAAGCTTGTCGATGCGGCTCTTGCACAACGCCCAGTGGTTACAGACCTGACGAAGACGCAGGATGACCTCCAATAGATGGGAATACTTCGTGTTGCCCTCTTTGTCCTTAAAGTCCAACAAAGCGCCTTGGGCCTCTTTCCTGAATTCGTGGTTAGTCTTGCATCTTGGCGGCGGGAGCGGTGATACTTGGTACGTACTGGAATGCACTGTATTTCTCCTGTTCGTGGGCTTTGAATTTGATTCTAATCAGGCGAGATGTCATATCTGGCAGCTTTAGATTAATGAAACCCATATCCTTTCTCCGACGCAAGCAGATGGTCCCCATGAGAGCCTCAAGAAGCATTCGAGCCTCGGGGTCTCCCTGGGTCAAGGGTCGGCTCAAGACAGCGTTGAACATGCCCCGATCTCCCAGTCCACCGGAAAGCCCCAAGAAGCGAACTTGGGAATACAGATCCTTGAGGCTGTTTATGATAGGAGTACCGGTCAGGGACCAGCGAGATCCAGCACGCAAACCACAAGCCGCCTCGGAAGACTTCGCAAGGGGGTTTCGAATAGTATGGCCTTCATCCAGCACAACCCGGCGCCAATGAAGCGAGAAGATTCCCTGAGCAGGTGGCTTCTTGGCACTATTTTTGAACTCAGAGGCCAGTGCATTGTAGCTGGTGACGACAACATCATAGTTGGCCAGATTGCCAGCCTCCTTCTTGCCAGAGCCGTGGTATATCAACACACTTGGAGCACAGTCAGACTTGGCGTGATCTTTGATCTGATTTCTCCAGTTGCTCATGACACCGACTGGCGCAACAATCAGGGTGGACTTGGAGGATCCTGCATTCAAAGGTGCAGCATTCGCCATGATCAATGAGATGACCTGGATCGTCTTTCCAAGTCCCATATCATCTGCTAGGATACCACCACTGGCGAGGGGTGGATCCTCCGACATTGAATAGTTCGTTGCGACATTGACGAAGCCCTGGCTGTTTCGCTTCCACAGTTGAACGATGCGCTCTGATCCATGCGTTGGAAGAGCGGGCGACTCTTGCTTGATCATCCAGGCGAGTCCCTGACGCTGATATGGGAGCAGTTGTGTAGAAAGACCAGCTGGTGTATCCACCATGGGCATCTTAGCTAGGTCGGATTCCTTCTGTCCGAATGTTTCTACAACCTGGCCAATATCTCGCGGATTGAAGGTTTTGCTCTGATTGATGAGATTTTCCAAGTTCTCTTGCTCCACTTCGCTGAATCCCAGTGGGGTAGAGAGGTTCGAAAACTCGGACTTCTCCTTGGCCTGCCATTCGGCTGTCGCTCTGCCAAGAGCCATTGCACGAGCTTGTTTTGCCTCCTGCATCAGTCTTTTCTCGGTTTCCTTCTTCTTCTTGGCTTCTTCGCGCTCCGCCTTGGTGATGTGCTGCACAGGGAGCCTGTCGTCCTGCATTCTCTTCTTGAGAGCTGAACGCTGAACGGGCTCCGCAGTCCCAAAAATCTTCAGAGCCACAGGACAAGTAAAATTTCCAATTACTCCAGTCAATTCGCCTTCAACAACAAGATCTTGTGCATCCTTGGATCATGTACTGTCAGCCATGTTTGTATTTTAATGAGGTGAGCGCCACGAACCATGTATGGTGCCAGTTTGGCAGCCATTTCTCGCGGAATGTGGCCAATCTGCGCACCCATGACGTTATCCACACGAATGGCATTGCGGTCATATTGATTGGTAGGCTCCCGCTTGAGAATGACTCGTTCTTTGGGGTTGGCATGGCCTGTGTAGAAGCGCACACCTACAATTTTTGCAGCTACAACGCCTGTCAAAGCTGATTAGTATGGGGCGTTAATGCCACCCAATGAGGACTATGACATACCGTAAAGCACGGTGCTCACCAGAGAGGAATCGTCACCCCCTTGCGTTCCTTCGACGGCATTTGCCGCTTCTTCATCTTCATCTTCACCGCCAAATTGTGTCAATGGAATAAAGTCTGCCGCTTGACCAAACCTCTGGCCTGTACTGGTATTATGGAGGTTCAAAGTTGCAGCCGGGTCGTCAATAATATAACCCAAGCTAGAACCATCAGGTCTCGAGCGTTCACCAGGGCGAGGGGATTTAGCCATGCGTGCAGGTCCATTGTTTGACGGAACTTCGTCCCCGTTGATCACGTCAACTTTGCGCTTCACCATTGTTGCTGTTTCGTTCGATTGATTGATTCAAGGAATGACGCGTAGTTTAGGGGGAGGTGAGCGATGAATAAGAAAGGGTGAATACTACCGTCAAAGCAGATCCAGGTACAGCACCTGGTTTCATTCTGTCATACACAGACTGATACTGTTCAATTGCAGCAGTGAGACTGAACTAGTTGATATTCAGTCGCACGTCGGTGGATGCATGTTACTCAACAGCCGTAACGTGACCCGAAGACCCACATATGTTTCGTTTTGGCCGCTGTAACTTCCCGTACATACCTATAGATCTTCAATGACCTCCCTATTGAATTCCGCGCATTGCTTCATGAAGCCTCAATTTTGGCTCAAGATCTACTCACAAGAATATTTGTACCTCTCACTTGTCATATTGGAAACAAGCCGTCAATATTATTATCTGTTCCTCGACCAATTCCGTCGTTAGCAGCTGTATCAAGCGAGGTGGTCAGCAACAGCGACCAACGTGCCTCCAATCCACGTGAGGGCGGTAATCTGCTGATAAGCGGCCGATTGCTCACTGGCCAGTAACAACCCACACGGTCTTGTCTTTTGTGTTGATATCAAGATTGCTTTTCTGACTGTCATTCTAGATTTTACATGGATCTTCAAATATTTGCCTTACACGTCTTCTTTTTGTTAGATATACTGGTCAAGGGCGCAGAGTGAAAGCATTTGCCGTGCGGAGATGTTTGACCCGGCACAACGTTTTGCGGGGGTATGTCGAAGTCCCCGGGTTTTGGTTCATAGCGCCTCATGACTGAGGCTTTCACAGAACCATTTCCTACTTAATCACCTCGACTATGTCTGTCTCGCAAGCGAGAGCGACGCAGCCTACCAACCATTCCAGTGTCTCGCCTGCTAAAGTCGATTTACCCGGCATGAGAACCTCAAGCGCCACTCCGCGCTCCATTCCCGTTCTCAGGCTGATAAGTCTCTTCCATGAGACTTTTGCCACGCGTAATTCTCACGGAATGACTTGCGCAACCGACATATGACGAGAAAGTGCCCGGAGCATGGACTTCAACAAAGAGATCTCGACGCCAGCCACCCAGACATGAGAATGATATTCATTATCGCCCACAGCTATCTCGGTAGCAAGAAGCCCAGGTGGGTTGTCGTCATACTCGGCACACTCTGTGTGCTCGAGATAGGGGGAGGAATTGTGATGAACAACACAGTGTGGCACACTCAGGCATGATGCAGGCACAGATGATTCCAATGCCAACTGTTACGCTGTCCTCAATGATGAAGAGCCATTGCCAGCCCCAGATATTGTGGACGCCGTCATTTGCTTCCGCGAAGAGGCTCGATGGCGTTACCAACTTGTTGAGCGATGTATAGACCGACGATCCGCTTGCCGAGTTCCATTTTTGTGTACTAGGCTGAGAGATAGGAGATCGCACCGGGGAAGAACACGGCATCGGCGTCTCCGAGGATGGCTCGTACTGCGAGGAGTTGACTATATGTTTGGACCACTGTTGTGCAGGCTGATGCAGCCTTAGATCGCTACCGCTCCGCAAATATACATGTCAGGCCGTGAGATCTTTGTGAAAATAAGATCACTTGGGATTTGGAAGGGGAAAGATCCAATGAAAAGGATGGAGACTGCGGTAGCAAACTGTTCGATGGACATGTTCAAGTCCTCCATTATGCCTTGAAGCTTGGCCGCAGCCAGGTTTTGACGGTCGATGTAGTTCAAAATGTAAAGATTCCAATCATGGGAAGAACAAATAAGTCGACTTTTCGGACAAGTTTTTGTTAATAGTTTTTACCTCATCGTCACTTAGGTTGCGCATCGACTCTGGCATACGGCGATAGGCCGCGCTCGCAACATCAGCACTTGCCCTTCTGCAGAGGAGACATTGTCTTCTGAATGTCCGAGGGAGATGCGTTGCCAAGAAAGCAACTGCAAGGATAATGATATGAGGTTGCACACGCAGTGTTGCAGTCTTTGTGGTCGAAATGCACCTTGAGCTCCCCCTCCAGGGACAACCTAGATCGTCAAAAGCCTAGTAAAGACCGTTATCTTGTCCGCTTAGCCGGAAGGCATCGTGGATACCCGAGTGATCAACTAATAACCAGGCTTCTTAAGAATCGCGGGGCATTGATTGGTTGAGTGGTGGTCGGTTCACAAGTTGATAAAGAGATAGCTGTAGGGAGGAGCGCACACAAATTGCCCAATTCGAATGACTGACCCCCAGATAAACATACTTAGTTCAAATATGGGTTACATGCGCTAGACATGGGAGGAGCAGAGGAAAGTCAGGAAGGAGGGAGATTTTGGAAGCTCCTCCCATGGGACGAGAATCCAGCCCCACTTATTTTTTAGCCCTAACTCCAGAGCTTATCAACGTGCTTTTGTCATTTTCATGCGCTACAGAGGAATAAACAACGAATGCTTGAGCAGGTATAGTATCTCACAAGAGCTTTATTGCATTTCATACATCAATTTTTCCCAGGCAACCATTAACAGCCATCCACAAACCACCATCACAATGAGCTATCCTACCGTCCTCATAACCACAATCGAGAGCTTGCGGTTGAGACTGTTCAACAAAATCAAGGCGGGCGAGTTCTCTTTGGTGGCCTTCATTGCCATCCCATCCATCCGTCAAGCCCAGATTGTCGCTCGTACCGGTAACGAGGGTATCATCATCGACTGCGAGCACGGCCACATCGGCGATGATGCCGTGCATAACTCCGTCGCAGCAATTTCAGCCCTCAGCGTGTCCCCCGTAGTCCGCATCGAGCCCATGATATTCTCTAGCATGCCCTTGATACAGGTTCCCACGGCATCATGGTACCCTAGATCAACAACGCCGAAGAGGCCGCATAGATTGTCGCATTCTCTAAGTCCCCTTCCCAGGTTGTCCGTGGTCAAGGCTCAGCACTCCCTGCAATCGGCCACGGCCTCACATCCCCCGGATACATGAAGTCCGCCAACGAGACTATCATTACCTTGATTGAAATTGAGACCCACAGGCGGAGAAATGGCTTGCATAGAGTGAACCTCAGAACAAAACGACGTGAATTTTAGGCAACTAGGGCTCCTGCGTAAGGATAAGCAGATTATCGATGGCGCGGTCCATGTGCGTATTTCGCGGGGCTCATGTGACGTGGTCAAGCGCTAGGCTGTTGTGTTCGATGCATCTTTGGCGCGGGTGGTGGACTTTGAAGGCCAGAAGTCTGTTTTTTAAGTTAGCAAATGTGGTAGATAGGTGTGAGCATGGGGAAGCGCGAGTAATTCACAGACAGTCGAAGATGCTTGAGATGACACCTTGCGAAGGTGCTCTAGCCTGATTTTCAAGCTCCGGCGGCCAAAATTTCTACCACTCCCAAGTCAGCACGTGCACATCATCTTGACCTTATAGGTGGACAGATGGCGTGGAAACAGACGTACAGTCCAAGGCTACAGCATCAACAAGCGGCCTATCCTCCAGTCTCAGGACGCTAGGTCCCGCGTCTAGGTTCAGATAGTAGAAGTACTTGCGTAGCCACTGAAGAATAGACAACGGCAGTCGAGGCCGCGGGCTGATGAGTACAATGTCAGGCTCCTTCTTAGGCGGGGGGTCTTCAACGGGATCCCAGCCACCCTCCTCACTGTGGTAGGAAACCTCGGCCATATAACGCACGGGGAAGCCAACAATGCCGTACTTGACGCCGCTGTCGAGGTCGGAGATATCGAGAACGACAAGGCCATACTCGGTGCAGTCGCCACGGAACACAGTGGATAGCGGTTGGAGCTGGACGTCGCCAGGGCGCGTGCTGTTGCTATTAGTGGCATTGGCATTGCCATCCTCGCGCAGCAACCCTAGCAAAAGGCACGCCGTTGTAAAGGGGAACTCGCTAGGCGCGTTATCATACCACGGCAGCTCGGGCAGTATTTGCGGCTTCTCCGACCGCTGGGAGCCATCAGGCACGACGAAAGGGGGCTGCGGTGAATCTGGAATACTAGGCCGCTCACTACTCTCGATCTTATTGCCCCCCTGAGACCGACGATACCAGTCCTCCGCGAGCGCCCTCTCCGCCTCAAGCCCCGCGCGGCTCGCGGGGTCCGAGAGGATTTCGATTCGTGCCAGGGTGTCTGCCACGACATGCTCCACGCGTGCCAGAGATAACGCTGAGTTGTCCCTGTCGTTGCCCTGGCGGTAGGCCACGGCTAGGGACCGGCTGGAGCCACGAGGGCCGACATTGGCGACGACGGAGAAGAGGAAGGAGCGGGGATTTTTGGAGTATAGACACTTGTATCCGAGCATTATTTTATCTACGGAAGGGGGCGACTGATATCGACAAATAAATGATCCAGATAGCAAACAGCTGGGAAACAAGGAGAGGAAAAGGGCATCAGTCTAACGTTTAGTTTAGAGCAGCCTAGCGGGACAAAGTACTAGAGCCAAGCGATAGCTTCCTGGAGTTCTTTTTCTGGTTCTGGTTCTTCTTTTGAGATTGTATACTGCAAATTGACCTAGGACATCCCATCTATTTACAACATACGATTATCCGATGACATTTCCCAGTCCTAAAGCGGGGATGGAGAGCCTCATGTAATGGGTCCCGGAGCTTCGGGGATCTCTCTTTGAAGGTGCCGCTAGGCTTACATTCCAAGGCGAAGGTCCTTGTACTCTTGACAGCATTCGGAAAACAGGTCCACTAAGAGTATTCTGATTAATGGTTCTTAGTGCGACAATATGCTGCCACTCGGACAGCCCTGATTGTATGGAGATTGTGAAGGTGACTCGAGAACTCGTGGAACAGTTCAATCACGTTATGGGATATATGTAGATAGCTTCACAGTTCATATATGTAACAAGTGTCAACTCTTCTATACAGTAGCATACAAGCAGAAGCCAGGCTGGGAAAAGAAGCAAAGTAGAGTAAGAGAGCACGACGACAATGACATTGACAGAAATATACTTTCTTACCACAGTGTTTGGAATTTCCGTTCATACAATATCTCATGCAAGACCGTGAAACCAATATTTGGCAGTAGTACAACGAAGCGCCCGGCTCATCGGCTCGCAGTGATCTGACAACTCAACGGACCAGAATACTATATCGACTGAAATATTTTCTATGTCGATTGATCCCTGTATTCCCTTCTGATCTCCGACGTTGCCAGGAACTGAACCTTATTTATATATTTCTACTCTTTGTAGTTCATAAAATTTCACTTTGGAATAATTTGCCAAATAATCATTTATCCTCTTGACGATTTGCTATCAAAAGTTTCAAAAACTATGTGTCAAAAAGATGAATTTCTCGCCAGGTCCAGGAAATGTACCAGGAAGTATAAAAATATTTGGCCTGAGGCACGAAGGATCGCCACAGCACGGCACGTGATGATGTGTATCCTGATCCTTACAGCGTGCATGCTTATGACATGCCCAAATACAACCTCATTTCACACCCCGATGGTCGTTTGGCAGTACGAACCTGTGACAGAAAGCACCTTCACAAGGACCGAAGCCTCGGAACCTCTTGTGAATTTAGCGCGATATTAGGTACCGAGGCGCATTTGTCCCGTGTCCCACATGGCCGATCCCCGCCATGGCTACAAGGATCTGATCCATAGCCATGAGATAGAGTTGGACGGTCTCTTGAAGCAGGGCGTATACAAACCGGTATTTCTGTATCATGTTCTGTTGTTCAATGTACTGCCATTGATAGGTCTCGTTCTTCCTAGTGGCAAAGGTGGACAATATGCTCGAAAAGGAGTATTCGCACTATGCATTGCTATCGCAATTCAAGCTTTCCGGAACCAACGGACTCTCATTGGGGGAAATGGCTACATGCTTGGTCTGATGACGGCGTGGTGGCTCATATGGAATGCTACATTGTTTATGTTTTCAGACCTTGAACATGATTTCAAGCGCATTGAACGGAAGCCTGTCGATCTACAGCTTCAAGATCGTGCCCAAAATGAGAAGTACGATACCTTCGTATGGCAGTCATATCCTAAAAAGCTTGGACATCGACTTGACTGGTCTGCTGGACTCCTCTTCAATCTCAGAGGCCCAGAATGGAATTGGCGAGGCCCCCATCTAGGACCGTTGCCACGATCAGTCCATACTCAGTTGCATCCAGGATTCTCCTGTGCCAAATTCAAAGCACAAGATGATGCAACTTATATTAGTGGAAAGGAGCGCCTTCAAGCCGCGTTTCGAACGTTCTTGAAATATTACCTTGTGCTGGATTTACTCAAGGTCTTCATGATGCGAGATCCATACTTCCTAGGAATCGCTTCAGTCAATTCACCACCACCATTTCCATTCTCCTATCTCACAATCCATCCATTTCTGGTCCACTTCTATCGCCTATTCCTCAGCGCTTTTGGTGTCTTCGCTGCCCTCGAATTTGTGACTGCCCTTAGTCCAATATTCTTTCTGGGATTAGCACTTGCATTCCCCAATGCAGCCAGGAAGCTCACCGCTGCACCACTCGGGGCTCCATGGGTGTATGCCGATACATTTGGGCCGTTCCTAGAACCGATTTGTGATCATGGACTGGCAGGCTGTTGGGGCCGGTGGTGGCACCAGCTCTTCCGTTTCGGGTTTACAGCCACCGCACATTGGATCCTATCTTTTCTTCCAGTCAAGCTATCATCCAATTCGCAAGTCCGGCGGGTTACATTCACCGTGGTAGCATTCTCAGTCAGTGGATTTGTGCATGCCTGTGGAAGCTTTACACAGTTCACGGAGACAAAACCTGCATCGGGGCCTTTTCTGTTCTTTTCCTTGCAGAGTGTCGGGATTTTGGGGGAGCAGCTGTTCAAGAGGTCGATTTACCCGATGTTGCCTCTTGCCCATACACCACGATGGCTGAGACGGACAGCCAACTTGGTTTTCGTCTTCTGTTGGCTATTCTATTCAGGAATTTTTGTTGCGGATGACTTCGCACGTGGTGGGCTGTGGTTGATGGAGCCGGTTCCTTTTAGTCTCCTCCGTGGATTGGGAATCGGATCCCAGGATCATGGATGGTGGTGCTGGACAGAGCCGTGGTTCCGATACTGGAGTGACGGTACTTACTGGGGGAGTGGCATTCGAGTGATATGATGAAATTGACCAGCATGAAGCTGCAAATACATTTTTGGGGATTATTTAAACCAAAGACTGCATTAGCAATGTCAGGTATTCGGTATATAGAATGCATTTTTGAATGTTCATAGGAACTATAATTACAAATCTACCCTTCCATCGTGACATCGTCATCCTCTTCATCGGTATCAGAGTCCATGTTCAGAGTGGGCAACTCATCGTCGCTCTCATCGTCAGCTCCGGCAGCAGCAGCAGCAGACTGCGAAGTCACTGTTGGGCCATTCGCAGAGGTTGTGGTGGTGGTAACCTGTACTGATACCCTGGGAGTCTCAGTCTGAGTAATTGCAGGAGCTGCTTGAGAAACCGGGGTGATTTCTTCAAATCGTGCCTTCTTGGTATCCTGCTTCTGGGAAGCTTGTCCCTGAGCAGTGGATTCCTCAGTAAAGGTTCGCTTATGGAAGGCGGGCAATGGGTCGGCAGGCTTCTGTTGCTCTACCTTGGGGGTTTGTAGGGGTATCGACACTGGCTGCTTCATAAAGTCAGAAGTCGGAGGAGCAGTGTATACATCATCGGCCATCTCCTCGTCTTCTTGGTCTTCATCAACATAAGCGTCCAGCTCAGGAGCTGTCATCAAAACAGGCATTCTGGGGCGAACCAAAGCTTCCACTTCCATCTGTTCGCCGTAAGTGCGAACCAAGAATGGGATAATGCTCGAGCCGGCTCCACGACCCTTGATTGCAGGCACGGGGTTGAGGACACTAGCAAGCATCGCATCCTTGTCCGAGGTTAAGATGATGGTACGGTCAATTTCGGCCCGAGTGGAAGGCGGAACAAGCTCAGCGGGAACAGAAACAAGCACTTCCTGCAGAAGACCCGAGGCGTTCTGCTGAAGGTCCAAAAATGGAGAAGCTGATTGCGCCTGGCGAGACTTCTGCAGCTCAGGGTTCAAGAAAGCGTCGGCGTTAGCTGTGATAGCTTGACCACCCTTTGACTTCACTTTCGTATCCGAGCCCGAGTTAGCCGCAGAATCCCCGTCCAGCGGCAGAAGATCATGACAGCAGGAGCGAACCACACTTGCCAGAGACGCTACGCTCTGCTTAGACATTGCGGGTCCGTTCAATGGCACTAGGGAACGAAGCAAGGCATAGACCGCAGAGCGCACGTCTTTGCTGAAAGTCCCACCTCGGAAAGTCCAGACAGCCTGCTCCAGAATGGTCTGGGTTACCGAGGTAGCGCTAGTCTCCAACACTCTGACAACCTTGGAAAGCAGATCCATACAGGCGATGTGAATGCGAGGAAGCTCTAGCCAAAGGCCCTCTCGTTCTTCGCGACCAATCTCCTGGTTGAACTGGATGCCGGTTTGAGACTCGCCATTTAGCGGGACGGTCACAGAAGTAAGTCGGGATGTCAAATCCAGAATAGAACCCAAAGGAAGAGCAACAGCAGCTGCGGATGGGGAAGAAACAAAGCCGGAAAGAATGCTCAGAAGTACAACCAATCGATCCACGCCCGAGTGCAATCCTGTCCAACCTGGAAGTCCCAGTCCATCTGGACCACTATCGCTCACTTCCTGGCTATAGTTCGGCCGTGTTGGCATCAGCGTCGCGTCAACTGACTCCCATTGTTCCACCACTGCACGGTAAACTTGGTCTGCTGTCCGATGAATGGACAGAATTGTTGACCGACAATCATCGTTCCATCCGGAACCAGCCTTGTCTTTTGGTGCGCACTTGTGAAGGGAGACAAGAAGCTGCTCTGCTACATCGACGACATGCTCCGGGAAATAGGCAGGCGAGGAGGAGCCCACAACCTCAGCGAGGAGGGTTCGAAGCTGAGAGCCGAATGGACGGAAAATGGTGGGATGTCTGGGGATCAGCTCCAGCAAAGCACATAGCACAATTTCCATGAACGGAGTGTTGGGTTTCGGCTTGCGTGTCGAACCAGAAGACGTTTTCGTAAGTACAGAAACCAAGTTCAAGGCTGCGGTGATAAACCCTGGTAATTGCGGAGTGGTGATTTCTCGAACAAGCGTTGGGTACTGGTATGTGAGATGGAAGATCCGAGTGAGAGTAATGACACACATCTTCCGCGTGGAGATTGGATCAGGCTTTGCCAGGATGCTGATCAAACCGCGAACAATCGGTTCATATCCGCGCAAAATTTCCCACTGACCAGCTTCGACGGTAGCTTTCACGAGCACAACGGCTGTCCATCTTCCTTCAATAGTGCGGTCCTGTAGCAGACTTGCCAGCCGGGTTTTCAATTTATGGATCTGAACAGCATTGTCGGACTCAGATTTGCCTTTCTGGGCTTGCGGAGTAGAGAGCAATGTGGCGCAATCACTCAACGAAGTCGCAAGGAATGAAGCGATGAAGGGTAATTGATTAACCGGGGTAGTAGTGAGGCGATGCGTCACGGCGCGCAATGTAGTAGAGGTCATGATCGCCCTCAAAAAAAGGGGCTTAAACGTGAACGAGGAAGTTGAAGTTAAAGATCTCCAACTTTTTTTCTGCCAACGCTCGGACCACATGAAGCCTCGGTGGTAAAATACCGTCACGTACGTAATCGCTCTCCACCCCTGGAGGATCATCGGCGTGGAACTTGACAGTGTTGGGCCTGGAATGCTCCTCTCCCTTCCTGCACCACTCACTATCCTTTTGAAACATGGCTGTAAGTACTTGTCTTGCTGTTTGTAGAGTAGTTACTCTGCTCTACAGCTTCAGAAATCACCAATACAACCCAGTATTGACCGCTAACACGTACCAGGGAGGCAATGCCGAGAAAGGGCAGCGCTACACTGCGGCCCTAGACCAGGCACGGAGCCAAGGGAAATGGGATGAGGTTCCCGAACTGATTAGGAAAGTCACAAAACATGCACCGCAAAAGACTTGTACGCTGAGCCCCGCCTTTCTTGATCTTGAACTGACCGAAATGTCAATATAGGTGTGATACAGACCGCAACTGCCGAATCGCGCGTGATATCGTATCTCCAACAAAGGTCGTCCGGCGACGACTCGTCATCTTCGCCAAATCTTGTCGAGCTGATCCCCGCCTTGTTAATGATCATCGAGAACAATGACGGGTCACCACAAGAACTACTACAGGCCCAGGTTTGTTTGGGATGGATCCATTGGGTCTTGAATGAGCCTGCGCTTGCAGCGGCACGTCTTCCTGCGAGCTTTTCGGGGACAGTTGATAGTTTGGCTGGAGGAGGAGAAGCCCCGACTGCGTGGACCGAGGTCTGTCTTGTGAAGGGATGCTACCTCAAGGGTATGTTTGTTTACCCCGTGATGTAACAGGTTACAGTACTAACATCGAGAAGCAATTGCACAATCTATTATTTTCAACATTGATGAGACGTTAGAGACATTTGGATCTTTAATTCCGTGGCTGAACGGCGGCAAGCTGACGTCGATCACCACCCCTCAATTCCTGGAATGGTCCGAGTCCCTCCTGGGCAAGGGCGCCCTTTTGGCCAGTGAAGAGGCGAGCAAGAAGACACCATACTCGGACCCTGAACATGTTGATGTTGCTCTACGATTGCTGCGCTTGTGGGCTTCTCATCCCTTCGTCAAGCAAGGAAGCCCCACCAAATCGCCAAATGCGGATGGATCCGGCACAGTTTCTCGGTCATCAGTATGGACTGCTTACTATGGAGTCCTCACAATTGTCTTACAAGACGGACTCAATTACAGCGGCCCTAACGAGGGGCCTGATCGCCCACAACTTGCCACTGAACTGCGCCGTGTAGAATCCATCTGTGAGGGCAACCTTCTCCGTGAAGTCAAGTTTCCTACTGCCAGCTCCCAGAACAATCAAGTCGAAGCATGGGTAGAGCAAGTGATAAGCAACTGGGAAGTTTTATGTGGCCCTGAGTGGCAGGACTCGGACCTCGGTGAAGGTGGCCAGAATGCTGTCGGCCGCAACGTCTTAGACGTAAGTCAAGCTAAGATCATGACCCGTCAAACTGACTAACATTTTTTACTGTCAGATTTTGTACCGTGCAGCGACAAAGACTTATCATTCTCATCTTGTCCTCCGTCGTCTTTTCCATGTCCATGCCTCCTTGGCAGACTTTGATCTCGCCGTGAAGGCACTCGATTCTTATATTGAGATTGTTACCGCAGCTAAAGAGAGAGCAGAAAAGTCCGCCGAGTCAGGTGAACTGGAAAAAGATGAAATTCTATTGCAGACTTTGTCTGAAGGAGTGACCTTGTTGACTTGCCACGGCTCCTTCGAGGAGGCAGAGAAAGCCCGCGATTTGACTGATATGATACGGGAGTATCTTGACAAACATACTGTTCTCGTCAACGGCGGCATGAACGGGGAAGTCAACGGCAACTCATCAAAATCTCCTGATATTCCTTTGTCGGTGTTGGCCTTGTCCTACCGGGCCGTGGGAGTTGGACTGGCTAGCTGGGCCAGTTGGACCCCTATGAATGAATCGCGGGATGAAATTCGAGCAGATGCAATTGACTTCCTAGAGAAGAGTCTTGAGCCAGAACTGTGCAACAGCTCAAGTTATTCATCTCTCTATACCCTGGGTCTGGTCTTGGCAGAGAACAGAGATTTAGACACGGCAATTGACTATATCAAATCAGCTTTGACACCCAGCGGTCTGTCCGTTGCAGTTGCCGAAGACCTCTCCAAAGAACGGGACTTAGTGTCTCTGTGGCATCTACTTGCGCTGTTGCTGAGTGCAAAGCAAGAATTTGAGATTGCCGGGCGTTCATGCGAAGCAGCATTTGAACAATTTCCAAAAGAAATTTTCTCGAAAGGCAACCGTGAAAGGCGGTCATCGAGAAATTCGCACAGTTCTGGAACACAGCGCCCGCTTCTTACTCGGCTGTCAGGTAGAGAAAAGGAACGAATCATTCAAACTCGCATTACACAACTTGCGTTTGTTGAACTCCTGGACGGCCCCGAGGCTGCGGTAAACCACAGCGAGCAACTACTGAGTTTGTTTGGCACCCTTTTCCATGACCTGAACCTCGAAACCGAAGAGTCCAAGTGCAAGTCAGAGCACTTGGTGCCACCAAAAAGCTCCGCTGGTACTACGAAGAGCTTCCGTGGTAGTATATTCAGCCGAAACAGAGCATCTCAGCTACCAGATCGACGTGCTGGTCATTCCAATGGTTCTGACACTGTCCCACCCACGCCAGCTATTCCTAATGGTCATACAGCGGAAGCTCCATCAATCCAAATCACGGATGGAGATGCAAACAGCTATAAGGAAAAGGCCTCCACAATTGGGCGGACAGATTCAAAGAGACTCAAAAAGCGAAGCTCAAGCTTCCACCGGAACGAGAGGCCACGCGTTGAAGATCCTCCACTTCCCGGAGGCGAAGCCTCTCCAGATATGATTGGGATTGCAATGTCGGGTAACACGTCACCAGAGACGGTAATCCATCCTTCCAAGGGCAAGCAATCATTGCCTCCAATGGCACACAATGCCAACTACAGACAAGAACCACTTCCCGCCGGACACGAGGACCAGCCCCCACAGCAGGATATTCGGCTCCCAATCACTCATCGCTTTGATTCTCCCACAGGGGCCGTTACAAAGTTCTCCCTTGTACAATCCCAAAAGCATGCTTTGGGTCTCCTTGTCAGAATCTGGCTGGTCATCGCCGGACTCTACCGTCGCGCGTCCCTCTTGGATGATGCCCGTGAAGCCTGCGAAGAAGCTTTGAAACAAGCTACGCGAGTTGAAACACTTGTTGCGTCGCATGAATCGTCAGCTCGCTCGTTTAGCAAGCGTGGCTGGGGCTCTTCCAAGAGTTCGGAAGAACTCTGGGCCGATGTTTACGCCGAACAGGCGCTCCTGGCACAGGCTGCCTTGAACCCTCATCAGGCTATCAGGCACTATGAGGAAGCCTTATTACGCTGCCAGGACCATCCGATGGCAACCATCGGACTTGCTAATTTGCTATTAGACATCTGGGATCGGACTCTCTCCCCAGAGCCCTTGAATGCAGATGTGGATCTTAACGTTTCGCGTCTGTCATTACTCGCGGAGACTCCCAAACCCAAGTCCGCGAAAGCCATTTCAACTGATGATTTGAAGGTATCTCGGGAACACGAGAATGCAGAACCTGATGAGGTCCTTTCCTCCCCACACGATGTCGAACCCCAGCAGCTCCATCGTCTTGCGGCCCGGGATCGCGCCTACGGGCTCCTTTCGGCATTGACAAAGCTCGGTAGCTCCTGGGACAGCTCTGAGGCATGGTATGCCTTGTCCAGGGCATACGAGGCCGGCGAGCAAGTCGAGAAGTTGAAAGAAGTTCTCTGGTGGTGCATTGAACTAGAGGACAGACGACCAATTCGTCACTGGTCGAACATCGGCTCCGGTCTATATGTTCTCTGAAGCAAAATCTTGGGTGTTAAAATATCTTCTTGTATCTAATTCATTTCCCCTTGGCAACACTTTTCTGTTTGATTTTCAACAACTGAGATACCTTGTTGATACTGGCATGTGAACTACATGGTTGCGACGAGCATTTTTAATTGAAGCGGATTTTCGAGAATGGACTCTCTTCGTAAAAAAGCAAACACTACCGGTAAGACGTCTTTATATACATTTCCCACATAGACAACCAAGTTGCCAGCGGGTCCAAAAGGAAACGGGATCAGGTGAACAGCACGAACGTTGGATCGATTCTACTACTGCAATTTGATTTACCGCGGAGCAGCAGTGGGAACCCAGGCAGCGATCTTCGGCTTGGTACTAGGGGCGAAGTTAGTCAATGCATGGGCGTAAATCAAGGGCGGGATGTAGGGCTACACATACGTAGAGTAAGTCTTGAAGGCAGCACGGCTCAGAGTTGGGTTGGCGCGGTGCTCAGGCAGCTCCCAAGGGCGGACACCAGTCTGCATGATCTTGTCGGCGTGTGGAGGCGCGTCAACAAGGTAGGAGATCCAGGCGTGCCTGAATTTGAATTAGTCGCTTGAATTAATCGCGTGTATTTGTTGTGGGACTTGTTGCCCGTGTATCGAGAGAGAAGCTTACCAGCCGGGCTCAATGTGGGATGCGTCGTATTCGACCTCCTTGTAGTCGACCCATCGTGTACGGACTAAACGGAAGAAAATTAGCACTTCGGGTGCCCTTTCATAGTCGCCCGCAAGAGTGAGTCGTCTTACGAGGCAATTCCTCCTCCATGTTCTCGAAGTACTTGTTTCCGAAGCGATCGGTTCCGATCAGGGTTCCGGCCTTGGTATCACCTGGAATAGCATGAATTGTCAGTCAACTGCAGCGCGATTACCAATTGAGAGGCGACGTACCGATGTACTAGATCACAGCGCAAAGACACCTAAGTTAGTCTTCATTTCAAGCAATTGTCCCAACCCTCCGGGAGAGGCGTCCGCGATCATACCTGCATTTGGTGGCCAGCATCCTAAGTAGCAAAGTTAGCGACCAAATTCACTTAGAGAAGAGACCAGACAGAGACAAACCTTGAGGCCAACCCGGCGAAGGTTACGCAGCGTCCTCAGAATAGTCGACATCTTTGCTCGTTCAATGTGGAGCGAATGGGATGCGAGAGATTGGTGATTTGAGGTTGCAGGAGGGCGGCTGTTTGCACTGTTTGCATCTCTTTCGTGGATTTCCCGATTCAGAAAAACCCTCGACTTTCGTCTCTTAGACATGTTTTGCCGAATCGGAGGACAGGCGCTTCGTAGCGCTGGGCGTCGCTCGGTTGCACGCCCCAGGCTATATGCTCGCAACTTTTCTGCGCAGTCCGGTACCACTGCTACCACTGCTGCGTCCGCTCCTTCACCACTAGCAGGAATCACCTCCGAGCTAGACCGCATTGCTCCCCGATTTGAAGTGCCTGCGTCGCAGATCACCATTATTGATTCTCCAGCGAATTTCTATTCCACTCTAAAGGTGCGTTGAACTGTACGACTTTTACCGAAGTGCGATTAAACTGACTTGCGACTGCACAGGATAAAATCCTCAAAGCTCGGCGGCGTGTTTACCTCTCCACCCTATACATCGGCAAAACGGAATTCGACCTGATCGATACATTGAGCCAGGCTCTTCGCGATAACCCCGATCTACAAGTCTCAGTCCTTACGGATGCTCTGCGTGGCACACGAGAGACACCGAACCCTTCATGCGCATCACTCCTTTGTTCGTTAGTCGAGAAGTATGGTCCGGAGCGGGTTGAGATTCGGATGTTCCATACGCCTAATTTGACCGGCTTGAGAAAGCAATGGATTCCTCGTCGAATTAACGAGGGCTGGGGCTTGCAACACATGAAGCTTTATGGAATCGACGACGAGATTATTCTCTCAGGGTATGTCTCCTACGACCGTTGTACCCGCATAAGAGACTGACATATCTCAGCGCGAACCTGTCTGAGGAATACTTCACAAGCCGCTTGGATCGGTACCATGTCTTCGCCTCCAAGGCGCTGACCGAATACTATGCTCAAATTCACCATGCAATCTGCAGTTTGAGTTTCCAGATTCTACCAGACCCCGAGAACGAGTCCTATATTTTGGACTGGCCTAGCTCAAACGGTGCGCCATCGCCTCTCGACAGCCCTCAGGACTTTGTCGCTTATTCGTCGACCTTCCTGAACCCGCTCATTCAGGCATCTGACAATAAACCCGCTGATCCATCCGAATCCAGCCAAACCTTTGTATACCCTGTTTCACAGTTCACGCCGCTATTGAAACCCAAGGATACCTCTACCGAATATCCTGCCGTAACTACGATCCTTCGTATGTTGTCCAGCTCGTCTGCATTTGCTGGTGCCCGCTGGCTCTTCACGGCAGGATATTTCAATATCCACCCCGTCCTTTCCTCCCTCTTGATCTCCAGTACCTCCGCTGCCCAGCACAATCCCTCTACCACACAAGGCACTGTCTTGACAGCTTCTCCGTGGGCCAATGGATTCTATGGCTCCCCGGGAATCTCAGGCATGCTCCCAGCCGCCTACACCCACCTTTCGGCACGATTCCTCGATCGTGTCGCTGAGGCACAGGCTACCAGTTCCATCCAGCTCAAGGAATGGCGCAAGGGCACTGTGGGCACACCAGGTGGCTGGACATACCACGCCAAGGGCCTTTGGGTCACTCTGCCCAACGAGGAACACCCAAGTCTTACGTTTGTTGGTAGCAGCAACTACACAAAACGCAGCTATAGTCTCGACATCGAAACCGGCGCTCTAGTTGTAACAAACGACCCGGATCTCAAGCAGAAGTTGGGCGAGGAGACAGAGCGACTCCAGAAGGACGCCAGCCCCGTCTCGAGAGATGACCTCATGCAGACGGAGAGACGTGTCGGGTGGAACGTGAGGCTCTCCATGTGGATCGTGGAGAAGGTCGGCGGTGCCTTCTAATTTCTTTTCTTGTGTAAATATCTCTTTTCGAATAATAGATACTCTGTAATATAGCGAAATATAGATTGGTGTGATATCTGATGCTTATCACATCATCCAGGAACATTTGAGTCACGCATCAAGACTGATATGAACCCCAATTCCATCTTCACTCATCTTTTGACCCAACAACAATATTGAATAAGACAGATATGTCTCTCGAACAAGCCTTGGCGAAATGCTGGTTCGGCTTTTGACTTGGATGACACACTTCACGAATTTCGACGAGCCTCAGCCAACGCCTCAACCCACATCTTCGAGGCAATACACTCTTCAAACAGCCAGGTCAGCATCGATACCCTCAGAGCCACATACAGTAATATTTTGCGCAGTACGACCGCCAACGCCTTCACAGATGGCAGAACTTCAACGGAGTATCGACGTGAACGATTTGGGCGTCTTCTCCAGGCGCACGGGCTTATGGGCCCCGATCATTTCTTCGAGCCTGGAAATCCCCTACTTGACCGCCTGTTGGATCTATATCGGAATTCTTTGCGCGAAAGTCTGGCTCTCAAACCTGGTGTTTTACAGCTTTTTCAGACTCTGCGACGATTGGGGAAGAAAGTTATTGTTATCACTGAAGGACCAGCCGATGCGCAAGAATGGACGGTACAAGAGCTGGGGATATGGCGATATATAAATGTGCTTGTTACGACAAATGAAGTTGGTAGATCTAAAGCGGATGGGCTCTTGGGTATTGTCTTGAAGAAGCACGAGATACACTCTAGTGATATTGTTTACTTCGGTGACAATGAGCTTCGTGATGTTCAAGCTGCACAGGAGGAGGGGATTTTGGCAGTCCATTATGACGAGACACAGAAACCTCAGTTGGATGATATCAATGGATTACGGGTGAATTCGTGGGCTGTGGTAGAAAAGGTACTCGTCCGTGGAGAGTAAGGAGATTGGTATGGAATAGAACATGAAGACATAAACATAACTTTTGGTCTAGCCATCAAAAGATATCAACCCTAACGCACGGGCATGCAGGAATAAAAAATAAAACAAAACGAAAGCCAAACGCCATGTCATGACTGAGGGGTTCCACCGAGCGTCGTCTCATATGCAATGCGGATCTTCATCTAAGCTCGTCCGGGGACTTTGCCGCTCCTGAAGCGAGCAGGGCCAAGGCCAGAACGTACCTCGTCGAGGTTTCTGATACCAATGGCCTCGTTACCGTTCCTGCCACGCTTGTTCTTAGCACCAGTGCGCTTAGCCTGGGCACTGGTGTTGGGATCCCAGCTAGAAAGGAAGTCGTCCATCACGCTGTTGAAGTTGCTACGGCTGTGGATCTCGTTTCCATTGGCATCGACCAAGCTGGGGGCCTCGGATGCGGCGGACATATCCGTCATGCCGGTTGCGCCTGTCATTCCACTGACCATGGACATGCTGTCGTCGTACTCATCTTCCTCGTCGAGAGCATAGAGAGCCTCCACCTTGTCAAATCGGTCGTCCAAAAGACGGTGTCCCTCAGTACGAGCCAGAGCAGAAGATGTCATCGAGTATGCGGATGGGTTGGTCAGAGCACCCTTGCGCTTCTTGCGCCGAATTGGTGTACCACCGGCAGTGAATACGGTCGATGCCATTGTTTGCGAGGGTGCAATTGTGGGTGCTGCGGGTACCGGGGCCTTGCCAGCCTTTGCATCTTTCTTGAACTTGGCGAACTCGTTCATCCACCCTTGGTCGGTTGGGGCGATATCCGGAGCTGGTTGATCGTGCTCAGGCATCTCGCCGGGCTCCAGAGTATTAGCATCGGTGGCCTCTGGAAGCTTCTCGTCCATGGCTTCTGTGCTATCCATCTGCACGGGTGCCTTCTCGGTGGCATCCGACTCCCATCCTTCATCTTCGTCGTCGTGGTCAAAGAGAGAATCCTCCCAGTCGCCCTCGTCAATCTCCTCCGCATTGGCGGTCAATTCACCAAAGACATCATCATCATCGCCATCCTGCACAAAGGCCTCATCCTCGAGCGCCTCCAGGGCCTCTCGTAGGCGGGGGTCCATGTCGGGCTTGAATCCAGCAATCGCATCGGGAACGTTCTGCTGGTCCTGGTAGGTCGGTTTGCGAACATATGACGATGCAGTGGAGCGCATATCGCCATATTCAGAGCCGTAGAGACTGGGGCCACCGAAAGCGCTCTGAGAATCGCCTTCTCTGTCATCCAGAGAGACCTGTCGCAGCGCATCCTCCAGCTTCACTCCCTTGTTGGCCTTGCCTTTGGGCTTCTCCTGCTTAGCTTCAACAAAGTAGGTGTCTCCGCTTCCGGTTCCAAGCTCGCGCAAATGCTGCATGTAATCGTAGTTGGAGTCATCATAGTAAATACCATAATTAGCAGCCTCACCCTCGTTCTGGCGAGCACTGTCACCAAACTCGGACTGAAGATCGTGGAGGTTGCGCAAGGGCTTTGTCGCAGTTCTCGATGAAGATGGAGCGGGAGCGGGACCAGAAATCTGGTGGAGGACGCGGTCATCCGCACCGGTATCGTGAATCAACGGGTCATTTTGAGACCGGTGGAAGAGCTGGAAGGTGCTCGCGTTCTTCTTGTCACTATGAATCGGTCAGGTTTTGCGCATCCATACTCTCGTGTTTAAACGTACATCCACTGTTTGGGCGGCATGTTGGACTTGGTTGAATGTTGGTGTCGCAGAAAAAAAAAAGAAAAGTGGGATTGATAGAGTCACGTGCAGTCTTATCGCCCCTCGTTCTCCGGGGTCCTCGAGGAACCTTGGGGGTTTCTTTAAGAATTATATTCAAATGCCAAGGGATATAATATATTCTTTTGGTTTCTGCTATGCTCGCAAAGTTGGACTTTTGAATGTGCACATTCGCTTGTGGACTTGGGTACTAATTGGGCTCGTGATAGGCCAGTATATGTGTGATGCCCTTGAGCTACACCATGTTTGGGATATAGGTCTCTCTGTTAGATATAAGCTATGTATTGCTGCATAAACGCACATGTATATATATGTATATATCAATATAGTCGACATAATCATCCATCCGATATATCTCCAGACTTCCTAACATCCGCGAAGTATACGCGATAGAGGGGGCTGAGTCAGCGTTATCTTATCCGTCTGAATAATCCAAAATTCCCTTCCGTTCGGTGGGGTTGACACTTTTTTCATTTCTACAACTTTTTCGCATTTTGAAGTCACTGCCATCATGGTGCTGGCTAAATCCAAGAACAATGTGGGACTGGGAAGCAGTCTCATGAATGACCGCTTTGGCAAGGGCAAGGCGTCCAGCCAGAAGAAGGTCTCTCACAACAATGCCATTGCGCGAAAGGGCATGGATGGTGAGACCTACGTGACCAACGAAGCCAAGGAGGCATCATGGGTGAAGATGCGCTCTATCACCGAGCAGGCTGCTCTCGACGAGTTCCTGAGCACTGCCGAACTCGCCGGAACCGATTTTACCGCTGAAAAAATCAACAACGTTAAGATTATCCACTCCGACCAGAAGAACCCTTTCCTCCTCACCCCCACCGAGGAGAAGAACGCCGTGAAAAAGCACCAAAAGAACAAGGGAAGATTGACTGTCCCCCGACGACCCAAGTGGGACCAGTCTACAACTCGCAATGAACTGGAAGCGATGGAAAAACAAAGTCTGTTGGACTGGCGACGAGGACTGGCGGAGTTGCAGGAATATCATGATCTGCTGATGACTCCTTTCGAGCGCAACTTGGAAGTCTGGCGTCAGTTGTGGCGTGTTATTGAGCGATCCGATCTGGTCGTTCAGATTGTCGATGCCCGTAACCCGCTGCAGTTTCGTTCTGAAGATTTGGAGACCTATGTCAAGGAGATTGACCCACGAAAGAAAAATTTGCTGTTGGTCAACAAGGCCGATATGTTGACTCTTAAGCAAAGAGAGGCCTGGGCCGAGTACTTCGAGCGGAACAACATTAACTTCCGTTTCTTCTCTGCTCACCTCGCCAAGGAGAAGATCGAGGCTGCCCTTTTGGAAGAAGAGGCTCAGGGAAATGAGGAACTCGCCAACAAGACTAAGGACATGAATGTTCGTGATGATGAGGATGATGGATACCGCAAGGAGGACACAGTGGAAGAGGAGATGGCCAAGCTCGCCGACCCAGATCGCTCGCTTGGTCCTCACATCTTGGACACAGAAGAATTGGAAGAACTCTTCCTGGCAAACTCCCCTGAAACACTACCACAAGACGAAGAGGCTGGCGAGCAACCCAAGCAGAAGACCACAATCGGTCTCGTTGGATACCCTAATGTGGGTAAGTCCAGCACAATCAACGCCCTGCTTGGTGCCAAGAAGGTTTCTGTCTCTGCGACACCCGGTAAGACCAAGCACTTCCAGACCTTGTACCTCTCACCCGAGATCATGCTCTGCGATTGTCCCGGTCTTGTGTTCCCCAACTTCGCTACCACCAAGGCCGAGCTGGTCGTCAACGGTGTGCTGCCCATTGATCAGCAGCGTGAGTTCACCGGTCCTGCCGGCCTCGTTGCCAAGCGTGTCCCCAAGCACTTCATCGAACAAGTTTACGGTGTCAAGCTGCGCATGCGCCCCATCGAAGAAGGCGGCACAGGCATCCCAACCGCCAGCGAGATTCTCCGCGCATACGCCCGTGCTCGTGGTTTCTCCACTCAGGGTCTCGGTCAGCCAGACGAGTCTCGCGCTGCCCGTTACGTCCTAAAGGATTATGTCAACGGAAAGCTGCTTTACGTCCACCCACCCCCCACCGCGGAAGGCGAAGAACCCATCGACGTGAACGAGTTCAACAAAGATCTTTATGATATCAACCACCTCCCAGAAAGACGTCGCAACCAGCTCGCACAAGCACAGATCGGCAAGCCAGCCACACCGGCCATGGTTAAAGATGACATTGACGCAGACGTCACTGCCGCCCCGTACAGCGAGCCCACAGTGGAACCTGAGCTCGGTCGTACCTCGCGCAACCTCGACTCCGGTTTCTTCGGCACAGCCACTGGCCCTTCTGCCGGCCGCATGACACTCCCCTTCCAGGCTCAGTACACCAAGCAGGGCCAGGAGATCCGCAAGACTCCCACAGGCCGCAAGGAGCGCATGATGGTTGCTCTGGAGCGTGGTGTGGATGTCTCTGAGGTGCGGGGTCCTAACTCCAAGAAGCACTTCAAGGGTAACAAGAAGGCGGCCAAGAAGATCCGCAACAATCCTGAAGATGACGATTATTAAAAAGTGCTTTTTGTTACCTGCGCCTGGGCGAGTGGAGGGGGATTTTCTGTCGCTCCTTCTGCCTCTTCTGGGGTATCATCCTTGGGCTCGTCGGGCCTGGGATGAATGAATGATAAATGATCCTCCTTACGGGATTTGCATGTCATGTTTTCATTTTGGGATTGAATTTTTATATTCATGTTCATACGTTGCTATTTGCAGATCATCTTTTTGGCGTTTGGTTTTACGAGTTGAATAACGATTTATACCAGTCATTCATTCACTTGATTTTTTTTTTCTCTTCCACTACCTACAATACATTCCCAGTATCATGTAGAACCCGAAACAACCCTATTTCTTACCCTTCTCAGCTCTATGTCGCACCTGTGTCAACTTGCCAGAAATCGAGTCTGTCATTTCTTAGGTTGCATCCCCCATTCCTCCTATGTCTTCTTCAGTTCATCCACGATCAATGTCTCCCATGTCTGAGGAGGGCTTGGGTATGTACAGGTAGACCAAATATACTCTAATCGCCCCAGCTTGTAGAAACCCGCAATGGAAAGCCCGCAAATGTATCAAAAAAGCAATACATGTAGGAAGGCATTCCTCGTAAAGCATTGAGCACAAAATGAATGCGTGGATGCTCGCCCACATTTCCTGTTCTCTTCTCACGTTCCATGGGAAGCCCTATTACAAGTTCTATCAACAAGATCAGAAGAATGGAATTTAATAGCTGAATTCTGCATCGACTTGAGTGTCTAAGTCTCCATAAATAAACTCATTACCTGAACCAGGCTGCCACATATTGCCTTCTGATCTGAATTCTCTTGTGTGCCAGTGATCGTGTGTGGAATGTACCCTTGACATAGTATTGGTGCATCTTTTTATTCCGCCACGGACGGATGGGGTCGTAGTGTTTCTGAAAACACAGGCCCAGCTATGCGAACCGCCTCCGTTCCTGTTCTTCCTCTTGAGCCTTCTGATCCACAGCCCTTTGAGACTTTCATTGGCTTTTGCAACTTGTTTCAACGCTCCTGTTCGTACTTGTAGCGCGAGCTGCTTTTCCCTTCTTTTCCTCCGCTGTCAGGACTTCCTTGGGCACTTCGACATATCTTCTTTTCCAAATTGCCCTCTTCTTCTCGGCGGACTTTATTAGTACATGTAGCACCATAGATCGATGTCCAGGAGTCTCAATGAGCTCTCATGGAACATCTGTATTCTTGAAGAGAGCGACATATTCATCCAGTAGCGGCGGCGGCGGCAGGGACCTGTGCCCTGTTGATCGTGCTCTCGGGTCGCATTCTCTTTAGGAGATCAAGGCTGTCGGCCGCTGTGTGCTATGCATCCTTCTTCTCCATTTTGTTCTGCTTGTATCTCTGTCCTCTCTCGTGTTTCTTCTTCTGTCGTTTTAGGGTCTTGTTGCTGTTTAGCTTCATTGGAGTGTCTAAGGCCTTCTGCGTCAGATGAGGAAGGATGAGAGAGGATGACGGCAGAAGAAATGCTGGAAGAGGTAAAGCCATCATTTATCACCCAAAGCCATTTCAATAGTTGGCTGTTCCCTTTGTTCGGATTCGACATACCCGGGATTGGAAGTGACTCTTATACAATGCAATGGTGCAGACTGGGCACATTCTCAGGTTCCGGCTGCGACCTTAGATGACGGTGGTGAGCTTAGACTTCGAGAAGCAATAACGAAGACCGCTCGGCTGACCCAAAAAATCGGAAGAACATGCTACATGAAAAATACTTCGCAACGAACGTATACATTAGTCTACAGCACAAGATAGCAAACAATTATATGCACCAAGACCTATGTAGCCTTCCACAAAGCATTGACCTGCTTTCTCCGAGTCTAGATAGAAGAGCAAGGTCAATAAATATCTTTTAGAAAAAAATGGGAAAACATACCATCGGAGCCAAAATGGCGACACCAACACCGAGTGCCACCACAGTAAGAACAAGCTGCAACTTAGAGAAGCTCTTGCCGAGGACATCAAATGCCTGGCTGGGGGTGGCGCGGGTGCCATAGATATCACTACCAAAGGCGAAGATAAGACTCGTACTCTCCAACAGGGTAGGACGAGAAAGCACTTGCTTGATACCGGCGACATCGCGGGCGTGCGAGAGGTACCATTTGCCATCGAAATCAAAGTAGGGAGCGTAGCGGAAGAGACCTTCTTCGGTCTCAGCAGCAGTAGCGTCCCGGTCTACAGGGCGGCGGGGGTCAAGGACGGGACGGGGGATTCCAACGATGGAGTTGGAAGAGGGGAGAGTGCAGAGGAGCTGGCGCGTGGTGATGCCCTGGCGGGTTTGAGTAACCGTCATGTGGGAGATTGGCTCGGGGATCATGAAGGCCTGGGAGATAACATGGGGCAGCGGGGGGCTTTCGACGCTGCTGTGGAGACTGGAGTAGTTGCTAGCGGAGTCGAGAGGACCACGGTCGTTGGGGAAGGGGGACTCGTAGAGCTCGGAGATGACGAGCTGGTATCCCTTGGCAGAGGACTCGTTGGAATCGATATCACCCCAGAAAGAGAAGGCGAACCAGTTCTCAGACATTGCGGATGCGATGGGCTGTGTGGTATCCACGCCGGATTGAGTAGTGGCATGCAGGACCTTGCCTGAAACACCGTCCAACAGATAGAAGCTGGCGATATTGGTCTTCTCATTCACTGCGGTGACTAGGGCCAAGTTCGTGTTGAGGTATTTGTACAGAACCGAGCGGTCTCCAAGGACCTTGCCGATGGATGCCACAGGGTCATGGACAGGGCGAGCAGTGGCATGAACAACCTTTTGCCCGGATGGAGGAAGAAACTCCCAGACAGGCGACTTGTTGTCCTTTGCGATCCAGCCGAGGACTCGGCCGTCGACACTGGTAGTTACCAAGAACCCGTTCACCTCGTCAAATGCAGTCACTGGGGAACCATCCTCACGGACGCCAACGGTGGTCAATGATGATGCTTCCTGGGCGCCGAAGACAGCAATTGAGTGAATCTTGCTGTCCGATGAGGCAGTGCGTGAGATGATATCACCTGTCGAGACTTTCAGAGTCACAGAGCTTCCATCGTTAGGGTAGATAGTGGCGGTGCCTGGCGAAGTCAAAATAGCCTTAACATCCCACTCGGAGGTTTCTACGGCCTGCACACTCCACAAAACGGCGCCATGTTTACCGGTATCCAAAGCATACACACGGCCGTTCTTTGTGGCAACAAGAACAGGAGTAGCAAGGCCAAAGCTGTCAAGGTTGGTCACCTCATCGCTGAAAATACTGCTCAGGATACGCTCAGGGATGTGCTTCAGCCACTGTTGCAGGTATTGCAGGTCACGGACGTGACGCTTCACACGGTGAATGTACGCTCCGTAGATTGTCTCATGGCCTTCAACCTCCAGCTCATGAGCCAGACCCTCCTGGGCATCGACTTCCGCCCAGGTGGCGGCAACAGCATCAATAAGACCTTCATTGCGGATCCATTCGATCTGGCCATTTCGGATAAGCTGCCAATCACCATGCTCGCGGAAAACGGCTGACCGGACAGACACAGAACCTCCCCTGGTGACCAGGTCGGAGACAGCGTGCAAAGCAACGTCAGAAGATTCTGGCAGATTCCAGCGACCCAGAATGCCATGAGAGGCGGAAGAGACAACAACAGCCTCGGAGTCCGTGACACGAGTGAAGAAGACATTAGCGTCAATAACACTTGTCGCAACCACCGAATGCCCAGGCAGATAAGGCAGTTGGTAAGCCTTAGTCACCTTAGACGACTTCATGTCTACATGGTACACCTCAGCCCAGGCTCCAGCCTCAGTTGCATAGTGAACCAAGAAATGGGGAAGAGCGTTTGTCTTGTGTGCAGCATGGACTGTGATCTTGCGAATATCCAAGCCGGAAGTGTTGTCAATGGCGACCGAGTTGATTTCCTTGGTGCCAATTACATTGACTTTCAGAGACTTTTGCGACTTGTCCGTCCAGACGATGATGGGTGAGGCAGTGTTGGCGCCGACGAAAAGAACGGACTCGGGGGTAGCCACGTCGCTTTCGGAGTTAAGGGTTTGCTGGCGAACCTGCTTTCCAGTCACTGGGTCCAACACAGTGACCTTGATTCTGTAGCCCTTCAGCATAGCTGATTGAAGTGAAATGTAGAAGACCTCTGTCGGGGAGGATGACACTTGGAACGGAACGTCACCACTAAGAGCATTTCATTAGCTTGAACAACAGCAGTCAAGCCGAGAACTAACCTGTCATCCCTGTATTCCCACTTGATGTTACCAGAATTACCATCCAAACGTCTCACGATACCGGAGCCTTCGCTGCCAACCACGGCAATGGTATCACGAATTCCGGGGGTCGCGGTAGCATCCTCAAGCTCCAACAGCTCCAGATCCGCAACCACACCTTCAGAGTACCGGTTTTCCCAAGCCAGCTTTCCATCCTGAGCACTCCATGACGAGATGTAGTTACCCGCTGCGCCAACAACCGCGTCGTTGCCGTCCAGTCCGCGCAGAAGACCCCCGCGCGCCGGCGAATCCGCCGACCGCGAGAGGTTCTGGCGCCATAACAGAGCTCCGTCACGTGGGTTGATTGCACCCACTAGTAGCTTGTCGGAGATTGTATATAGAAGGGAGGCATTGGAGGTCGAAGATGGCTTAAGGAAGAAGGTCGAGTCGGGGGAGGGGGAACCGAGCAGAGCGTGATGGAAGTCGATGTGATTAACCTCATCGTTGTAAATGGCTGCCGCGGGCGATAGGCACACGGCGAAGAAGAGCGCCGCCTGAAGCCGCATTTTGTCGAATGGCTCTTATTGAAGCATTGAGGGAGGTGGATGGCTTAGGCTGTGTTGTTACAAACTTGGCGTCCGGGCGGTGATCGCTCCCGGTCTATCTACTGCTACGCATCTCTAAGCCAATTGTTTTAATCAAAAATGGAGCGGAAAACATTGAATAAATTGTATATTTTGGTGCAAGTCTTTGTGGGTATCTCAAATGCCAATTGCTACTTCTAGACAAATTACTTCTGGACAGGTTGCACGGCTACATGGACTTAATCCCGTGGGTTCACCATGCCTCATACTGCCGCCTGTATTTACCTGCGTAGGCCACTCATGCTCCTCGTGACATTATCCCTAGCTGGTGTAAAGGAGTCTCCTGGTGCTCATTCGCTTACAAGAAGAAGGAAATTCCGTTCTACAACTTACAACCCCTGATGAATTGCTACGTCTTTCCAAACTGTTCGACTTAGGGCAAGCATTGAGATTAAGTGGCAGCAAAGCATATTGTGTAGAAAATTTTCATATGTCAACTGGACTCAATAATCCCTGGGCCCGAGTAACTACATCATCTGGAGTCCCAAAATATGCGTAAGACATTTCACCATCCGCGGTAGTGTTGTTTGGGCAAGTCTTGCCAATAAATCTAAAGCGACGAACTTGTTAGCACATTCGCGATCGTGACGTACAAAAGTGAGCCACATACCTTAACTTTGCTTAGTAGTTGTCGTCACGGCGGCTGCTTCCATAGCTGTTGTCATTGCTGCTGCCATAGCTGTCGTTGTTACGGCCAGAGTTGGAGTCACCGTAGGTGTCATTGCTGCCGTAGCTGTTGTCATTGTCACGGCCAGAGCTGGACTTGTTTCCGCTGCTGTAGCTATCGTTGTTGTCTCCGTAACTGGAGAAGTTCTTGTTGCTGCCATAGCTGTCGGTGTTGCTGCTTCCGTAGCTGTTGTCGTTATCACGGCTAGAGCTAGACTTGTTTCCACTGCTGTAGCTTGAGACGCCATAGCTTTCATTGCTGCTCTTGTTGTCTCCATAGCTGTTGTCATTATTGTTACTGCTGTAGCTGCCGTGATTGCTTCCATAGCTAGAAGAATCTTTCTTGCTGCCATAGCTGTCATTGTTGCTGCTGCCATAGCTGTTGTCATTGTCACGGCCAGAGCTGGACTTGTTTCCGCTGCTGTAGCTATCGTTGTTGTCTCCGTAGCTAGAGGAGTTCTTGTTGCTGCCATAGCTGTCGTTGTCACGGCTGGAGCTGGACTTGCTTCCGTAGCTGTCATTGTTTCCGCTGCCATAGCTATCGTTGTTGTCTCCGTAGCTGGACGAGTCCTTCTTGCTACCGTAGCTGTCATCGTCACGGCCGGAGCTAGACTTGCTGCCACTTCCGTAGCTGTCATCATTGCTACCGTAGGAGCGGTTGTTGTTTCCGCTGCCATAGCTGTTGTCATTGCTGCTTCCATAGCTATCATTGTTGCGGCCAGAGCTCGACTTGTTTCCGCTGCCATAGCTGTCGTTGCTGTTGCTGCCGTAGCTATCGTTGCCACCATAGCCAGAGCTCTGGTTACGGCTACCGTAGCTATCGGAGTCGTTGTTGTAAGACATGATGTAGATATTCACAGGAACTTATGATTGAATTGGCAGGAGAAGAAGAGATGAAGAATTGTAGAAAAATACAAGCCACAGACAGAGGCAAGCGTGATATTTATACTAATTCCCAAGAACACACCAGCCTCAGCTCCAAAGCCCGAAACAGAACGGAGTAGAATAAAATCTCGCCCCTCATCTTCTAAACCCCTCAATCACAACATCATCCCACTATATGCGGCCTCGGCGAGAACAAAGAGCCAATAATCGGAGCACGGAGAAGCTAACCTCTCAGCTGGAGACTAGTTATTTGCTTGTTTGTCCACTATCGACCCCTCCGTCGAACCTAGATTGAGTGAAACCCACTGCGGCTGTGCTGCCTCTCGCCTAGTTGAGCCTGAGTTGCATCTTTAGCACAGATCTCCTTTATTGTGAACGTGTTCGGATCACGCGGCTGTGCTCTGCGGGGCCACTATTTATTTTGATGGGGCGAGGGTCTAGCAGCTGAACACCCCGGCTATTGTTTGTGGCGTTCTTAATATGTATGCCTGGGTGGCGAATTAGGGATATTGCACTATTTTGTTGGGATAATAAAGTAGCAATCGTGTTTATATGTGAGATCAGATGAGGCTGGAGCTGGGATTCACAAAAGGCAACCTGGAAGCACCTCATTTTTTGGGAGATATAGCTCCATTCGATGTACCAATCATAACGGAGCATGTTGTTTTTTCCGGGTCCGAGATCTAGATCGATTAATATGGATATCCGTGCACGAGTTTATCTTATGCAAAACAGTTGATCATTGAGAGAAAAACACCAACTACCGGTTTTCCATAGATGCAGATATATGTACAGTTTTGTGGGGGGAATCAAAATAAAACCAACAATGATGGTCACAAGCTGGTTTTACAGGCCAAAGCAAGCCTTGTTGGCCGACCGGATGGCTTCCTTCTCACCCTCGCTCATGGCATCGGTGATTTCCCAAGGAGTGTTGCCCATACCCATGGCACGCTGACCCTCGGGGTTAAGCGAAGACCAGTCAACAGCACCCTTGAAGCCAGCCTCGCCAGGACCACCAGCACCGGGGAAGTCCCACGGAGGAGAAAGGCTCTCCGCAGCCTGGCGCTGCTTAAGCAGATACTGGATGTTCATATCGCACAGCGGGGTGGCGGGGATGTACATGACACTGGAGTCCTTGGAACCACGGTGCTCCTTGTCGACGGAGTGCAGAGCATCGCAGTGCCAGGCGACAAAGTCACCAGGCTGGACCTCGGGCACAGGGACCATAGTCTCCTCGAGGTCGAGGTGAGGGTGTGTGACAGGGTTGTACTCCTGGGCGGCACCAGGCACAGAGCCAGGGAATGTGTTATCAAGCAGAGGCTTCGAGCTGTTACCTTCGAAGAATGGACGCAGGATCGTGTAGGCGGTGCTGTGGTTGATCATAGGGCACACGTGCAGCGAGCCTTCACCCGGCTTGGTGTGAGACATAGACAGCCAGGCCTGGAAGAAGCGCAGCATAGAGCAGGCGCCTGCACCGTTGTATAGATCCATCTGGGCGTTGAGGCGGTGGCGGGCATCCCATGCGTCGTATTGCTCCCAGTTTCCTTCAAGGACCTTAGTGTAGACTCGGCTGTACTCTGGGTCTTCCCAGCGCTCGAGAGAGCCACCGTCGATGTGGGGGCCCAGGGTGAATTTTGAGTCACCCGGATCGCGGATCCGGAGACGGTCTCCGTAAGTGAGAGGGTTTGTGGTGGAAATCTTGCTATCGGGGTCAGAGGAGTGCCACAGTTGTTGCGTGAAGCGCTGGGTGTTCAGCATGTTAGGGTGAGCACGGGCTTCAGCCTGCGATGGAGTCCAGTACAATTCATAAACGGCTGGAGAGTCGGCTGGGAAAGCCTTGACGCGCTCCTTGTTGGCGGCCACATAGTCGCGGATCCGCTGCTTGTATTCTAGGGCTTGGTCCTGAGGGAGCACATTGCGGACGACCACACTGCCTCGGTGGCGGATCTCTTTTAATGTGGCTTCAGAAACTTGACCAGACACAATTTCGGAGTAGTTAACAGAGGGAATGATCTAATTTATATTAGTCTTTGACTCATTTAGTTCGAGAGATGTATACATACATCGCTGCCCTGTGCTCTGATCTTCTGCACTTCGGTATCCAGGCTAGGTAGCAGACGCTCCCAACTCCTTGTCAGGGCCTCCCTGTTCTCGTTGAAGAACTTTTCCTTTAGCTCTGCAAAGCGAGGGGGGGAGAGGTTCAGGCTTGTAGTCGGCTCTCAGACTAGGAAAGACTGATGAGATATCACCAGCGGCCTTAGTGGTCTGGGCCGAGGTAGAGGCCGCACGGACGGCAGATTTAGAGAGAAGTTTTGACATCGACATGATTGAAGTTGCTATTTTGAACTTTGCGGGGATCTCGGTGAGAGAGCGATATTTATATATTTCGTGGGGGAACTCACTCCATGCATTAGTGGCGGGAGATTCCCTTATTGGGTAGTCGTGCCGCTGTCGGGAAGAGGGGATGTGCCATTTGCCTACCATATTAGGAGATCTATCCGACTACATGACATCAGTCCATACTCATTTCCACCGTTTGACCCCAGAGACAAGGTAGAATACCGTAGAATTCTTGTAGAAATCGGTTCATTCGGGTACTAATTACTCGGTAAGCCGGCAAGTCAGCTCAGAATTGCGGGATGGGAGATGTACTGTAGGGCTAGAATTAGTGTTGTATAATAATACGCTGTACAGAGCCTGGGAAGTATTGGGTCAGTCAAGTCCACGCTGGATATGAGAGAATAGATAATGTTTTACACTATATCCTTTATGTAAAATCAATCGCTCCCTCTGCTCTCTTTCTAGTGTCTTTGTTTAATTTTCAACTCTAAAGCAGGAGGATCCCAGCTGAGGTTCTGTTGCCAGCTGTCCGAAAATATGAAATGTCTCGACAAAGCATGTGTAGAAGATATGCTTACATATTGCAATAGGTATGTCATCTTCTAAGGTCAATCCCAGGCCTGTAGGGCTGCGCATTCTGATCATATAAAACTCTACGGCATTCGCCTGAATAACCCAAACTGGCAATATTAGCCACGCTGTTTTGCAGGACAAGTCAGCAGTCCCACAGTCTCCAGGAAAGGCAGAGGAAGCGAGAGTCCCTCATGCTCCAGCGTCCCACTTGCTGATCCGGAGCTAGACTCGGCATACAGACCAGCTGTACACAGCGCCTACATAAAGACAATGCAAGTACGTGTAGGAAAGAGGGGGCCTTTATCAGATGACCAGGATAAAAGGCAAACGTCCAGTTACCCACCAGACTATCATTGGGCTATACAGTAGAAATTTCGGCCTTTACGCCGGCCACGGACCACCTTCCCACGGTTAAATGCCCTGCGGGGGTAAACTGGAGACGGTACGCGCTGCAAAGGACCCCGAGGAAGTTCCACTAACTGTATAAAGGTTTGCAGAACCCCCCGACGGTTCCGAGGCGCTGTAGATTGACTTGATTAATCGTATATACCTTGAAAATGGCTCTCTCAGTCAAAGGAAGAACTGCCATTGTTACTGGAGCTGGCTCCGGTATGTCTTTATACTCTATGAGACTGAAGGTTGTACAGTAGATAGTGTGCTTACTTCCTAGCTAGGAATCAACCTCGCCTTTGCGAAATTGCTGGTGGAAAATGGTTGCAATGTCCTCATTGCAGACCTAGCCTTGCGCCCTGAAGCGCAAGTGCTGGCTGATAAGCACTCCTCTGGACTTGCCCGAGTCGTATTCCAGCAGACCAACGTGGCAGACTGGGTACAGCTCGAGCGGATGTTCGAGATTGCAGAAAAAGAGTTTGGCGAGATCGATATTGTTTGCCCGGGCGCTGGAGTCTACGAGCCGGTAAGAGAGCAACAGAGCAACCCTGACAGAACAGCACAGGGCTGATTACAAACTATACAGCACTGGAGTAACTTCTGGCGCCCACCCGGCGCTGCCCCGAGCAAAGACTCAATTGCTGGTGGCCGGTATGCGCTGGTAGATATCAACGTCACGCACCCTATTCGCACGTCACAACTAGCTATCGCCCATTTCCTCAAGAATCGAACCAGCGGTCGCTCAAAGCATATCGTCCACATCTCCAGCATTGCCGGCCAGAACGCAAACCTCGCAGCACCGATTTACTGTGCCACAAAACATGCTATTAACGGCCTGGTCCGAGCACTGGCTGATCTCGACAAGAAGCTGGGGATCAGAGTGACAGCTGTGGCCCCCGGTGTTATCAAGACCCCGCTGTGGACCGACCATCCCGAGAAAATCAAGATGGTTGATGACAGCACCGACTCGTGGGTGACGCCCGAGGAGGTGGCGACAGTGATGTTGGCGCTCGTTCAGCAGGAAGTGGTGGGTGAGGTTATCGGGGATCAGTCGGGTCGCGGGCCGCAATATCCGGTCGCAGGTGGTACCATCCTAGAGGTTTCTAAGACTGTGCGGGCTGTGAATCAGTTTAATGATCCTGGTCCCGGCAACCGGCCTGGAAACACGGCGTCGGATCACCATCATGTGGAGGCAGAGAGTTATCAACTTTTGGCGCAGAAGGGTTGGGGATTGTCCAAGCTGTAGATGATATCATGCCATTTATATAGCAATTGAATATACAACCACGACAATCATGACGTTTCAACTACACGCAGAGGCGTAGAGCGTGTGTAGTGGAGTGTCAAGATTTGCGTGGAGAAGGGCCCGAGCCGGTCATGTGCTCTCCGCGATAAGGCCCTCAACTGGCCTTTTCCTCCTCTCACGTTTCAAGACCTCTCTGTTCTTTTTTTCGATCTCGGCCCCGCTGGCAGTGGCCGCTGTTATGTGCTGCGCGCCCTAAAAATTCGACGACTGTGTTTCCGCTTATACCTGATCTTTAATCATGGAGGAGGCTGCTATCGGGGTAGGCCCGTCCGCGGCATCTGGACTGCGCAAGTAGGTCTACAACTGAAGTGTTCCATCGCAAGGAAATGGCTAATAGATATTTGCCACAGGCGTTCAGGCCGCGGGAAACGAGCCGGAGATGTCGCAGGCGAGGCAAGTTGGGCCAGTAGTGTGATCAACCTGGTGAATACGAGTAAGGGCGCTAGATAACCTGGGACATGAAGACTCTCAATACTAATGTGATTTTCGTCTAGTTGTTGGCGCCGGTGTGCTTGCTATGCCACTGGCCATTTCCCATATGGGAATTGTCCTCGGAGTCTGCGTCATCCTTTGGTCTGGCTGCGCCGCAGGATTCGGCCTCTACCTACAATCACTATGCGCTCAATATCTCGACCGTGGAAGCGCCTCTTTCTTTGCCTTATCGCAATTAACATACCCTAATGCCGCTGTGGTGTTTGATGGTGCGATTGCGATCAAATGCTTCGGTGTCGGTGTGAGTTATCTGATTATCATCGGAGATCTCATGCCCGGCGTGGTACAAGGCTTTGTCGGCGCCGAGCCAGCATACGATTTCTTGGTAGATCGTCACTTCTGGGTCACTGCCTTTATGTTCGTTGCCTCGGACTTGTTTGACGAGTTGAAGTGCTGACCATCGATAACAGGTTGATCGTGATTCCCCTTTCCTATCTGCGCCGACTAGACTCGTTGAAGTACACTAGTATTGCGGCCTTGGTGTCCATGGCCTACTTGGTCATTTTAGTGGTGTATCATTTCGTTCTAGGAGATACAAAAGAAGACCGTGGCCCGATTCGTGTCGGTCACTGGGCGGGCGCAGTACCAACTCTCAGCAGTCTGCCAGTTATCGTGTTCGCATTTACCTGTCATCAAAATGTAAGTTCGCACTACCGCAAGAAGCCGGACATATCTAACCAGTCTTCTAGATGTTCTCGATCCTCAATGAAATCGGCAACAACAGCCATTTCCGCACAACAGCAGTTGTTTTTGCCAGTATCGGCAGTGCAGCTGGAACCTACATTCTTGTAGCCATCACCGGCTACCTATCTTTCGGCAACAGCGTCGGCGGTAACATCGTTGGAATGTACCCGCCCGGGGTGCCAGCAACAATCGGCCGCGCTGCAATCGTCATGCTAGTGGTCTTCTCATACCCTCTCCAGTGCCACCCATGCCGAGCATCAGTCGATGCCGTTCTAAAATGGCGCCCCAGATCTCAAGCTAGCGGTACAGAAGGCTCTCCACATCGCCATCCGCTGCTGGGCCCTCGTGGAAATCGCACTCCCGAACCTATGAGCGATCTCCGCTTCTCAGTTATCACAACTACTATCCTTATTTTCAGTTACATCGTCGCCATGACCGTGTCCTCCCTGGAAGCCGTGCTGGCCTACGTCGGTAGCACCGGCAGTACCAGTATCAGTTTCATTCTGCCCGGCTTGTTCTACTACAAGATCTCCTCCCCAGACTCGCCTACCCACCGCGGCCTGATGAAGGAGGACGACGAGGCAGAGGATGATTTCTCAGACGAGGATGGTGAGGGCGAGGGTTCTCTCTCCCGCTCATTAACTGAAAGTGGCCTCTTGCTCGGGAGCAAGAAGCACTGGCGCAAGGCACTCCTGCGACCGCTTAGTCTGGCATTGGCCGCTTACGGCTTCCTTGTCATGGTCGTGTGCCTGATTACGAACACTTTCTTCATAGCCTCGCACTAATTTGCTTCTTTGCTACATGACCTGCTTCTTTTCTGCTCCCAGTTATGCAAGCGTTGCTCCCGGTGCAAGGTCCTTGTTTCCGGCGCAGACTTCTATCGCTTCTGGGTAGAACACATACGTTGGGCACAATCCCATTCCTTCATTCATCTTCCCTACACAAGGTTAGATCGTTACATTTTTGCTATCTACACTTCACTAGAGGTTCTTGCTGCTTTCCCCGAGGTTTTTGCACAGTTCATTCTCGGTTCCATTGTGCTCGTCTATGTTGGGAGTTTGGGGTATTGTATCTATCATCTTGGTTGCTTTTCATACTACAGTAATTTCCTTGGCTCTCTTTGTTTGCCTCTTGCGTGCATTCATGCGGCTTGATAATTGAATCGTAGACGGAAATCATAACGAAAAGAGGTTTCCTCTGGAAGAAATCTGATCAGATTTAAAGTGAAGAGAGAATATACTATGGTGCAATTCAAGCAAAGTCAAGAACGTGATCAAGAACCCCCATGTTCCAGTAACCAGACGATAACTACAAGGTTCAGCAATTACTTGCCCCTGCCTCCGTAAAAGCCAATAGCAAATGAACAACCCGATCAATATACCCCAAAGCCGAAGCCACGATTAGTTGTTGTTATTAGCACCATTCAGAATGCGCAGAATGGACATGAACAAATTCAGCACATCCAAATAAAGCGAGATAGAAGCGGCGATCTCCTCCTCAACATGGTAGTGGCGCATAACAAGCTGCGTATCAACCAGGATATATCCCGAGAAGATAAGCGCACCCAGAGCACCATAGATAATCTCGATGGTACTACCAAATGGAACGAACATGGCCACAAATCCAAACAGAATCATGAACCAGAGCGCACCGAACAGGTACGGCATCCAATCCGTAAAATCGTATTTAGTCTGGCATGCGAACAGAGTCAAGGCGACGAAGATACCGAGTGTCAGGGCGAGTGCTTGCATCACGATGTTGGACTCGTAGTACGATGTCGCCACGCTGATAGAGTATGCCTCCAGGATGGTGAAGCCAGAGAGGAAGAGCAGGTTTGCCGGGTATGACTTGCGCTTCCAGAAAGTTGCCAGCATGAAGCCCAAGGCACCAAAGACGGAGATTATCATCAGCCAGGGGTGGCCTTGGATCCAGTCGCGGTAGCCTTTGTTCAAGAAGGAGATCAAGCTCACGACTGTTGTGAGGAGGAGTTGGGCCGTGCTGGGTGGAGGGGTTGTGTTAGTATTGAGATATCTATATTGAAGCTGCTTGATGAAGATCCATGCATCTTTGTACTTACAGGATCGAGTAGACTTTCCGGACGAATTGCATCCGGATGTCAATAGTTCCTTCGGCTACGGTGCCGCCAAACTTTGCATTTTGTTAGTTCATGTTATCCGCTTTGCCTGGATAGTCGCTTACCTTGAAGTCATCCGGTACGTTATCGCCTTCGCTGCGAGGCTCCGGGTCTGCTGTGGCCTGGTATGAGGGAGGGGCATGAGAGAAGTGGTTGTCTTCGAAGGAGTCCCGCTGGGGAGCGGGCTCATATCTGGCGTTTGCAGCCATGTTATCGTTGTATGGTAATCGAATATGCTCGGTGGTAATGAAACACCGAAGGAAGAAGCAGGTGGGAGTGAGGGCCTGGAGGTGCAGCGCATGTGACGTGATAGATCACGTGTGATAAGCAAATGTCCGGGGTGTGAAGCCTGAGGTGTCTATTTCCGCCAGCAGGATTATACGAGTGCAATGTTTGCGAGACTAGTAACCCCGAAGATAGGATATTGTTGAGCAAGGGTCAGATTATTTTCAGCTTTGAGAAACTGTGGAATGAGTGCAAAGCTCTTTATCTTACACTAAATAGAGCTTTTCCAGTCTGAACCTGACCTCGAACCTAGGCTTACAAACAAGAAATGCATACATCTTCAGCCAATTATAACTTTGAATACTGGATGACTCCAGATATTAGATATAGCCTTCTCTGTGTGCTCGGCATAGGTAGCCGCAAAGGCAATACAAGCGCATCGAGTCCGTTAGAGAAACCCTACTTCTTACCTCTACAGGTCAACAATTCAAATCACAATGTACTGATCCAGACTTCATATGATTGTAAAAATAACAAATAGGTATATACCCAACAAAAGCGTCAAACTCAGGTCCAAGCCAGCTCAAGCCTAAGTAGAATTCGAGTTATCGGCACAAGACCAAGCACTCGACCCCCCGGAAGCATTATAGCTGTCAATAATGCTAACAACCGAGCCATAAGTACCGGCAACCATCATAAATGTACCGATAATAATAACAAAACCACTCCAGCAGACCATAGCAGTCCACCTGGGCGATCTCTCGGTCTTCCCCTTGCCCCAGTTATCATACAGCCACATGCATCCCATAGGCTGGAAACACATGAATGTACCAAGCAAAGCACCAATCAGGGAAACAAGGCTGTCGAAGACGGGGATGGCGCTGGCAATTATGTAAGAGATCAATCCGACACCGGTTACGCACCCGATCCAGGCGCTCCAGTGGACGATGCCGTTGGAAGTGAGGTGCTTTGAGCCACGGAGGGCGCGGACGAAGATGTACTTCCCGGGGAGCTGGGATTTATTAATTTGAATCCTTGATCACTCTTGTATGGCGGGTTGGCAAACTTACATGAATGAAAAGCATCGTCGAAACCAAGAGACCGGGAATGGCAAATCCGTAGCTGACCTTCTTCATCGTGGCACCTGCGGAGCCAAGAGCGGGTGAGGCGACATATGAACCGCAGTAGTAGTATACTACAACACCGATGGTGATGTAGACGGCTGTCACGGCGCTCTGGCAGATGATCATGGAGCGAGTATAGTAGCGCGGCTCACGCATCTCGGAGACGACGGAGAAAAAGGCGGGTGTACCGGCGTAGGCAAAGATCATAGAGGAAATGGCGGAAACGGCTTCGGCAAATGTAGGGTTGGCAACGATTTTGTAGTCGGATTGCCAGTGTCCTACTTGGGGGGCGGAAGCTGGACGGTCCTGGACGCCGACGGCGATAGTCACGATCATGACTGTTGATAGTGTGGTTAGCTGTGGTTTTCTTTTCACCCTTTTGTTTTTAGTTTGATAGATGCCTTACTTGCTGTGATGATGGCAATGAGACCAACCCAAGCGAGCCAACTAATACGGCCGAGTGTGCGGATACTGGCGAATCCAATTCCGGCAATAGCTGAGATAGCGACAAAGACGGCAGTACAGGTGGCATGAGTCGAGACTGAATTGAGGGCGATTGAAAGACCGAGCATTCCAGAACCGGCGACGAAGATCCAATCTATACGATCATTAGGGGTGATTGCTCCTTGCAAATTTAGCGTAGACTCACATAGACAGAATACAAAGCCAAAGACTTCACGGCCAATTGGACCGAACATCAGACCACCAGCATCGTCGATACTGTAGACTTCACGGTGCTTCAGTTTGAAAACACCGACCATATAGTCGGACCAGGTTGTGATGACAGCAACTGCGAGCAAACATATCACTCCAGGGACGAGGCCTAATGTGTCGAAAGCGCTAGGAATGGATAGTACACCCAGACCAATCTGACTCTTCATCATGAGAACCACTGTGCCAGCCCAGCCTACCTAGAAGGATGTTAATTGGGGTCAAATCAAGCAACACTGGAGAAACATACGTTGCGATAGTTGGGACCACCCTCTGTAATTTCTCCAAAGACATCATCATGGGCCATTACAGGCACATTCTGAAGGTCCTGGTCAAGGCCTTCTAGGTCTTTCTTCTCCATGTCGGCCATAATGGTATAGAATGCACTCGAGAGACTGAGTCTACCCAAAAACAAAGTGGGACATGGAACGGGTTTTAAAACCTGTCCGGCGAGAGTCCGTAAGTATACGGTTTCTCGACGGGGCGTAAAGAGATAAGACGACTCGACGACATCTCAGTCGTCAGTCAACAAGAGATCCACTTGTGGAGTGTCTAACTACAATTGTCCATGGACGTTCGCCACGCTAATTTCTGTTTCAGACCCCATCAAGTTTTGGGAAATCGCTCATTCCTCACGCACTAAACCTATTGAGCTCTTAATGACGACAGGCTATCAGTGCGTGGAGACCTATGTGGAGTCAATTCAGCGCACGCGGCTGGATATCCGTCGTTTTCTCCATAAGAAACCCCACGGGGAAGTGTTGAGATGGTCGGTTAATCGCCCAACCTTAACCAAACCTCACCGCTGCGCCACCAAATGTCCCCGAATGCCCAGAAACGCCCCCGCAGGAACACAGGGGTAGTGATCGGAGCCGTGGCTTTCCGGGAGGAAAATGGCGCACGGTTAGGAGATCTGAGGAAGAGAAAGGCAAAGTGGCGAAGACTTCAGGGGCTTATCTCGCACTAAGATCACTCACTTGAGATACGGTTTAATATCTACGATAAGTAAAGAACCTATAACATAACATCTCATAAACATAGAGATAAGATGGAAATGTATCGGCGAAATATACCCACTTCTATTACAATTATGTCTCTCAAATGCGTCCCCCCCCCCCAGCCCCCCAGCGGCTTACCTTCCGTTCACTGGTTCATATCCCCGCAAATTCCAACTGAAAGCGGCAAACCTTACCGGTGACGAAATACGATCAGCAAGCCAGTTACTCTTTCTAATATATCCAGCTGTTCACTTGCCTAATTCAGAATAGTAGATTTGTTGCCTGATCCGAAACTCAATTGCAGGTTACACCGTACGCCCCGTGTGATCTCCATTGGTTGTGTGACGCCGGGAAAGGCCTTTCTGGGTTGGAGTAGAGAGGCCCATGTAATGTACCCCAAGTCTATCTCATAAGACATGTTTCAATGCTTCTAGATTCATTTCCCATCCGGTGGCATCGTGACAGCGGACCCATATCATATCTCCTGTACTACAGCGGACACGTCGGAATCACTTGTCGGATTCTGCATACTGTACTATGCGCTCTACATATCTAAGTACATACAGTAGAGCTGCAGAGACCTGGGAGACCCCCCTCATGCAAATTTACGTATCCACGCTAAGGATAACCTCTGTCAAGACCTGGAGATAACCAGGGGCTAGCCCAATGCCAAATCCCAGCCCTGGAAAAACAGGCAAGCCTAAGAGAAAACGGAAATGAAATAGGCTACCAGGATCGTCAGGCAAAAGCCGGGGTAATCACGTGTTAGTATCACCACTGGAGCCTTACCTTCCTAATAGGGACGGCAAGTACCCTCTATCATTACCTTTAAGCACGTACAAACTACACCCGCCTCAATAGTCTAGTAATATATTGAGACAACTAGCTGCAGCACAGAAAGCATACAGCGAGGGCGACTAATCCCTGAGATTGCTCACTATCCTCCAGGGGGACTTTTCTTTTTCTTTCTTTCTTACCTTCTTTTATTTGTTATTTGTCTTGTTTTTTTGGGGGGGCGTTTCCCACTGGTCGCTCTGACGCGATTAGTCGTGATGCAGATGGGCCGCTGCAGCCGAAACTATGCCTGCCTAGACCACCAAGGAAGGACTCGGGGGGACCTCTTTGCCACGCGTCTACCTTTACTTTAGAATGCTCCATATTGATATTCTCTCAGCAGAAGCTTAATACAATACTAACACCCATGATACCAATAATATCACAACGAAAGAAGCAAGCAATCCCGAAACCTACACCACGCCACAACCTAATAAGATCCCAGCTGGGCACAGCCCCAGAACCTACCATGGGATAGAGTGCAGCAGTATACATGCAATAGATATGCAAGCCATCAATAATAAACGCACCAATCTCAGAAGAGGCCTCCTGATTCGAAAATATCGAGACCGCATCCAGAGTCCCTCGGATCCCATCGGATCGAACAACCACCGGGAAGGTGCCCGGGAACAGAGTCCTACCCGGCCTCCAAGAGCCAAATTCTGCCCCGTGCATGATACAGTGGCGGAGGCCTTGCCGGTGGCATTGAATGTGGCAAGTAACACCGGCCCGGGTCCCGGTTGGATCGCTCGTATCTTTTTGGGTTTCAGCTCAGGGGTACGTCCATGTATCACGCCATGCTTTCACGTAAGATCAAGATGGGTCTGGGTCTGGAGATTAAGATGGAGATGGAGATGGAGATCGGGTTGATAGCAAATTAATATTTATTCATAGCGAGATAAGAACTTATATATGCAAACTGCAGGTTTGAGTATCTATAGATAAAGCGAGAAACCACGTGTTTATGGCGTAGAACGTGGGTTGGGAAAGCATGGGCATGGATGGGCATGGGCAGGTCAATCGGCTGTTTTTTTTTCTTTTGTCTCTCTTTGGTTTCGTTCTTGTTCTGTCGGTGTTTTTGTTTCACTCAACGATGCGGTTCATTGCATCTTGTCGGAGGGAGTGTGGTCTTCCATTGTCGCGCGTTTCGTGCTCATTCGCTGCTGACCCTGAGTCCTCGTCCGTGCTTAGATCGCCCTCGTCATCCTCGTCTGTGCTATCATCGCCGTCGGCTGCCATGTCGCGACCGACGCTCGCGCTGGAGAGATAGGTTGGGAGGCGACGGCGCTGGAAGTCTTGAGCGTGGGCTGATGCGACGATTGTGCCAACGCGGCTGAGTCCAACCGATGGGCGACGATTGCGTGCCCGCATGCTCGATGTCGAGGGTGTTCCGTGCTCGACATCGCCGGGGGACATGAAGGGCGTTGAGACAGCTGCGTGTTGCTGTTCCTGGAGCTGGACGTCTTCTGGAGAACCGTCGAGGGGTGCGGCAGCTGGTACTGGGAGGTCGTACGGGAGGGGGACATCGCGTGAAGCACGGAAGAGGAGGACATTGGTACAGTGCTCGTTTTCCACTCGAAAGATGGACCATATACCACGACGGCAGACTTCCGAGAAGGATACCATGAAGCTGAGGAGGGCTGATTGCTGGATGTTCCTGATAAATATTGCGTAGTAGATCCAGTTAAAGCGGATGACTACGTCTAGCACCATGGCGACGTAGTATACCCAGACCCGGCGGAAGGCGAGCACTTCACGAAGCATTGGGTTCTTTGCGTAGGGGTTCCCGAGACTCCAGTCCATTATCAGATCCCAGACTGAAGTGTAGACGGCATTCAGTAGAGCAAAGGTGATGAATGAGGCTTGGAAGCGCGTTTGGAGGTCGATACGGTACATGCTCAGGGTGGCGTAGTAAAGCACGCCGAATATGTACTTGCCCAAGTTCAAAAGGTGAGGGAAGGCATTTCTCGTGTCTAGGTACCGGCGTATACACTGGAAGGCTCGCCAGATAGATGGTAAACATTGGAAGAATCCCAAGAGTCGAGAGTGAGTGGAGTTGCAGTGGGGAGGGTTGCCCCAGTAGGAGGCGTATAGGCAGAAGAAGAGTTCAATGTTTCCCATGGCATATGTCTGAGAACAGTACATGTCACCGAGGAAGAAATCACGGAACTCGACAGGGTATATCCCAGCAAGTAATAGACGCCACTATAATAATTAGTGATGCTCAAACTGGCAAACAACGGGGACTCACATTCGAAAAGGCGAACCATTTGCGACTCCTGTGATATAGGACACGGGCTGGTAAGAAGATAATAATGACCGTCAACCCGATGAGCACGACAGGCCAGTAAATGTACATATCATTTATCCATGAGAAGTTGAGCCACATGAAGAGGCCCATCAAAAAGAAGAAGAAAGAAGGAATCTATACTTGTAAGTCAGTCTCCCAGCACTGGGGATTTGGCAACGTACCTCCAGATACTGACGCCACTCCAAGGTGTGTCGGCTATCATACTCAAAAACGAAGGCATAGTTGATCTTCGACTTGGTCCAAATCAAACAATCCATGCAAAAGAGCAAGACGTGAAACACGATCAAAAAGTATCCGCCGTATATCTGCTCTGATTAGCCACAGTGTTGATACAGGTACAGGAAACACTAACCTGCAGCAAATAGCTGGTCTGAACTTGCTTCTCAATCTCCGCTGTCCGAAGCTTTTTTGTAGCATCCACCAGACCTTTGATAGAAAAGAGTGTTCCACCCATCAACAGAAGACCAGAACGGAAAGTGTTCGGGGAATAGTCGCCTGACTTCTTGATAGTGTGACGAAGCTTCGAGACGGCGATTTTGCGATTGCCACGTTCAAAGTACCGGGCATATAAGTCCTCAACGGCGACCATCAAACTCTCAATCACTTCACTTTGCACAAAGGCCGCCTTATTGACCTTGTCTGACATGTAACGCAAGGGAGGGCGGGCGTTGACCGCTTTGTCGTATTTCTTGTTAATCTTCCGGAAGGCTGTGCGGTTCAAATACGCGTACCCCTTCAAGAGTTCAACCCCACGATAGAACTCTTGCAATGCATGCTTGAGCTTGCGCTTTGCCGAGCGATACGAGACTTCCTGGCTAGGTGGCTCCTGTCGTCGCATGAAATCCCTCCGGTTGGAGATGAACTCTCGGTCCTGGGCGTGCATGCCAGGGGTGGCCATCTCAGCCAAGGCCTCCGAGTTCTTACCGAAGCGATTCTTTCCAACAAGCGTGTCCTTCAGTCGGTGACTGTTGAGTTTCACGAACCCGTTCGGTCGTTGCTGGGCGTCCGGACCGTCCCCCTTGGCGCCTCTCTTGGCCATTAGGACTTCTTGTATACGCTGATCGCGCATAATGTGCAGCTGCTGACGAAGAATGCCAAGCTTATCTGTGGCTTCTTGCTCTTTCATTTGATAAAACGAATCGATCTTGGTCAACTCGCTATCCAGAAATTCGAAGAATTCATCTTGTCGCTTGTCAACCTCCGAACCATCCGGCTGTGATCGTTTCCCGCCAATATCGCCCTCCGTGTTAGAAAACACCCGCCGCAGGATATGAGATCCTCGCTTGGTCGACGTCGTTCGCGTCAGGGCACCGCTCAAAGGGCTTTGATAACTGGGCCGATGCTCCAACCCGGGCCTCCGTTCCACCGGAGGGGTATCTGCCATAGGTTGTGAAGGCGAGGTGCTGAAAGTGGTATGTCGATCCATCACCGGCGACGGCGTCCTGACGGTCCTGGACCGGTCCTCATTCTCATCAGGCGGCATGTATTCCTCATCAGGATCGAGTGCTGGATCTGGCAGTTCAAACGAGGCTGCATCGGACGCTGCCGTTCCCTGAGGCGGTGGTGTGGCGAGTATACTCCCATAACTACCAACGTGTTCCGAGAACCGTGACCCTGGCGTGCGCAGTGGCTGTCGCTCACTCCTAGGAATCGGTGTGGACCGTGCCACTGACGGCGGCTTTGTACCACCTCGCGGAGTCGATGGGTCATTGGTCTCTGTCGCATCCAACGCTTTATCCGTATTCGACGGTGTGAGGCTAAATTGCGCCGCGCCGCGAGCCTGCGGGGTGGACTGCCGGTAGGAGGGTGCGCGAGGACTGCGGTGTGCCTTTTGCAGGGCGCGAGTGACCGCCTTGACTTTCTTCTTGCCGGTCTAGAGATGCATTCATCAGCTTTGCAGAGTAAAGATTACCCGACAGATTGCCGCACCTTGTAGTCGAGATACTTTGCCCGCCATTCAGGAACAAGCTCCTGTTCTAGCTCTCTAGGATCACGTCAGCCACCGGAATATTCCAGTCTGATGGAGGGACAAACTTGGCAAATTTCATGTTGAACGACGAAGCCTCATTGCAGAGAGTAACAGAAATTTCGTCACCGACACTCACGAGGGGTAAAAACCTTGGGCCGAAAGTGCGCGACTAGCTCGACGCCACACGATAAGGAGATGATGTCGAAGCAGAAAAAGCCCAAAAAAAAAAAGAGTGGAAAATTCGAATAATTGCAAATCCCCGAAACTTTAGGCTCTTTCACGCAAGGTACCAATGATGTACCCCAGACAGCCACCAAGCGCCATACCTAAACAAAAAGCGAGAAAGTAACCTGGGCGATACTCCAACAGAAAGTCTCCCATCGGGCACGTGTATGAGCTCATCGCAGTTAGGGCGGACGTGATTGGCAGAATTGGGGGTCCACAAGGCTAGGATTCCCCGACCCTGGAATCTCACTTGGACAAATCCGCTTTTCTAGGGCTGCATCTGCATCTGCACGTCTATGTGATATCACTTACTACACTGCTTACAATATTGATTCACTTGTCAATCCTCGTCAGGGCCTACTGACTCAATCAAGAACCCGTCAGAATCTACCGTACAATCAATTACCTTGGAATGTCACTCGGAATGCTGGGCACTGTAGTCGGCGGGTTCTCCTGGCAATGACTGGTCCAGGAAAACACCCGCATACCGATGGAAGTTCGGCGCATAGTTCCCCAACTCTAGTCGTCACCGACATACGTCTGCCAGAGCTGCGACGTCGCACTCCTACATGTCACACTCCACCGCCTATCGAAGCGTTATCGCCAAGGGAGAGATAGAGATACTGGAAGATATAGATATGTTCATTTCATATTGGTATCAAGTCGGTATCCCAAGGCCGACGAGCTGCTTTCTCATGCTCAAGTGTTCAAGTCATTCAATCGTCCATACTGAGGATCCCAATGTCGGGTTTGTATCCTCAGTAGTTGCCGCGCTCGTAACGCTCCTCGTACATGTGGTGGGCGTTCTTCTCGGCGTGGTGCTTGGCCTTCTCGCGGTCGACCCAGTCCATGCCCTTGGTCTCGGCGAGCTTGTCGATCTCGCCGCCGACGAAGCCGACGAGGAGCTCCTTGGCGAAAGCGTGGTTGACTTCCTGGCCTGTGATTGGATCTGTCAGAAACGTGTACATATGAGACAGTGGATAGAGATCAACGTACCGGACTTCCTCTGGTGGTCCTCGTAGGCCTTCATGGCAGCGAAGGAGGCGGCACCAGCAGCGAACTCGTGGGAGAACTTGCCCTCGTGGTGCTGCTCACCGTTGTAAACCTGCTCGTGAGCACGCTCAGATTCGTCTAGACAGATCCGGTCAGCGGTGTTCTTATCCGTGTTTTACAGCCAATGAGGGCTTGCTGTACTGCATATATACATGTAGGACGGGCCTTTATGCATGCAGGGAGAGAACGGGTGACATGGAGGTATAGGAAGACTTACCCCAGCCCCAAGCCATTGTGAATGTAGTGTAGTAGAAGGAGGTTTGTTTGAGAAGAGTAGATTCTGTTTTAATGAAGAAGAGAAAGCAGGGGACGGGGGCGAGGGGATCTTATACCCATGCCAGAGCTGATTTTGGAAGAAGCCAGAAAGACTACGTACTCAGTAGCTGTCTCAGCTCATTGCCCCACCATCCACTTTGCGAGGGTGGCTGAAGCTGTTTTGCTACAGGGTACTTTCGGGATCACATCACAGGACCCCTCCACACCACTGGACCACGGATTGGACTCGATATGTGACTTGGGTATTGGCCCGTGGCTGGTGGAGCAGGCAGATCTTTGTTATTGTTGGGTATCCGGGGGCGAGGGGCACTGCTGCACTCCGTTGGAGAGCTTCGGTGAATCGGCAGTGAGACGTCCGATAATGGGCGGTCGTTATCCACGAGGTGCACCAGTCTAGAGGAGAATGCCGCAAAATCTGCTTCAGTGATATCCCATGAACAGAGATTCCAACATCGTACCACTCAGTCCCTGTAGCTATGATGAGACGCTATACCACAACATGATAATCCCCTGAAACCCGGCGTTACCATGTACGAATACGTACGTGGTCCACCAGGGCGATCTGATGGGTCGGCTCAGCCCTACTCCGCTGGCAGTGAACAAATAGAAAATGAACACAGACACCGCTAGCCGTGTTGGGCCCTAGTCGTACGCTAGTCACGCAGTCGGAACTGATCTGTTTAATGCCAAGACTCTGAGGCAGCCGAGCCAAGCTTCCCTTCCGAGGCTTGTCGTCGCCTTATGAGGTGCGCCACGAGTGGCGGTGAACAATACACATTGGACTGCTATTCCGTGCTGAACACTATTGAACTTTCAAGAGTGTGTGAGGGAATTTCAGTGAAGCGGAATTGGAGCGGGATGGGACACAGCGGAATCGGCGCATTCTCATTGCAGGGCTGAAAGGTGCTATTTTGGTTTTTAACCAATTTGTTGCCATTACGTAGGGCTGTAGTGCTGGGTACCCTCATAATTGGGTCTTTTCGAGGCTGGGGGGCATATTAGATGGAATGACGTTGACCGCAATGCCCTACGTAGCACACTTCTAGGGTCAAAATGATGCTCGGCAAACCCCGGCAGTATCAGATTGACATGACATCGTAGAATCCCGGGCATCTATCGCTAGGCAACCACAATATTGTACGTCAATCCCAAAAGTGAAACGGAGACCCTCTCATAAAAATAGCATCCAGCTAAGCCACACTTGCGGATACAAGCCACAAAAGCCACACCGATTCTCCAAATTATCAAGAGCTCCGGCGACCCCGAGCTCAACATTATACACGCCAGGCAACTACAGCCGTTCACAAACCAATTGATCCTCCAGCACCCACACCGAGGCCAATTCGTACAGTACCTCCCTGTACACAAAAGAAAAGAGAGAGAGAAAAAAAATGCCCACCAAAACCCCCACCACGTCGGACTTCCCCAATCTCACAGTAACAATAACACACACCCCCCTCGCCAACCTCCACCCCATCCCCAAATATCCTCCTACTGCTGCACGGCCTAGGCGATACAGCCGCGTCATTCACCAAATTCGCCCAAGCCCTCCGCCTCCCAGAGACAACAATCATAACCATCCAAGGAATTGCCCCGCTTCCCTTCGACCTAGGCGGGTTCCATTGGGGCGATGATGTCTCCTTCAATTCCTCATCAGGCGAGCTAGATATGGATGCCGGCTTTACCAAGTCAACAGAAGTCCTCTCTGGGATGGCCCGTCGCACATTAATTGACCAGTGCGGGTATCGCCCGCGGGAGATCATGGTATTCGGGTTTGGGCAAGGTGGGATGGCCGGGTTAGCTTTGGCGCGGGAGCTCGGGATCGAGAGTAAGGGTTCTGGCGATGAAGCCTGGAATGGAGAGGTTGGGCCGCTTTCTGGTGTTGTTTCTATCGGTGCGCCGTATTCTGTTGATGGGTCGAGGGTTGGTAAGAACCGGTCGCCTGTTCTGCTTGTTGCCGGTAGGGATTCGGTTGCTGTTTCGGATGATGCTGTGCGTAGGACTAAGTTGGTCTTTGAGTTTGTTGAGGTTAGTCGGTATGCGCGGAGGGGCGATAGCATGCCTTCTTCTAGGGAAGAGATGTTGCCTATTATGCAGTTCTTTGCTAGGACGCTGAGGAGTAGGCAAGGTGTTCCTGAGGGGAGTGTGGAGTTGAGTTGATGTTGATGGTTTGTATATAAATGAATGTATGAGTGTACTGTATTTGTATCTAGTGTTTTGATATCATATAGATTGGTGTGGTTGCTACTTCTTCTCTGTCAGGGAACCTACCTGTTTATTATAGCACCTTCAGGTGCCAGGTGCGCTGCAGCTCTCTCCATCGACCATCTATACCTGACCAGTCAAGGAGGGGCAACATCAAGACTAATCAGTGCCTGGTCAATTCTCGACAGCCCGTGGCTTTGTCTTTGATCCCATCCAGCCAATACAAGCCATCCGTCCAAACAAACACACAGAAAGAAAGTATAACCAACACAGACGAAGATACAGAGACCCTCGAATCCCACATCAACTTTATACCCATCCCACCCCCAACCCACACCCGCACCCTAACACAACCAACCGCCCAAAAAAGTGACAATCTACACCCTCTCAATATAAATCTTTGGACCAGGCACAGACTCAAGCCACCGCAGCCACTGCGGTTCTCTAATGACCCAGCCAAACAACAGAGAGTACGGCGATCTCCAGGTAGAAGTTATCGACGACAAAATGCTCTGGTTCTCGTATTTTCCGCACTACGGCATGAAAATCATCGACAGACAAGCAGTGGGCGGGCATGTGCAAGATTGTTGATCTAACGCCCCAAGTGCGTCAGCGTGTTATTGGGGTTATTGAAGGTGTGGCGCCACCTATGGATAGTATAAAAGGTGTCAGTATCGGCTTTTTGATGCGCTTGACTGACTTGAGAGTGAGGACTTGGTACCTAATGAGACTTGTGCGTTCTGGAAGGATTTAGTTGGGATACCTCCTGTTGAGATTGCGAGGTTTTGCGGAGATATGTGGGTTGGTTCGGTTTAATTCTTGATATTTGAGCTTGATGTGCTGGTTCGCCCTAGTTTGATAGTTGGGTTTTGATATTGGTATCAGTTTCGAACTATGTGTCAGAGTCTCATCTTATCTCTTTTTGAATTTATATGGGCTCTATATACTTGGACTCCAAGAGTATGTCCATCTATGTTCCCGATGCTATATACTCAACTCCATGAAAACAATAAAATAAATAAAAAATGCACCAGTTCCCATCCCATCTATAAATCCAATGCAATCATCGCAGTCGAACAAGTCTAACAAGCCCAAATCACTTTTTAATACCAATGACAGCCAGGTTCCTAGGGCTCTCACCATACTCGAAAACAGGCTCAACCCAGCACTCCTTGACACAGTCGTTTTCACGGAGGAATTGCCAACGATCTACAACAATGACAGCTTCAACAACCTGCGCACTGAACGCCATGAGACTCCACACCACGCTAAGATTCTTGCGTGTATGCAGATAGTCCTTTTCATATTGCTTGAATTCCTCATCAGACATAGTGGTAATCCGCTCCTTGACAAGGTCACCGCGAGTGGGATCACGGCTGAGCTTGACCGTTGCGGCGCGGACGTACGCAGTGAATGATTCAAATGCAGCCTTGCGGAGGGAGCCAACGATTAGCGCAATTTGAGACTCGTCGTTTTTGTACAGATCTGTGGGGATAGCCGGTCTGGGGACGACGCCTCGGTCAACTAGCACGCGTTGTAGTAGGGCGCGGTAGAAATGGCGCGTGAAGAAGCCTTCGCTGTCGGCGTAGCCCCAGTTGTAAGGGGCTTGGACACCCATTGATCGGGCAGTGATGTTTAGTTTCATTCCTTTGATCGTCTCAGATTCGTAGTCTTCGTAGAGCTTCGACATGGGGAAGCCGTGCGGGTCGTAAGAGTCGCCTGTTTGTTTGAGGCGGGGATGGAGGGGTCGTAGATTTGGGAGTTTGTAGGTTGCTGGACCCAGGCGCTCGGTGAGGAGGTTGTAGCAACAGCCTATCATGGCGATTGCAACTACCGATGGGTTGAGCGTAAGGGAACGGACGCCGTGGTGGACGAGGTTTCCGCATGAGTGTAAGGAGACCACCATGACTCGGGCGTCGCTGGGCTTCTTCTCGGATTGGGTGGGTTCTGCCTCGGTTCCATTCCCAGGTGTCTTTGGATCGACGACGTGATCGATGATGGGTTCCAGGTAGCCATCTTGGATTTCGTGCTCAATGTAACTGACGTGTCCCCTGGTATCGATCTCTGGTGGGGGCTTTGGAACATGAGGCCGAGGCTTCTCGAAAGGAACGACCACATCATCGGGCTCTAAGCTCATCTCGCTCAGCATGAAGGTGTTTTCATTATCATCATCCTCAGTGGGCTTCTCTGCCACATTCTCTGTTGAATCTTCTGTTTCAGTTTTAGGAGTTTCGACCTTCTCTGCCAGCTCCGGAGTGTCGGTACAGTCAAGACACTTCTTCCGCTGCTTCTTGATGTACATGTTTTTCTGCTTTTCTTGCTTGGCCAGTCGAGCATGAATATCCATGCGGTTTGCACCGCTGATGTACTGGTGCTTGCGCTCAATCGCAATGATATGCTTATGATATGGCGCACTAGCCAGCGTGCGCCCCAGATAGTTTTGCCCAGATCCGAAATCCACAATGTGGGACAGCGGTTCTCCGCGACGCTCATTTACGGTATCCGACAAGGAGGCGACATATTTGGAGAATTGCTCAACCTCGTGGGTCTTCTTCTTGTTCATTCCAACTGCAACATGTCTAGGGAGACGTTCATTGTTCTTCGGGTCTGGGGTAAAGTCACGGAGGAGGGTAAGTCGGCGGACATTGCGAATGTATTCGAGAAGACTCGCAGGTGGGAATGCGCCTCCATTCCAGGTTCTGTCGGTTGTTTCTGCGCTGTCGCAAAGCGGGCCAATATCTTCTCGTAAGAGCAACTGTAAAGTGCTGTGGATATCATGTTGATCGAAGAATGCCCGCCAATCCTCGGGCAGTAATGTCGCATACAAATCGGGTTCGCGAGTCAAGAAATCGAGAATATGCACCCCGCCGCAAAGGTTGATGAACATGACCGACTCAGTCGCAAAGGAAAGAAGGGCTTGGACATATTCGTCGGGATCTTTCCACTCCTCAGAAAGAGGCAGAGGATGTATAGGCGCCATAGTCACGGCCAGTAAGCACCAAAAAAAAAAACAAAAAAAGAAACAAAACAATTGAATGAGAGACTAAATGAGGGAATGAGGGACAATCTCGACTTGTGGGGAAAATTGTTATCTTTTTTATCGCACGAAGACCCGCTGAGTCAGCCCACGCTGGGGACGAGACAGCTCCGTTGTCAACACCGACTCCATCACCAACCTCCCAACCACATACACCATGGCGAACGCAGACCCATTCCTACAAGTCCAAGCGTGAGTCTTACCCATACACTCACTAGTTTAACACTCAACTAATCCCTCGCAGCGATGTCGTCTCAACACTCCAAACCAGCCGACCACTCTTCTCCTCATACCTCCGCATCCGGTCTTTAGCAAAAAGCCCCTCAAACCCAGAACTCAAGCAAGCACGCTCAGAGCTCGAAAGTACCTTAACAGAGTTAACAGCGGACCTCAACGACCTAGTCGAGAGTGTGCGCGCAATTGAACAAGACCCTTACCGCTATGGCCTAGAATTAGAAGAGGTGCAGCGGCGCCGCAAACTCGTCGATGATGTCGGCGATGAAGTCGAGCAGATGCACCAGGAACTACAGCAGGCAGTCTCTAATGCTCCGACGGGCGATGCATTGCCGAATCCGACAGAGTTTGATGCGGCGTTGGAAGAGGAAGAGCGTGGGCGTGGGCGTGGGCGCGGGAGTGATGGCGATGACTATTATGCTTCTATGGAGCAGCAAAGACAGACGGAGCTTATGCATGAGCAGGATGAGCAGCTTGATGGGGTCTTCCGTACTGTTGGCAATTTACGACAGCAGGCTGATGACATGGGTCGTGAGCTCGAGGATCAGGCCCACTTGATCGATGAGGTTGATACCTTGGCTGATCGTGTTGGGGGAAAATTGTCGAATGGCATGTCGCGAATCAAATATATTGTTCGGAAGAATGAAGGTATGAATCTACTTGATCTTTCTGGGATTGTTGGTATAGTATGGGAATCACAATTCAAACTGACTTTTCTAAATAGATACATGGTCCTCCTTTTGTATCGCGGCGCTCATTTTCGTTCTCGTCTTATTATTAATCCTCCTCATTGCACTGTGATAATACATAAAATCAAGGGGTTAGGAAAAGCAAAATATAATCAAACAGGGGGGGGGGGGTCATTGGCGTTTCGGGTGCAGTTTAGTTGCGAGCCTTCTTGCGCGGGCGCGACTCACTTTCTTCATCCTCATCTTCGTCCATTCCATCCAATTCTTCCATCTCGAGATCCATGTCTTCGAGATCATCGGCGGCCTGGTAGGATTGAACTGCAGTCCATGTTAGCTTTCCATCCCACGGCTCAATTGGCGTCTACTTACCGTAGTAGCGGAGCGCATCGGGCCAGAGGTCCTCAGCAATGGCAACAGCGAGGTCATCACCGTCGGGGAAGATCTCGGCATCCTCGAGTCCATCCTCGTCATCCTCGTTCTCATCATCGCTATCACCGTCCTCGGTGATCTCCTCACCCTTCTGGACCTTAGCCCAGCGGGCCTCGATCTCCTTGGCAGCCTCCTTGGACTGAGCAGCGGAGACGTCACGGCCACGGTAACCGAAGAATCCGAAGAAGCTCATGCCAACGGGGCTGGGCATATCCTCGTCATCATCCTCGTCATCGGCCTCGGCGGCATCAGCCTCCTCAACCTTCTGAACGAGGGTAGCGAACTCGGGAAGCTTCCTGCGGTCACCACCCTTCTTCTTCTCAGCTTCATAAAGATCGCAGGCAGCGTCAAGAAGACCGCGGGTCAGGTCCATATCCTTCTTCCAGTTGATGCGCACGGGCTCGGAGACGAGACCCTCCCAGGTGCGGGTGCGACCAGAGGAGGACTTGGAGACCTCCTGGCGCCAGTAGAAGTTCTTAACGAGCTTGTCGTTGGTGAAGAAGGGGTTCTCCTCGCCGGTCTTGAACTCGAAGGTGAAGCGCAGGGAGCGGGGCTCGCCGTTGCCTTGGGCGTCAAGCTCGAAGCGCTCAACGGTCATGTTAGTAAGGGCCTCACCCAGGACGGCGGCGTCACTGGGCAGAATGTACTCGTCGATCTCGGGGGGAGCGCTGGCGAAGACGCGCATCCAGAACTCGGCCTGGACGTCGGGCATCTTGATGATCTCGGCGCGTTTCTCGATCAGAGGCTGGGTGAGCTTGACAGTGTTGCGGACTATTCTTTTGTTAGCATGAATTCATTATATTATTCGAGTGATATCCCCCGGTGATTGCAAGAGCTACCAACAGGTTCACAGGGATGAGGAAGTAGAACTTACGCTGTTCGACCTCAGCGCGAGCAAACTGCTCCTCCAGAATGGCGATCTGCTTCATGGCAGACTCAGGGATGCTGGGCATCTCGATGCGCTCAAGGAGCGACTGATCCTCGGTAGACATGATGTAATAATTCGTGAAAACGTAAAGCTATGGAAGTCGTGAAAGAAATAGAAGAAGTAGAGTGTAGATAAAGGGAGAGAGTAAGAGTGAAGAAGAATCTCGAAGAGGGGAGAAAGATAAAATTCGAAGCGGGACAGAGAAAAAAAAAAAGGTCCTGATTGCGGGATGACGAGCATTACAAACTGCTAAGCTAGAGTGCTACCTGGTGCTACATGGAGGTACCTCTGGTTCCGTGGTACGCAGGGCGGCTACCCAAGTATCTCCTCGTACCCAGGTGTCCCTCCAGCAACTTGGTGGGGTTTAGAGCTGTCCAGTGTAGTTTGAGGCAAAAGAAGAGAAAACTCTGACGCTGATCTTTAGTTTGTGGACCGGTGCCAATTGGTTGTTCAAGGTTTGAATTTGCATTCTGCCATTGGGCTGCAAGGGGCTCGGGCAGGAATTATAATGCATGAAGTTCTAGAGCTGGAGCTGGAGCTATAGAGGGCAAAAAAAAGTCGATGTTTTGTCGATAACGAAAAAAATGTTTCTTATCAGAATGAGGGGCTTAGCGTACAATACAATCTCTTCACCGACATCTGAACTCATTCCCAGGTGCCAGAGCCTTGTTCTTAAGGCTCCTATATCGCCGGGGGTTCACCAGAGTGCTCGTCGTTCCCTAGCTATACGTCAATGGAGTACTTCATATGCATTGACATAGAGACCTGGAAAAGAGGGGTTCAGAATGAACTTGCCTCGGCAAACCTACGTGCTAAGTAAACATTTGCTTGTGTGTACGGAACGGAGTACGGAGTAGTAAGTCTATCCTTTGAATCTATAGAAAGAAACAGCATCGAACCACAGCGGACAAGCATATTATCAGAATAGAATAGACCAGCCTCATTCCACATCTTCAAATTCATACGTTATGAGCTCAGATCCCCCAATAACAACCCTAAGATTATATTGCTTTTTCCGAACCCCTCCCCCTATCAGCTTAGCCCATCGCAAGATGAGATACATCAACAATAGCGGGACCGCAAAGAACAAAAAAAGAAAACATAACCCAGTTCATCGCATACTTTATTTCGACGTCAACTGTAGACGTGGCACTCCGTAGTAGGAATATTTCCATCTCTGCCGCGTTGACTTGCCCACCCCAGAATGACACCTAATACACTCGGGTAGCTTCCCGACGTGCCCTTCTATATCTGCCTATCTGCCCCTTTCTTGGTTTCTGATTTGCTCTTCGTGAGTGGCTGAGATACGGGGAGCGGTCTGCACGATGAACGTGGACGCGCACGGGGACCTGCAGATGGCGGAGGTTGGTTCGTTTGGAGTCATGTGGATTGTTGACGGGGACCGTCGGGGATTAAGTCGGGCTTTGGTTAATATAGATAGGATATAGTATACAGCGAGGTAGAAGAAGTGAAAGAGTCAGGGCATAATCGTGATCATAGCATTGAGCACATAAATCTGACAGCAGCCAGAGTCGGGATATCTTATTCCATATTTTTTGTCTCCTTTTCGAGCTTGGGGCTGAACGGAACAAAAGCAAGGCAAAAAAGCACAACAAAACACAAAAAAAAGAAACTTTTTTTCTCAGTGGCAAGTTTGATTAGATCAATCAAATCATATCAAACCACTTAAAATGAACAATCCTCGTTCAATGCTACCCCAAGCATCCTTTCCGATTAAGAACCGAGGGTCAAGTCATGAAAATCCATATACCCCATGCCCGTTCGCCAAGAATGCAATGATTAAAACAAAGGGGGAAAAAAAAAACAGCAAAAAGTAAGAGTACATGCACAGAACATCATCACCATGCACGTCTCACCCGGCCGAACTGTCGTGATCAGAGTCAGAAATGAAAGAGTCGCAAAAGAGCAAGAGCAAAAGCAAAGTCATCCTAGATAACTAAAGCATCCAATCTAACCCATTTGCCTCCTCTTCCACGGGGAACACTTCCCGCGCATACTCTTCCATGTCGCGCCAGCCCTGCCACAGATGTCGAGATTCGTCCGTCACCCGCAGCGAGATAACCCCACCAGGCCCCTGCATCATACCCGCACCAGCACCCTTTCCACCAGCCGGTCCGAGACCCTTTGGTGAGCCAGCGGCTGGTTGTGAGAACTCTGGTTGAGGGAAGTAGGGTGCGTCGCAATCGCCGAACAGGATCTCGAGAGCTTCTAGTTGTTCCCGGTACCCTGGTGGGATATTGACCTTGACTTCGATTTTGGGGACGCGGATGTAATTGCATGGCCGGTCAAGGGCGCGCGAAAAGGCCGCACAGACTTGGAGAGGGGAGAGGGTTTCGAAGGTGAGGGCGATGCTAGTGCACGTTAGTTTTTCTTACTTTCTTTCTTTCTTCCTCTCCCTCCCCTCTCTCTCTCTCTCTCTCTCTCTCTCTCTCTTTGTATGCAGGGTGTTCTTACCGGTGACCATTCCACTTCTTCGTTCCATCCTTGAAAATCTGTAGCAGAGTCGGTCCCACATCATGTTCCGCGTCTAGCCAGGGCAGTGGAATCTCCGGATCAAACGGCGCACGCCATTCAAAGCTCCCATCAGCCAGCAACTCCATCTGGAACAGCGGATAGGGCAAGCTAGTAAAGTTATTGTTGTAGATACCGGCGTAGACAAAAGTTGCCGGCATGCCTAGCTGGCGAATATAGTTTTCCACTGTGAACTTGGGCGCCCACTGCGGGACAGCCGGCCAAGGCCCATGAACTGAATGATCCGGCATACTGCTATAGATGTAATGCTGGATCGAGCCGGCTCGTTTGGCAGCGTCAGCGAGGGCCCGGCCGATCGCGACCTCATCGCCGGACTGGGAGGTGGTGTTGATGAAGGCGAGTTGGGCGCCCTTGAAGAGCTCGTCCATTAAGGCGACATTGCCGAGTAACGGTCCTTGCAGGAGTGTCACATTTGGGAGTTCGGCCAGCTCCGGTGCGATTGTGCCTTTCAACGAGTGGATTTGCGCGCGAACGGAATACCCCACGGCGGACGCGACGCGGATTAGCGACGCCGCTTGCCGGCCTGTCGCGTTGACCACGGCAATGGTCTTCTGCGGTTGTGTCATCCGGGTGTCGGGGGAGGGTCTGGGAAGTATATGTCGAAGGTTATCGGATGAGAGGGAGTAGGCCAGATAAAAGAAGAAAATCCGGAGTAAGCCTTGGCGAGGTTGGTGGGGTACCTTGGGAGGTCAAAGTTGAAAGGTCTCCGAAATTATGCGATTGGAACAGTCATCAGTTCTCCAAATACTCTGGATCTGCGTGAAAAATTTCAATTCGCGCAGTTCGCAATTTGGCTGTTTGCGGAAACGTGGAGAGGATAAGATAAGAGTATAAGGTATGCACTAACAGGAGATCAGTCAGAGTTCTCTATCAAAGCCTAGGAACCCTGTATATACTTATATTTCTTTCTATTTTCATATGACACCATCGCGGGATTAAAAAAAAAGAGAGAAAAAAAAAGGGAAAAATCGAGACCTTTTCTTTACGTAAATCGGCCACTCGGCACCGGGCAGATCCTTGACCGTACACTTTTCGGGACTCGGATGAGCTTATACTCCTACTCTACTAGGCATCTATAGACGTCTCTTCTGTCATTTGCCCACATTCATCCCTCACTTCTAATATAGACGCATCTACGCTTTACTCCGTACATCTATGCAACGCCAAGAAGAGTCGCGGAGCGCCCCTCCGAGCCTAGGAATCAATAAATAGCGCAGGTGACTTCCACCAACAATCAGCCAGGGGGAGCCTCACGTGGTGTGCTCCGTATATCTGCTGGGGCCTACTCAACCAATTGCGGCAGCTATTACTCCAAAAACCCACCCGATCCATAAGTCACACCTGTTATAGTGGACAATGTGTACATGTGTACCTGAGGGCGGGAGTTCATGTACCTGTTTCTGCATGGGAACGTCATCTCTAAAAGGTAGGACAAGACGATAATGCAAAGTACACGGGGGAGTATGCGATGGGCACTAGTCTTTTGTCCAGAGTACTATGGTGTGCTGTTTACCCTCAGATCGCCTACGCTAAAATCCCGAAACCCCGCAAACCCAATGCATCACATCATTCATGAGAGGATTGTTCAGATCTATGAGGCAATCGGTGGATTTGTCGGATTACTTATTACTTGAGAGAAATGGAGGTTCTACGTGTCGACTTTGCATACATGTAGCCGAAAAAGCAACCAAAAAAGGAAAGAAAAAAATGAATAGGGGGGAAAGAAAGCAATGAACTCTGCAGGTTACCCCACCATTCTCACATCTAGAACCTCAGGAGTGACCAAGTATGTAACATACAAAGCCCTAACCCCAGAAAATCAGGAAAAGAAAACCTCCTTATCTTCCCCACTTGGTGGCTTGGTGCGGCAGGGCCCGATCTCCGCGGACTTGCTCTTAGCCATTATTCTTGGCTACGGAGTACAGCTGGTTTAGGCATTGGGTAGGAAGCACTGGAGTTGATCTCCTGTTTGAGACTATATCAACCGCGATATTGTGCAACCTAGGAGATCAGGACATAGGTAGGGAGTGGGGAGTAGGGATAGGAAATGAAAATGGGCGAAATGGTGCAATGAACCCGTGACCACTCTATATTCTAGCGTCATCTGGAATACTATCAAGGTGCAAGCACAAATCTAAAACAGCCTTAGCTGCATTAAAGAAAATGACAGAAAGGCTCCAAGGGTACTCTCGGCCTTGTGGGCCGACGGCTTTTCTTGCATGTCCAAAAACGGGGAATAAAAGGAGCGACAGACAAAAAAAAAAAAAAAAAAAAAAAGAAGAAAGGAGGAAATACAAAGCACATCATGTCACATCCCGTGATTGACATGTTAAGATGGTGCTGACCCAGCTGTCATCCTACCCCGGCCAGCGTCCCAATCCCACTCCTCGTCCATTTCGCGCTGGCTAATCTCTTTCGGCCCAACCCCCGCCAACCCCCAGACCGAGGGACGATGACGAGCCAACAGCTCAGCCGCGGGTCGTTCGTCAGAGTGCAGGTGAGCACCCGACTTGCGGAGGAGAAGGACGTGTTCTGAGAGGCCAGCGTTAGCTGCGAGGAAGAGTGGGGTGCGGCCGGCGCGATTGCGGAGGTGGACGGAGCCGCCTTGCGATAGGAGGAAGTGGAGGATTGAAATTGCGGGGGAGGTTGAGGCGAGGTGCTGGTCGCGTGTTAGCTTGTTGAGAAAGAGATAAGAGAGAGTTTGGTTGGGACTCTACTCACAATTGGCGTGTTGCCCGAGTAATCGGCGTCGTTGAGAAGCCAGTGGTGTTCACTTTTGGTGATGGCTTGGACCTTCTCTAGGTCGCCATGGCCGATAGCATAGCCCAGTACGGTGAGCGTTTGGATGCGCTCGGGGAGCGCACCGTCCGGGTGACGGAAGACCGGCTGAGATGACTCGGTCAGCTCGCCACGAAGTGATACTGACATACGCGCAGCGATTGATTCTGGTGTGGAATCTGGGAGCGCGAGTAGATAGGCCAATTTGGTCAATGCTCCTTCGGTCGTCATATCGAGACCTGCGACGACTCCAGCTCGGGAGAGACTCATGCCTGTGGCATAGACTGGACTGACGCTGCCAGTGAGACACTGCGTGATGTTCACGATCACAATGCCTCGCTGAATTGCACTAGCCAGAACGTTGATCATGGCATTATCCTGACCTGATGGCGCATTGCCCGCACCAAACGTCTCCAAGATCAATCCACGCAATCCATCTAACTTCAACACCGCATCGACCATCTCCGGCTTGATACCAGGGAAGATACGCAAGCAAGCAACATGGGTAGTATCCAGGTTAGTCTGGATACTGAAATGCTGCAAGCTCCTCGGCCGGTGAACCATATCCCAATTAACATTCGTCCGCATAGAAGTAGTAACAGCCAACGGCGCACAATTGGGCGCATCAAACGCCGCAAAGTCACTGGCAGCAACCTTCGTAGTCCGATTTCCACGGAACAACCTGTTATTGAAATACAAACACACCTCCGGAATCATGAAATGGCCCGCAACAACCAGCGAGCCAAGCAGGTTATCCGTGGCATCATTCTGCAGCTCAAGCATGGGCGCCTGAGAGCCAGTAAGCACAACTGGCTTGCCCAGGTTCTGCAGCATGAAGCTGAGCGCGGAACAAGTATAGGCCAGACTATCCGTGCCATGCAGAACGACGAATCCATCGAAGAGCGTGTAGTTCCGGAAGACCGTCTCTGCGATCTCGGCCCAACCCTTTGCGTCGATGGAACTGCTGTCCAGCAATTCTTCGAATTCGAAGACTGTATAGCGGACTTGACGTCCGTAGGCTGTCATGGGTGTGCGCAGACTGGGGTGTTCTTTGATTTCGTTGGCTGCGTTGGCTACCACATCCATTGTTGTCGACGGTGAGCCATCGTTGAATGTCGGTACACGCGCCATGCATTTCTCCTGGAAACCGCGTGCTGGGATGAAGCCGGATGGCGAGGGCTGCATGCAGATTGTGCCTCCAGTCATGATAATCAAGACGCGCGATTCTTGCACCGTCTCTTCGGGCTTTGCTTCACCCATCTCTGGAATTGACGAAACGGCCATCTTGTTGATAGTGGCGGAGAGCATGGCTTTTTGGTGTTGTTAGAACTAAAGAGCTCGATGATTGGTTTTATTTCCAATTCAGGTCACTTCCGTGATACATGTATGCATCCAATCAGGTCGATCACATTAATCTCGTTCAGTCGTAAAGTCAATGGGTCTGATCCACGATAATTCTGCGGATCGCGGGGCAGATGACGTTAAAAAGAAACAAAATTTTCACATCACCGAGAGGTAAAACAGGCGTAGTTCGATGATTGACTCTTTTGGCCGAAGTGTGGGACACCCCAAGTGACCCCGATCGAATTACGTACGCCAGATGTGATTGGTCAGCGCCACATTAAGGATGCCTCCACTATCGGAGTATCGAAAAGCCTCCGGTGGCAATTGAAGTAGAACAGAACAGTAAAACAGAACTTTCATTGATGGGGTATATCGATATGCTATGCTCCTCTAATGCTCCATGCAAAATATTCACTCCGACTCTTCAATCTTCGCTTCACTAACCTCGTCACACTTGAAAGATTTACGTCCACGAGCAAACCAATCAACAAGCATAATAGACACAACCACACCGTAGACAGCCGAGACATAGTTCATGTTTCCAGTCTGAACAGGCATAGTCGACGGGAACGAGTACATCACCAGACAGAAAATAGTCCAGACGATGGTAACAACGTTGGCAACCATACCGAGCTTACCCAGCCAGAAGGGGCCGTGGTGGATGTTGTTACGACCCTTGAGCCACAAACAAATGATGGGGGTAGAGTAAGACATGTACAGCAGGGAAATGCAGGCTGTCATCATACTGTTGAATGCAGTGGTCGAACCGAGGTATAGCAGGCCAAGAACGCCAACGATGAAGCAGCTGACAGAGTGTGCTACCAAGGGCACGTCCAGGGTGTGGTTTACCTGCGACAGCCACTTGTGGCCAGGCATACCGCGATCACGGGCAAAGGCCCAGCAGAGACGGGATTGCCAGGTGTGGCAGGCGATTTGGCAACCCATGCCAGTGACAATTAAGAGAGTCTCGAGGACAATGGCTCCGGCCTTATTGTCAAGAGCTTGGTAGTAGAGTTCCAATATCGGGACACCGGTTGTGCTGTTGACCAGCGAGTCCAGATCTTTGATACCGAAGAACATGGAGATACAGTAGGTCCATGAGGTCACGAAGCCAATGCCAACGGTGGTCATGATGGCAATTGGAATGTTCTTTTCGGGCCGGGGGACTTCCTCGGCAAGATGGGTGGCAGAGTCCAGACAGGCAAAAATCCAGTTGGGGTTGATTAGACCCACGATGAAGGCCATGCCGTCGGACTTCCAGCCGGTGGAGTTGACAAAGTGGCCGAATACATACTCCGCGCTGGCGTGAAAACGAGCACAGGCTGGCACAGTGACCAGAATGACCAGGAAGGAAATGAGGGAAATGTAGAGGGTGCACTTCGCAACAGCCGGAAGGACCTTTCCAAAGCAGTTGAAAAGGAAACAGAAGAAGTTGATGACTTGATACGCAACAACAACGTGCCACGACTCAATCTCACTAGTATACAGTTTAGTCAAACACACAACTATCTCAAGAAGGCACACAATCATACAAATCGGGATGGCCAAGCTTCCACATGCCGACAGCGCCCTGGCCAAGACCAAGCACGACACTGGAGCACGCAAAGATCGCACCGGCATAGCCAAACCAGCCACTAAGGTACGAAGCACAACAAGCATACTTCCGTGGCGCCAGCTCATAAGCCCAGAAATATTGACCACCAGCATTAGGCATAGAGCTAGCTAGCTCAGAGAGCGAGGCACCCACGCCCAGCGAGATCAGGGTAATCCACAGCAAGCCGTAAATGATCAGTACCGTTCCACCGGAGTTGATACCAGTGATCATCGAGGCAGAGATGCCGAACCAGGAATTGGACATACAGAACGCAATGCCGACCAGCGACAGAATAGAGAAATTCCGGTTCAGATCTTGAGAGTAGCCCATTTCTGCCAGGCGCGCGGCGTCAGAGTTGGAGCCGCCTGATTGCGAGTCATTGCTGGAGGCGTTCGAGGCGTGTTTGACGCTGCCTGTTTTCTCGAGGTCAAATTCACCCATTACGTCGGTTTTCCACGGGTATATAGGTGCGAGGGCGTTCGGTGGGTTTCTGCTGCTGTGGATGAAGTCAAGATATCTATCTATATAGATGCTCAGGCTTGTTGCATGGGGATTTCGATGTTTCGGTCCGAGTTTGGTGCAGAGGGAATGGTTTTGGTGCTGTGGTATAGATGCAGGTGCAATTGGATGTCCTTGTCGCTTGGGATTTCGATGATATCGGCGTGATGTCTAGAGATCGTACAGAGCAACAGTATCAGATTGCAGAAGCGAGTCTGTATAATTTGTTTTCTCTTCTGGGTTATCAATAGTGTCGAGCACGAGTTCCCCGAAAGATCGAAGTGGAAGCTGTTCTGCGAGGCAGAGCAAGCCTTCCAGAGGAACGATGAAGGAATGAATGAAATGTGAGAGTTGGAGAACTTCATAAATCTGCCGGCCGAATATCTTCTTAAGTACTGTACTCGGAAATCCGATCTCGACGTTTGTTCCTTGTTGGCAAAGTACCCACCACAACATCATAGCAATACCTTAGCCGTTGAGTGGGCTAATATCCCATACATCACTGGCTCAAATATAGGCAAGTCGAGTCTTCGGTCATTGTGTTGTTCGGCGCGGACACATCGTCACTTGGCGGGTCAGGCTCCAGTGTTTCCCGTGGCGTTTCAACCCGATTCAACGAATGTGAGCAAGAACCTCTTTTTGGATCCATCGGGACCAGCCCGAAGGCATTTGCACCTGCGGTTTTCATCTGAATCCCGCATGCTAAGGGGTTTCCACACAGGCGTTGAAAGATTTTTCTTGGCGACGTCATAGCCCTCGGAATGATATTGGAATGAGAACCATGACTATGGACTTTCACTCGGATTAGTCAACTTGAATGATGGTATTCCTCTCTGCCTCATGTTTGCGGTGAAAGGTTTTTGAACTATGCATAGGTGGAGTATCGGTTCTCTAACGGGTGTAAGATCCGGTGCACATCTCACTGCATAGTCTACATAATTAGCTATTTTCCAAACTGCTCATTCCAATTTGCCTCGGGATTATCTCTATTTCCTATTTACTGTTCAAATATGGTGGATATGTATCAGGCCTGAGGCTGAGTTGGATTCGAACCTCTACATCTATAGACCGGTCTAAGATCGGCAGGGCGCAGATAGGGCTCTGTTAGTGTTAGGCGGCTGTTTCACCCGTGCAAGCCCCATTTTTATTATGTAATGTGTGAACTGCCTTTTCTGGTCAGTTGCATTTTGGACATATACGGGGGAGTTGACAACCTTTAGACCATCATGTTTCTGAGAATAGTAGGCCCAAGGATTACATAGTGCCTCCCTTAATACGTCTTATTTTTAATACATTAAAGATCTCTCAGAAGGCGAGTCTGTGTTGACTGCCTTTGCAACTCGGCCAAGTGGATGTCGACAGAACAAGATCTTGGAAACTGTTTGGTAGCCCTTCCTCCCAAGATGGTATTCATCAACCCCGTTGTATGTCCAAGGCACCATAGAAGAAAAGTGTAATACAATTGAATGGTAATACGTATACTGTATTCTCGACGTATCGGGTACAACCGAGTGCGGATGGAGTCCGCCTTGCGAATCCTTTGCATATGGCCTCATTTGTTACAGATTCCTGCGGTTTTCAATTGAAACTAGCCCTATCAGGTACCTACGGACTGTGTATAAGAGTCCGGGGCAGTCTGCCCGCTCACATGATTCTAACCAAGAGGTGAATGATCGTGCTGCCGAGAAGAGAAGGTACGATTGATAAGGAGGCAGGCGTGAATTCCTTGGGTATTCTGGGAGCCATTGCCGTGATTACGTGGTAATTGGGTTAGAGTGAGGTTTGACGGAGTCCCTGGCAGAGTTAGGAGTTCGCAAGAGGATATAATTGGCTTGCCAGCAAACTAAAGACTTTCTTCGGCCGCTCGATTCAACACCGTGTATAGCCCATGAATCTGATACTGTTCATGACCAACTAGGAGTAAATTGTGACAAATCCTCTTCCAAAAGCCCCATCATATACTGATTTCCCCAGAACCAATTCCCCAACTGAGCGGCCTGCGCCATCTCTGCCGAAGCAGACTCGTTGCCCTGGCCCTGTGTTTGGCCCTGTATCTGATTCTGACAAGGGAACCCAGACGGAGGCCCTTGCTGCGACTGTTGCGGTACCTCAGCAGAACTGACATGAACAGAAGGAATATCCGCCTGTAGATATCCCTGCGTGTTTGGAATCCCTGCTTGAACATTCCCAGTCCCCACTCCAGTGCCACTCATAGCATTAGCAGGCGCGAGACCCAAGGCACTCAGGTAAACATCAAATTCCTGCCCTACCTCCGCAAGGCTCGAGTCTTCGTTTATTTGGCGTGTGTTAGCTTCAAAGTAGAGACGGGCGACGGTTCCGAGGACCGAACAGAGGGTGTGTAGTCTGTCGATTGATTGGGAGTATGAGCAGAGGGGTCGGAGGGAGGCGATGAATTCTTCTAGTTGGGTGAGGTCGGCCTGGTTGGAGGTTGTTATAACGTTGCAGAATATTACTATGAATGGGACGAAGGGTGACATGAGAACGGCCCTGGTGTTTTGTTAGCGGGGTTCTAGTCAGGTTTGGTTTTGGGTACGGGGTAGGTGGTTCATCTGGGGGTATGTTGGGGGCTGGTGCGAAACACTTACCAGTGCATGTAGGAGATTTTCATGAACTCGAATGTCTCGCTAAGGGCAGCAACACATTGTCGGTGGACTTCTAGTGCTTCCCGGGCTGTCTTGATACATTCTGGTATAAATGTAGTAGCGGGTCCCGAGCCTTCTGATGCAGGAATTGCCCGGTATATCAAGGTCAGGATAGACAGGCGGCTAATCTTGTCGGTTTGCAGATATATTATATCAATATCGGCGATTTTGAGGCCGGAAGACATGAATCTCTGCTTTCAAGTCAGTTCTCCGCAACTTGGACAAGCTCACGGCTGTGGAGTATACATACCTCAAAAGGCTCCATGACAGTCTCCTGCATCTCAGCAGCGAGTCGGTATGCATGCGCGACTCGGTCGGATTCTGGTTGTTGTAGTGCCTCTGGGCTATACAGCAGCCGATAGACATTGCTTTGGATTATAGCCGATCTAGTCCACCATACACAGACACCACCCCACGGGCTGGGGATATCGGGGTTGAGTGATGGTGCTGGGAGGCTGATGTCATAGTTTTGAATAGAACAGGCGCGTCCCAGGCGCAAAGTCATCATGTTTAGTATGGTATAGACGGACCAAAAGAGGTTCTGCTTTTCTCTTTGGATTGAGGGTGAATCATGCTCCATTGACGAGAGGCGGTGGTATCCCAGCGTTTGGCATAGATTCATGGCTGTTGATGCTAAAGTCCAGCCGACGGATGGTTTGGCAATTTCCAGTGCGTGCATAGCCTGTTCTGATAAGTATGGTGTTGATATCATTGCACTCGGGCGGGGGTGGGTGACGTACCCCTACGGCCAATGCCTTGATAGACTCCTGCGTTGCCGGCATCAGGATGTTCAAATTGGCAAGTGCTGTCTCCAAATTGTTGCGACACATCTCGATGTAGCTCAGGTACTCCTCTCGCGCATTTGGGTCCGCATCTGTGCACCCGAACTCGTAGAAGATACTATATATCCCAAAGTTTGATATAACAAATGCCGCGTCTGAAAATTCATCTGTGCAGAAGTATACTTCGCGGCATTTTTCGGTAAAATAATCCACCCGGAGAAAAGGGACATAGCCACCAAAGCAGGCAGGTGGATTCTCTGCTTTAGTGAGACAAAAATCCGGAAAGATTACTGTATCAATAGAATGGCATACCTTTGATCTGCCGTAACATTCCTAGCACCAATTGCAAAGGCGGCATTTCCAATTCACGAATGTCACACCTCACGCCTAGCCTCGCCTTTTTGGCAGGACCTTGATCTCCCTGCAGGTCTACCTCTCTGCGCTGGTTTTGAATGCGGACAATCTTCTTCAACGACGACAAAGCAGCGTTAATCTTGGGACTGGACAGAACCTGCGGCGAGCTTTTCGAAACAGCTGTTTCAAGGAACGCGCTCGCATATGCCCCATGTGCGGTAAGAGACGAGCTACCCTCAAACCCAGAGCTGGTATCATGTTGTTCGATGGTAGGGTTGGTTTTATACAGGGGGATTTTGGCCTTTCCAGAGTTCCGCGGGGTTGAATTCTGCGGCGATGGAGTATAACATGACTCCCGTTGTTGTGGCGCAGCAAGATTCTGTGCTTGAGATGTGTTTCTCACTAACTCTTGGAGAGACCTCTCGATGTTCCCCAGGCGTTCTTCGATCAAGTCGATCTTTTTCTCACTGGACTTCTGTTAATTGGCCAACCCCACATTGGGGGACTGAGCATACATACTACTGGTTAGAAATTAACACTCTTCGTCTGGGCTCTGCTGGCTTCTGGCCTTCGCCTGTTGATCGACATGTAATGCTTGAGCTGCGACAATTCGAACAAGGCGTTCGCTTATCGCACCGGATCTGTGCAGGGTTAGATTGGATCATGCTTGCCGTGTCATTTTCACTGTACCTTTCGGAGTCGACATTGATCACACTTATTGAATATTATATTAGCTTTTCTTATTTTCTTTTCCTTAAACCGCATGCGTATGCCCGCGATGTCTATGCGAAGGGATGACGTGTGGAGCACATACCGCACGTCGGACCACGGCGCTTGGCGCTTCGCGTCCATCCTGATCGGATCCTTCGTGCTCCATGTGTACCATGTGTACCAGGATGATTGCTGTGGGACCCAATCTCTTGAATTAAGCGTGATAATTGTGAGGATTTAGACGTTGAGCGCGGTCTCGGCTCACTTGGCTGGTGCCTATATGATCACGTGGTGTGGTTTTGCGAGGCGAGTTCCGCAAAAGGGAATTCATCTAGATTGGGTCGATTATATTGTAGATAACAGAGGAAGCAGACGCTGGGAAATAATTGTAATATCGTGTAATATCTTCATTGAACCCTATAATAAACGAGTGATTCTAACGCCATGCCTTTCTAGCACTCAAGTGGGCACAGCGCGTCCAGCACACAGATACCAAAGGTGTATAGGTCTATATTTGCAAGGGAATGTCAAAAAGAAAGTGACGAAGTCGGTTACCATGAAAACAGAAAAGCAAGTCTACTCCTTCGGAGGTGAAGGAGGGTACCATGTGCCATCGCTCAGCCAGACACCTGTCGGGCCGTATGTACCAGCCTCGGCGCCTCTCAAGAACGCGAATCGGAAGAAAAGATCTTCGGGTTCGTCATCAGAGTCGCTATCAGCAAGTAGGACAGATTGGGGTTTGATATCGGGGTTGACATCGCGATTTACCAGGCGGGGATTGGTTTGTAGCTCAAGGCCGTCATGACCATGACGGTGCCACGTAAATTCTCCCTGTTTGTCTTCGTCGAGGTATCCGCGCCAGCGCTCCACGTCATTTAGAAGAACTGAAACACCATCTACTGCGAGATCGGTCATCCGGTCATGCTCCCACAGAGAGAAGGTGATATTTCCGTTGCCGCGATGGGTGTGAATAGACTCCAATTCTGGCAGCGAGATATTGACGGAGGATTCAGTGATATTGGGGTAGGTAGATCCCCACCATCCATGAATTCCATCTCCGAGGGGTGCATGCTCTCCCAAAGCGGCGGGGGTCTCAATGATTGAGGCGAATCCCCACCGCGCAACTCCGTTGATGAAGAGACCCAGCAGCAGACCCTGGTAGATGAGTGACGGACGAGTAGGGAAAGCAGTTCCGGGCATGAGTAAGATAGCCAGGATGTAATGATGGATCCGAAGACGGAGACCAGGAAGGGGGAGCAAAATCAAAATGATCAGCAACATCGTGCAGTAGATCTTCAAATATCGTGGAAGCAACCCTCCTTGACGAATCTGCCATGCTTGACTCAAAACAATCGCGAGCACGGTTGGAATGACAAGAGCCAATGCGAACTTCGCTCCCGGTTGCTTCTGGATGTCCATCGGGGTCAGACGCTGCAGTGGAATCAACCGCGCGAAGGTGTAGTTATTCAAAGCCCCAATGAACAGCGGAGGTAAGTAGAGTAGCATCTTTGAGAACTGATAGATAGGAGAGGAAATAGGCTGTAGAAGCGGTGCCGCACAGAACTTATATAGGACATAGACGACGAAGGAAGCCGGCAGTAGTCGCGATAGAAGACTGGAGACAAGGTCGGCCAAGGTGGGATATGAGGGAGGGTCGGCAACTAGTCCTGTATGGCAGAACACCATAAAGAATGTACTGAAGAACAGAACAGGTGGCGAGGTGCAGAAAAGCCACAAAACGCCAACAGCAGCAGCGGTGACTCCAAGCAAAGTCCAACGTGGGTCTGATGGGCAGCTAGCCTGTGGTGAAGACAGCTGGAGGAAACTGAATGCCTTGGGGAAGGTTGATGGGAAAGCGGCAGACAAAATGCCATTCTGCTTGACTGAAGGGAAAGAATGCGCCGCGCCTTCAAGCTTCACAACACCGCAACCGCCGTCGTTGGAGATAGCGCCCACATGGATAGCCGCTTGGCAGACAAAACTGTCTGCGCGGTAAAGTGCTGGGTCCGAGGAATCGGGTTGGGGACCTCCAACAACTAGTCCCTGGTAGTTGTATGTATGATTTCCCACAATATGAGGCTCCAATAATTTGGTGTCGCGGCAATTCGCGGGACAGCGGAAGGGAATGGTCGAGGAAGAAAACGGACGGCAGTCGTTTCCATTTACCCCACATCCATTATCAAATTCCCTGAATCAGTCGAACGTGGTTAGTAAATTCAGACATGAGAATGCTTCGTCCAACATACCAAAAGTTTGTCGAACACGAGAGGGTTTGCGGCCGACCGTATCCTTCAATATACCCAGATGAACGCGAGTGTAGCAAAACAAGGAACCAAGGTAAAAACCAAGAGACATATAGCAGCATCAAAAGCAAGATTTTATACTTGCGCTTTGGCAACAAACGGTCAAGGTATTGAACAGGCAGTTCCTGGAATCGCGGAAACAGCGGCTTCAACAGAAGCATATGCGGCGGATCGGGGCCTTTCACCCAATGGGCGGCAGAGCGACCGACCTTTCTCAGCGGCAACGGAACCCATCCCCAGCGAAAAGATTTGGACGATTCCCGTAGCCAGATGGGAAGTGCGTGGCCTGCTTCAACGTCGGGCGGTGGAAAGTCTTCGGAAGTGTCGGGATCGACGAGACGATCGTCATCTTCGAGTAGAGGTGGTACATAGAGCCTGTCGGGCTCCTCGCGACCCTCTCCTAGCATGGCGGAGGATTATATTGGAGGTAAAGAGTGATGTGGTCCGGAGAGCTGGAACGAACGGTGGGTATGATGTATGATGTCGGAGGTCGGTGGCTTTAGGCACTAGTGCGACGGACAGTGGAGATCTCCTTGATTGGGTATGTAGGGCAGAAGATCACCAGGGACAAAACCCTCAAGCAAACAGAGCGAGAAATCCGTGCTTGACCTGAATCATGGAAACTAAAAGGTGTTTGATACAAAAGAGAGGATACTGGAGGGATTTGAAGAAGAGAAGAGGCGAAAGAGACGAGATCTGGGGAAGTGGGTGTCTCAGGCAACCAGGCCAATCACGAGACCAGCCACGGTCACGAGTGGCGACGCACCTTCACTTTTCAACCTTTTGAAGATCTTCGGGAAAAAGCGTCGCGCTAATGCAGGGAAATAGATGCAATCTTAGCTTTCAAGTGTCGCATCCGTATTGTCCTACATTGTGCGACCAGCACAGGGATATTGAATCCGGCTACTACCTGGAGAAGTCTTGATTGGTGGCGTTCTATTGACATTCCGAGTCCCTTTCTTCTATCCCAAATCATTACCTCTATCAGCACCCGGTCCCTAAAAAGTTGACACCTGGTCCTAGTCGGAGAGCCTCCATGGCCATCTCGGCCTCTTCGTCGCCGCTCAAGCCGTCGAGGTTCTTCAACTGCCAGAACGACCGAAGACCCTCTACCAATCTATGGGTGAAAGGCGCCACCGCGTCAATATCCATGGGAGCAAAAGCCACCCGAATGTATCGGTACGCCTTCGCAGCTGATGTAGGAGTTGCAGCGAACATACTTCCCGGCCCAACAAGACACAGATATGGCTTCTTGGTCAGATGAATCCAAAATGCCTTGGATAATCGCTCCCCACTAAACTGAGAATGCAAGGGGTGGGTATCAAAGAAGATCTCAACCCAAGCGAACATGCCGCCCATCGGCCAGACAAAGTCAAACATCTGCACCCGGTCAACCACCTCCCAGTCATCGACATGATCTACTGCTGATCCCTCGTGGAAAAGAAATTTGTTCTCTTCCAGGACCGTGCACATGGCTTGCATGCGCTTTTCATAGCTCCCGCGTAGACCCTCCAACCAGCGGACCCAGCCGTTCATGTGCCAACCTGAAGATACTTGTTTGGACCGCGTATTGCTGTCCTCTTCGGACTTTCCAAAAATCATCTCGGCCACTAAGGACTGGACGAAACCAGATGGCTGTTGTGTGGTGACCTCTGTAATCCGAGCGAAGCGCTCGATAAATGCTGGCTGTGCTGTGATCCAACCAAGTCGGCTGCCTGGTGCAATGGTCTTGGAAAATGTGTCCAGTCTGACCACCCGGCCCTCGATATCAATAGATAGATATGAGGGAACCAGCGAATCCAAGAACGCATAGCCTGACGACTTGCCCTCTGCATTGTAGTTCTTGGTATACAGGTTGGGCTCAGGAGACGAGCCACGATAGTGAACAGTCTGCTCATAAGCGGACGGGAACTGCAAATTCCAATATGGTTCATCTTCAACGATAATCACATCGTATCTCTGGCAGAGGGCATAGATCTGCTTTCGTCGTTCGACTGAAAGTGTTCCTCCAGTTGGGTTTTGGCCAGTTCTGTGGCAGAGTTAGTATAACCTATCCTCGACATTGTCCGTCCAAAGTAGGCAATATACTTACGCTACGGTGTACATCAAATGAGGCCTGCGACCGCGTCGGAAGTCCCAATTCTCCAACACATCCTTCAATCCACCTTTACCAGTAGCAAGCATACCTTGACCATCCATCGCAACGCTGGCAATATTCAGCCCACGAGGCCGAACCGTCTGGATGGCATTCATATACGCCCACTCCTCGCACAAGACACCTTCCCGCTGCTGGATCCAGTCCCGGTCGGGGTTCCAGATGTTCGTGAATGCCTCAACTGCTTTATGGAAACCATCGGTCGAGCCGCAGGTCATGATGATATCGGGGCCACCTGCATATGGGATATTTGGATGGAGATGCTCGCGTGTGAATTGTCGCAGGAATGCGGCTAGAGGTGCGATGCCTTCAGCGGTGCCATATTGTAGAGCTGTGGCTAGGTCGATTTTCCGTGTGGCGTCCTTTGTGTGGCTTTCTTTTGGGACTGTTACTCGCACTGATGACTTGGCGTCTTCATTGTTGGTTGGTAGAAAGCGTTGTGGTAGCGCGACTTTGGCTTCGAGTGTATCATATGGGAAGTAGGATGGATGTGGCAAACCTGAATTGTCAATTATGGGATAGAATGATCAAACATTGCAGGGTTAACTTACCTCCTGCAAAATTGGCAATTCCAGGGATTAGGAAGTATTTATAGAAATCTTTGACGCTGCTTGGTTTCTTGTTCTTGGTCGCGTAGGATAAGTGGTGCGACAAGTCCAGCGGGAGTGGAGCGGTAGCTGTCATAATGATCGGCGCCTCAACGGCCTTGCATATAACACTTTAAACGTGCAGATTGGAGGATTTGAAGCAGATGGAGCAACTAGAGAGTGGGAATCGAGCGGATTCAAAAAGATAATAGCCCGAAGCCAGTTGATTATAAAACGAACGGAATCCCCGGCCCACTCCCCGCAGTGCTTGATAAGCAACGCCAGACCGGGGGTTTCATTGCTTCTAACTCGATTTGACAGGTGGAACAGGCTTCATTGGCCATTGAGGGTCTATCTTATCTCATACCAGTAGCACTATGGCGATAGATGGGGGGAGTAGGTCCGGTCTCTTACATGTGGTGATACTCTTCTAACATGACGAGCTTACTGAGACAATTGATGATGTAGCACGCGTATTAAGATTCGGTGTTGAATGTTTGATGGGAAAAGAGAAAAGAGTGTCCAGTTTCTCATATAAAAGAGTAAATGCTGAGCTTCAGAATTTGAATCGTTTTGAATGCCTAAGACGAAAGGTACGTTTATAGTCTACGCTATGAGATGTTCAACCAGTTCTCAGTCCAAAAATCATCTGATATTTGGTTTATCCCAATTTCAAACCGTACATATTATGGATCTAGATCTCACTACATCGCGAAAGCGTAGCATTGTGTACCTCGCGATCGGGTCATTCCGAAACAGGTCTATTAACCACTGGAACTCCCAGCAGGACTTCCCTCTCGATCATCTCCTAATATTGTCTTTTGTGCAAAGGAAATCTTAGCGATTGGGCGTGTTTTAGGTTGTCATCCTTTTTAGCATAGTCTTGGCGCTAGCGCTTGAGATGTAAGACGTCAGTACCATTACCTGAATTGAGCTTGCTGAGGTGAGACTATATATTATAGTTCATTGGCATTCTTGTGGTATTCCAGGTCCGTGGAGATAAATAGAGCTTTGTCTCCGAATTGCAAAAATCACATTGAGGTCGGTTTTGCTGAGACAGTGCTGCTATATATATTCGACCTATACTACCTCTTTTTAAAAACGAACGACACCCACAATCGCAATGGCCGCATCTTTGGATCTTGTCAACCAATCTTTTGTCAATGAGCTCTCCAAAGGACCCCCACTATATGAGAAGACCCCAGCAGAAGCACGCCAAATCCTCGAGGATGTTCAGCAACACACCCCAGCACCTGATATCATCCAAGAGGAGCTCGTTATCCCCTACGAGTCCTATAATGTGAAGACAATCATCTTCAAACCGAAAGATACCAGCGGTGACCTGTCTACTATCTTCTATACGCACGGAGGTGGCTGGATTCTGGGAAGGTAGGCCCCTATTGACCCAGTCTCAAACAGTAATGATACTCACCAATTCCAGCCCCACTGTTCATGGCTCTTTGATGGAAGACCTTGCAAGACAGACTGGTGCAGCTGTAGTATTTCCATACTACAGTCCTGCCCCCGAGAAGCAGTATCCAACTCAATTCGAAGAGTCGTTCGCTGCGTTGAAGTACATTGTTAAGAATGGGAAGAACCATCACTTGAAGACGGATACCCTTGCACTGGCTGGTGATAGTGTTGGCGGTAAGTCCACTTCTCTTGAAAAGTAGCAAACAGACCACAGCTGATTACTTTATACTTGTAGGCCACATGGCCATCGCCGTGATCCAACTAATCCACACCCGCAACTTATCCGTCAGCCTGTGCCAACTCATACTCTTCTACCCGGTCACTGACACCGCAGAGAAAAGTGAAACATATAGAATCTATCAAGATGGTCCTTACCTCACTGAACGCACGATGGACTGGATGATTGGTGCCTTTCTACCAAACGAGGAAGATAGACGCAATGCGCTTTCTTCGCCGTTGAAGTATGCAACAGACAAGGAGCTGTCTAGCTTCCCTCCAACTACTGTCTTCTTGTCTGGCGCTGACCCGCTTATTGGAGAGGGTCGGGCGTTTGGGTTGAGGTTGCAGAAGGCTGGTGTTGAGACTGCTATTTTGACGGCTGATGGGCAGATTCATGATTATGTTATGCTTGAGCCTATTCGAGGGACTACTACGGCCAAAGCTGTTGTTGAGCTGGCTGCACTGCATTTGAAGAAGGGACTGGGTGTGTGGGTTGTACATAATGTCTGCTGTAGCTTACTATTTGCCAATGAATTCGTTTGTAGTGTCCTTTCACCTTGATGCAAAATAGTCACGACAAAAAAGTATATATAGGTCTGCCATTCTATAAACCAAGTAGCCAGATCAAACACGATGTCCCCAAATAAAAGAAAGTGTTCTATAAAAGTCTTGGTAAGTCTCAGAATCGCATACCAGTTGGTGCCTTACTGCCTGACCGCCAACATTAAGTTAATCTCCGACACAAATCCGCAATCATCACCCCGCACGAGCTCAGCTCCCAACAATGTCGGCCCCTGAAAACCATGACCTAGCCGAAGAGATCGAATCAGTAAACGCCATTTATGAGCCGGACACAGTAACAGTAACGTGCACCCCCGGCACATCCAAGAACACCCTCGACCTGGGCAGTTCCGCGCAATATACCGACAATGCACACACAACAGTGAACCTCCAAATCCCCGGCCAACCCCATCTATCATTCAAAATCGGGTTCGAGGCCTCATACCCAGAGTCCAGACCTACAGTGTTAGGGACAGCATCGACAGCCGCGCGCGGAGAGGGCAAGATCGCAATTGATGTATTGGAAGATATCGTCCAGAGAACATGGCAGCCCGGCGCGGTATGTCTGTTCGATGTGATCAGTGAAGCTATGGAGGTGTTCCCGGAATTGAATATTGGCGGAGGGGGTAAAGACGACGCCGGTGAATCGGATGAGCTGTCAACACAAGCGCAAACTCAAAATGGCACGTCGACGTTTGATGACGCGACGGCGGAGAGCTTTGAGGCTTTGTCGCTGCGTGATGCATTTGGGCTTGATAGCCCGCCTGATTGGATTCTTTCGGATATTGTTACGGAGAAGAAGTCTGTCTTTGTGGGCCGTGTTGCGCGGGTTGAGAGTCTTGCGCAGGCGCAGGCTTACCTTGATCATCTTACTGCTACTGATCGGAAGGTTGCTGCTGCGACGCATAACATAAGTGCGTGGCGGGTTCGGCAGAAGAAGACCGAAGGAAATGGGGAGGGGGAGACCACAGTTCAGGATTACGATGATGATGGGGAGACTGCTGCTGGTGGGCGGTTATTGCACGTCATGCAATTGATGGATGTATGGAATGTGGTCGTTGTTGTTACGCGGTGGTATGGTGGAATTCATCTGGGTCCAGCGCGGTTCCGGCTCATTAATGATGTTGGCCGTGATGCGTTGGTCAAGGGTGGGTTCACCAAAGAGGAGGGGACAGCTCCTGAGAAGGGGAAGAAGAAGGGCAAGAAATGAGGGAGACACTCGTTCTCTATTCTTGCTTGCTCTAATCCTTGGATTTCATCTTGTCATGACTTTCACATGGGAGACGTCTGGCCCCATAAAGACAGGGATGATGAAACAGCCGTGCCTGTTTGAAGGGATGCTTGATGGAACCTCAGCAGGCATAAATGAGTCTAGTATTTTCGGATACGACCTTCCTCAAAGTGATCAGGAGACACTTGACATCTATCCACGACTGAGCTTGACCAGAGTGGGAAAATGCGTCTTGCTTGGCTCATCACACCACCTCGAGATAATATCGGCTTCACTTGACCGCAATTTTAGATTTGTATCGCAGTCAAGCCTCAACCAGGGGTCTTCAATTCGCATGAAACATTCAGTGGGACCTCTTGTTCATCCAGATTCAATATGACAAGTGTCTGGCATGATCTCTGCGAAAAGGCCCAAATGACAAAGGTAGCAATCTCTGCATCGGCAAGTGCACTATCCAGCCAGCATTCGAACCGAACAAGTACATATTCCAAATCGATTAATGACGGTCCAGAACGACACACTGGGTCCAAGTCCAGATGCAGGTCGACCGTCAAATTTTCACCTCTAGCATCCCCCCACAACCCGAAACATTTGAATAGCCATCCTGTACGGAGTAGAACAACAGAAACCGGGTTGTGAGGGATAACAGCACATGCGAACGGTCTGCAGCCACGATGCAGGGTCTACAGGCAATTTTCTACGCTCACACCGAGATTCCCCGGATCCAATATTCGACAGCTCAATTTTGAGGTTATACCCACAGCACTTAACGAAATAGTCATGCCCATGCGAGAGTCAAGAATGGGATATATGAAGGTGAAGTGTAAGGGTATAGTTAGATGGAGATCAACATTTAGTTCGCATGGCGGGAGGCAACCATGGTACAATGCAGTGCAGCGGACGACTCACAGCGGCTGTAGATATGAAATGCGATCTCTGTCTCGGAAATTGGCAGCCAGATCGAAGTCTCCAGTCGTTCTAGGTGGGTATAGCCGAGATTTGTGATCTGTTGAAATTGCAGGGTTTGACTCGGGATCAACTTCAATGCCGACATTTTGTATATCTGAAACGGGTCTAGAAGGAGGTTATGGGGGGTTCGCTTGGCACCGTGGGCATAGATGATGAATTTGACATCCGCCATGCACATCTTCAGTTTAGAGAGGTGGATCTATGGGTTCCTGGACCACGTTTGATGAAATTGGCGGAGCTTGACGTCCGACTGAAACATGTTCGCTTGACAGCAGCTTCTGGGATTTTCGCACGCTAGAACCGTACCACTCGTACGGAGATCCGGGATTATAGATTGATAGACTTGGCAGAGAACTATACTGTTCCAAATCTGGTCCGCAAGATTAGTCGTGAGTTATATCGTAATGAATACCTCACAAATGCTGGCAAACCCAGTAAGGATTGATCCGAATGACACGGGGCTTTTGATATGAAGTAAACAGTGCATCTCTACATTGAAGCTGCGTCATCGTTATTTTGGGTTTGTACAGGTCGCAAGGGAGTGCGTTCGGCCAATGCTTATGACTTGTGACTAGGATGGGGAGAGGTGCAGCCATAGGGGTTGACCTGTCAGGCAGCGTAACGTCGAAGTGCCGAGTGATTTGTCCACGACCCGCTGGCAGAAAATGAGGGCGGCTACAGCCACAGCCAATACACAGAAACATCGTGTGCCAGCGGTTGATGGTGCGACAAACCAGGGGCAGTGGAGGTGGTGCCTTGCGCCGCTGGGCATCGTGGTTGGCCCGTCATCCAGCCGCCCAGCCTCAGACCGGCAGATCGCAGGGTCTGGGGGTTAATGCCGAGTTTTCTACTGGCTGTGGAACGGGAGTTTATGTTCGATGTTCACTGTCGGATCTAGCGGTCTTCACTTGTGAGTGGAGGCGAACATGAAACATCCCAGCTTGCCTCCACCGCAGCGGAAGTACAGATCGACCAAGCGGATAGGTTACCTTGGCCCTGAAGAGGAGATCAAACTTGGCGAGTGTGTCTAGTTGATTGCTATGCAGTGTAGCATCGTCTCCATATTCCAAGACTTTGGTCTCCATAGTCGCTTAGAGGCCCGAGAGTTCTGTCCATTTGAGAATATAAAACCCCTGCCAATGCTGCATGGTCCTTCCTTCTTTTCTGTGTACATTCCAGTCTCTTCTCTTCTTATTTTGACGGTTCAACTTCCAGGCTAGTCCTGTGTTTCATTCTCTCCTTCTTCTTGGTGGTTTTGCCTGTGGCAGACTCCGACAGTCCCTTCTGATTCACAAAGAACATACGTACATTCACATCGACGACGCTGGAATCAAAAAGCTTAGCTTGTTGTTTCTCAGACATCGCATCACTTGCCACAAAGGTATTGTTTTTCTCCAGTCTCTTTCACACGTTTTATTGTTTGGGGGCTGGTGAAGACAATCTATGACGCATTTTGTTTCGTCTGATGTCAAAATCCTATTCAATAAGTTTTATTGGGATTGTTCTATATCTACTGTCTGCTATATTCAGACCCCTGTCCCTCTTGCTTCTGCTTTCAATATGATATCTTGGCTTCAAGCACTAACATCCTCCAGCTCTCCATTCTTTTCAACCAAACCACCAAGGTCCAATCCTTTTGACTGCTTCTGATTCCGTTCGTCTGGCACGAATCGAATCTAGTGGCAACTCCAATTTTCTGTCGAACCAGATTTGAAACAAAAAGTCCATTACCTTCACCATGATGTTCATCAAGTCCAATGTTCTGGCTGCCATGCTCGGCGCCTCTGCCGCTAGCGCCCATATGATGATGTCCTCGCCCACTCCTTACAGCAAGGACACTCTCAACAACTCCCCTCTGGCAGCGGACGGCAGCGACTTCCCTTGCAAGTTGCGCGACAATACCTTCGAGGCCCCCGAAACCGAAACCGTCATTGGAATTGGCGAGTCCCACCCCCTGACCTTCGTCGGCAGCGCCACCCACGGTGGTGGCTCCTGCCAGATCAGTTTGACCACCGATCTGCAGCCCTCCAAGGACTCCGAATGGAAGGTGATCAAGTCATTCGAAGGTGGCTGCCCTGCCAACGTCGACGGCAACCTGTCTGGTGGCGCCGATGCCCCCGATCCCGACACCTTCAGCTTCAAGATCCCCGAGGGCATCGCCGCTGGCAAGTATACCCTGGCCTGGACCTGGTTCAACCGCATCGGCAACCGCGAGATGTACATGAACTGCGCTCCCATCACCGTCTCCAGCAGCTCTTCCAAGCGTTCCGTCGACGAGGACAACGAACTGTACTCCAACAACACTCAGGTCTTTGACAAGCGATCCTCCACCTTCCCTCCCATGTTCGTCGCCAACGTCAACGGCTGCATCACCAAGGAGGGCGTTGATATTCGTTTCCCACAACCCGGTGAATATGTCGAATACCTCGGTAAAGCCTCCAACCTCGCCGCCAAAGGCTCTGAGGCATGCACTGGCACCCCTACCTTTGGCGGTGCCGGTGATACCAGCTCCGGATCGTCCTCCAGCTCTGGCTCCGACTCCAGCTCCGGGTCCTCCGGCTCTTCTTCTGCCGCTGCCGCCAGCGCCCCCAGCGAAACCGCCTCTGTTTCCGTGGCCCCTGCTCCTGTTGCTACCCCCTCAAGCGCCCCTTCTTCCCCTGACACTGGTTCATCCGGCTCTGAGTCTGGCTCTTCCGGGTCTGACTCTAGTTCCTCTACCACTCAAGCTGCTCCTGCTTCTCCATCGCCTTCCACTGGTGGCTCCACCACTAGCTCCGGCGCATTGACGGGTGCCTGCAGCTCTGAGGGTCAGTGGAACTGCATTGCAGGCACCTCTTTCCAGCGCTGTGCAAATGGAAGTTGGTCCGCCTCGCAACAGATGGCTGCAGGAACTCAGTGTGGTGCTGGTCTGAGCTCTGATCTTTCTATCACTGCTACCATGCAGGCTCGCCATGTCTCGGCTATGCGCTTCCGCAAGCGTCACATTGGTGGTCACCACGCATAAATATGAGACAATTTGATCCGCTGGCGTTGGATGCTGTCGTTGTCCACCTTTGGACTGAACATTCTTCATCACCTTCTTTTCTCTTCTTCCTTCTTACTTCTTTCTTCGTTTCCGCTGCCGGCTATTTGGCCTGGAGGGACCCTTTTCATTTCGGTGCATATGTCACTTCTTTTCATCCTGTATATTTAGGACATGCGGCTCAGAGGTTTCTCTCGAGTCTGAATGAACAGTCATCTTTATGTATAACACTTGTGTCGCAGTAATCTGGATAACAGACCAGTAGATTCTAGGCTGATTAGTTCTGTAAAATATGGTATTGAATAGTTGAAGGTAGCGGCAATATCATAGAAGCTCGGCGACAGTCAGTGGTGGCATTTCAAGCTCTTTGTCTCACAGAGGGCCGGTGATTTGTTTGATAAAATAGCATATCAGGGCTTTCATGGTTCTTTTGATCCATATGTCGGTAGAATGCTCTCTTCGTTCATAAACATCGATATCTGGTGATGAGCGTACTGTAAGGCTAGTTAGACAATTTGAGGGCGTAAACATCAAGTCCAGACACGTGACAGGACAAATACTAACCACGTGATAAATGACAATACGCCAAGCCAGCTAATCCACATCAGGCAGTCAGGGCTTAGGGTTGGTCGCCCCACCACAGTTTCTCACTAAGCGAAAAAATCCACATCCAGGTGAAGCCCCCAGAAGTGCAGAGATTGGATCTTCAACCTCACCTCGACACCGACCAGCAACAATGGCCTCCCGCCCTACTGTCTCGATCGCCACGGCTGAGGGCAAGCCCTCCGGCGCCTCTCACCCCCTGCCCGCCGTGTTCTCTGCTCCTATCCGTCCGGATATCGTCCAGTATGGCTCGCCAAAATGAAGGAATTAATCGTTGGAGATACTAACGGTCGCACTACAGGCAGGTTCACGTTGGTATGGCCAAGAACAAGCGCCAGCCTTACGCTGTGAGCGAGAAGGCTGGTGAGCAGACCTCTGCTGAGTCCTGGGGTACCGGTACGTTTGCACACTTTTCGACATTGGAAGAATCGAGTCCGGACAGCGAAGAAATTTGCGGGATACAGATTTTTCATCAATTGGAAATCAAATAACTGACTGGATGTGCTTGGATTGAATAGGTCGTGCTGTCGCCCGTATTCCTCGTGTCTCTGGTGGTGGTACTCACCGTGCTGGTCAGGCTGCCTTCGGTAACCAGTGCCGTTCCGGTCGTATGTTCGCCCCTACCAAGGTCTGGCGCAAGTGGCACCAGAAGGTCAACGTTGGCCAGCGGTATGAACACCTTTGATGAAATCGGCGCATTGAGTTATGGTGGACTAATGAACTTGCAGTCGTTTCGCTACCGCCTCCGCTCTGGCTGCTTCTGCCTCCCCCGCTCTCCTCTTCGCCCGCGGTCACCGTGTCGCCAACGTCGCCGAGGTTCCCCTCGTTATCGAGTCCAAGACTTTCGAGAACGCTGCCCTGACCAAGACCAAGGCCGCCATTGCCCTCCTCCAGGCTGTTGGTGCCGGTCCCGAGCTCGTCAAGGTCCAGAAGTCCCGCAAGCTCCGTGCTGGTAAGGGTAAGCTCCGTAACCGCCGCTTCCGCCAGCGCCGCGGTCCCCTCGTTGTCTACAACCCCGAGACCGACGGCAAGGACCTCGTCAAGGCCTTCCGCAACATCCCCGGTGTTGAGACCTCCCCTGTCTTCTCCCTCAACCTCCTCCAGCTCGCCCCCGGTGGTCACCTCGGCCGCTTCGTCGTCTGGACCTCCTCCGCCTTCCAGGCCCTCGACCAGGTCTACGGCACCACCACCACCGCCTCGGCTCTCAAGCGTGACTACCTTCTGCCCTCCAACCTGGTTGCCAACGCCGACCTGTCCCGCCTTATCAACTCTTCTGAAATCCAGTCCGTCCTCAAGGCCCCCAAGGGTGAGGCCCGCACCAAGCGTGTCAACGTCCAGAAGAAGAACCCTCTCCGCAACAAGCAGGTCATGCTCCGCCTCAACCCCTACGCCGCTGCCTACTCCAAGCAGAAGCTTGGCCAGCAGTCCGTCGAGGGTGGCAAGCCTACTGCTCCCGCTGAGGCTTTCCTCAGCACTCTCCACGAGAACTAAGCGGTTTTCGCCCCTGCTATTTACTTGTTAACGCAAGTTGACAATTTGTAGTCAGCAAAAATGAATCAATGCCTTTTTTGCAATACCCACGGTTTCTATTTGGAGTAGTAATGTGATCGGTTCTGTTCTTACTAAATGACCCTGGAAATCTTTGTATACATGTGGTAAGTTGCGTAGCGTAGACAGATTGGGGTCTCGTTGAGTTTGTATCCTACCCAAGACAGCGTCTCTTTTTACTCTCTTTGTTATTGTCATTGCCGTTCCTACGAGTTTAATGACAGTTGCTACCTTGATACAATGCCTTCCATCAAACATAGTTGTTACGGATGCATAGATGGGTATACCTAAGGTACGCGTCTCAATGCCTTCCATTGTCTCCGTACGGTTGAGAAGGTACTCTATGCATCCATTGTCGTAGGATGCATAACCTGCTATGTCCCTTTTTTACTCCCAGCTGCGCCAAACATGAATATTTGCCGACAAATACGTATACCACATGTCTCCTCCCAGCCTAGACAAAAACAGAGACTTCAATTCTTGGACCCGCCTAATTATGAATGCTTGTGATTCAAGCAATCCACTCCTATCGTCACATGCCATCTCCTCCCCTCTTACCTAGGCACAAAGCACAAACAGACAGCACATGGTATTAACAAGGGTTGGATTATGCATAATAAGAAGTCCTGGTGAAACACGTAGCATCGCTTGTCAAATTAGCGTAAAGCAATTTACACAATCTGACGGCTACGCCACAGACTGTAGGTCGACCCGCAACCCTAACAACCCTCGAGGATCATGGTTCCTTTGCGCTAACGCTATACCAAGAAATGCACGGTATTTTGGTCTCTCTCGCTCAATTCCGGGTCGACCGGGAAGATGTACCTCCACTCAAGCTGAAACGCCGGGTAAACCGCGGTTAAGAAGCTAAAATAGATGAACAAGAAGCATTTCGTATGGTTCACGTGCCACTATATGATCTTCATCTATTATACTTTCCACTTGTTTTGTCCGGCGGTTCCTACTTGCAGCTATTCATGCAGAGTCTATTTCTATTCTATACTATATGTAGCCAACCGAGCGTTATCCACAATGGTATAGAACAAGGTTTGGCCCGTATTCCCCGTTTCGGGCCCGTTCTACGACGCCCTGGCTAGTTCAAGAGTCAAGGCTATACTTGATTAGGTCCAGGGATTTCTGCTGCACAGACGTCCATGGAATTTCCGGACGCAAAGCCAACGGGCACCACTAACCGAGAGCCAGTTCGGGATATCGTATGGCGATCGAGGACGTGCGACAGAGACTGCCAAGAACACCGTCAGGGTCCGCGGCTGATAGTCTCAGGCACTTGAGTGCCCGAGTGGGGGCCAGGATGTACAGTGTACGTCAGTTCGCTGTGAATGGCCTTTCTCGTTCTTCAGTTTCTTCAGCAGAGAATGCCATCCGACTGGCTGGTCAGAAGGACTATACTTCTTGGGAAGATATGGGGAGAGATGGGCAGAGCTCCAGTTTTTCTCTCTTTTCGCTTAGTTGGGATGACGTCGGGAGTTGGGGTCATTACATACTTGTAAAGGGTAGAAATCGTTTATTCAACACAATAGCCGAGAGATCGGAGGGGGAAAAATCTCCGATCCGAGCGCCTCGTATAGAAAAGAAAGAAAAATCTAAAAATGACCCTAAGAAGCGTGCCAAAGAGCGCTCTCGGTAAGATCTGCCGAATGTGTGGGAGATGCATATACACCTGTAACCGCGCTCACCTTGGGTTGGACTCTATTCGCAGATCACAATGCTATCTATAGGCCTGTCTCACCTAACACGAATTGGTTCAGGGGTACGGAACAAAGCGCCTTGCGCTATCGGGAGTTGGACCGACACTAGACTGTCGAAGGATGCAAAACATCGTGCAGTAGCAGAGTTGCAGTACAGTAGTGTAAGTAATGTGGAAGCAGGGTATCAGATCGAAGACTCCGTACAGGATTACAGTTATTTTGTTCGAAGGATTCTCCATCACGCCATAACCTCAGTCTAGACCCCAATGAGAGACATTCAATATGTTGATCTTGGTACGGAGTACATACTTGTGCCCTAACGGGGCCTCCGTTGGAACTTAGTTACCCAACTGTGGATGTGGACTGCTCTTTATACAAGTGTCTCAACTCTCCCTTTCTCAGCGGAAATAATTCTCTTCGGTATTTATTCGGAGAATTGGGTCTCGATGACCTCGGGTGAGAATACCAGATGGGAATTGGCTCAAAAATGCCGAGTTGGAGTACGGCGAAGTCCCGAGAAAACCGGGTATGAAAAAATCTGGGGCGAATAAAAGCATGAGGGAAGCGAAAAAAAAAAGGTTCCCGCGTCATCTCGTCTCAGGCGTTTCCTAGAACAGCAAACGCACATCACCCTAAAGAAGGGGCTGAGTCCAAATGGGACGACGATCCCGAGTGACGGCTTGCAGATCGGATCGCCAGGACTTTGAGACATGATACGTGGTCTCCGGAGTGCATCGCCGTTGTAAGAAGCCAAGTGGGGAGGCATTCCCAGCAAGGTATTGGTTCTGGCTTGCTCAAAAGGCACTCTAGAGGACCAGGGTTCCCTGTCGTGCATCCTCACTTCATACAATAGAAAGCCCGTTTTGCATTGGGCATGAATCAAGGTGTGAACCAAGAGTCCATACCTTTGATTCAAGAGTAATACAGTGTACAGTATCAGGCTGTAAGAATCTGCACCGACACATGCCTGCCTAGGTACCTGTCTCCGAACTCAATCCCACTGACCCAAATATTCAGCAATATAACATGGTCTCGGCTTTGACTCTCCATAGAGTATAAAGCAGTTCGGAATTGAAAAAATATGGAGACCCGAGGGCCTTCAACCGAGGGTCCCTGTGCAAAAAAAGTGAACCCATCCCCACTTATGGACCACGCGGTCCAGCGATCTTCGCCAGAGGCTATCCAAAAGTGAGATAAGCCCTGCGGCCCCGACGCTGGAAGGAGGATTTGCCCGTCTAGGCATCTAGTCGCCCGCGCCATTGTCCGGCCGAAGGCACCTGAGAGACCCACCGTGAGGGTATTCGCGGCCAGCATTCCGAGTCCAAAACAAGCTCACTTGTTATTAATATATTTTTTTATTTTTATTTTGGATTTTCTCCCGATGAACCGCAAAGTTTGATCTTCGGGACTCAACAGTCTGACGTGCGAGCAGTTAACGTGTATACCTCTCAATGTTGCCCGTACACGCTTACTTTCTCCTTATATAGCGAGGCGCCGTCTTCCCTCCATGTACATTCGCTCTCGCTCTTTGTGAGATCTGATTGCAAATCCCGAACAGACTCTATTGGTGCACATCCTCTCCAGAACATGAGATTGGTCATTCTGCAGAAGTACTACAGAGTGGGTATTCCAGACCTTGCGCCCAGCCAAAAAAAAAAAAAAAAAATTTTTAAAAAAAAAGGGCCAGAGTGTACAAATTTTGTACCTCCTTGATCCCTGTGGGCCATTCGTGATTAATATAAAGATGCAGCAGACTGGGGGGCAACCATGGAAGCCCGGAAGAACCAGGGGGAGTCCAATGTTTGCCTTTTTATACAAGATCACGATTTACAAAAAGTGTGTCCATGGGAACTCCATCTCCCCACTCGGGATAACAACGGTAAAATGCAATTGCCGTTAGATCAGGTCCCAGCTTACGCCATCTCCTTGTCTTTGGGATTGGGTATGGCGCCAAGTCTAAGGACTGAATGCCGATATCATCAGGAACTGTAGTACCCACACGGGATGGGATGGCTTCAAGTATTCTTGGTCGAAACCTTGTATAGATCACTTTCGGACACTATTTTTCCGATGTCAACGGACGTGCATAGGAAAAAAAAAGAAAAGATCCCTGGGGCTCTGTTAGAATTTTCCGTGGGCGTTTTGAAGTACATAGTGATTTCCAGAAAAGTATAGATTCCACCGTCGATCGGTTCCGAATCATAAATAGCTAAAATAAAAGAAAAATAAAAGAAAATGTCTAAAACGGCAGTGTAATTACAAAGTGTACGTCGAATACATACTGCTTTGGCCCTGTTTTTGAAGCTTGACACCCCATTCCCCTCCTTTCTCCTCGTCGGCTTCGATTTGGCTTCTTTTGTTCTTTCTGCTTCTTTGGTTGCTTTAGTGTTTCCCCCTTTCCCCCCCCCCCCCCTTATCTCTCCGATCTCCGAAATCTTACCCTCTTGCAGGGGAGCTGAGGCTTGAAACATCGTCAGGGGACTGGAGAAGAACCGCCCCGTTACATTAGTCCCTGGAATCTACCGCGCTACTCTTAGCCGTTTTTTTCTTTTCCTTTTTTCTTGCTAGGCGGCGCTTCGTTCGAGGCTATCTTGTCTATAATCAAGCGTGCCACCGGCTCCTATATCGGGTGCTATCAGGGTCAGAGTCCTTTCTCTCTTGGACTAAGGAGTGGTCCCCCGAATTTCCGATTTTTAGGTCTACTCACATGTTGGACGCCACTGTTCGCACTGTGCCCGTTCTCGATATTTCGGACCGAAGATCTCACGGCTGTTGATCATCCGTGCTACTTCCAACCTCGATAGTCCGTGATCCTTGGGCTGGGCTTCAAGCGCGGGGCTCTCTCTACAGCATCGACGGCCCGGTTTCCGTGACTCCCTGGGCTGGTGGACTCCTGCAGCATCCTGGACTCTAGGCTTCAACCTGACAAACCGTTGCACTTTTTGATGCGAACTACTAGGATCTTGCAGCCACCCCGGTACGCAAACTATGCACCCGAAACCGTGATTGCTCGGGAATATTGCCAAATGGTGGCCTCTTAAGCCAACTTGTTTCCCTTTCTCTTTCAATTTCGCCGGCAGGATATGCACATTGGCAAGAGCTGCGTGCTTTGAGCGCATAAAATCAGATACCCAACCCGTTGTCAACGCCTGTACGACTCCCTTCACTTCGTGATTGCTTATTCGAGCCTCGAAACCGTTCACGACCGATCTACTCGCCTAATTTAAATCCTCTTTGGATTTCAATTCCAACGCACACTCCTACTGCTGTTCTTTGATTGCCAGAGAGCGGAATTGGTACGTCCAAAGCGCTGGATTCGGAGAAAGATTGAGAGATCCTATTGCTAAGTCCGGTTCTCTTAAATAGAACCCTTGTCTGTGCATTGTTTCTTGAGCATTGAGAGATCCAGCGGGCTTCGCAGTCGATCCCAAAGAAAACGTCGCCAAACTATCCCAGGCCACACCCATTCCATTCCAGTATACCCATTGAAGGACAGGCCATTGGAGACACAAGACTCGTCACACCGGTTGTCTGAGTCTGTTATGTAGACGGTCAGGTTCCGTGGATTATTCTCTTGCTCAAAATCTCCAACTGTCATGTCAGGCTACTATGTTGGACCCTTCGGTCGTATGTTACCCACCACCGGCCCATCCTCGGAGCAGCAATCCGAGCGTCCAGCTAATTTACAAGAATCCGGGGACCCCCCATACCAGCTTCCACCCCCGCGTACACCGGCCAGTTTACAATTTGGATCGGATCCCTTCCTGCGCCAGCGTCAGCAGGAAAACCCCGAGAGACCTTCAGAGATTGGACGCCAAAGGACAGAGCAACTTCCCTCCGTGAGGCAACTTCTCACACCAGTGACCAGTTCCAATTCTCCTCCTACATACCCTCGGGCGTATACTTCATCCAGCACTGAGCGCCTTGACTCTTCATACCCATACCGGCATCATGAGTCGAGCTTGTCTTCGCAGCTTTCTCCAACCGCAGTACATGACAGAGCCAAAGTCCGCTCAGGATCCCTTTCACAGCCACAGACTGGCAATTTGCCTCCGTTGTCACAAGTGGCATCCTTGCATAGTCCCGGAGATATGAGACATCACACACCCACGAGGAGTGATCCATCGGCAGTCAGTTACCCACAGGGTCAACTACCATTCCACAGCACAACATACCACGAAAAACTGTCCAGTGGGGAACTTTCGTCACCAGAGGCTTCTGGTAGGCATGATAAAACTGTGAGGCCACACGTGGTTGACGAGCGATACATCGAAGGAGAAGGAATCTGCTACGTTTATGCAGATGGATCTCATTGTCCCAAGGCCATTGACGGGATTCCTGTGAATGCAAACTGGGGTGTTACCAAGGCTGGAAAGCCGAGAAAGCGCCTTGCACAAGCATGTCTGATCTGCCGTGAGAAGAAGATCAAGTGTCAACCGAACTTGCCCAAATGTGACCAGTGCCAGAAATCCGGACGGGAGTGCAGGTTCGAGAACGCGTAAGTGGTTTATTGAGAGACAATAGTGCAAGAAACTTGATGAGAATCATTGCTAACTTCTGGAAGACCCCGTGGAAACCGGGCTTCTGCTTCCATGCGAGGATCTCAGTCAGCTGGGCCATCTAGCAAACCCGATGGGAGAGATCCCTACGCACCCTCCGGTCATTCGATTTCGGACAATTCCCCGTCACTTTATAACCTCGCCCGAGCCTCCGATAGCGGTACTTCTCTTCCTGGGACTAGCGGCCACTCACCAACGTCAGAGGGCTCAATGCTCACCCCATCAGGTACGGAAACAACATACGAGACTATGGCCGATGCGGACAGGGCCTATAGATCGCGCGCGTACCGGTTCCCACCACCCTTCCCTGGCACAGATGACACCCTCGGACGATCGGCACATATCGAGAGCAACCGCCAACCGGAATACTCTGACATACTCGGGGAACTCAAGGATAACAACCCAGACGACCCATTGGTGGGCTCCTGGCATCTCGACCCCCACGAAAGCGACCCGGAGATGACGATGCATCACATTGAATGTTATTTCACGCATGTGAACGATGGGCTGTACCACATGTTCCCACATACGCGATTCATCCTGTGGTTGAAATCATATCCCAACAAGTCTGCAGAGGACAAGATGTTGCTCTATTCTATGATGGCATTGGGGTCTGTATTCTCGGACAGGTCGGACAAACTCGTGGCTATGAGGCGCTACGCTCGCATTGCACGATTCGCCATCAATAGAAGTCAGCATGCTCTCTCCTTGCAGCTTGCACAGAGCCATATCATAATGAGTCTCTGGTACTATGCCACAGGATCGCTGGTCGGGTCCTGGGACTCGATCGGTGCAGCAGGAAGAGCGGTCTTTGGGCTTCGTTATAACTTGGAATCTGGAGGTGTCGTGGTGGATCAGAATCAGGCCTGTGATTACGGACTTCATCCTCAGGCATTGATTGAGTGCCGTCGTCGAACATTTTGGATTGCTTTTGTGCTGGATGTAAGATGCAAATCATGAAAGAAAACAACTGGAACCTTCAAAACTGACAAGCAATCAGCGTTTCTCTAGTCTCTATTCTGCCTCGTCCACTTTCATCTCGTCAGATGCGGCATTGTTACGGCTTCCCTGTCGCGAGGAGATCTACGAAACTCAACAATATGCGACAGCACCCTACTTCCAATCATTCCTGAACCAACCCACGTCATCGGACGACGATCGCCCAACACTCAGCCCAATGGCGTTCTTGATCGAACTCATGGCCATCTGGGGAGACGTTTCCCTCCACGTTATCCGTCTACCACACATGCCCTCCGAAGCGTACGGCCGACTCGCCGAAGAATTCCATACGACCATCGTCCACAAAACAAACACCTGGATGACTCGACTTCCCGAACATCTCACATTCTCATCTGTAAACCTGGAACGAAGCATACGGGCTCAAAAAGCGGACACCTTCATTTCAATCCATCTGTTTTACCACGCCACTTTGATGAAACTATACAGACACGCCCGATACCAGAGTCTCCGAGCCGAAGTTTTAAGTCAATACATCCACCGAGCTCGATACCACGCCGTCGAAATTCTCCGTATCGCTCCTACTTTCGACCAATTTGCCAAGGAAATCATGTCAGCTCGGTCTAGCACAGATTTCGCCCTTCCGCAGATGACGCTCCTCAATCCATTCCTCGGTTATGTCATTTTATCAGCCGTGGACGTTCTAAGTGCTGCTGGATTGGCATCGCAGCTACAAGAATGCATTTCCTATATCAGAGGTGCACTACTCACAGTCCAAGAACTTAGCCGCTACTGGGATAGTTCTCTGCAGCTCGTCTCCGCGCTCCAGAGACGCCTAGGATTAATGATCGACTGTCTGAACGAGCGCAGTGTCATCGAAGAGAAACAAGGCTTTGCTCTAGATGGTCCATCTCTCGAAACAAAGGTCCACGCTGGCGCCTTACCGTCCCACCCGACTGGCAGTCTAAGCGAGGATCTCTTTACAGGCTCGATGCCTCGCGCGGTACTGTTGAATGCCCTGCGAGTCGATGATAGCCTCCTCTCAGAAGGTAGTATTGCCTGGATCAAAGATCCCTGAGATAGTACCCCTTCTCTCTCCTGATCATGAAGTTTTTTTCTTTTCTTTTTTTGGGGTCACTGTCTCGTTACTCGAAGCGAAAAATTTTCAAAATTTGCATGGCGAAATGATTTGATTTACAGGCAATATATAATGTCTCTATATGATATGCATCAGCGGATTACCCGTGTTCTACTTACTCTTATTTCTCTTCTCCTTTCGCATCTTCCCATATAGTTCTTTTTGATATTAGCCTTGTTTTCCCTTCTGACGTTTTTCTACAACTTGGATGCTGATGCTACAAGTGAAGACAGTTTGGTTTCGACTTCGAAATTTGATCCCTTGCATGGAGGTGATTATTGCTTGCATGGCTGGTTCGCTTCTTTGACAGCGCTTCTATGTTACATCTGTATTATAGCATATTCTCTGCCTCTAATTTTGTCGCATATCTTGGCACGATGTTTTGTATGTACATATCCAAACTGATTGAGCGGAAAGAAAGGTTTGACTGGAGAAAATACAATATTGCCTGCAACAAGGGACACAAGTCTGTACCCAAGGTCATGAAGTATTGGACAAGTTTTTCGTAAAATCCTTGAAGTGAATGTGCTATTTTGTGCATTATGGGTGCTCTGAATTCACCTCTCTTCTTTCGTCTCTTTTTCCACCTCCTTTTTGCCAATTGTCAAGTGCCTCAGATAAGCCATTCAGATTTTATAAACGTGGGGTTGGGAAAGGATCTGTGGCCACTGTTGTACAATTCTACGTTACTTTAGCTATATGCTGAGACTCCTGTCAAAGACTCTGATTCTCAAACCTTTGATATCCTTGCGAAGTGCGAAGTTTCAAAAAGTCAGGAGGCGGGCTTCACTCGTAGCAAAGCAAGGGTTTTCTGTATCTATTTAATTGGATATCAAGTATCGCCCATCAATGTAGAATGTCTCATCTTCTCTAGGTAAATCTAGCTAGTTCTCTTCCCTGTCATCCCCTTCTCGGAGCACTGGAAACAGACCAGTATAGATAAAGCTGCCTTCCACTGGATCCATAAGCACAGCATAATGGGTGTCTTCATTGACAATCGGGTATGACCAAAGCCACCGGAGCGCTGTGTCCTGTGTGATAGATATCTCGGGCTCAGGACTTGGCTCCGTGCCACTCGGCATGTCCTGCCGTTGTCTCAATTGCATTGAATGTGCTTTTCGATCAGGAGCTTTGTCTCTGTTGACTCTTTTCTTTAGTCCCTGTTGAGTAGAATTCTGCTTCTGTACCTGGCGATCCCATTTCTTCTGCATACAAGCCTGGCGTGTCTTGCTTTCATCGATGAACTCTCCTATCGTTTGCTCGGCGCCAGCTAATCGCAGACCTGTGTGTCCTCCTTCATCCTCCGTGACTTCAGTAGTGGTAAAGTTGGACTCTTGATCATGGTTTGTTGTAATGACGAAGGAATTAGAAGAGCGAATCACTGCAGAGCCAAGGTCTTTTTCCAACGTCAAACTCGTAGTTCCATCGCAGAAGATGAGGTAGGCAGCCGTGGTAGAAATACCTGGAACCTTGGCGATAATTTCATCAATCGTGGAAGCATTCGAAAGTTGATCATGAGGCTTGTCTGGCCCAGGTAGAATGATTTGTCTAAGTAATGATGAAATAGACTGCCGAACCCCCAATAATACCAAGAGATGGTTAAAGTAGAAGGCTGTATTCCGCCGAGAATCATGCACAGCTCTCATGTTGAGTGAAGCACTTAGGTTTTTCCGAACACCCGTGAGAATACCAACAAAGCCAACATATGTGATGCTGGTTGCAAGTACCTTGTCGGGGGCTTCCTCCTTGATAAACTCCAGTTGCACAACAAGATCTCGCAGTGGATCCATTCCCCAATCCAGAGTTCGAAAATGCACCATCTTAGTATCTGCACCATCTCCAACTCTGACACCACCACTGGTGCATCCCATCAGTAAATCTAGAACGACATTCAAAGACACCAGCAAGTAAAGATCGATTCCGGTTTCATGGCTAATTCCTCGGATTTCAGCTGTCTCTTCGCTTGTGTATAATCCTCGTAGAAATAGCCAGGCGAGCCAGTGAACTAGACTTGTAGGAATCTTCGGGGATATTTCATGGATCACGTCGTCAAATATGCCTGTCATAGCTCGCGCCTTCTCCTTGTAGAGTCGTGCGAGTGATACATAGCGTTCTTCTGGAGGGAGTGATAGGTTGATTCTAAACACTGGGACTGGCTGGCCCCTAGGTGGGTCGTGTAAGAAGCTCATTTTGATGCGATATATGGGTGTTAGATCGAGGAAAGAGAGAAGTGAGTGGGAATAGCGTGTGTGTTTGTGGGGCAGGTGAGGCTCCCCTCCCCACTAGTGGAGCACGGGATTGTAGAGAGAACTATGCTAAATATGGGCTTGCTTTATATCTCTTGGATGTGTCCTATATAGGGCAGAAAAAAATGGTTTTTGGTTGCCTGAACTCTTTCACAGGACGGGGCAGCAAAGTGCCTCAGGCCTCCGCTTCGAGTTTTGGAAGAGGATCAAAGACGACGGATTACATGTCCTCCTAGTTGAATCCTTGATTGTATATTTAATAGCTTGGACTTGCTATATAGAGTACTCTTAGATTTGAAGTGACAGGAAAAGCTAGACTAGTTGCTCAGAAGCCAACAGAGAGCTATCGACACCAGCGACGGCTTGAAAGACTAGATAGCGCTGTCAGATGGGGCCACACGGGAACACATAAATAACAGTAACAAGAGTTTCGTTCTTTGCGTGAAAAAGGTGAAGAGGTTGAGACAATATACCGAAAATCATCTGGAAAGTCGAAGGTCCTGCATGTAAATATATATCCCAACACTTTCACCCTATTTCGCAAAGACAACAATTCGGATACAATAAGATGCAATAAGACAGGGAGAGACTTCAGAGACCTATACATAAATAGTATTCTAATTGTATCAGCTCAAGAGGATCCCCTAATATTAAACGGCGAAATCATATTTTCCGATACTGATCTACATTTTTGTCTTAAAGAGCATCGCTATGAACAGCTGAGCCCTAGAATTGAAAATTATGCATGGAGTTGATAATGCTCATGGTCTGATGTTATTTTCTACATTGACCCGACTGTTAAAAAGGGGCATTCTTGTAATTTTAGTTGGGACAAGGAGAGCAGGAGGACGCCTACGTCTATGGTAGACCACAATTCCACAATTGACGCAAAGTACATCATTGAGACAAGGGATCATATCTTTTCCAACCAGAGAAGACTTGATATATAAGACATGTCGCAGCAATTTCAAAATAGACTGAGCCAGGTCGTACAACGATCGCGGATATTTACATCTATCTGCCTTAGGCGACCGCGCTAAGCAACAATGCTATTATTCTCAAGGTGGATGAATTGACTGCATATCATAAGTAAAGTCTTCACTAAATATAAAGCACTGCAGAACCAAATGCGCCCTCATATAAATAGATGTAGGTAGATCAGCCTCGGTCGCAATGCGGGATTCCAGCGGAGACACGGAAGGTTTCTCCGATGGAATTTCGACTCTCCACCTTGCTTCATTGTCCCATCGCACCTTGTTCAAACACCTCAAAATGAGGACGGTGTATATATAACCACAGAATAAGAGTGCGCAAAACGCCCTCATGTCCTCTCAATTCGATCAGCCCCCGAGCGGGGAATTCCGCGCAACAGTGGAAGATGACGGACTCGACGCCGACTACAGCATGATCGCAGAGTACCCCGAGGAGGTCGACTACTACGTCCTCTTAGGTCTCTCGCGAACACCACCTCCAACCGATGCCGACATTCGATCAGCCTACCGCAATTTGACTCTCAGCTTCCATCCGGACAAGCAACCGCCGCACCTCCGCGATGCCGCCGAGAGCCACTTCAGACATATCCAGGAGGCGTATGAGACGTTGATCGATCCCAACAAGCGAACCGTATATGATATAGCTGGTGCTGAAGGAGTCCGGCAGGAATGGGGCCAACTTGGGGCCATGGGTATTGCAGGAGAGGCACAAAGGCAAGAGGTCGGAGTTAAGGCGATGTCGCCGGATGAATTCCGACGGTGGTTCTTAAAGACGATGAAGAAGCGTGAGCGGAAAGCTGTTGAGAGCCTAGTTTCTAGTCGGGTATGTATCTTGCTTTGTTCCCAGACGTTTGCTTTGGCTGCGGTGTTTCTAATGTTGGACGTTTGCGTACTATCAGGGCGGTATCACCTTAGGAATCAATGCCTCCTCAATGATCTCTGTGGATAAAGATGAAGATGTGACGTTCCATATACCCTCACCGAAGGTGAACACATATGGTATTACATATAACTTCAAGACCCCGGTGTCATTACCGCAACTTTGGACGGCAGAGAACGACGAAGACACCCAAAATCCCGAGAGCACCGAAGAAGTGCAAGACGAGGAACTTGAACCTGTACATGTCACATTGAATGCTGGTATTGCGGGTGGCTTAGCTCGGCCCATGAAGAAAGTCACAATCGAGTATGAGGATGGAACAGAGGGAGAGGAATCGGTACGTGATATGTTCAGTTCAGTCTCGATTTTTAGCTGACAGACTTTGAGATCCAAATGCCGCCCCTCGTCGCCTCTCAAAACTTCCAGTTCGGAGCTACCGTGAGCCCCAATTTCAAGAATTTGTTGGGAACTAAGGGAATCTGGGCCAAACATCCCTTCTCGCTTCTCAGAGATTCTTCGGTCACCGTAGATGCCCTCCTTCTTCCCACGCCAACCATGAAAGTGAATTTTGCCAGGGCCTTTCAGCCGCTCCCTGGCATCAAGCCGTTTCAGGTCAGCGCGACCAGTGTATACGCACGCTCACTATGGGAAACGCCACCTTCCCTGGAGGTCCAAGTTTCGAAAGAGATCGCAAAGAGGAAGATTGGTGTCTTCACTTGGCATAGCGGCTTGATTGATTGGCCCGAACTTCTTCAAGAGCGGTTTTCTTCACTTGGGATGTCAGCTCAGAGTGCCGTGGCTTCTATGAACGAGGTCAGCAACCTACAAATTGGCTTAATATCGTTGCCATCTCAAAATTCCATAGAATTCGACGATGATGACGAGGAGAGCGAAGAGCTGGACGATGACACTCGTCGTCTTCTCAAAAAGAAGCGCAATATCAACCAATCAGCCGAATCATGGCAGACCCATCTTCAGGTATCTCCTGGGGGAGGCGGGCTTGTCTTGACTTACTCGCGGAACCTCTTCTCCGGAAAACCCGCTGATGACCCAGTCAAGACTGAATGGAGCTCTGAAGGCTATTTCCCGATGCCAGCTATGGACCAGGCGCGGGCTGTCCGACTCGAGATCTCAAGTGTTCTCGGTTTAGACATGTCTTTGAACTGGACCATCAAGGGCATTCGTCGGGTTGGTGAATACACCCGCGTTGGCCTCGGCATTGGCATCGCGGATAAGGGTATCATGATGACAGTCTCATGGAGCCGACTCGGTCAAAACATCAACCTGCCAATCAATGTCTGCCCGGCCAACGAGGCAACGAGTGGCGCCGCAGCGCTGGCTGCCATCTTCCCCTGGCTGGCATACTGCGCAGTTGAATTTGGATATATACGTCCGCGCGATAGAAAGAAGCGTCGACAAGCAGCCGCCAGGCGCCACCGCGAACTGAAGAAGCTCATTCCCAAGAAATGCGAGGAGAGCCTCCAGGCCATCGAGCTCATGTCGGATCAAGTACAGAGACGGCAAGCTCGCGAGGAAACCCAGGATGGTCTTATCATCCTGAAGGCCGAGTATGGATATATACCACCAGTAAACAAGAAACCCAAGAATGGGTTCACGGAGCCTCGGGTGATTGATGTCACTATCCCTGTGGCTGCACTCGTCAACCGAGGCCAATTGGTGATTCCCGGGAAGTCGATCAAGGTAAGTCAAAGCAACTGGATCTCGAACGCACGTCAGTTCTATGAATCAGATCACTAATTTGGTTGAGTAGTTCCAAATCCTGGGTTTCCATGACCCTGCACCGTTGTTGCCCAAGCGGTTGAAGATCTGGTATAGATTCCAAGGGCTTGATCACTACGTCGAGACGGGTGACAAAGAGGACGTCGCCTGTCCGATGCGTACGCATTTAATGTCTAATTAGACATCTTGAACTCCATTGTGTACCTGTAATTATAGCAAATGGTCGTTAGCGACTATTCCAAGCTCCATTCTCACTTCCTTGTTTCAATTTGTACATGCATATACTGTATGAACTGCTTGTGTGAATCCACTGTAACAAGCGATATCTGATACGAAAGAGTTGAAATATAAGCCAAGCCTTATGCGGTCGATGTCGTTCCCATTGTGAGGCCATAAAGTCTTGGCATAAATATACGGCGGCGACAGAGACCAGCCGCGCAGTTGATCCCGAAAAGCCCAAATCGAACGTCACCGTCCTCTTTTCTCATCAACCCGAGTGCACAGCTCTTGAGTTGCCAACCCTCGCAATGTCGACCTCTATTGCATCTGGACTTTTCAAGTCCCTACCCAAACCGAAATATACTGGCGAGGAGGAAGAGTTGCCACAGCATGCGCAGCCCCGTGGCCCGCGCGTGGTGGGCGCCGACCAGCTTGATGAGACTCAGGTCGTCTTACGGGTGAGTTTTGAAACATTCAATTCCATGGTAGGAGCAATTCTAATCAAGCTATTCCCAGAGGACTGGCCCCCCACCCTACGGAAACCGTGCCGGATGGCGACCTCGTGCCCCCGAAGATTTTGGCGATGGCGGCGCTTTCCCCGAGATTCTAGTCGCACAGTATCCCCTCGATCTAGGCCGAAAGGGAACGGCCTCAACATCGAATGCGCTTGCCGTTCAGGTCGATGCTGAAGGCAAGGTCAAATACGACGCGATCGCCCGCCGCGGACACGGCGACAACCGCACTGTCCATGCCTCGTTCAAGGATTTGATTCCGCTCCGACAACGGGTAGATATGGGAGAGCTGTCCTTAGACCGGCCTTCGGAGGAGGAAGTCGAAGCTCAGATGGCAAAAACAAAAGCCGCTTTGGCAACCCTGGTGGAAGGAGCCTCGTCTGCTCAGAAGCCAAAGAACGTCAAGGGTGGGCAAAGAGCCGAGCCCACCTTTGTTCGATATACTCCGGCGAACCAGATGGGCAACAACGGCCGCCAGAATGACCGCATTATGAAAATTGTGGAAAGGCAGCAGGATCCCATGGAGCCGCCCAAGTTCAAGCACAAGAAGATTCCCCGTGGCCCGCCATCTCCTCCACCACCCGTTATGCACTCGCCGCCTCGCAAGCTTACCGCGGAAGATCAAGAAGCTTGGAAGATTCCCCCACCCGTGTCGAACTGGAAGAACCCCAAGGGTTACACCGTGCCCCTGGACAAGCGTTTGGCTGCCGATGGTCGTGGACTACAAGATGTTTCGATTAACGACAAATTCGCCCAATTTGCCGAAGCCCTGTTCACTGCAGATCGTCATGCCCGCGAGGAGGTGCAGCTCCGCGCCTCAATGCAGCAGAAGCTGGCAGAGAAGGAGAAGGCACAGAAGGAGGAGCACCTCCGGCAATTGGCACAGAAGGCTCGCGAGGAACGCGCTGGCCCCAGTCGCCGCGAAGAGCGAGATCGATCTCGAAGCGCCAGCCGCAATTCTTCTCCATATTCTTCGAGGTCTGGTACCCCTACCGAGGACGACGAGGCGGCCCGGGACCGTGAGCAGCAGCGCCGCGAGCGACGACAGGATGCTGAGCGACAACTGCGCCAGTCCCGCATGGGTACGGAGCGCCGCATTCAAACCATGGCCCGCGAACAGAACCGTGATATTTCCGAAAAGGTGGCGCTTGGTCTGGCCAAGCCTACGCAGAGCTCCGAGTCCATGTGGGATTCGCGTCTGTTCAACCAAACCAGTGGTATGCAATCTGGTTTCAATGAAGACAACCCTTACGACAAGCCGCTGTTCGCCGCGCAGGACGCTATCAACAGCATTTACCGTCCACGTGCCCAGGCCGATGCCGACGACGAAGAAGCCGGTGAAGGCGAGATGAACAAGCTTGAGAAGACCAACCGATTTGAGGTCCTGGGTCGCGCCAAGGAAGGTTTCCGAGGCGCTGCTGACGCCGAGGTAAGTGAAGAGACTTTTGGACTTAATAAATGCAGTACTAATGGGGGTTTTTTTGTAGGAGCGTCAGGGTCCTGTTCAATTTGAAAAGGATACCGCCGATCCATTCGGCATTGATAACATGATTGCTGATGTGACTTCGGGCCAGAAGCGTTATGGAATCCAGGAAGCCGAAGGCGAAGACCGAGGATCCAAGCGCGCTCGTGTCGACGACGACTAAATCTTTCTACGTTAATCCTTGTTCAATATGTGACTCTATGTTCTTTCTTTGTGATTTCCCCGGGGATCGGAAAAATAACCTCAATGCATTGCGGGCGTTCTTTTGGCGGTATGATCTAACTTATCACCGTCTTGTTCTCAAAGACAATCAACATCAGAGCGAGTCACTTGGCTCGCTTGCCTCAAATTTTATTTATATCCGTATCAACAACGGCTATCAATATACCGTGAGAAATATAGTAACATATTATCCGTATGATTGTGCAGCGAGGTGCGGAATAGTAAGTCGTCCAACTAAACATATCAATTTATCACTAGTTGTCATACAAATTACAGTACCATGTACAGAATCTTCATCAAGCCCATTCAGTTCTTCACCTGAGTCATGTTTGGAGACAGCACACTCTCCAGCCACTTGTAAGCCACGGGCAGACTGTGAGGGTATCCCATGTGGACCAGATTCTCGAAGAACCGGCCCTCCTTGGGACCGCCATGGTTCATCAGAGTCAAACAGTCTTCAATAGGGACGACGCCATCGTTCACACCCTGGAAAAAGTTAGCCTTTATCTTTTTCTTTAAATCGACGGAAGGGCAGCTCATACATTGAGCAGAAGAAGGCGGCAGTTCTCTTGGTCCATGATGCCAGTCTCAATCAGCGAGAACTTCTTCTGGGCGTTCTTCCTGAACTCGGCGTCGCTGGCGTAGCCGTACTTCTCAGCCATGCATGAGGTGAGCCTACAAGCAAGTCAGTCTTCACACTTCAACTTCTACATATGACAATCAAAACCCACTCGAAGGGATACTCGTGGTCGTTAGCATGGGCCAACCACTCCTGGTCAAAGACGTAATGCGCTCCAGGTCCATGAGCAACACAACCGGCAAAACGATCACGGTGCATGACAGACGCACGGATGGCATAGAAACCACCAGCACTTAGACCCCAAGCCGCAACACGGGACATGTCAAACTCAGGTCTCAGAGCCATGTAGTCCAACACACTCGACCACAGCCTATCGGGCGACTCTGGGTCCGACGGATCAGCAGGACAATCCGCTGTACCGGGGATCTCAACGATAACGGTCGCCCAGCCACGGCTCACAATCTCATGGCTTCGTTGGCTGTTGTCAGGACGGTATCCGTCAAGACCGGTCATGAGCAGCACGACCGGCACGCGGTTCTGTGCGCTGGCTTCTTCCGGCACGCGGATAAGCGCTGGGATTTCGCGGCTGCGGTCTCCGCCGGCGTGGTGCTTGTGTGGAATCATCACTTCTTTGATGACTGGGTTCCACAGAGACGCTGCCTTCAGGTAGACTGTCTTCTGATAGTCGAAGGCCCGACGCTTGATGGACGTCTCTGGGCGTGTGTTTGGGCTCACGTAGGGGAAACGTGAGATCCGCAGGACTACTGCTGCACGACGGTAGAGGTCTGCTGCGCGGTCTCGGTGGCCATTGCTCAGAGCTTCATCTGCTTCCTTTTCCAGAGCTGATGCTGTTGGCAGGAAGGTCTCGGTGTACGCATCATCATTGGCATCATTGATGTCGTTCTAATCGCTGCTGTTAATTCTGGCATCAATGATGTAAAAAGGCGAATGCTTACGGCAATCAGCTTCTCAAAAATGGGCTCGAAGTCCTCCAGCGATCCATCGTGGAATGGATAAATGGATTTCGTGCACTGGAACGATATTAGTATATCGGGATTTATGCTTTGCGGAACAAAGACATACGGGGAATTTCCACTTCATCTCCCACAGGGCCTTCATCGAGCCCTGATGGGGATAGACGGTATCGAACTTGTCTCCTAGAATCCACGGTGCCATTTTGATGGTAAAGCAGTGAAGCAAAGTGGTGCGTGGTATTGTCTAGGCAATGAGTTTTCTTATATCATGACATGGCAACTCTAGGCCCTCTCAACCCACTTTATGCTACCTTGTTCTGTTGGTAGCAAAATTCGTCAAATGTGACCGAGCAATAGGCTGCGGTATCACAGTTATGATCCAGATGCAAACAGCAGGTGGATATGGCCACGAGCCGAGCTAAGACTTGATCGGCACTTGAGAGCAGTCGACGCAATTACATTGCATAAGGGTTTCTTCATGGATTTCCGGATGCGGATGTGGTAGGACGTGCTGCGAATCAGGGAAATTCCGATCGGCTCTTGCAGGTATCCGAGTTATGCTATGCATCTTCGTTGCTCGTGGCGGTGATGGCGATCTCGTGATCCGCTTGCCCTAATTCACCCAGTTGTCCTCGAATGTGGACTTTGATACATGACAAATAAGGATTTCCTGAGGTCAAGACCGATTGAATTGCAATTTGGAGACAAAGTATATTTAAAACTAGAAAATAAACGTGGAGAAAGTACTAATCAGACTTAGGAGTTGTCTGTCGCAAGAAATTCACTGGACGACTCTAGTCCCAGACAACTCCAAGACACCAAATTTTCCAACAACTTAAATGTTAGCACCACCATTCAGGGGGAGAATTTGACCTGCAACGAATCAGCCGAGTTCCAGAAGGGATAAAGTTAACATTCCGATACATACCGTTGATCCATTCTCCAGCGGGGCTGGCCAGGAATGCCACAACACGACCAATATCCGCGGGCACACCACAGCGCTTGAGAGGGCTACCATTGGCCAGAGCCTGCTCGATATCCTCAAGAGATGAGTTCTGGTCACAGCCAGGGGCATAGCGCCACGAGTTGCTCATCCACATGTCACTCTTGACACCAGCAGGGGCGATGGCGTTGACAGTGCAACGCTTCTTGCCGAAGTCGGCAGCAAAGCAGCGAGTGAAACCCTCGACAGCACTCTTACTGCCGGCGTACAGGGAGTGTCCGGGGACACCAACACCAGCAGCGATGGATGACATCAGGACAACACGTCCCCCGGGCTGAATGTGGTCGTAGGCGTTCTTGGCGACGAAGAACTGTGCCCGTGTGTTGAGGTCGAACACGTCGTTGAAGTCCTCCAGTGTGGTGTCTGCCAGGGAAACGAACTTCTCTGTTCCGGCGTTGGAGACGACAATGTCGAGTTGGCCGAAGTGGGCAACGACCTGGCGGAAGAGGGTTCCAATGGAGTCGACATTGGTCAGATCAGCTTGGAAAGCTGCACCTTTGACGCCCTGTGCCTGGATCTCTTGCACAACCTTGTCGGCGGTTTGAGAGCTGCTGGCATAGTTGATTGCCACGGAAGCACCCTTCTTCGCCAGCTCCAATGCGATGCCGGAGCCGATACCGCGACCGCCACCAGTAACAAGGGCGACCTTGCCGGCGAGCTCGGGCTGAGTGGCGCTAGAGTTGAGAGCGACCATTTTGGTGAATTTAATGTTGATAGAGGCGAGGAATGAAGTTTGTACAGGAATGGCTAGAGGGTCGCGACAAGAGTGGGACAGGTAGTCTAATATTGAATTCGATATTTCCCAGAGACATAGTAGACAGACCTGGCTGGGCTCAGTTGCATGGCTTGGTTCCATCCATAACTCCCTATTGCAGCGTCGTTCTCTATACTTCCGGTTTGAGGAGTGACAGTGTCTACAATGGAACTGTCAAAGACCCACACTAAATCTGATGCGCCATTGAATATCAACTTGGATGGCCAAATGGCTGCTTGCGAACAATAAACCAACTAGCATGGGCTGACCTACTTCCGCATGCGGAAAGCTGTCATTTCGGCTGAACGATCCGTCCCCATAACCTATCACATTGGAAGCTTTGGGTTACATTCCCTGATTCCTATGCAGGGGAAATTGGTGGGGCAGGGGGCCCGATCCGGGGAATGTGAGCACCAGTGCGAAGTGCCGGTAGATATACTCGAGCTGCACGCCTTGGAGAAAACTGAATTGTCGGCAAATCTCAAACCGCTATACCATCATGTCTCCCGCCGTCAAGAAAATTACTGAACCTAACTTGGACATCAGTTTCCAAGGTATGTTGAATGAGTAAACGTTCTTACTTGCATACTAACACCCACAGACTACCTCATCCTCTCGAAGCTTGTTTTCGACTGGGCTGACAGCTATGATGCTAAGGTAAATTTGCATTTTTAATAGATTTAACAATCAAAGATTTTAACATCTTTTAGGACTGGGACCGCCTCCGCGGCATCATTGCCCCAACTTTGACCGTCGACTATACCGAGGTCGGTCTGAAGAGATGGGACGACATGTCCGCAGATGATTACATGGCCATGATCACCCACCCTGGATTCTTGGGCGACATGACCATCAAGACCCAGCATCTGCTTGGCCAGACCTGGTGGGAGAAAGTCTCCGACACCGAGGTCATCGGTCACCACCAGCTGCGCGCTGCCCACCAGGTTTATGAGACCCCTGAGCTCAAGAAAGTGAAGCTGCGTGGTCACGGACATGCCACAAACGAGCACTACTACCGCAAGGTCAACGGGGTGTGGAAGTTTGCTGGACTCAAGCCGACTGTTCGCTGGAATGAGAAGCGTTTTGATGATGTTTTCAAGGGTCTCGGCTAAGGTTTTGCAGTCTAGATTGTTGCGGCGAAGGAATTATAATACCGTTATCAAAACTAGGAAGTCCTCGTTAGGCTAGTCAAGTCAAGCAAATCAAAGCAACCTAGCATAGGTCAGATTTCCCAAGCGTAGTTTTCCCGAACCTCCCAATCCTTATATGCGGTCACATTCACCCATTCATCATCATCGTACTGAGTGTAATTATGAAAGACTCGTCCGGGGTAACAATATCCAAAATCCTCCGCTTCCAACTTGCACACGTCTTCGTTCTCAGATTCAGTAGGAGGCTCGGGCTGCTCTGGTGGTGGCATGTAGAAAATATCATCAGAACTAGCAACTCCGGCGACTACAGCCCTAACCACTACAGCATCGGCAACTAACGAGGAATGTGCAGGTTGCGCCTTGGCAATCTTCAACCGTTTGATTGCATCCTCAATAATACCTGGACGTATTGCGGCTATTTCCGACCTGGCCGGACATACACATTCCTTTTCGGGGACGATGGAAGATGGGCTAGGTCTCTTACCACTGGGCTGTGAAGCAGTTGGTTTCGCACGCCATGTAAGATCTTCTGTCTTTTCAGCAACAGTAGAGAAGGGAGCGGCTTTCCTTTCACGGCTGGGTGAAGTAGAAGCTTTCGACTGTTCCCGATGATTATGCTTCTTTTGGGCAAAAAAAGAAGGTTTGTTCTCTTCTGCCGGAGAGCGCCAAGTGGGTATTTCCAAAGGCCTTGGATTGTCGACTTGCTTCTCAGTGGAAGAAGATGGCTTGGATATTGCTTCAAAACCCTCCCTGGAGCATCTTCTAAAGGACGGTATCTCATGGAATGGCGGTTTCACAGGGGAAATCAATAACGTATTCGTCTGTTTGGGTGGCAGAGAGTCGTTCCGCTGCCTCCGATGCCTGTCCTTCTTCTCGGCAAGTGAAGGCGGACTGGGTTCTTTTCTATAAGGGGGCAGGGTGGACGTATTCAAGGGCTCGAGGTTGTTTTTGTTGTCTTCAATGGCGGAAAGAGGGCAGTAATCCCCCTTCCTCAAGGGCGAAGTAGGTCTCTCCTGAGTAACAGCACCACGACGAATTTCTGCCTGACTTTGAGGGGTGAGGTATTTTTGAATGGTTGGAGGAAGGTGTCTTTCGTACAGAGAGAGTTCGATGTACTTGTTGTGTTTGCCGCATCGAGAGCTTCTAAAGCTATGTTTTAGAGTACGGCATTAATTTTGTGTCCAAGGCAAACACTTGAAGGAGTGGCTCACAAACCAGTCCCCCTATACCCCTTCTCAATATACACAGTTGACAGAACCTCCTGGTATGGCGTGTTATCATTAGACCTCGGTATAAAGGTCCGGGTAGAAGGGACATGAGCGTCGAGGCTGGGACGGTGTGTGATCTGGAAGTAATGTTTGGCCTCGAATACACCCTTTGGTAAGATATTCCTGCGCGTTCTTGGAAATTCCAGAGATTGAGTGGTTTTTCGTGCCCAGAGTACAAAGTGATCGAGCTCAGCGATGTTGGGATTCTTAGCATATGAGAGCTGTATATCTGGGCAACATATGATGTGGCCGGCCATTTTCGCGGTTTGCTATAGCTCGAAGGTGGAAGAGGATGCTCTCTTAATATGACAGCATCTTGGATGCAGATGAGGTCGTCAGGATTTGCTAATTAACCAGATTTGGAATCGGAGGTGTAATTGATACCATCCATGGATTGATACTCTGTCGATTTGATCTTGTAGAGCATGACATGGTAACTTTTGACAGCAGTAAAGTAACGAAACTATAAGTTCATTGTCTGCCTAGGGGATCAGTTTCGCAAGACTGAATATTCGACTCAGACATCCAAAAAGGACAAGATCCAAGCGACACTCCTGCTTGAAGCCTGAAACTCCAAGTTCCCCATTATCTCGCCACTGGATCAAGGTACCCAGTCAAGTAGTAGTACAGCAAAATAGGGACCTGCAGCACTAATCAAAAGATAACATCATCCTATTGAAGAAGATCAACAGACCAATCGGGAATAACCGAAGACGAAAAACGCAAATCATGCCTGGACTATCAGGCTACTTAGATATCTTAACCAACGGTATGAATCATCCAGCCTAAATATGGAATAATATTACCGGAACGAGGGCTTAGTACATGTAGAGGAGAACGACCTTGTTAAGGAATACCAGTGACCGAACAGGATGGCAGTAAGACAAATCGAAGAATCTGAGCCTGGACTGTCAGGCCGATCGATCTTAACCATGGATCAAGTAGCCTATAGAGATCAGTATATTAGGCTCTTAATGTACTAATCAAGAAGGACAGGAACAAAGCAACCAAAAGAGGGTGTATTGCACTAATCAAGCAAGAATATCAATCCATTAGGAAGAAAAGTGTAGAAACTAATATACAAGCCAATCCAAGCAGTCTCGAATCAGTCTATTGAATATGCTCATACTGCTCCCAGCCCTTGAACCCATCAGGCAGATCGTCGGGACTAAAATAAGAAGTTAGCGATGCGCACATTTGAGTCAATTTTCGAAATGTAAACTTACCCAGAATCATGCGTGTGGATGCTATGTCCACCCTCAGTGACATATCCGTCATTGTTGTACGGGTGAGGCCAGAGACCCTTGGAGCCCTCGTTGTGAGCGACGATAGGGTCAGTCGAGGGATCGTTAGGGTTGCCAATTTGGGCGTGCGACTGGTCGTTGTGCGCATTTGGCCAGGGACCCTTTGTATCCTGGGAATCGGCGATGATTGGTTTGCCTGGGTAGTGCGAGTTTGTCTCGCCCTCTTGGACGTGGCTGTGGTCTGCGTGGGGGGCTGGCCAGGGTCCGTCGTGTTCGTCTGAGTGGACGTGCACTGGCTCATCGTGGGGAGGAGGGTAGTAGTAGTACTCCTCGGGGGAATACTCGGGCTCAGGAGCAGGAGCATGGTGGGGCGCTTGAGGAACGGGCTCCTGGGGTTCCGGCGAATGAGGCGTGGGAGGGACGGCCGCGTCAGCGACGGGCTTGGGGGCAGCAGGCTTGGGAGCAGGTGCAGCAGGCTTAGGAGCAGGTGTCTGTTGGGCTGGAGGCTGGGGAGCAGCGGGCTTAGGCGCAGGGGGCTTGGGAGCGGGAGCCTGGGCAGTGGTTGGCTTGGGCGCAGGGGCCTGGGCAGTAGTAGGCTTGGGAGACTGAGCAACTGTGGGAGTGTGGGCATCCTTTGCCTTGCCGTGATAGAGCGCACCGTTGCTTCCAGGGGTGACGGTGTTGTCGAGACCACTGAGATCGGTACCATCCTTGCCCGCAGCATTGCCACTGTAAGGAGCGGGATAAGCAGCGCAGACATTATAGTGGCTATTAGGGGGAGCATTCTCGGATCCGGGGAAAGTCTCGGGAGCCTCGATAATGGTAGCCATGAGGCCGGCCTCGACGTGCCACTCGATGTGGCAGTGGAGGAGCCAGACACCGGGGTTGTCGGCGCGGAAGCGAAGGACGGCGTGACCATTGTTCTGGACCATGATAGTGTCGCGTCTGACAGGGGTCTTGGAAACATTGGGGCCCAGGCTCTTGTAGTCACCAGCGCCAATGTCGGAGCGCTGCAGGACTTGGAACTGGTGGCCGTGCAAATGCCATGGGTGCAGGTTGTTGTGGCGGTTGTTGATGACGATTTCAACAATGTCGCCGTGCTTCACCACGAAGGGGTTGACTTGGCCATAGACCTCGGGGTTGGAGGCAAGCTCGGGGCCGACGGTGTTCGCGGTGTACAGGGTTGGGACCTGGGGAGGCATGTAGGTCTCGTTGTTCACAGTGAAACGCTGGACGCCGTTGATGCGTCGGCTGCCAGTGTTCAGGACGATCTGATGGTTCACCGGTTCGAGGATGGGCTCACGGTCCCTGGGCACGAAGTCGAGATCATCGACGAACACGAAGTCGGTGCCGAAGACTGGGGGAGCCGGTAGAGGCTTGGCTTCATCATAGACCAACCAGGCGGTGGCGTTGGGGTTGTATCCAGGAGGAATGTCGCGGCCTTCGAAGAAGAACATCATGTTCACATCCATGGTGTCCCAGATGGCAAAGTTCCTGCTGGTGTCGGGCTTGGTATGGATCAAGACACTGACGCGCTGTCCGTTTCCAATACGCAGGAATTTGTCTCCAGCGGCGTAGGGCTCAACGTAGACACCGTCCACCTCGACTACGGTCATCTCATGGCCGTCAAAGACCCAGGTGTGGCCGGGCCAGTTTCCAAGAGCGATGATGTGTACCAGGTAGGTCTTGTTGGGAAGGACCTTGATCTTGGTATCGCTCGCGTCATTGATCAACGCAGAGTCGGGAAGAGGCTCGTTGCCATGGAAGGCCTGCGCGTTGGACTCAGACTCATATGCATTGAGCAGATCAGGCATCTGCTGGTGGTACCAGTCGGTCAGGGTAATTGTGAACTCGTCATCATATGCAAAGGGAACGTTGGGATCGTGGACAATCAAAGGACCGCGGAATCCATCGGGGTATTGAGCCATATTGTGGGAGTGATACCAGTAAGTTCCGGTTTGGTTGATCTATACCATCATTAGCAGAGCTTCGGTGTACTCGCGGAGTTTACCTACATCGAAGTGATATTGCATGTGCGAGCCAGGAGCAATAGGACATTGAGTCACACCACTGGCTCCATCCATCACACCAGTAGCATACTGGTGGAATCCGTGCCAATGGATACCAGTGGACTCGTTTCCAAGACCGTTGTATACATCGACGATGAGGCGGTCACCCATATCGACATCGATCTGGGGACAAGGCCATTCGCCATTGATACCAATGACAGGACGCTCAAAGCCATCTGGGGAGGCATTGACCCAAGTAACGTTCCAATCGAGGTAAACATCCTTGGCCGCCGCAAGGCCGAGCCAGGAGGCCAGCGCAAGCAACCCGAATCTGGCCATGTTGCGATTGTTCAAAAGAGTGACAATCGACCTGAAGTCGAAGGATAGCAAAATCCTCCTAACGAATGTATTCAGGTCAGACAACTAAAAATTAATATAAAAAATAACAAAAACAAAAACACGTTTGTCGAAGAAAATCCGCGCAGGTTGGTCGGAGTGCTGCTTAGATTCTGAGCCATGGACTTCGCGTCTTTTTGAACTCATTGCGACAACAACAAAGACACCTTTGGGATCTACGCTAGGGGTCTGAGTATGCTAGCCCTTCCATATTCAGCTTGCAAAGCAGTCATTGGCAGTGCCTTGATTCAATACAAACACGCCGCATCGGGGAGCCTTCACTGTGGTCTGAGAATACCTTGTTGAGGGAAGAATGCCCTAAGTGGAACTGGACAGTGGAATGTGGACGAGTTCGGAAGTCCCTGAATATCCATGTAAGGGGGTACATTCTTGAAGAACAGTCCGTCAACAACCCAACTTCAAGTCTCGAGGATATCAGAAGACATGGATTGCATCCGGTCATTGTTGATGTGTTTGATTCCTGATTTTTCCATTTCTCACTGGATAGCCCTACTTCTCGAATTATATTATGAGTTCAGCGGTGCGAATACAATAGGGTAGTCCGTACACGCAACATACTCAACCATAATCCCTCTATCAATAGGTCGATATAGGTATATCTAGATATGTATATCCACGCTATACACCATCGACAATTCCAACCCAGACGTATAAAGCGGGGAAATAGAAAGTTCCAATCCGACGTGCAACGTTGCATAGGGAAAGTCTGACTCGAGTATGCACTTCCTTATCGTCGACACAGTAGCAAATCACATACCGTATGGAGTCCGTCCAGGTACCTCCAGAGGTACGGAGGACACGTTCATATCAGAAAAAGCGGGGGATGTGCAGGAATGGAATCCTGGAAGCAGAGAACTACCGGTCAGCACGCTGTCACTCTTCAGATGACAGGGGAGAAAATGTCCTGCAGGTGCCTTCTTTAATATCCGGGCACGGGGATCAGCTCAGGGAGATAGAACAGACACGTTCTATTGATCGACGTGGTGCCGGCTTCCAGCAAAGCGATAGGAGAAACGGATAACCTCGGCGAGATAAAAAGTGGCCCAGGCACCGTGCGTAGTCGTAGCGCCTAGCGCGGGGAGGCTGATAAGCTGTGGGTACATGAAGAGATTTGGTAAGAAAGCGATAGGGAATATATAGTCAGTTGGTGGTTTGGCAGGTTGGTGGCAGTGGAAATCCATCGTCCAAAGAGGGGGAGAGGGGTCTTGGTGCTGCTTCCGTCATCTCTCTCCATTTGACTCATTTTCTCGACGTGCGCTCAACTGCCACTGACGCAATATCTTGCTTCGATCGACCCTGAAGAGCATCATTGTCCATGGCGTAACCGTTCGTGGGGGTATCTGAGTGAAATTTGAACCCCGATCTTACCCTCCACCATTATCTACGCACCTACCGTCCACGGCCAGCACGGCCTCAAACAGTGCCATGGATCAATCCATGACCCTCATTGATGCCCAGGTGCACTTCCTAGTGAGTCAATCGCACTTCGCAGCTGCCAACCCACTAACCGCAGTACAGGACGAACGCGTGGTGCTGGTGCACATCCCGCTGGAGCTGTACCCGTACTTTCTCAAGGCAGTTCTCAAGCTGATTTTTGATGAAATCCCACCACTCGAGAATGATGGGGAAAATGACGATGAGGAGTCTGACGATTTTGACAATGTCTCGGAAAATGACTTCAAACCGCCGGCCTTTATGAATATCTCTATCACGCCCGTCGAGGTCTCGGTCATGTGCCCCAGGCGTCTAGTCGACAAGTACTTTGGGCCTGTCATGGACCAGCTCGACCAACTTGATGGTTCTCTGCGTTCCCGCTTGGTCATCAGCGAGAACGACTTCATCGCCATGCAGGTCCTCGGCGAAGGCCTCGAAGCCGGTAGGCGGGTGCTCGACCTAACGACTCCGCTCGCTCTGGCTGGAATGTATGTATGATCTGCACCATCTATGAAATCTATACTAACACCACGCAGCTCCATCTTCTTTATTTCCACTTATTTCTCCGACTACATCGTAGTCCCGAGCCAGAGCAAAGCAAGCGTCATGTCAGCTCTTGAAGCTCGTGGTTTCCAATTTGACAACGCAAGCGCTGCTTTCATCAACAGCCCCCTCAGCCCAACAGCAGAGAGACGACTCAGCGACCTAATACCACCAAATACTCCACCACCTTCAACAGTATCAGAGCTTCAAATTCGCACCTTTGACAGTCTCCGCAAACGCCAGATCTCTCCCTCGGTAGACAAAACCCTCCGTCTAGTCCAGTGCGCTGCCCACCACCAATACCACAGCGAAGACAGCTCAATGTCCATCCTCCGCGACGCCCTAACAACAGTCCTCCTAGTCGACGAACCACGCTTCCTCTCCCTGACCTTAGCAGCCCTGGACCCAGCTGCCTCCCTCCTCCTAGAGAAGCGCCTCCTCCCCCGCTTCGCGCTCCGAGCTTCATCCCACGGGACCTACGAAGACGGCTCGGGTCTCCTCCTTGGCTCAAAAGAAGACTGCCTGATTCCAATCACGCTGGACTTACGAGACCTCCCCCTCGAAGCATCAGGAATAGTCTGTGGTGTAGCCGGCCGCCTAGCAGAAGCAGCACACAGCCCCCGCGCTTCACTCTCAACAGCCATCTCCAGCATCGGCAGCAACGCAAGCAGCGTCATTGGTTCCGTGCCTAGGCTTTTCGATACATTCGGTACCCGCCTAGCATCTCTTTCGATGTCTGGTAAAAAATCCCCCCCGCATTGTGCCGCGCCATCGCATAATCTCCACCCGCTGGCTATGTCGACTCATGATCTCCAACCAGATCTGGATTCTGCTGCTGATGCTGTGGAGATTAGTTTCTTGTCTACTGCGCGCGCGGGTACTATTATTGTTGGTGAAGATGAGCTTAAACGCGCTATTGATGCTCTTGAGGCGGAAAAAGAGCCTAAGTTGTTGGATTTGCAGGCTGATTCGCAAACCCCACCTGATAGTCCGCCGCAGCGGGGTTGAGTTCTTGGTTTGAATGAAGATGGATATCAGTTACGAGTTATGTTTTCATGTGGATCGGAACTAAAAGTTGTCTTTTATTTCTTCTCTTTGGTGAGCTTTTCGTGGTTGTTTTATTATCTGTATGAATAATACCTAGGTACTTGTGTGTCATATCATGATTTTTTTTCTCTCCCCAGAATGCGCATCTTTGTCTCTCGCATTCTAGACCTTTTCCAGCTAGCCACGGCACTATCCAATAGGCGTACACAAGGCATCGAGATATATCAATACAGAAGGATCAAGTCGGTCAATTACCCTTTGACAATCAGAACACCCGTAGCAAAGCCAAAAGGGAGAATCCTTACCTTGGCGCAGTCAACAATGCCTGTGATCTTCCCTGTCTCGGAATTGATGAGCTCACCATAACTGAGGACCAAAGGTAGTGCCTCTGAGAATAGTAATGGAAGACCTGTGCCAACATGGTCCAATCTCGACTTAAAATTGTGTTGGTAAGAATTCAGCCAGGGTGCTGAGCTTTTCGTCAAATCCCGCAAGTAGGGCTCTGGTGCTTTCCCCCGGTACTACTTGGCTATGATTTCACGATTGAGCAAAGAATCTATCCATAGGGTAAGCCTAGCGCCAACCCATGAGATAGCCCTTTAATCATAGCTTGCAAGGTCTTCCGTAGTAGTTCGCTGTCGACACCAAGCTTCCGAAGGCTGTATGGTTGATATATCGCACGCCATAATATAAGGGAGACCCTCAAGTTTATCCATCTCATAAATATGAAGCGATCGATCGACTTCAATAGTGCCATGATACTAGAAACCAGCAACAGATTCAGCATGGATTGCCTTGGCGAGGTCATCGTGTGCAGATCAATGCTGGATTTTTGCATTAGAAATTGGAATAGCTTTGAATTGTTTGGTCCTGCTGTCTCGAAATGCTCCCTATAATTGTGCGGGATTTACTTGGCCACTGGTATGGGACGCGTAAATTTGTCGCATTTTTGGCAGCTTACAGAGGTCTTTGATTTGAAAAATGAATTTATTGCTCTTTCGAGGCTATAAAGCGTTGCCATACTGGTGGGATAGGTATGAATCAACGCAGGGTGGCTTGGTGATGTATGCGAAGAGTTGTAAGGCAAGGGGTTTGGTATTGGCTTGGGATTCATACCTCTGAAGTGTTACCTTTCACTTACTGTCCAGCCCATGCGACACATCCATGGATTATAGTACACCGCTAGCTATAAATTCTTTTTTTTTTGGAGAGACTTTTATTCGGAAGATGAGCCCTCAGTAACAAATGGAGATGGGAAAGCCATCTCGGCCAGGAATACTATGTATACAGGTGAGTTTGTAAGCGTATCCTGTAGAGCTAGCTTCCGATCTAAATCACAAATTCAAATGTCAGAGCTTGTTCATAATGCAGTTGATTTCATATCTCATTAATAGTACACTATGGGTTGTACCCATACTCAATCATCACAATGGCAGGGATTACTTGTCTTGTAGTCACCATTCAGGTCCACAATGCCATATGTTGATCCATGCAGATCGCCAACCCCTCCAACAGCCCTGGGAGTATCAGTAGAGCGAATTGGGGCTAGAGCCAATGGTCATGTCAACTAGTGTCTCAGGTTGAGTGGTAGTGAGGACGTAGCGACACCATACCAGCACTGTGGATGATATCGAAGCCTTTGCACAATGGGCTAGATTGTTCAATCTAGCAAACATGATACATCTCCTGACTATGAGCCCATTCAGCCATAGACTCGAACAGTACCTATAACGAAGTCAGCAACAGAACACAACCCTGGAACGACGCGCAGACGAAGATCATACCATCGGAACACCCAGCAGCCCAATTCCCACCCTTCTCATTCCACGCTACACAACTAACAGCCTTAACCTTCTCTCCCATAGGCACAGCAGCAATCATCTCTCCACTAACGACATCCCACGCGAAGGCCGCCGCCCCATCACCACTCCCACCAGCTTCACCCCCACTCAACACAACAGCATCACCCTGTGCAAACACAGACCTGACCCTCAACTCTGTATTCCGATATTTATGCCCCTTCTCACCCTTCTCCTCCTTGTTCCCATCTCCGAATGCCTTCAATAACCCCCCATCAACACGATCCATCATCCGAATATACCCATCAAGCGTAGAAATAAGCAAAGCATTGCCATCGGCGGAGCACCGCACACTAGTAACAGGATGCGCAAGAACATCAACACACGTCTTGCCCGCGCGCACGTCATAGATCCGCGCGTGGCCATCATAACTCCCGCTCGCGATTGAATATGAACCCATGTGTACATGCAGACTTGAGACTGTGTCAGTCGCTTCCGTGAGTGTTTGGATGGGTTTGTGGCTGTTGGCGCGTGCATCCCAGAGATTTATGGTTGTATCGGCGCTGCCTGTATGATCATATTGTTAGCGCTCGGCCCAGTTCACAGGCAAGTGTAGTAGGGAGTGGTGTCTCCATACCAGTAACGACAACCCCATCCCCCTCCCCCGCAAACTGCACCGCCTCAATGCGACTATTATGACCAGACCACCGTCTCGTCGTTATCCCCTGCTCAACATCCCAGAGGAAGACCTGGCGGTCACCGCCTACGCTGGCGAAGCGGGCATTATCGGCTGCGACGGCGATGTCTAGCACAGAGTAGCCGTGTGCTTCGTATTTCTGGATTGGGGATGTTGTTTCGATTGGTTCGTTTGTTTTTGTGTTTGGTATTGCGCGCGTTAGGTGGACGGTTCGGTCGGAGGACCCTGTGAGGATGTAGGTGCCTGGGTAGCTGGAGAATGTTACTGCGTTTACCGGGCCTGGTATGAGTGGTTAGCGCTTTGGTTTTGCGTGGGACTGGGTGTTGAGAGTGAGATAAGTACCATTGTGTGTTTTCAGGGTATGGACAGGCCTCGTTGGGAAGACTGTTCTCATGGCGAGTATTAGAGTGAATTGGAGAAGTTGGAATGGTTGGAGCTCGGAGCTTTAGCTCCGGCCTACAGCTCGGGAACACTACGTACACGGAACAAACAGCTCACAAGAATTAATCTGTATTTCCACGCTACAGAATACAGAAATTATTATCAAGGCTGTAGACACACCATCGCTAGCTACCAGCGGTAAATGGATATAACAAAGAAAACGAAACCCGAGAAGGTCCCAAGCAAGACAAGTACTCGAAGAGAAGAAAAAACATGGTTCTACTACTCCCCTTTTTCCGGGATGCCCGGTACAAATGCATCTTAACGACGTCCATGGCTGCGGGTGCTGGATCCCTGCAGACCCTCGATCTCCTGCTCGAGAGATTTGATCCTGTGGGTTGTCAGTAAATGTCAATACTTCAAAGGAATCCAAAACATACGCAGCATGGGTGGCCTCGAGGTCCTTGTTGAGGCGATCGCGCTCGGAGATGAGCTTCTGCTCCCACTGGCGGAAACGCTGCTCCTCGACCTTGACCTGCTCAGTGAAGCGCTTGCGCAGGGTCTCCTCTTCCTCCTTGAACTTGGGGTTGTCGAGCTTGCGTGGTCGCGCCTCGCCGAACTTGCGGGTCTCCATCTGCTGGGCACGGTAGGCCTCGTAGTGCGATTCTTCCGTGGTGTGGATAAGGTCGAGCATGTGGGTGCGGATCAGAATTGAGCGGAGCTTCTTGAAGTCACAGTGGTCCTCGTTCTCAACCTCGGCAACACCCCAGGCGTATTGACGACCCTTGACAACACGGCCATCGTTGGCCTTCACGTCCTTCTCAGAACCGATAACGGCGAAAGGCATGGCAGCCATGAGGCTGCGGGCGTGGGAGGCGGCGTGCTCGTCATCCTCTTCGACGGGAGGGGAGTAGATCTTGATGCCTTGGGCCTCAATGACAGCGCGAATCTGATAACTGTTAACCATGTCCCCAATTCCATCCTTGTGCGGCCCAACTCACTCTCTCCTTGTAACGGGCCAGATCACCATGGCTCAGGGTATCAGCCTTGGCAACAACGGGGATCAAGTTGACGCGGGAGCTCAGGCGTTTCATAACCTCAATATCCAGAGGCTTCAGGGTGTGACCGGTGGGGCGGATGAAGTACAAACAGGCGTGGACACGCATGTCAATCTTGTCGGTTCGGCGGGGCTGCTGCTCCTGGAGCATGTACGACTCGTGCTGGTCATCCAGGAACTCGATAATGGGCTGCCACGAATCGCGGTTGTTCACGTAGTCTCCGAATCCGGGGGTATCAATAACGGTGAGGCGGACTAGAATAGGTCGTCAGCTACCAGGACGCGGACTCGAAGTGATGCCATCTCCTACCCTTGAAGAACTTCTCCTCGAGCTCGGCCTTGGTAATCTCGATCTCCACGGTGCGGTCGACCTGCTTCTGGTGGCGGCGCTTGTGATCGGCATAGTTCTTGATGGTGGTAGAGAAAAGGGTGTTGATGAAGGTCGTCTTTCCCAATCCCGACTCTCCAGCAACCTGACGAGCGAATCATTAGCCTCAGGCCCGCAGTATCCATGTAGACGACCATCCTGTGTCAAACACACCATAATAGTAAAGGCTGCACCCCGCTTCGCGACAATCTTGTGCCTATACCGCTTGATTAGAACCGTATCCCCTCTTCCATAATCGCCAATTTATCGCTCGAGGGCATACCGCTGGTTAGGAAGCTAGATCAAGAATGTGCTGTTAGCTATCAATCGGTGAATAGGGGTTGCGGGCACTCACGTTGGCAATGCCAATAGGCGTAGCGGTCTCTGTTGTGGACATTGTGTAGGGAATTAAAAACAATTCAGAATGGAAAAGACGAAGAAAACAGAGAGGACCCCGGGTAAGAGAGGGAAGAATGAAGCTCCTGGGGGAAGAAAGGAGGAGTCAAGTTGGAATCGGATTGCTCGAACTGCCCGTCGCTGCTTCCCCCTGAATCTCCTTTCGTTTTCTGGAGTATACCTCGCCTTGCCTATCTGGGCCTAGTGTATTACGCTAGACTGTGTTGGGCCCGGAATCGGGGCCTGGATGATCCGGCCTTATCACTTGGAATATCTCTAATTTTTTGATCTTTGGGATCGCCGCAACAGTAAAAATGAAGACCGATTTCAAGGTGAGTGGGCTCTTAATTCTATACGAAATTGCTTGGAATGAATCCGCGATCATCAATCGGTTACTGACATCAATCTAGTTCTCCAACCTTTTGGGGACGGTCTATCGCAAGGGAAATCTTCTCTTTACTCCCGATGGAACATGTTTGCTGTCGCCAGTAGGCAACAGGGTATCTGTGTTTGATCTTGTGCAGTATGTGTCTTCTGTATCTACCTGGCAAGCTTCAAAACCAGTCTGCTAACCATTGACTGTATAGAAACACTTCTTACACCCTGCCCTTTTCGCACCGTACAAACATCGACCGTCTCGATCTTTCGCCGAGGGGTAACCTTCTTTTGAGCGTCGATGAAAATGGCCGCGCCATTTTGACCAACTTCCAACGGCGCATCGCCATTCACCATTTCTCCTTTAAGGGCCGAGTTTCTGCACTCAAGTTCTCTCCCTCCGGACGTCACTTCGCCGTTGGTGTGGGCAGACGCCTGCAAATCTGGCAGACTCCTTCTACTCCCGGAACCGAGAACAATGGCGAGATTGAATTCGCCCCTTTCGTTCTGCACCGAGACCTCGCCGCCCACTTCGACGACATCCAGAATGTAGAGTGGTCCAGTGATTCGCGCTTCTTGCTCACTGCTGCCAAGGATTTGACCGCGCGAGTATGGAGTATGGACCCGGAGGAAGGATTCGAGCCTACTACCCTGGCAGGACACAGACAGGGTGTGGTGGCTGCCTATTTCAATGCTTCCCAGGAATCTGTACGTTTCACCGCGCACTCAGTTGGAATTACGACTAACTAGAATATAGATCTACACTGTCAGTCAAGATGGTGCGTTATTCCGCTGGGAATATGTGTCGAAAAAGGACGAGGAAACAATGGAGGACATTTCCGAGGCCCGGTGGAGAATTGTCAAGAAGGATTTCTTCATGCAGAACGATGCCAAGGTCAACTGTGCTGCATTCCACGCCCAAACCAACCTTCTAGTTGTGGGCTTCTCTAATGGCTTGTTTGGACTTTATGATCTGCCCGAGTTCAACATGATTCACCTCCTAAGGTACGTCAACTTGGAAATCGCATTGCCTTTTCTAATTGCTAATGGACTTTCAGTGTCTCCCAAAGCAATATTGACGTTGTGACCATCAACAAGTCGGGCGAGTGGCTCGCATTCGGATCTTCCAAGCACGGTCAACTACTAGTGTGGGAGTGGCAGTCCGAGTCCTACATTCTCAAGCAACAAGGGCACCTCGATTCTATGAATGCCCTCGCATACTCGCCAGACGGCACGAAAATTGTTACGACTGCAGATGACGGTAAAATTAAGGTGTGGGATGTCAAGTCAGGCTTCTGCATTGTCACATTTACAGAACATACCAGTGGAGTGACGGCCTGCCAATTCGCGAAGAAGGGAAGTGTTTTGTTCACGGCTTCATTGGATGGTTCCATCCGCGCATGGGATCTTATCCGTTACCGTAATTTCCGAACCTTCACCGCTCCATCCCGGCTCTCATTCGGCTCGCTCGCCGTGGACCCCAGTGGTGAAGTGGTTTGTGCCGGTTCTCCAGACTCGTTCGATATCCACGTATGGTCTGTGCAGACCGGTCAATTGCTTGACCAGCTCTCCGGTCACGAGGGCCCTGTTTCCACCCTTGCTTTCGCTTCCGATGGCAATCACCTTGTCAGTGGAAGTTGGGATCACACAGTCCGTATCTGGAGCATCTTCGGACGCTCCCAAACTAGTGAGCCTCTCCAGCTCATGTCCGACATTCTCAGTGTGGCTTTCCGCCCAGACGGAAAACAAGTTGCAGCATCTACTCTAGACGGCCAGCTTTCTTTCTGGTCCGTTGAAGATGCCGTTCAGCAAGGTGGAGTTGATGGTCGTCGTGACGTCTCTGGAGGCCGAAAAATTGCGGACCGTCGCACTGCTGCCAATGCCGCAGGCACCAAATCCTTCAACAGAATCACCTACAGCGCAGACGGTAGCTGCGTTCTGGCTGGTGGTAACAGCAAGTACATCTGCTTGTATGATGTCGGCACAGGGTCATTGATTAAAAAGTTCACTGTCTCCGTCAACACCTCTCTTGATGGAACCCAGGAATTCCTAAACAGTCGTGACATGACTGAGGCTGGTCCCCGTGCTCTTATTGATGAAACCGGTGAAGCCTCTGATCACGAAGAACGCGTAGACCGCACCCTTCCCGGTGCAAAGCGCGGAGATGCTGGTGCACGAACCACCCGCCCCGAAGTGCGGGTGACATCTGTTGACTTTGCGCCGACTGGACGGTCATTCTGCGCAGCTTCCACCGAAGGCTTACTCGTCTACAGTCTAGACACTGACTTTATCTTTGATCCTTTTGATTTGGATATCACTATCACACCGTCCAGCATCATTGCCACGCTAGACGCTGCTAAGGAGGCGGCTGCTTCTGAGACCGTCGACGAGGACAACACTTTCTTGAAGGCTCTTATCATGGCTTTCCGATTGAACGAACAAAAGCTTCTTCGTGCTGTCTACGAATCAATCCCTCCGTCGGATATTCCCCATGTGGTTCGATCCGTGCCCTCCGTTTACCTACCTCGTCTGCTCCGATTTGTTGCACATGCCGCCGAAGAGACCCCCCATTTGGAGTTCAATCTCATGTGGATTGAGTCCATGTTCAGCAGCCACGGTCGCTACCTCAAGGACAACACAGGTGTATTCGCACCTGAACTTCGCGCTGTCCAGCGTGCTGTCGACGATATTCGCGAGAACCTGAAGCGTCTGACCGAAAAGAACCTCTATGATCTCAACTACCTGCTCTCAAAGCCTGTTCTTGAATCTAAGAAGACCAGCAGTGCTCTTTTGGCCATGGACACTGCCGAAACTGACGGTGCTGATGATCAGATGGTCGACGCTGACGATGACGAGGGTGAGTGGGAAGGTCTTGAATGATTTCTATGGGATTCTTAGTGTATGTCTACTTGCATCTGAGCCAGGCGTTTTGTATATAGCAGCAAAGACTCAAAAGGGGAAATAGACAGGGGCTCCATGGTTAAGTGTGTGATTAATATCGTAATAACCGCCCTGAGACCTCAAACGGGCGTCTCTTTGTTATTTCGCCTATAGCAAACGCCTTGCCCAAATAAAAATGCCTTCCCCAATACTATCCGAATGTGTCCTGTGCCACCCTCTCTGTCCTTCATACCACCAAGCAACTTCCTAAATCGCCCCGTCTTGGAGGCCTGAATCCACATTTATCAGAATCCATTTCCCCTTCATTGCAAACCACGACTCCATCCCGATGAGCTTGCAGGTGACCGGGTCAGCTTTCTGGCCCCTTCTTGGGGTCTTCGTTGCAGTGCTTTACGTTTTGCAACGGGCTCAGCCCTCTGCCTTGAAGCATATCCCAACGGTGAAGTACAATCCTTACCTGCCTGATTTCATCAACAGAATCATGTACTATCCAAAAGCCGCTTCGATGATCAAAAAAGGCTATCATAAGGTTTGTGCTATATTGCAGAGTCTATGTCAGCCATATTAACCTCCATCTAGTACAAGGACACGCCATATCGCATGCTCACGGCCGACGGAGAAGTCATCGTCCTGCCTACAAAGTACCAAGAAGAGTTGAGGAAATTGGGTCCATCGAAGCTCAGTTCTTTACACGCACAATACGAAGTAGGTACTTAAGCAGTGCCACGTTACACTGCGGACTCGGACTAAGTGAGATAGAATGCGCTTGGCCAATACACCAATATCATCATCGATAGCTACTTACCAGCGACAACCGTTCGGAAGAAGTTGACCCCAGCTCTAGGCAAGGTTCAACCACCATGAACACTCCAGCCCAAGTAAGCTAACATCCCTAACCAGGCCGCATCGTCCCCCGAGTCATCGACGAACTGCGCGGCGCATTTGACACAGTACTGCCCGACTGCGAAGGTACAAGATACAGCACGGCAACTCATGATAAAATAAGAGAAGAACATACTAACCACCATCCCAAATCAGACACATGGTTCCAAATCAATCCAAACGAACTCTTCACTCGCCTAATCGCCCTAGCCACATCACGCGTGATGGCCGGCGAAGTCCTTCGCCGCAACGAAGAATGGCTCAACCTCGCAAGCAGCTATCCAAGAAACGTCGGCCTCACTGTGATCCTCCTGCGCCCCTTCCCAGCCTGGATCCGACCCTTAATAGCGTTCTTCCTACCACCCGTCCAGCAAATGAAAAAGCAACTCCGCTTCGCGAAGGATCTCTTCGTCCCCATGGTGAACGAGCGCAAACAGGCCGCAAATGATCCGGCCTACACGAGCCCGGATGACTTTTTGCAGTGGGTTCTTGATCTATGTGATGAGAAGGGCGAGACGCTTGATCCAGAACTTGTGGCGCATCATATGCTTCTCCTGGTTACGCTTGCTGTTGTTCATACTAGCTCGATGGCATTGTATCATGTTCTTCATGATTTGATTGGTATGCCGGAGTACTTGGAGCCGTTGCGTGAGGAGATGAAGAGGACTCTACCGGATGGTTGGTACAAGGGGACTAAGGCTGCACTGTCGGAACAGCATCGGTTGGATAGCTTTATGCGGGAGTCGCAGCGGTTCAGTCCGCCTGGTGAATGTGAGCTTTCTTGCTTTTCGTTGTTTGGGGCACTTGGGATTGTTGTGCAAGCCCTGATCACTCGCTTTAGTGTCCGTCCACCGCATCATCCAAGAAGAAATCACCCTCCACGATGGCCTCGTGCTCCCCGTTGGAATGCATGTCTGCTTTGCTGCTGGCCCGATCAGCAAGGACGTAAATTTCCTCCCAGACCCAGAAACTTTTGATGGATTCCGATGGTGCCGAGAGCCCCAGGACCGTTACGCCTTGTCTCCTGAGTTTGCTACGTCTGCTACCATTCCGAATGGGCACGCGAAGAAGAATGGATCCGCAGAGAATACTATGGCTACACCTGCCAGCTTCGTTACGATCAGTCCAACAAACATGCATTTCGGATTCGGAATCCAGGCTTGCCCCGGCCGATTCTTCGCGGCGAATACCTTGAAGGCTATTCTGAGTCGTATCATCCTTGACTATGATTTTAAGGTTGTTGGCGATGGGCGACCTGCTAACATTCGTGTTGGGGAGCATATTTTGCCGAGTGTCAATTCGCAGGTGTTGTTTCGGAAGAGGGCTATTGGAATTTGAGAGGGGCCCAGGTTTGCTGTTCCTTTGCAGTGGTTGAGGTTTCCCTCCCCTTAGTTTGAATCATTAAAAGACCAGTTGACATCGATGAAGTTTGATAGTTACAACCCAATGAGAGGATTTGAGGACTCAAGGGTCAAGGGTCCAAGGAGCACAAAATGTTCGGTCCATAGTTGCTAACATGCAGTTTGAGGCCACTAGTTTCATTCCAGGCCCCGTCTTTTTATATTTGATCAAATTATTTATTATATTTCTATCGACTACAGCCAAAGCACTCGTAGGTAAACAAGGAAGGTCAAAGGATTGAGCGTATCCTCTGGTAAAGACTGTCTAGTGCACCATCAGCACTATACAGATACGTAATCAGGGCCCCTGTATGTATCTTGACTTCCTCGCCGCTACCTTTTTGCTTGCAAACTTCCATACAACGTGCCTTATCCTTCCACTATTCCCAGCTTTAGTCTTCCGGTCTTGGACAGCTGAGATCTCCCACATCGTTTGAATTTCCCGGCTCAAATTTAAGATTTCTGCAAGAAGCGATATTCAGGAGATCGCACCGTTCGTGTCTGCGCCTATGTTGACAAGGGCTGAAATCCTTAGGGTTGCCTCCATATAGAATGGGTTGGTTAGAAGTTTGGAGACTTCTACACATTGCCCTTAAAATAGCTCACTCTACATAACAGATCTCCTCTGCCGGGTGGGGCTTTCCTATCTTAGCTGCCGCCGCTTTTGTGAGGGCGCTCAGAGTCAAGCTCACCGAGTAAATTTTAGACCAGGCTTAGGCTCACTGAGCTGCTCAGTGACAACACGTGATTAAGTAGTGGGTGCTCAGTGACTCTGATTGGCCGCTCTCAGATCACTCCCTGATTACTCAGACACTGATCAGAGGCATCTATTGAGCACTCAAGTCTCTACCTAGTCTATATGATTGTTTTCTCTCAGAAGCAGAGCAATTGATCATGATGACTGTCTCGTGCCGCCAGGCTCCGTACTCAGCGGTTTAACTATATCAGAAGACTTTGATCTTCCTAGAAATTCGCTACATTTTGTGAGTTTATGATCAGACTTATGAAGCATCTAGACCTTCGATGGACCATTTATTATCCAAGAAGGCCGAAGGCTGACCCAGCCATCTTGGAAATGGTCGCTCGCAGGACAGTCTCGTACCATATCCACTCTCGGAAGATCGACTGTATCGAGGGACCCAAGGGTGACAGCAGTTCCATGGTCTAGACAAGGCCAATGCATTGGATGCTCTCGGTTTTCGTTGCCTTCCAGTACGAGAGGATCATAAGAGTGCAGCACATAGTTCAGCTACAATGTGCGGTGGCAAAGTGTCCCGAGCTCTCGCTTCGAGCTGATTGGGCTGGATGGAGAGGGCATGACGATGCGGCTATCACCGAGATCTCGTAAACCGTCATTCCACGCGCCCTGGCATAATCGGCCGAGAGTCCTAATGAATGTATATTTCACAACTTCAAAGCACTGTACCACGGGCCGACTTCCTATGAGTTGGCATTGCACCGTGCTGGAACGCGTCTGGCTACATATGAGATTCGATCCATGGCCCTCGATATCGACTCTAAGCCGCACACTGGTAATGGGGATGGATGCCCCGTGGAATGCAGTTCTTTCCTGTTGGCTCGGAATCATGCCATACCCAAAAGTATAAATACCGTTGTGCTCCATTGACACACAGTGTCATCGACTCATTTTCAAGGCATCTCGTCGAACCCTTTTTTTTTACTCTTAAATCCTCGCAAGGCATCCAAAGATCAGAGTTGGAAAACACTGGCGTCTCACCGACATTTGGTACTGACAGGATGTTTCACTTTCCACGCAGTCAAAGCCACCAAGACGACGGAAGGACGCCCAAAGGCGTTCATGCTTGGCTAGTGGGCGCGGATATTGGGTCTCTGGCGGCTGCTGTCCACTTGATCCAAGATGCGAAAGTGCCAGGGTCTCAGATCCACATCTTGCAGAATTCGGCATCGCAATCTCACATCCTGGAGGGTTTGCCGGTTAACAGAGCGGTTGATTCAGCCATGGAACCTGCCTCGACAGAGCGTATCTCACCCAGGCACATATTGAGCCGGAACTACATTTGTACCAACGATCTGCTGTCACGAATCCCGTCACTGAACAATTCCAATACCACTATCCAGGAGGAACTGCTCGATCTCGAGAATGATAGACTCTCGGATGATTTCCAGACCAAAGTGATAGTCAACGAAGATCATAAGATGGAAATTCTGGACGGCAGACGGCTTGGCCTCGGCGTGAGTGACCGAGTCCGTATTAAGAAGATGATGCTGGCGAGCGAAGGTAGTGGCATGAACAAGAGAATCATGGATATTTTTAGTGCGGATTTCTTCCATGGCAAGTTCTGGAGCATGTGGGCGACCAAGTACACACCACCTTTCTTTCCTTTCCGGTCTCGCAAAGAAACTGAACTCCGGTAGATTTGCATTCCAACCATGGCATAATGCGGCAGAATTCCGGCGCCATCTTCGATATATCCACGATTTTGCCAACCTTCATACGTTGAGCCCTATCGATGGTACACCGTACGAGCTATTCAACAGTATCATCATTCCTATCACCACCTATCTGCAAAGGCAGGGAGTGGACTTCAGACACAATTTACAGGTGTTAGACGTGCTGATGGAACCGGAGAGTGACCCTAGATTAGTATCTGGTCTGAAGGTTCAGCAGAGTGGCAAGGAAAGCGTCATCCCCGTCACTCCAGAGGACATCCTGATCGTCACCCTGGGATCCATCTACGCGGGCTCAACCTTGGGCACGAACTGGTCTCCACCAGATCCGATCCCCGAGGTCAAAGAGTTGACACTCGACGATTCGTGGGACCTGTGGTTTAAGCTATCAGGGAAACATCCGAAATTTGGAGACCCGTCACGATTTTTTGCGCGCATCACAGAGTCCACCATGGAATGTTTTCTTGTGACGCTGACAGGCTGGGACTTCGTCGGGCAATTTGCAGCTCTGGTGCACTCTTCACTGAGTACGAGCACGCTAGTAAGTTTCAAGAACAGCAACTGGGGGTTGAGCCTCAATGTGCCGTGCCAACCGCATCTCGCCGGTCAACCGGAAAACACCCAGTTGCTATGGGGCTATGCACTGTCACCATCTCGGGAAGGGAATTTCATTCGTAAACCAATGAGCAGCTGTAGCGGCCGAGAAGTCCTGATGGAGGTGGTCCAGCATCTACAGTTCCCCGTAGACCCGATACTCGAGCACTCCGTCACAGTGACCAGCTTGTTGCCGCTCGCGACAGCGCAGTACCTGACTCGAGAGGAAGACGAACGCCCAAAAGTAGTCCCCGAAAACGCGCGCAATATTGCCCTAATCGGTCAGTTTGTGGAAATCCCCGAAGAAACAGTGTTTTCCATGGAGTACACTATCCGCGGGGCACAAACAGCTGTATACCAATTGATGGGTCTGAAAGAGAAGAAGCCGAAAGCACATAAGAGCTACTGGGATGGTTTGCGGACCATTCTACTTTGAACCAGACATCGAGTAGTTTTTTACAGAATGATCTACCCTCTTGTCATCTAAATTATCATCTCAGATTTCGCACTAAGCAATTCTGGACTGACAGCTGGGCGCCTGACTCTGCGAGGCCGATGGGACACCATCATCAACGACTGTTCTGATACACGGATCTCGATGCCTACCTCTTCATAGCAATCTGTATAGTCACTTTGACACACCGACTGGTCGAACCTTTGGAGGGAAAATGCTGCATCTTTGCTATCTCAGAATGATCACAAGAAAGGGCCCAACGAAGGGCCAGGAGGCGCTTGCCGTGGTGTTTCGGAGAGGTTGATCTTCTGCTGGAAAAGAGACGAGCAGGAGCAGCGACCATGTTCGGAGGTGGTGAGGTTTTCTTTTGGACCGATATCCAAGAAGAAGCCCCGGTTCAATTCACGTATACTGGAGTACGTTCGTCAGAAATGCGACGGAATCAGGTCACACCAGCTGTAGTCCCAAAAGAAGAATATATTCAAGTCTCTTCACCCAACACCGCTAATGCCTACATCTAAACTGATACTTCCATTGTGGAGGACCTGTCGTGTACCACTGGCTCCTATGGTATAGTTTTTTTACTAGGTCCATGCACTATGTGTCGGTAATGCCAGTAGTAGCCCATTGGAGCTTGTTGGTATCTTCATTCGGGGATGTTGGGCTATGTACGCAATGCAATATGACCAACCACGGATTATGAACAGGTATGCGAGTAGAAACAATGCTTTGAAACAATGCTTTTGTAGATCGGGGAGATTTGACAATGCTGATCGAGCGACAGTTCGAAAAATGTGAAGACTAAGCAGGCTCTGTCTTCAATCGTGGGTCTCCCAGTTGTTACTTGCAAGCCGAAGCTACCAGGGGTGATCACCCACGGGGAAAGTCTTAGCAGGTAGATAGGCTTGTAGGCAGAGGCAACGCCGCACCCATAAGTAAAATACCCAATCTTGGGTGCTGGCCAGCAATGAATCTCGCTCTTCAGTGGCAGGCAGACTAGGCAACATATGGTTCGTGCCAAATCCCTTCATGATGCATGACGCACGCAGGCCCGAATTGTGGCAAACATTGGTAATTGCCACCATATTTGTTGTCAAGGAAGTAACATTGCGAAAACAGAGATATCTGTGGCTGTGATTAGTTGACGTACCAAACCTTACCATTTGGTGCGTATAGCTTCAAATATGATGAATAATGCCTTCTTACTGGCAAGTGGATCATATTGGTCAACCAATGGAAATAACAACAGGTCTGAATTGCTAAACCCCCCTAACAAACTACTTGTACGGGCTTCGACTCCTGGCTAATTTCAGATCATTGGAAACCTTCCCGTTCTCTCTGAGTCTCCATCTTTCCTGCGGCGTGCTGGCATGTCTTTGTTGGAATAATCACGTCAGGAATGGACGGGTTTATCCTGTCATCAGTAGCCCGAATACACCCACATCCATGTACCTGAGAGATTACCGGGTAATGGGTGATAGATGAATATGCAGGAAGATCAAGGTAGGATTGCGCAGCAAGACAAGAGAGAATGTGGATCGGAGAATGCACCGAAATGGCAAAGTGACGCCGATGGGTAGGTTTTTTATCGTAGACTTCACACATGCACAACGTTATCTATAACACCGTCAGGAACGTTCAGAGCAGCTCTTTATCCTTCCCAGGCCATGTAACATAGAATCAAACGACTATCGTCGGGCAAATGAACGAAATTATTCTGCTTCTTGGTATACGCTTACCATAATCTGATGAGCGATTTCGATGCTTTCGTATGTCGCGTCACAATGCAACTTTTGCATTTCATCCTTACCCACAATAGTTTGGCAGTTCGGGATCTGTACATTCAATTCCATTTCAGTTGGCCCGGCTTGACAGCTATCGCTGAGATTATCTGGCAAGTTGTTCCGGTTATGATCAACAAGATCCTCTCCTGTGAGAGTAGCCGCCCGATTGTTCCAAGAAATGCCATCATCAGCCGTGACTCGCGTCAAGCTTCCTGGATAATTGCTGGGACTTGCCGAAGGCGCCGTTTTCTCGAAAAGTAAGAGCCTTTTACGCGGTTCGATATGATGGTTGGCCTTGCCATGATAATGAAAATTTTCCATCACCCAGACTTGGATCCGACGGCAGGTAACCTTCGCGAATGGGGTGAGTTTTATGGCGATAGGTATCCGTGATCCCAAAGGGAATGATTTTCCAATAATGGTGATATTGTAATGGAGCTGATCCTTCCAGGTCCTCGATATCGCGATGGGCTCAACTTGCTCTAGGCATCCCTCCACGGGGCTCCGGATGAAGGGGATATACCGAATGCCAGATAGGTTAGACTGGAACACTCCCGGGCGTTCAACGACTGCTTGAAGAAGCCATCTGACAGAAACCATCTGGTTTTCGATTGTTTCTGGGTTATGTGAATCGATCAATTGTTCAAAATTGTAAGTGTAATCGCCCGGAGGAAAGACTTGGTAGCCTCGGTGTGACCTCGAAACTCCACGGGCCCAGGGCTCGCCGTTACTAATCCCACAGGCATGGTCGTGATTCATTCGTAGTGATAGGTCCATCGCGTCTTTATTGTTGTGTTGGATGTTCAGTATCGCTGTATTTGTCCTATGTAGCTTCGTTATCGTCGCAAGTAGAGGGCTTGCAATATTAAGATTGTTCGCCCTGTAGTCAATGTTTGACATCGAAAGTCCGTCTTGTGCATCTGCGAGGAATAGCGGCCATACGTGTTTGTTGAGCTCTTTTATGTGCTGGGTCCGTCCTTCCTTTGGAAGAATCCCTAGATGTCAAACACACACTTAGTGCGCTGACGCCAAAGTCGAACAGCGGCATCGAGTGTCGCTTACCGTCAGATATCTTCGTCTGTGCGACGCCCTTGAACACGAGTTCAACTTTCTTTATCTTGATAGTTTTCGTCAATCTGAGCCGCAAATGTCCACTCAGCATGACCGATCTGGCAGTAGCTGGGTCAGCTGAGTCCAAATGTGGTAAATAGACGACCGGTTCCGCCAGAGCCAACGTGACCGTGATTCCATCGGCGCTTGTCATGACCTCCTCGTTGCGCGAAACTGGGATAGAGGATGCAGGAGTTGACCTCATCACACATGAGTTTCTATACAGGTCCAAAGGTATTGCGCAGTCTCCCTGCTCTGGCTGCATGGTTTTCTTGATTTGAATTTTCAAGGCAAAAAATCCTAGTTCCAACGTTAGTAGATCCATATCATCTATAAGCATCAGACGATGGCAATTATACATTTGGACGTCATATAAAACAACGTCAGGAGATGGCGCATGAACTGCAGTGGTGGATCTAGACTGCGATAGACCGTGAGTCTCAAGTCACATGATAACTCGAAAAGCCCTTTGCTGGCATCCAGAGTGTCCAAACTAGTCGACTCTTTCATGAATTACCAACTATTGATTCCCTCAATACTAGTACATACAGATTTTTTGTGATCTGACATAGTTGAATAGCTTTCGAAACGTAGTCTATCCCCGGCAAGGGGTGTAGGTGGGCTGACTAAGGTCCTATTATACCAAGTTTTTACAAGCTTCGAATTTGGCTTTTGTGAGCCTCAGTCACCTGATGCTAAAGTGCCTAGGCCTTTTGTCTTACATGCGATTACATCATATGCGATGATGGTTAATACGTTAGTTAACTATGCCTCTAAATATGAAGTAATCATGGCAGTGGGCAATCTTCAGCCTTTGCCTTGGGAACTTCCTTGGTTGTGCTCCGTCTTTTATTATCGATGGCAATTGAAGACCTTTGGCCGAGATGATGCGTTCGCAAATTTTCTCTTTGTGCGTCAATTTTGCTCACCTTGAGGGGGGTTAATTGCAGGGGAGCAGTTTGTCAATACTATACTTGTTCCTATCCTATGGATGTGGGCTGTGAAGTGTCAAGGTTGTCATTTGCCTTTTGACTTGGACTTCTATGTTTACTCGGGCAGGCCTTCCAAGCGGGCGCCAGCAGGGGTAATGGAGCAAATTAGCAAAATGATTGAATGTCTCTGGAGCAGAATGAGACATTCGCATACTAACATCCAATTACAGTAGCTGTTCATGGAGGAGGTCGTCTACATATTTGTTTGCTTTACACTTAAGCAGGCCTTTCTCCCGTTATATCTCCGTCTCCCGCCGAAACGAAAGTTCCCACTCGCCGTTTTCGAACAATGAATATAGGTACCGTAATCCTCAGAGTCGACTGGCTGATAGCATCTGGTAGAGCCAACCACTAGCAACCCGATTCCATCCAGAAGTATATTCAAATTTCAACCACCTCAGCCAATATCTGGTCCAAAAGGCCCCGACAGCATTGGTATGCGATTCCTTTTTGTTCGACGCTGCCATACTTAAACCCATACTAACTTCATGGCTCTATTGCATGAAATGCTTTTTCTGATACTGTTATTCGGCTTCTTCCTGTGCCCACCGTTCTCAACCTCCAGATGAACGCCCAACGAAAAGCAGCCGTCCTCGGAATCATCTGCTTCGGTTCCTTGTCTGTAGTAACAGCATTATGTCGCTTCGTAGTCCAAAACCTAGGTCATTTCGGAGCCTTAGGCTCTCTACATAATGGACAATATGATCATTGTCGCAGGCATCGAGATCAAAATTGTCGTCATTGCTGTGGATTACCAGCGCTACGGTCCATTTTCATCAAAATGGTAGGGAGCTCTCATGCTTTCTCGGGTTATCATCAAAGTAGCTCTGGCGCCCACGATTTGTCAAATTTGAAGAATGATTCTCATGGACCACTGAAGTCATTCTTGAATATTCCATCTAAATCTTATGGGAGCTTGGGTGCCACCTTGTCCGATTCCGAAGAGGATCTCTTGTGACAACAGGGAGGTAACAGCGTCACTGGTATCACATACATGGAAAGATTTGCTTCTATAGTTATCAAAGCCTTCTACGGAAGGCGGAGAATCTTCTGCGAACAACTTTGGAATACTCCCCGTATCACTTGCCTTTCGAAATGTCCAAACGCCTTCCCCTTATCGATTTGGCTAGAAAGCAAAGTTCTTCTACTATCTCCAGTACCCAAACGGCTGTTGTGAAGCCGAAAAATTGAACTGTGTGGTTGGGAGGTTGGAGGGTAGTGATGTTGAAAAGTGGTATACGCTACGTATGATTGGTCTAGAATGGAAAGTATACGGGATGCTCAAGTGTGTACTCAATTAGCGGTAAGGGAATACTTAATCGGAAGGGAAAGGCAAATTTGCCAGTAATTATCGAGTACATATGCAAAGCTTCCATATGATACATCATAACAAATTCGTTCAAACTACATTTCTTTCTCCGTCAAATAACACTCCACTTCTTACTGGGCACCAGCCGCAGGGGCTCCCGCAGGAGCACCTCGTCCACCGCGGCCTCTACCACGGTTTCCATTGCCACGGCCACGACCACGTCCACGTCCACGATCCATTCCTTGCGGTGGGGGAACCTGGCTGTAGTTCTGAGGGCGGAAGTTGGGGTTGTTCTGGACAACGCCCTCGCTAGGGTCGCTGTTGTCCACTGAGGTGTAGCCACCTCGGTTGCCGCCGAAGACTCCACGGCCACGGGGACCGCGGGAAGGACCACCGTTGGCGTGAGGACGGAATGGAAGGTTAGCTTGCTGGCCGTTGTTGAGACCTCCGCGGCCTCGACCACCTCCGTTGCCTTGTCCGGACACAGCACCACGGAAAGAACCTCTCAGGGGAGGTGGGGTGGCTGCGTTCTGCAGCTGTCCTTGGCCACCAGCAGCTAGGGGTGCACCGTAGCCGGGAACAGTTAGAGGTGTTGCAGTTTGCTGGGTCTGTTGGCTGGTTGCAGCACGGGAGCTGGTGATCAGCTGACGGTAGGAGATGTTAAGAACCGACGAGGCCAAAACGGTCTGACCGCGGAAGGGCGAGCATCGGCCACCCAACGTGGTACCGCTCATGAACGATACGTCAAAGACAACATCCAGCAGAAGAGTACGCGGGGTTCTGGTGAGACCGACAACAGTACCGCGAGTAGCGATTGGCACCTTACCGGAATCCTGAGCATAGACGATGCGATCGCCAAGCTTGAAAGTCTGGTTTCCGAGACGGTGTTCAACATCGGCAGGACGAAGGAGAGCACTGCGGGGGACACCGCGGACCTTCTTGGGCTGCATTTGGGGCTGAGCCAGACCGAGACTATCGGCATCCTTTTCGATCAATTCTACAATGTCCGAGTCAAGTTGCTCGGCGTCAAGAGGGACTCTCTCGAAGTTCTTGGCCTCAACGGACTTCAGCCAATCCTTGATCTCCTTGATCTTCAGAAGAGCAGTCTCCTCCGGGTAGAAATCAGTTGGTGAATAACGGTCACCCTGGGGGTTGCGCTGGATACCAGCAATGAAATCGGGGAAGTTGATCATATACTGCTGAATCAAGTCGATTGCCTTCTGACTGAACTCCCAACCGGTCTCTCCGCGACGGGAGTATCCAAGAACCTTCTGTTGCTTGGCCTGGAACTTCAAGTTAAGACCGAGGTTTGCGCGTGTGCCTTCAACGTCAACGGTGAAAGAAGAGGTAATCTTGGCCAGTACCAAGGGGTTGAGACGGAGGCTGCGGGCAATTGCGTAGGAAGGCATGTAAGGGCAAAGTTGCTCGGCCTGTCTGACACGCTCGCGTCCGAACTCGGGTTCCCGGTTCTTTACGGCCGCGATCAAGCCGTTCACCTTTCCATCCTCGTGTCCACCAATATGGACAGGTCGTCCGTAGTTGAAGTCACCCAAAAAGAAGGCACGGCTGCCTTCTGGGAATTCTTCTTCAATGGGGATCGCCTCACGCTCAATGAAACGCTCATCGGGGTTAATTACGTCGTCAACAACAACCTGCAAAGCATAGTCTGTCTCCTGGCCGGGGATATCGGCGAATTCCTTGATGGTCGCACCTGCGTCTGTCTTGGACATACCCTTGAGGAGTTGAATGTGGACCAAGGATTCGACATCTCCGATGATCATTGCCAGACGCTTGCTGTAAGTATTCTCAATCTTGGTCGCCTTCTTCTTCCATTGCTCAATCTGTTGAGGGGTGTGAGGGATTTGAACAGGGTGCTGTTCACCGGGAGGAAGGACGTAATCGAACAGCTCGTCCGAAACACGAATCACAAGAGCTTCCTGCAAGAATGGGTATCCCACATGGACACGTCGTCCGAGTTTTGTTTTGGCCAGTTCAACGCTTGACCGACTTCCTGAGTCAAGTAGAGTGACAACCTGGCTCTCGTTGCGGCTGTCTTGCTGGAAGACACAGACTCCGTGGAAGCCCAATTGTCCATGGTGCGGCAGCGTTTTGATGCTAGGGAAGCCAGCCAGTGCGGCTTCACCTAGATGCACACCATCCATCAAACCGGCATAGGGCTCCAGTCCATCCATAGCAGGAAGGTCGAAGATGTTTTCAATGCAGCGGCAGTTTGGAAGATCGGGGAATACGCCAGGCATTGAAGAGGGGTAGACAAAATTCACGTCAGGGGAGTAGGTAAACTTGAGACTGGCGCCAAAGTCATTTCTTCCCTTCTCGTCCGCAGTAAGTAAATTCTCCTTTGTCTTGAGCGCTGACAACAGTCGCTTTTCGTCGATGAACGGAATCTTGACCACTGCCTCCCACTCCATCTTTTTGCCGTTCATGTCGAGATCGAAATCACGGGGGTAGAAGTCGTAGATGGGAGATTCGGGCGAGGTCATCAGATCCCAATAGGCAGTAGGAACGATCTTCTTACTGCGGTCTGGCAAAACACCCATAAGCTGGTCAAACGGCCGGAAAGGCTGTCCCAGCTGGAAGTTCATATCTGCGTCCAGTCCAAACTTCACATCTATTTAATTGTTAGCAATAGAATCAAATTGAGGATGCAATGCCACTCACCAGAAATCATAGGGGCGTAGTGGTACTGGAAAAACCAAGGCCATGATGCGATACCACGGTAATAGTAGAACAAGACCCACTGCAATCCTTGCACATAGTTCTGCGCAAGCTTCTTCATCTCTTCCTTGTTGTCAAGGCCCCAGCCGAACTTGGAGCGGTAATAGTTTTCCTTCCACTCTTGGAACTTGGCGTCATATTTCTTCTCCGCCGCCTCTTGGGCCTCCTCGGGGGTCATATCTTGGACCTTGGCCTTTTCGTATTTTCGAATAATACGCTGGACAGCCATTGATGCTTCTTCGTCCTCGTCATCATCGTCATCTCCATCGCTTTGGGACTGAGGAAGCTGAAGTCTCATGAACCGATCGCCATTTTCGTTATCGATAGAGGACCATGACAAGCGAAGCTCATCTGCAAGGCGCTCAACGAAGGTGCGGTCACGAGCGGGAAGTGTAGGAGGAAGATCAAGAGGTTCGGAAGCCTTTTCAGACCGGTTCAGAACATATTTCTTGACCGTCTTGAGGATTTCCTTCTGGGCTGGAGTGAGGGTAAGCTCCTTCGGCTTCTGTTGTAACTCAAGAGATCCGTCGTTTTTCTTGGATTTAATCCATTGGGCATCGGAGTTTTCGGCTTCAAAAAATCGATGCTCAACGCCACTCAATGCCTCCACAAGCATGCCCAAGCGCTGGACGTTTATGACACCCTGCTCGTTGATGTAACCGCCCATTTTAGGCAGTACCTCCTTGTAGAGTTTAAACATAAGGGCAAGTGCACCTTCGTTGATGTGTAAGTTCGGCAGGTTGGGCAAGAAATCGTTTCCGACGAAGAATGCCATGAGGATGAAATCATCAATAACACGTTCCATATCGAATGGGAAATCCAAAACACCTTCCTGCTCTAGCTCTTGGAATTCCAATTCCAAGTACTCCCGAACCATACTGAGGTGCAGTAAATAAAAGTTTTGGTGTTCGAGTTCTTTGGGCTTCTTCGAGACTTGGCGACCAAAGGTCACTTCCTCACGAAGAAGACAGAAGTGGGGGTCATGACTAAGAAGTCCCAGCATGATCAGATCGGCATCAAGACCGTAAAGACAGTGGCGAACATTAGATTCATAGTTGGGTTGCGCTTTCGAGCAACGGATGTATTCCATGATCTTGTGTTCTCCTTCTCCGGGGACCTCGTGGCCAGAGAGGACAATCTCCACGCCCTGCCAGTCAGTGTCCTCCGAGATCTTTTTGTTGATGAAGTACTTCAGTTGTTGTGTCAACTTCTGCATAAACTCCGTACCGGGTGTGATGCAGTTGCTGTCGAAGGCATCTTCCTTGGGCATTTCCAGCCCCTGCTGAATAGCCTTCTCCTTCGCACTCTCCGCATCTAATGCAGTTCGGAATCGACGAGCACGTTGTTGGTTCATCTTCGCACGTGGTGCGACACCATCAACGGCCATGTAGAAAAGTTTCTTAGGCTTGATCTTGCCAAACAAATGCTCGATATAGTTGAAGATGGCAATGAACATCTGATCTTCCGTCATTCGGAAGGTTGGGGAATCGCTGTCACTATGCGTACAGTTATGGATGATGCCGTTCATATCGAGGTATAAGCTGTCAAATTCGGGTATCCGGCTCTCTGCGATCAGCATCGAGATCGCGGGATACCGCTCACTCAACCAGCGGAAGAATTTCGGAACACCCATGATGAAAGTTGGGTCAATTCAAATGATATTTCGTCAGAGGAAACGACCGAAGTCGAGGGTTCGTAAGAGTCGAATTCGTAGAGGGGTACTCGTGAAGAATTGAAGCAGGAATGCGACAAAAGGTGAGATCATCCAGTGACTCAGTGAATCTGGGGCAGAAAAGTGCGCCGAGGGGCTGCAGTCCTGAAAAGTCTGAGGACGGGCAGGAATTGTTAGGAAATAAGAATAAGGAAACGGGAACGTAACGCGAAAAGTGACGAAATTGACGCTGTTCGGAGTGTATGATGCGGCACCAAAAGCTGGCGAGCTGATCCCACGATGCTGTTTCTTGGTTTGACCGCCTACTAGATAGGACTAGCGCCAGTGCCAAGACCTTTTACGCGGTTGCGCGTTGGGCTCGTTCTCCCTCGCATATCGCAACCCTCTACTCCATATTCTCTTTTTCTTCCGTTTTTGCTCTACATATTTCACAATTATGGATCCCTATGAAGAGGAGAACGGTGAGCCTCAGTACCCCTGCAGATTAATTGGAATCCCAATCTAATCAAAGCCTAGGTGCTGGTGACGAGCATGAAAAGGATCAGGACCAGGACCATGACATGGAACACACCGACGAGAAGATCATCAATGAAGGTAGCTACACTGGGCATCTTCCCGGCTTACTCAATGGCATCCAACGCTAATTTTTTAATGCGCGCAGAGTACAAGACATGGAAGAAGAATGCGCCATTTCTCTATGACATGATCTTGAGCACGGCACTAGAATGGCCAACACTCACAACGCAGTGGCTGCCAGATAAGCAAGAGTATGCCCCAATTATGGCCTTTGGTGATTGTCGATCTGACCAAATATCTCTTCAGAGTCCCAGACAAGCCCTACTCGACCCATCGTCTTCTCATTGGCACACATACCACTGGCGAAGCGCAGAACTACCTTCAAATTGCGCATGTTCAGCTTCCTAACCCCAATGCCCCGAATCCCGATGATTACGACGAGGATAAGGGAGAGATTGGCGGCTACGGTGGAGGTTCCAAGAAGCCCCAGATGGAAATCAAGTTCAACATCGTTCAAAAGATCGATCACAAGGGCGAGGTCAACAAGGCCCGATACCAACCCCAGAACCCTAATATCATTGCGACGATGTGCACGGATGGACGAGTGATGATCTGGGATCGCTCGAAGCACCCGAGCTTGCCAACCGGCACCGTGAACCCTCAGATGGAGCTCCTAGGTCACGAAGCCGAAGGCTTCGGACTTAGCTGGAACCCCCACGTAGCTGGCCACCTTGCTACAGGTAGCGAGGATAAGACTGTTCGACTTTGGTAAGCATTGACTGCTTCAAGGAACGGCATTTGAATCAGCGACTGACAGAGCTGGACCGCAGGGATATTACCACATACACCAAGGGTAACAAGGCAGTTCGACCAAGCCGCACCTTCACTCACCACTCATCTATCGTCAACGACGTTCAGCACCACCCTCTTCATTCCTCTCTCATCGGAACCGTCTCCGATGACATCACGCTTCAGATCCTTGATACCCGTCAAGATGATTCTACACGTGCGGCTGCTTCAGCTGAGGGCCAGCATCGCGATGCTATTAACTCCATCTCCTTCAACCCTGCCGCCGAGACAATTTTGGCCACAGGCTCTGCCGATAAGACCATCGGAATCTGGGATCTCCGTAACCTGAAGTCGAAGCTACATTCGCTAGAGGGTCACACCGACTCGGTTCAATCAATCTCGTGGCATCCATTTGAGGAGTCGGTTCTGGCCAGTTCCAGCTACGACCGCAAGATCATGTTCTGGGATCTCAGCCGAGCAGGTGAGGAGCAAACTCCAGAGGACGCCCAGGACGGGCCACCAGAGCTGTATGTGACGCTGTGCCTTGATTATATTGGTCTATTTGAGCCGATCGCTGACTTTATCCCAGGCTATTCATGCACGGTGGACACACAAACCGTATCTCTGACTTTAGCTGGAACCTTAGCGACCCCTGGGTTCTTTGCTCCGCTGCTGAGGACAATCTGTTGCAGGTGTGGAAGGTGGCTGATGCCATTGTGGGCAAGGACCTGGATGATGTCCCCACTGAGGAGCTGGAAGCGTGAGATTTCACTTAACATGCAGGTACCGATTCAATTATTTCCCATATCGGTGCTTCTTCAGTTCAGACGAGTCAAAAGGACAATAATGAGCAACTATTCAAAATACCAATCATCTGATATACAAGCTTTCGTACTCTTTATAAAATTTAGGCTCAGCAAACAATGTTCCTTAGTTCTTCATGCGCCAGTCCCATAGATAAATAGACTGCTGATGAGACATTCCCAGTTTGTTCGGGCCATAGCCACTAATACCATTTGGATATAAAATTACGCGAAATTACAGCTACCACATCACATAATGGCTAAGTGTGCAGATATATATATGTGAATATGTAGGCAAGTTATGATGTAGCAGCACCCTAGCGTGATACGTAACCGACTAAGGTATGATCAACACCGACTCAATGCAATCTTATGTGATGCCACAATCATTCTAACAAATAAAACAGTGGATAGGTCAAAGGGCTTAGCTAGTGATCTTATTGGACGCCTGTAGGAGTACAAGCTCCTCCTGCATTCTGTCTAAATGACTCACTAAATGTGATTGACACTATGTACATAGACACACAAGTTTTCTTATTGATATACTGTACTATAATACTATAAAATGCTACAACAAGTAAATAAAAGCAGTGCTTATGTATATGTAAAGCGATCACGTTATGCAAGTGGGACGTGATCTACATGGCAGATAACGATAGCCCCGGGCGGTGAACAATTTTGGGGGGGCAGAGCGGGGGGTAAAAAGAAGGTTAGCGTCCCGTGAGGCAATAATTTGCAATTTCTTCTGTACTATATTTTCTGATTCCTATATCATCGAGTGTGATTTCTAATTCTTCACTTTGTCAACCACACCTACACATCATGGGTTCTGGTTCCCCCCCCGGCTGCGAAGCCGTCAGCTATTCCGTCCCACATGTTGAACGGAAGCTCGCCCCTGCAGCGCTCCTCCACAGGCCACCGTGATGAGCGTGAGCGTGAGAGCCTCAATTCTTCCATCCGATCCTCCTTTGAACCCCGTGTTCCCCTCCAATTTGAGACTGGAGCTGGTGTTGGAGCCGTCTCCACCGAGTCCACTGCCACTGCATCAGTGCCAATTCGCAATGTGGTGCCGGTCCGGTACGTATTTGAAGATATAGTCGCCATTCATGGTCTGGTGTTTTATCTCTTACTAAATAGTCGGATATAGGCCTACCCTGAATGACCCTCCCCGTGACCCCCGGGATGAAGGCGGCCCATTGACCCCTCCGGCCACCGTCAGCCGTCCTGCCAGCCCCTACACAATGAACCCACCCATCGACTTTGATGGCCTTAGCTGGCCTTGTAAGTGATATCAGCCATACCTCTGAACAATATATCTCCGGGAACTATGCCTAATCATTGCAATTAGGCCCCGGAACTAGACAGCGGCTGGAGTCGACACCGGAGGAGACCGACCAAAGAATCCAGAAGTTGTCCGGAGCTATCCGAACTATTCTTGAATGCATCGGGGAGGACCCTGAAAGAGAAGGTCTTCGCGAGACACCAGAGAGATATGCTAAGGCAATGCTCTACTTCACCAAGGGTTACGAGGAGAACGTCCGGGATCTGGTCAACGGCGCCGTCTTTCACGAGGATCACGACGAGTTGGTAATTGTGAAGGACATCGACGTTTTCTCGCTTTGCGAGCACCACATGGTTCCATTCACTGGAAAGGTAAGCGTCATTCATGTATGTGTTGTGTGACTCTTTCTGACCTCATATAGATGCACATTGGTTACATTCCTGACCGTCGTGTCCTTGGTTTGTCCAAACTGGCTCGCCTAGCGGAGATGTTCTCCCGCAGACTTCAAGTCCAGGAGCGTTTGACCAAGCAAGTCGCCCTTGCCATCTCGGAAGTCCTCAAGCCTCGTGGAGTTGGTGTTGTCATGGAGTCTTCTCACCTTTGCATGGTCATGCGTGGCGTGCAGAAGGTCAGCAGCACCACGACTACCAGCTGCATGCTTGGATGCATGCGGTCCAGTGCTAAGACCCGGGAGGAGTTCTTGACGTTGCTCAACCGCAGGTAATGACCTATGAAATCAACCCCACATGTTAAAAACGGGGCATTGATTTACGGATTTCGGAGTTTTGGTGGTTACCTTTCAACAGGTTTGGGTACTCTTGCTTTTTTCTTTTCCATGTAAAGCGTGAACTGGTGTTTCTCTATCTTGTCTAATGTTTGCATAAACTTTGGCATCATCTGCCCTGTTATGTCATGTTCCCTTGTTCTATGAAGTGACGTTCTGGCAATCTGCTTGACGACTTCATGACATGATGGAACCATCTCCTTGATCAGCAAAGGAGAGAAAAAGAAAATTCTACTAACCTACCCTCAAGAGGCTTTTGCTATACAGCCATGAGTTTCGACCTTGATCTCAATGATGCTGGCAAAGCTGTTTCAACACTTGATTCCCCTATTTTGTATGACAATTCCTACCTAGGAATCCTTTTCTTTCGTTACATTTATATATGTCCTACGTATCATAGTCAATGTACATTGTTCTTTTCATTATTTCTTGTCTCCTCATTCCGAAGCAGGGGCTATATGCATATCATATCCGTGTGATAATTGCTAGAAATTAGGCTAGGCAGATAATCACTTCTCGAGTCATCTATTGAGTGTCTTGGAATGGCTAAATGGCCCGTGCTTTTTAGGGCTTTTGTCATTCGCTCCAATAAACCTACAAATACGACCAGACGTGCCACGCAAGACAATGATACGGGCCGCGACGAGCGATATACGACTGTACAGACCCGCAATAGCCTTAATGGCTATGTAGACCGGCGGCAGCCCTATGCGGCGATACGACTCGGGACTGCTCATACGACCAAACGGACACTCACTTTCTAGTCTAAAAACGTACCTTGAGCTTCATTTATTACGCTCCTCTTCGCCTTTTCCTTTTCTCCTCATGATCCTCTTTCTCTTTCATCCTAGCCTCTGCCCTCTCCCATCTTGCTACCCTGATTCCTCATCATCTCCATCTTGTCTTCCTGCATAAGTACGTGCACTCTAATCTGTGCTGCCAGCGCTTCATCAATCTGCAACTATAGCTGGCCATTCCTCGTGGTACTCTTACATCTGGGATACCGCTGTTGAAGTTGTTGCCAGTCTGAGATTGCCGTAAGTCTCTTCCCACTTTCTCATCCTATATCCCTATGCACTTCTCTTTCCATATGCATGCATTGTCTTTACCTCTACGAGACTTTATTCTGTGACAAGAATGGGTGAGATAACGATCTTTGTTTACCTTTTGGTCTGCTGTTGCTTTCTCCCATTCTTAACGCTGAGAACATGCTATTGACAACTTTTCATTTGAACTCTATCTGCTGTTGTATCTTATACTAACAATTTGTCTGGAAGGTCAAGCCATCAGCCATATCTGTCAAAGCCCCAACTCCAAGAAAACGAAGAAAGCAATTCAATCATCATGAGTCGCCGTCCGGAGCGTTCAGCCTCTCAAGGCTCCTTGACTCGCTCTGACAGAGATGAATCTCCCGATTCTCCCAGTCCTGGACGAGAGTCGCCCGATCCTTCACTTCAGTATTCACTAGCAATCCGGGATCTTTTGAACTCTCTTCATGCCCGTATGCTACATGAGTCAGGCGAGAATACCCCTCCTGCGGAGATGGCATCCATGCCATGCCATGTGAACCCCAGCCCAAGTTCTGAAGCGGTTGCGACAACTCAATCCATTGAGTTCGAGTCGTTTGAAGTCCCGATCATGCTTAACGATTCAACATACCGTGCAGTTTCTCGCCCTGTGACATCAACTGGCCCTAGGTCAATTCCTTTCCCTGAGTCTCCAAGCCCTGCGAGGTTTCCAATCTCCGAGTCTTCTACCACTGTGTCTTCTCGTCTCCTCATGTCTCCAAGCTCTGCATGGATTCGTATGCCTGATACTCCTAGACCTGCGCCTGCTCGTCTCGCCGTGTCTCCAAGCCCTGCCAGAATTCGTATCTCTGTAACTCTCGACTCTGGGTCTCTCGAGCCTACAGATACCTCACCTGCTATGACTACCAATACTAACACAATCCCACCTGAACGTGGAGCATCATTTGTAGCACGATTCGGCCAGCCAGGTGTGTCATCATCGCCGGCTCCCTGGCCTGAAGATGCTGTGCCCTATTCCGCAGAGCGCATGCTCGAGACATGGCTCATTCGACAGCAGCTACTTGTTGGCATCCCAATTGACCAACTCCAGTCAATGACCAATCCTGATTCGGGTCGCACGCGCCGAACCCCTCCATGGATGATCATCACCCCCGAAGGCGCTCATGTTGTGGACATTCCTCCTGCAGGCTTTCATGGTGTTATGCAGCCAATTCCTCGTGTGCCCTGGTTACCGAAACCCTCGACCCAATCGGGCCTGCCAGCTGCGTCTCAAACTCCTGCTGCACGAAGTCTTGCTGCACGAAGTCTGACCTCACCGATGGCCTCTGAAGCTTTGCCCATCTCTGCTACGTCAGCTTTACTTAACGTGATCGATTCAGCTGTTCAGACTACTCAAAATCTGATGACGTTACTGGAGATAAATCAACGTTCAGCAACAACGGGCTCGGTTGATCCTGTTGCAGCTATTGTCATAAACCCACAAGCTGCTTCAACAACTCTGTCTGCATTTCCCGCTTCTTTTACCGATTCACGTCGTGGTGCGACAGAAGAGCATGTTAACTCACCCAATTCTAGTGTCTCATCGCTGCTGCCTGTTGTGTTGAATCCGACTCTGACAGTGCGTTCGATTTCGTCTGGTTCATCTGCCGCCAGGAATCTACGCTGGGTACGATCGCGTGCCCCTTCGCCAGATTTGCCCATCTACTCGGTTCCTGGCGTGGTAGGACCACGCGTGACATTGCGCACCATTCCTGAGTCGCCTGCTGCGGGACATCTGCTTGGTTCGGAAATACCGCAGCCCCATGCACCTAATCCAGCGGTCTCATCAGCCCCGCTCTTCACGATCTTAGATCCACGATTGACAGCAAGCCGACCCCAGGGGTTTAGTCTAGCCCCTTCGAGGGACCCACGTCCGCAAATGAAGCATTGTCGTTTGGCCAACGTGGCAATCTTCTCGGGACAGCTCTATGCCTACCCTCCACGCTCCCGGAGACCACGCCCTGTGCCCATTTATCGAGGACACAGACCATCGCGCAGACCAGTTGAAGGATCTAATCCGGATGGAGATGTTACTCTTCAGGTTACTCGAGTAGACCCCGTCGATCCTCGTACTATCAATCGCGAGACTCCTTTCGGAGGAGGTGATGGACCCTGTGCACCATTTCCCACATTTGATGCCCTGGACGACAAAATCGGAAAGGACGAAGTACTCCCTGCTGCTGAAGATGCAAAGACTGTTGAAGAAGTGACAACTTCTCAGATCATTTGGGACGAATCGAGCCCACTGGCCGACCCAGATTCCCCCAATCTCCACCGCAAAGTGACATGGGACTTCAAATATCCTCCTATGGAACCCTGTTTTCTGGGAGTGTTGATTGACAACATGGATCTCTTGAACTCAAGTACATTTAGATGTTCGGTTACCAATACTCGCCAGAGACATCGCTCTAACAGTACTCGCTTGGTATCGGTCAAAGCTGCTGTCCAAAGCCCCAATGAAGATGTGCCGTGTGAGAACACTTTTTCTCTTGGCAACAGCATGGTAGGCATTCCCGAAATCTTTGCTCTCATCGCAGACGAGCTCCCCTGGCCAGTAATTGACAATCTTGCAATGGCAAGCACTGCCTTGCGAAAGTCCGTTGGGGCGTACATGTACAGCAAAAGGCTTCAATACAGGAAGAAAATTTTCGAGTTTCGCCTTGCGGAGACTTCATTTTCATTTTATGAACTCATGGCCGTCTTCGGGGGATTTTTGGGTCCAGTGAAACATCTCAGACCGAGCGAAGAACGGAATGGCCAGTTATCGTTCGCACCAACGCCTAAGTGGCTTGAAGAACTTGGTCGCAAGATAGGCGTCGTGAATGAGACCTTTTGTCGCATGCGTGAACCCTTGACTCTGGTGTTTCGCGAAAGGAAATGGCCAGAGAGAACACAGATAATTCTGTACAAGCTGTGGGACCTCATGAAACTTCCTGACAATTATTACCGGCTCTGGATCTTGCAGAACCGCAAATTATGGCCTGACAAGGATATTTGTTTGGCTATGGAGTGTATCCTTGACATCGACACCATCATCAAAGACCTCTATGGCGACACTGAGTTTGCTGACATTTTGACGACTGCCTGTTTCACGGCGCGTGATATGAGCATGGTCCACTGGTTTTTAGATGGCAATGCACCAGCAACAAATGATGAGATGAACATGTTCCTTTTTCAATAATGAGACACAACGCAACCCTCGGAAAAATACACCATCTCCGCATTGGATGGATTGGTACCGCTGGGAAGAGCCAATTCCCGTTGCCGATTCCTGGACAGCCCAGGAAGCCCGAAACCTCTTGAACCGTCAAATTGATTTTGCGCAATATCCATTCTACTATCCTGTTACATGTTCCGACTTCAATCTCGATTCTTTTCCCCCAAGTCCCGTCCAACGTTGGGGCTTGATCCCTGTGAACGTTCTGGTCAATGATGAATTTGTGCGCCGTAAGATGGAAACTTCGTTCACAGCGGAGCAGTATGAAGTCCCTGATGAGAACGATAGTCTAGCCTGGGGGCAGGATATGCATAAATTCCTGAATGAGCAGCGCTCCTTACCCGAGTAGATGCTCACTGAGCGATCTTTCTAATGACAACTTATGTTTGGAGTATTGTTGGGGGAAGCTCGAGGAAGGGCAACTATTTGGTCTTGTCGAATGCCGAGAAAAAGAAAAAAAAGTCATAGTGAATGTAAGATTAAAATGAATGTATTGAGTGATGTATGAACCTCCTTTGCCCTAACTTGTGAAGATAACATCACATGACTCTCATGTGACCCTCACCTTCACATCCATCCAACATTTCTACCTCAACCAGGACATCAATCTCCATCTCCGCCCTAGTACTCCCATTCAACGTGGCATGCGCACTTACTGATCACCCCCAGTTTCCTCCGCTTGAATAACTCCTCCTGGTCGATATGTGATGTGCATTTTACCCGGAGTGAGGACGGTCGGGTGTTCCTGTTCCAGCCCATCCCGCTTGATCGCGGCCCAAGTTTCAGGCCACGGCTTTCCCTTTCAACCATCACACCATCAGGCGTTTTTTGCTCTTAGATTACACATTGTGGACTCCTGGTCCTAGAACTGGATGTCTCGTGGTTGAATAAGATGAGAGGCGGGGTTGATCATAGCCAGATCCCTAGTCGGTCTAGCATTTTGACAGGGTGCCGCTTTGGGGACTTATATTTCCGGAGACTACGAGGATGGAAACAGCGTTGAATTTTGCCTTGATCGTCTCGTACATTGACTCTTTGACCTTCGATTCACTTCTCACTGTTCTCGTCGACTTCCCCTCTCTGGATCAACATGTGTCAACATGAGAACCCGCTTATGCCGCAGAAACGGATAATATGCCAGCTCAGTTCAGCTCACCCCAGGATCAAGATCATATCCGCTCATACTTTACTTTTTGGCAATTGTCACTGGTTAGCCAGCCATCAGTTTATCTGTAAATCACGACTGCAATTCGTTTGCTCCCGGACAGGAACGTTGACACGCTTGCAAGGTGAGGCCCGGGAAGCTGACCTCGATGTGATACTGGGATCTGGTTTCAAAAAAGAAGCACGATGTTCGGAGTCGACCCTCCTGGTTGGCAGGCTGCACTCCGGGCGAAAGATAATGCTCCAGGCGACGATTGATCTTCATGGTGTGACCCGATGATTCAACGGGTTCAGTCGACGGCTCGCAACAGCGCCCCTCCTTGCAGTTGGCCTGGCCTACAATACGTAGATAGTTCTGTCGGACAAGCAAACTCGGTTTCTTGTGGCTTCGCTACGGGCAACTGTACAGAGTGCAGAGCGGACTCGAGAAAAAAGCTCTGATATTTGGACTAACCCCGTCGGCGCAGCAACTACCCCTTCAGATCATTCTTTGAGCCAGACTTTGACACGCTCGGCACGCAGGGCAAGTCTCCTGACCAGAGAACACCCAAAAGGAAGAGCTGCACATGTTCCAACAGCCGCATGTCATCTTGTCGAATCAACCTGTAGAGCCGCAGCGGGACCCATTCCACCCCCAAGGCTATCCCACCCTCATTCAGTGTCCACGACAAAGTAGTTATTCTGCCTGAATTTATTGATAAATCTGAATAGGTGCGTATGCCCCATTCATCTTCTGTGCTCACGTTAATGTTCACCAGTGCTTGATAGCGCGGACGTTTCGGTTCCCGGAAAAACTACGCTTCCGCCTCCCCCCAAACCCCGAGACTTCCTGGAAACGCGGACACGATTGGACTGCCTACACATTTCATCTTTATCGCCAGGTTGAGCCTACGTACAAGTGCCGCCGCTTGTTGACTTACTCTACTCTCCTTGTTTGAACCAGATGCCGTTGGTGCAGTTCATATGGCTGGGTCCCGTAGGAGTCCGTTGAGAGACCAGTGGAGCGCTGACCAAGACCGCGATCCCCGTGACGGGGACCGGCGCAGAGGTCGAGGGTCAGGCCGTGATCGAGGAAGAGGTAGAGGGCGTGATCGAGGTCGCCCGTATCGGCCTAATAACCGCAATTTCGACCGACCCGGACGGTCGCCACCGCGCGCGTCACGCTTTGGCCCTAGCCCTTCTCACGGCCCTGGTGATTTTGCATCAGATCGATCTTCTCATCGAGGTTCCCCTGGACCTGCTCCCTTCAACAATAGCCGCCGACCAGACTTGAATCGACCTTCATCAGCAGGTGACTGGAACGGCCCCCCTCCCGGTACTTTCAACAGAGACTACCCAAATACTCGACGAGACGAGTCACCTTCAGGTCCTCCATCCAAACGCCAACGAACTCGAAGTCCCTCTCCGCGTGGCCGTCGACCCCCTCTCCCTCCGCAGTCGAGTTACGGCAAGCACGGCGAAGGACGGGACCGAAGCCCTTCATTTAAGAAACGCGGTGAACGTGGTGGACGGTTCCAGGGCCGTGGTGGTCCGAGGCGAAGATCCCCTCGACGAGGCCGGGATCGTCGTGGAAAAGACCGTCACCGTCCAGATATTCCACGCCTAGGAAGATCCAGATCGCCAATACATGACCGTGGATCTCATCCTTTACCTGACCGACGATCGAGATCGTTAAGTGGGGATAATTACAGTGACCACGGATCTCACTATCGCGCAAACTCGCGGCATTCAGCACGATCACACTCCAGAGTCTCCGTAACATCTCACGCATCAAGACGTCTCTCGGAAATGAACGCTACCCGTCCAATTCAATCCATCCTGGACGACAGACCTAGGTCTCCATCTCCACCACGGCCGATACCAAGTTTTGACTCTGACAACTTCGGTGATCAACGGGATGCCTATTCACATGGGCCACGTTGTCCAGATATGGGACAAAAGCCATATCGTCGATCGTCACGGCCACATATTGATACTCGACCTTACGACACATCCCCTCAACGTCCAACAGCAGGCTCATACCATGGATCCCCACCATCTGGCTCACCTTACTCTGGAAGAGGTGGTTGGAACGGACCGCCGGGGTATTCTGGATCAGGGTGAGAATATATTCCACGCCTCACTTATGCCTTGAATTATTCTGACCATTCTTATAGTCACGCCTCTCCCTATCGACAGGATAACTACTCACAGAATGGGCACTCCGCGCATTACTCTCACAATCAAGGACAATTCAACAGCCCTGGAAATCATTACCCCCGGTCTCCATACGGTGGATCTTATCGAGGCGGTCACTCTGGCGGTGGTCATCGGGGTAATTTCTCAAACCAAGGTCCCGACCGGCGATTTTCAGGTCCTGGTTCCCATCCCTATCAATCTGGACACCCACAGCGCGACGCAAAGGGTCACTTCAATAATCTTCAATGGACCGCCCCGGGAGCACGAGGTCGTGGAGGACAACACGATTCTCACCCTGTACACAGCCATGGATCACAGACGCCCAATCGAGCACGCTCCACCAATGACCCTCAATCACCTCGAGGCGAAAATGGGGATCATATCAGACCTTCCAGCAGAGATTACCATGGTAATCACCAAACACAGCCCGCGCCGGAAAGCCAGAGTGCCCCATCCATGCAACCGCCAACTGATGAACCTAATGCTTCGACACCGAACAAAGGCGGCAAGTTCAGTTTTGCTTTCAAATCTAAGGCTGCACCCTCACCCGCTCCGAAGCCTGTTCCTGATCTTGCTCAGCGGATGCAAGTTCGTGAGCCGGTCCCTCGTGCACCTGAGCCCCCGCAGCCTCGCAATAGGCTGACCAACGGACCACTACCCAAGTTCAAACCAGAGCCAAGACATGATCGCCGTGACCGGGGTGGACGGGATCGTGGACGGGATCGTGGACGGGATCGCAGAGACTTCCGTGAACAACGAGACTTCCGTGGTCCGCGGGACCGAAGAGATGACCACCGGTTTGATCAACGTCGTGACAGACGGCCAGGAGATCGACCCCCTGGACCAGATCGTCACAGCGAATTGTCTCCAGAGCCAGTGAGAGAGCCACTAAAGCAGAAGCGGATTCTCACCCGCCCTAAGCTTCCACCTGCAATCCCTAAGGAGTTTACCGAGTCTGATTCTGTCTACTTCCGAAAGCCGGGTAATGAGTCTGTCATCGGCGCTGGTACCTATGGCAAAGTGTTCAAGGGAACTCATGTCTTTACCCAGCGGCAAGTTGCACTGAAGAAGATCCGAATGGAAGGTGAAAAAGATGGTTTCCCTGTTACAGCGGTGCGAGAGATCAAGTTGCTACAACATCTCCGAAACCACAACGTTGTGAATCTCCTCGAGGTCATGGTTGAAAAGAACGAATGTTTCATGGTCTTTGAATATCTATCCCATGATCTTACTGGTCTCATCAACCACCCTACTTTCTCCCTCACCCTCGCCCACAAGAAGGATCTGGCCAAACAGATGTTCGAAGGTTTAAATTACCTTCATCACCGTGGTGTCCTCCACCGAGACATCAAAGCTGCCAATATCCTGATCAGCAATCGAGGATTGTTGAAGTTTGCTGACTTTGGTCTGGCCCGATTCTTCTCTAAAAGTCGCCAACTCGACTACACCAACCGCGTCATTACCATTTGGTACCGTCCTCCTGAACTTCTCCTTGGCGAGACCCGATACGGCCCAGCCGTCGATGTGTGGAGTGCTGCATGTGTTTGCATGGAGATGTTCACCAAGAAGGCTGTATTCCCTGGCGAAGGGGGCGAACTGAGCCAAATGGACAAGCTGTATAACCTTTTGGGCACCCCCACTAAGACCGAATGGCCGGATCTTGTGGAGATGCCGTGGTTCCATCTTATGCGGCCAGCCGAACGCAAGAAGCGCGTCTTCGAGGATGTTTACCGTGATGTCCTGACATCCGGTGCCATGGACCTCATCTCCTCCGTCTTCCACTATGATCCCGCCAAGCGGCCAAGTGCCGAAGATGTCCTCAAGCATCCCTACTTCGTATCGGAGGAACCAACCCCTCACCCACCGATCGAGTACGTATCCCCAATCCAGATATTTTTGATACACTACTAACCTCATTTACAGATTGGAGCATGTTGAAGGAGATTGGCACGAGTTTGAATCCAAGGCTCTCCGCAAGGAAGCTCGACGGGTGGAAATGCAGAACCAAAAGGACCGCGACAAACGCAAGGCTGAAGCTTCGGTGACGAGCAGTGATCGGGACGCCAAGCGCACGAGACAGGAAACCAGTGGTCATGGCTCGTTGCATGGATGATGAAAGATATCTTTTTTAATGTTTTCTTCTTTTGCTTTTGAACTGCATTGGACCTGGCAGGTGGAAGGGCTTGCATTTACGTTTACGGGATTCATTATCGGAACATGGGCTTGCTTGTTACTTATTGCCCATTGAGCATAAATCTTCAGATCAAAATTTACTTCACCAGTGTTCATTTCAAAGATAATTCTGGAGAAATACGTATTATTAGAGTATGTAGATAATGTGACGGGTGGCTACTTCTACGAAGCCCGCTTGTCATGGAAGACAGTTACCTGAAAAAGCCGAGAAAACCAATATGACAAGCTGGTGCTTCCGCATGCCCACAATTTATCTCATCTGGTAACACGTCACGCTATGACCCATGTCAGGGCCGAGGTGACAAGCTAGAGACAGGGGCTGACTGTGGGGAATCCTAGGTAGGCTGCATGAAGTTAGTCTAATTCTTCCAATCGACAACAGCTGCATGGCATATTTCCGACAATCAGACTTTGCCTGTTTACCGCACGCTCAACCAGCCCAGGCTGTGAAGCCAGGTGTAAAGAGGCGGTTGAGACCTCGGATTACCAGAGAGCTCGAGTTTATCTTCATATAAGACACGTTGGATTGGACTATCTGCACGTACTGGGGAAAAAAAGAAAACAAAGAGCAAAGTCAAGAAATGTGCCGTCAATCAGGTCATCAACGTTTCATGGGTAGCTATGAAGCCCTCGTGATGATGGTTTTAGATGCGATTCAATTGATCTCGACACACACATCGGAAACGCCAGAGCTGTAAAAGGATGAGTCGCCAGCGTTGATTTGAGTTGGTGGTCTTGGGAGAAGAAAAGAAGAAAAGAAGTCGCTCGCGCGAAGAAAAAGGGAAAAATGGAAAAAAGACGGTGCGGGCGCAGGCGAAGCGGGCTGTGATTGGCCGGGAGCTGCCCAGGTCGAGTCTCCGATTCATCGACACTTTTCCCTCTTTGCACTCTACGAACTACACTTGACCTGACCTTCTTTCTCTACTCTACTTTTCTTCTTTTCTATCTTTACTCGATACCCATACCTTTACGCCTTCTCACCCTAGCCTCTTCTCCGGATTCCGGCGCAGAATTATCCGAGCCTATACCCTACCCTACGTCACTAAGATCATAGCGCGGGCGTCTCATCTTGGTATAAAAGTTATATCGGACTTTCTTCTCCCCCCCCCTGATGACCGCTCGTGTCTCGGGCAGTCTTCTCACCCGCCGCGATGGATAATGCAAACCTGTGGACCCGTCGGGCAAAGTAAGTGCCCCTCCTCCGGCTGGAGGAACATGGTCACTGACCAAGCTTCTTCGCTTCCACTGTTCAGCTCCTCAAAGTTGTCACTTTCAATGTCCGGCACGGAGGCCAGGGAAGGTGGCGCTCGGGTTGAAATGCCCCGCGCATCGAAACGCTTCGGCCCGGACAGCTCGCATGGTCGCTCGAATCCCTTTAACGCAATATCCCCGCTATCCGGCGGTGTCTCCTCGCCATCTACCAATGCCTCCTCCGCCTTCGGCCTCGGATCTGGCGCATTCGCCTCATTCGGTGCCCCCAAGACTCCCGGTGGCTCCGAGTTGAAAACACCCGGAGAACGCCGTGAGGTCTTGGATCATGACGAAGCTCTACGACAAAAGGTTTTCGACGCCTCTGTCTCTGCTCCTGGTGAGCATCCCCTCAAGTCGACGTGGATCGTCTGGTACCGCCCTCCTACTCCCAAATACTCCGACTACGAGAAGTCTACCGTCCCGCTTGCTTCCATATCCTCGGTAGAGAGCTTCTGGGCTGTCTACTCGCACCTGAAGCGCCCATCGCTTCTTCCGACTGTTTCCGATTACCATATCTTTAAGAAGGGTATCCGTCCTGTTTGGGAGGATGAGGCCAACAAGCGGGGTGGGAAGTGGATTGTGCGTTTTAAGAAGGGCGTGTCTGACCGCTACTGGGAGGATTTGCTCTTGGCTATGGTTGGCGATCAGTTTGCGGAGGCCGGAGACGAAGTCTGCGGTGCGGTGTTGAGTGTTCGGGGCGGTGAGGATGTGCTGAGTGTCTGGACAAGAATCGACGGTGGGCGCAACATTAAGATCAGGTATGATTTGCTATATTCCATGGCCCGAACGCTATGTCTAAATTTTATACAGAGAAACGATCAAGCGCCTCCTAGCATTCCCCGGAGACACCAACATCATCTGGAAGAGCCACGATGATAGCATTGCGCAGCGCTCCGCCATTGACCAAGCCCGCCAAGAAAAGGCCACTACTGCTCCCACTCACCAGGAACGGCGGCGCACAGGCACTGACGACTCTGACAAAGTCAAGGCTGTGGCCCTGTGATTGGATCTGAGATCCCAGCCTGGCCTTGGGCCCTGTATAGTAAACCCGAAAAAAAACCATCATTCACGAATTATTGGGACGCGTTTGGGTCTTAGGGGCGGTGGGGCATCGAGGCGAACTCAGCGGTTTGATTTGATTTATGTCTCAAGTGATCTCATCTGTGATATGCTTCTTCTTTTTGTTTTGCCGAGCTTATGCGTGATGTTTTCCTTTTTGTATGCAACATGAATGCAGCGCCAGCTGTTAATGCTTTTCTCACCAATGAGTAACATATTGTGTCATTTGTCCCTCGTAAGCTTCATGGTACAACAGGGGCCATACATCTGTTCACAGCGCCATAAAGCATTAGACAGTTTTGATACGAACACCTCCAATCGAATGTACTATTTGATGCATTATTTTTTTAACTTGATCTCTCTTTTTATCTCTTTTCTGGTGGTTTTCGAGTGCTTTGGGTTGATCATCCAAATCATGGGGATCGTGAATAGTTTCCTTTTTGCAGGGCTAAATTTGCTTTGAGAGCAGTCCACCTAGCACCAGCGAGCACCTGGTGCATCTTTTTCGCCGTTCCAGCAAAGACGGCGTCACAAAAAACGCTCCCTTGTATACTTCGCATACTTCGGCATCAGCCAAGTCCGATATAAAATTGACGCCCGAATCCTCAGGCGCCGAAGAATTCTCACCGCCTTGGCCATGACGATGCGGCTTGCTTTGGTCCCAGGAATGAAGAAAAAAAAAAAAAAAACAAAAAACAAAAATAACGGGATCAACTTAAGTGGAATGGAATCTGTGCGATGCAGAGTGCCGTTATCTCGTGGCTGTCTTGATGCCTTGGTTTGAAAGCCTATCCGACTTCGTCACTGCTCTGTCGCCGCGCCGGCAGCCCCAAGATCAACGGTCTGCAGTCCAGTTTGGACCAACCGCGACCCCTCCCCCTCGCTCTCGACGTACGCAGCCCTCTCGCAACCCCTTCACTCTAAGCTCCAACGACACCTATCCCAGTGAAGTGGCCGCTGGCGGAAACGTTGATCCCTCTTCTCATCCAGAAGTTCGTATCTACCCGTCTCGCCGATGTTTGCTTTTGCAACAGGTTTCCTTTTGATACGCGAATGACCACCCAGGCACTGCGCTGCGCTGCGCCGGTTCCCATTTTCCCATTCAGCGTGGCGCGTGTAGCTTATTTCCCGTCTCCTTGACCTGCTTTGTCTATCTTGAAACTAATACAATCTGCGCAGGCGCCTCATAGTTATGTCGATACATTCCCCTCTCAACCCAGATCTCCAATTGCACGCGAAGACCCTCGCGAGCGGACGCAGCCTTATCTAGAGCTCGACACCTGGTTAGATCATGTTCCCCACGTCGCATCCTGCCGCCAGACAAAGACTTACACACCTATCCTTCCCCAGGGCGGACCATTCGCCGCAGATGGTGAACAAGGATAGGCGGGCCGATCCCCAAGATCGCAAAGATGAGGCTCGCTTATTTGGAGGGAGGTACACCGGGTATATTATGCGATTGACCCACATGCGAACTGGAATATTGGTGCTGACGGACCATTTTTTATAGGGACGCCCAGATTGGGGTCAAGATCACGCCTGGGCAAACGTTACCGAAGAAACCAAAGCCAGGGGTGAGTTTCTACTAATTACATGGGTGTGACATTTTGTCTGATGTGTTGCTTGCAGGTTGGCTTAGGGTTCTCCCCAGTGGATCATATCTCGCGCTCGCGCAACGGACGAATGAGTGGACCTATTCGCGCACAAGGCAAACCAAGTCAAGGCAATTCCGCTCAAAGCAAATCAAAGAAGCAGACTCCCACCGCAAAGCAACCGTCTCATCTGGATGATGCATTCGAGGAATCTAATCGGCCGAACAAGAGGCGACGACAAAGTGATCCGATTGATCTTGTCAATGATATGGGCGCAACGGACTCAATCAGAAATCGCTCACCTCACACTTCACCACTGGCTCCATCCAAAATCAAAGACAAGTATCGTCTAACAGACATTGGCGAGTTCAAAGAGCTGGAAACTATGTTGTCGCCCACTCGTCGCCCTCGAGATGCCCACAGCTCTTCTGGGGTATCTCAACTCGAACGCTTCACGGGAATTGCAACCCAACAACGTCGAAGCCGGGTTGACATGCTCGACTCCATTTCCAAAGCCAAAGGCCATACAGATCCGCCTACCAGATCACGTCTGCTGGACGAGATCGAGGCTTCAACGAAGCCTGTTGATCAATCTACGGGTTCTTCGGGCACAGCTCATCGGTCTGACCCTGAGAGTCCAGACGAAATTCAGGGTGATGTTACGACTGATCCACTACCAAAGTCATGGGCGGATAAGATTCGTTACATGGATGCACACAACAAAAAAGCCCAGATTGAATCCCGTAGTCGGAAGCGCTCACCAACTGACATTCGATCAACTGACTTCGCGGGATCTCCGCAGCAAGGTCCGAAGCGGACTAAGCGCTCTCATAAGTACCCTGTTAAATGCATACCATTGCACACGACATTTTTCCGAATTGGACAGATTACCAAGACTTTCATGAAAGAGGAAAATGCTGTCTTACAGATGACGCCGGATGCACTTGATATCCCTGGAGATCTACTTGACGGCGGAAACAGCATTCAGGTTCTTTTCAAGCATGTTAACCAAGTATTCATTGCCGAGAATCCGAGCTGCAAAGTCAGAATCAAACTTTTACAGGGTTCTATTGAGGCTGGTCAAATCCTCGACATCGAGTTTCCCGGTAGACCCCAGAAGATTGCTTTGGCCAAGATCTTGCAGGATGCCAATGTCAACATTCTTGATAAAGACATGTATGTTTTCAAGTTTGAGGTTTTCTCTTTTACCCCTGCTAACATGCAAATAGGAAATGGATGGACAAGGCGTTTGCAAGACATGAAAAGGATCTGGCACAGTTTGGGACCCCATCCAAGAATACGGGTTGCGATGATTCCACGGAAACTCCTGCTCCTGTGCGCAAAGTGACCTACACTCCACGACGAAAGATCTCGGACTATTTGCAGGATGTAAATGGCGAGTTTGGGGATGAGTCATTACTTGAAAAGCAGCGGAGCACGAAAGCCTTTTCGAAATGGGCGGACGGTAATATTGATTCCAAGAAAGCGCCAGAAGACAAGAAACATCACCCTGATACCGATGCCGACGCCGACGCTGGAGTCGAGATTCCCGTGAGACCCTTCAAGACTATCAATGATCCACCTGAACGCGAGACTCGATCTTCAACACGTCGTGCACCAAAAAAGAACAACCCACTTGAATGGGAAGACTCGGACAAGGAAGCTGCTTATCTCAGAAATGATGTCGGTCGTGACAAATGGAAGAAGCCCTTGATTTACCCCCGAAACGGGAAGAAGAAAGCTGAAGTCAACCTTGATGACCGTGACCGACTCCGTCCAGACGAGTTCTTGAACGACAACCTTATCGCATTCTACATGCGCTTCATCCAGGACTATCTCGAGCGTATGAACAAGAAGGTGGCCCAGCGGATCTACTTCTTTAATTCTTACTTCTTTGCAACACTCACAAATACTGCTCGGGGTCAGCGCGGAGTTAACTACACTGGTGTGGAGAAGTGGACTCGCGCTGTTGATCTTTTCAGCTATGACTATGTTGTTGTTCCAATCAATGAAAATGCCCATTGGTATGTTGCTATCATTTGCAACTTGCCAAGTTTGGATCTTGGGCCCGCGGACCCCGCGGACCCTGCCGAAGCGGCCCAGACACCGACACATAGCAATGAAACACCCAAGTCCCAGCAGGTGGAAGAAATACGTGAAACTCCTGAACCAGAACGGGCATCTGTGCTAGAGTCCGAGGCTACCTCTGACACATCATCCAAATCGGCAGCCAAGGGACGTTCGAAGGAAAGTGAAACCCGGAAATCCTTTTCTCATCTATCCATTGGGAATAAATCAGGGGAACAGCAATATGCCTCCGACTCTTGGCCAGACCCAGATGAAACTCCTACCGCGCCAACCACCAAGTTCTTCACTCCCTCGCCTCAGAAACTCACCAGTGACCAGGCCAGGGCAACCAAGTCAGCGGCTAAGCCCGAGAAGAAAACACGGAAAGGACCCAGGTTGGGACCCGACCAGACCTCTATCATTACATTTGATTCTCTCGGAATCAGCCGCGCCACCACTGTCAGAATGCTCAAGGACTACATCTGTCGCGAAGCAATGGCTAAGCGTGGCATTGAAATCGACCAGAAGATAATCAAGGGCATGTGTGCTCGTCAAATCCCCCTCCAACCAAACTTTTCCGACTGCGGCCTTTATTTGCTTGCCTACCTGGAGAAGTTCGTCCAGAGTCCTGATGACTTCGTCGCGAAAACACTCTCGCGCGATATGGATCCCGACGTCGATTTTCCTCCGTTGGGCTCGGGTCTTCTCCGCCGACGACTTCGCGATTTCCTGGACGAGCTTTACGACGAACAGAGACGGGCGAACAAACACAAAGCTGAACCTGCACAGGCCCTGGCGGATCGAACGCCAATCTCTTTCCTACTAGGCCCACCCCAGCCCACCCAAGAAAAGGCTGGAATGGAGGAGGAGATCCCAGAGTCACAGTCTCAAAAGCAACCCAAGGGACCCGAGGACTCAGAAATATCCAAGGGCTACGTAGCTGTGGAAACAAAACCCCGGAAATCCCGAAGAATCGAAGACCAGGAGAGCGAAGACTCAAGTCTGGACCAGGTACAAATGGTCCCTCTTACAAGACCAATCCCTAAATCAACACCTACATCCAAGCACCTCAACTTCTCCAAGGAGCGAAGTGCCCGCTCTTCGCCGACCAAGGAAGAGCCGGTCATTCAAGTCCCTGATAGCCAAGAAGAACATGAACTTCCAGGCACACCTCCTTCAAGGACATCAAAGGCAGACGAACGAGTACGACGAAGTCCACGGGGTCCGTCGCGGAAGGGATAATTATGTTCATTGCGCATTTCTTGTCTAATAGGGCTCGTTTCTTGAATACATCTTCTGGCTGGGTCAGACTCTGGCTATTTAGCATATGCATATGCATTCATACTTTTATTTCTTCTTCGGGCTTTGATTTGGGTTTAGCGTGAATGCCATCTTCTTTGTTCGTCATGATAGTTCAGATTCTGGCGTTTGTTTCCAGTCAAGAACTTGACCTTCGGTTTCGATTTTAAAGTGTTATTGGGTTGCAAGGCATGAAATATCATACAACCGTGGCCATTGCATTATTTCTTCACGACCCTCACCTCTAGATGATGTAGACGATCAACCCCAAAGCACCCGAAAATCACCAAAAAAGAGATGAAAAAAAGAGAGGCAAGTTAACAAATAATGCACCAATTAGTACATTCATTCGAGGTGTTCGTAAAGGAATTGTCCAATGCTTTATGGCACTATGAACAGACCCATGACCCCGGTTGTAGTCTGCATTGCAGGTTCTTGTTTGTGGGATTATCTTCAAGTTCAAGGTTTAGTTCTAGTTCTAGTTCTAGTCCTCTCGCAGAGGATCTCAAACCTCATTCTCCAGCAATCTCCTTTCCATCTCTACCACTCACTCTCATCGGCCCCAACCCACCAAGCCATCTTCTCCTTCTTAAATGTCTCAAAATCCCACTCAGCCTCTTCAAGTCGATCCATGCCTGCAATCCACTCGTAGGTTGTAGCATCCACTTCCTCTCCTTCAGCCGTAGATGTATTCTCAGCAGCCGCATCAAGAGCATCCTTCAAATTATCTTCATCGCCATCGTTGGAAGCAGTAACTTTGGTCTCGCCGGCTTTTGCATCCTTGCCCATGCGCAAGGTCCGCACTGTGACTTTTCGATGGATATATTCATCTCCTTCGAACTTGTCCAGGCGGTAGATATCGCCTTCTGTGAGACCTGACACAAGGATTCCCAGGACGGAGCTTTGGCCTCCCGTCTCTTTATCTGTGTCCACCACTGGTACTATTCCTGGGTAAGAGACACCCCGCACGCGATGGCGTCGGTAGCCGTGTAGAATTGCGGGCTGGAAGCTTAGCATGGCTTTTTGCCAGGGCTCTGGGTCTGCTCGGCCGTGAATAACTCGGTGGAGAATTTGCGGGGCCATTAGGGTCCCTGCAGATGGATCTGAGTTTCTTTTGTAGCTGCATCGAGAGTAATTCGGGTCTTACCGTAGAAGAAGAGGGTGTTATCTCCCATTTCGAGGTGTGGGTGTTGGTTAAGCTGGGCTATTGGTGATATGTAACCGATTAGATGGGTATGGGAGAGAAGCTAATATCAAACATGAAAAGAAAAGAGAAAAAAAGAAGATAAGAGGAAGGGAAGTGGAAGTGGCATATAGAGAGGGGAGTGACGGTATAGATCTAGTTCCTTATCGATAAGGACAAACATGCCCAGCTGGCTTCATCCGCCCTTCTCTTCCCCCATCAACAATGCATTCCTCCTTGAACCGCGTACAGTCCGTCTTCGGATTCTTCACCACTGTCGCCCTGGTGGTGAGTGCACTGGCCGCAGTGTCAGTGGTGCTCTTCCCAGCAGATACCACCACGGCCGCAGTAGAGCTGAAGAACGTCCAGGTGTAAGTTCGCGACTCGGCCCCCAACTCTCTCTCTACATTCATATGTACCAATCACATTGCAGAATCGAAGAAAGAAAAAGACCAAATCACTAATATCTGATATTTGGAAACAACAGCGTCAAAGGAAGACCACACTACTACTCCACCAAACGCGAAGAATACGCCCAGCTCCGCTTCGACCTAGACGCAGATCTAAGCCCCCTCTTCAACTGGAACACAAAACAACTTTTCGTCTACGTCTACGCCAGCTACTCCTCCTCCGAAACCCCCAATTCGCCAGTCCGCAACTCCGAAGCCATAATCTGGGACACGATCATTGAAGCCACGCCCTCGCCTTATTCCTGGGATATCGTCAAAGATGAGATCCTCGCCCGTGTACCGGAACAGATCGCCCCCGCCGCGGCGGCTGCGAAACGGCGTATTAAAAAGCGTGCTGCTGCTGAGAAGGCCGCTGCTAAGAAGGCTGCCGCTGCTAAGAAGCAAAAGAAGAATGATGAGCCTGTGGCACCTGGTGTTCTCCGGTTGCGTGGCCAGAAGGGCAAGTATCAGATTAGTGATATTACTGGGATACTTGCTGAGCGTCAGAACGTGACGTTGCATGTTGGGTGGAATGTTCAGCCTTGGGTCGGAGCTTTGTGGTGGGCTCCTGCTACCGGCGCTGTGCCGCGGACTGCTGGGACTATTGTTCCCAGTGCACCTTTTGATTTCCCCGAGTTGAAGGGAAATAAGAAGGCTGCTGCTGAGGCCAAGGCGAAGGAGAATTCATGAGTGTACGGTGTTTAGTTCTTCATTTCTGGGTACATCTCGGGGTATTATGTTTGACCTAACCCCGGCATCTATTGCATTTGAATATGGAATACTTGGAATATAAAATCATGCCATTGAGGACTGGATTTGGTCCTTGTTATTTCATTGTTTGCACGAGAGGAATAGTCACTCCCGAAAAAAAAGGTCGGACGCTATGAAGATACCTAGTAATACTGTAACTATTCGCTGGAAAATTCACAAAGAGCGGTTTCATTGTCGAGAGAGCCCGGCAACGGGTCTCGGGTCATTGCAGAAAATCACATAGTACCATAGCCCCTCTCGGCAGGGGGAGGGGCATGCATAGGGGAATGCGCATGGTGGCCGCCGTTTTGAATGCGAGTAGAGTAGACACCTGGGACTGGTCGTTGGGCGGCGCGCGTTAGGGGATCGCGGTTGCGACGGTCATAGTAGACGTATTCTAGGTAGAAGGCATGAATGTGACCGGGGAAGTAGCTGTCATAAGTCGCCGGTTAGGTTTAAAATCTGGCGGGCTTGGTTTGGTTTGACGATAGACTCACCCGAGAATAGTGAGGAGGACGTTGATCCAGAAGTCGACGCCGCAGCCCGAGATGAGGAAAACTCCCAGAGGAGGAACTAGTGACTGTTAGTATATGGTTCTAGTCATTTCTGTCGCGAAGTCTGGTGGGAGAGCAGACCATGTCGGGTCTTTTTTGAGGGGTGATTTTAGGCAGAAACTCAAAAGCAGTCGCGGTTCACTTACTAAATAATGTGATGATGATCAAACAGAGCATCGAACAAGTGCCTGCCATGGTGGTTGTAGGTTCGGTGTATTATTGAGGTTTTGGGATTCGCTTGAACTGAGTAGTGGCCAGGAAACTGAGAAGGAGGATTGCGAAGAGGAGAAGGAAGATATAAATAGGGATGTTGTCATCAGCAGGGGAGTTAATGCGTTTCATGGTTAATCAACTCGCGTAGGGCTGAGAGTTGGCTGAGGCAGTTCATTCGCTGCCCAAGTCCACCAGTGGTGATGCTGACGTCATTCCGTCTGGGCTAACGCCACAGTTGTGGGCGGCTGTGGCGTGTGGCAGAGCAAGTACAAAGTACACAGAGCAGGCATTAGATAGGAAAGAGATGGAGGTACTGAGACTCCGCCTCTCACACCGCATCAATCGCCGCTCGAGTGGTAACCTGCTCGTTCTTGTTGCCGAGCTTTGAGATCTGCAGGAAGGCATCCACCCCGTACCCCTCCAGGCTATGCAGCTCGAGGCTGCCCGCCCAGTACTCAGCATACACCCGACTCATAGGCAAACCCATGCCCAGCCGGAGATTTGGTGGCCGTGACGTCAGGGTATCCAGGGATCCTTCATGGTATGATTCCCTGTTAGCCTGTTTGCGCTCGTGTGACACCTGCAGCTCTTGCATTGTAGCCGCCATTGCAGGGACTTGACCGAGATTTTCTAGCCTGGACTGGGTGCGAGGTCCCTTGCTGAATGACCACAGATAAGGGAGGATCTCTCGAGGGATTCCACCTCCCTGGTCAGAAATGCGCATAATTACATGCTGCGGAGTCTCGCACACGAGCACTTCGATGGGAGGCGGGGCTTCCGATGAATGCTGATATTTCTCCATGACTGCTTGCACGGAGTTGCGGAGAAGTTCTCCGATGATGTATTCCAGATGACTGAGGATGTATGGGAAAGTGGCGTCCACATGGCCTTGGACGGTGATAGCAGGTATCTGTGTCGACTTTGTGCTCTTGCGCATCAGATCTTGTGCAACCTTTCCACAGTGTTCAACCACCTCCTTTGCCTTGCACTTGAGGAATACTTCTCCCACGAAATCTGCGTTCATATCGGTTCGATCGTGTGAATCGGGGAAATGCCACGGTGAGTTGAAGGTCTCGGTCAGAGCTAGGTGCTGCTCAGCGATGACTCGACGGGAGATTCTCTGCCATTATTCAATCACGTCAGTTCAATAGTAGCCTGAGCCAGGGTTATTTGTACGTACTGCTCGCAGAAGCGTGTTCATCAATCTATCCATCTCATCTGCGGGGGCAAGGTTGCGGCACTCCAATACGCCCATGGCCAGATTAGGAATCGCGATCAAGTGCTCCTTGAGCATTCCCTTAAGGATATCACAGAATCGATCATTATCCTCGAGACTCCGAATCTCTGGCACTACCCGGACCGTCTCGAACGCTTTGTAGTACAATTCATACACGAGGGTGAGATGCGGGTTGGCAACCACCACATAGGGCAGCTGCTGGATATCTCGCAGGCGGTGCGCAAGGCTATTCCATCACCCCGGTTAGCTTCCACTTGTATGCTCTGGCTTCTCCCACGACATACCGAGTTGGTAGCTCCGTCCGCACGTAGTTCGCCGAGCTAATAAGGCGTGGCTCGGTCAAGGTACGACCAAAAAAAGTCAACTGGCGCAAACTGATGGGGCGAATAGCACGCTCCACCCATCTATTCAACCATACATGGTCAGTATTGCTCTAGGAATAGGATTCCGAGAAGGTCTTGAGTCATGCGTACTCATCGACAGCAGAAACTGGCCGCCAGGGTGGCGCGTTGTGAGCTCCCGAATAGCATCGTTTAGGCAGAGTCTGGAGTACATTCCAGCTCCGAGCTGAGTAACTCGACGGCATTGTGCTCCCTGCAAAAGAGTATCTACGAGTGTTCGCATTCTCCAGATTTCGGGGTCTCGGGCGGTGAGGCAATACTGCATGTGACGTGCCACACGATGGGCATTTCTGCTTTTGTTTGTATTCTTTGTATTCTTTATATTCTTTATATTCTTTCTTCTTTATGTTTCTGAGATTCTATGTTGTTTTCCTAGTATTTTGTGATATTCGTCTCACTTGATTGTGCAGAGTGAGTCTACGGTGTCGTCATTAGCCTCGGATCAACAGCTGCACAGGCTTAAGCTAAGCGACGATCTGAGGGGGTTGACATTTGCAGGTGATCAAACAGGTATACTGTCTCAGCTAACTTAGCATGGGCTTGGCTAGAGGCGTTTAAGAGATGAGAATTAGGGCTTGATATACCTTGATTTGAAGGGTCCACTGATACTCACATCCCCAACTTCCTAAGACTTTTTAACTCGCTTATGTTACAGGATACTAGTAACCTTGTAATGATAGAAATATAGTAATTGTAGACTCACTCTATAGGGTAATTATAGAAGAACCAATAGTCCTGCAACTGAGCTCTTTCTCTTTGTATAAGAAACTAAGGTCCACTGATACTGCCGAGTTCTCGCTCCGCCACCGTTAGCTCCGGCTCTTATTAGTTCTGCAGGTTCAGCATCCTCCACCACTCTGTACTATTCTTCCTTTCTTCTTTACTTTTCCAAATCCCTACATTCAAACCGACTGGTCGGGAAGCCGCTTTCCGCGATGGAAAACGTGAGCGACCGTGCCCCTCAGTGTCGTCATTGCGCTAACCCTGCCAACAGCTCGCGGAGAACGACATGCTTGTCGACGACTATGAGCAGTATCCTGCCGAAAAGACCGATGTCGTCGTCGTGTCTCGGTCCGCCTCCGAGGAGCCCGAGTCGAAGCCAAATGCCGATGACCGTACGTTTTTTGTTGCTTCCCCTTCCCAGCCGAAGCCAAACATAAGCGAGTGTGTTTGGTTACGGACACAAAGCGACCGAGAGACGCCTAAATAATGGTCCCTTGATTGAATTTCTCTCGCTCTGTTTGTCTTGTTATACTGCGAACCGACCTGGTAGCTAACGAGGAGCCTCTGCAAATAGATGCGGCGATGATGGCCCGAGTCCTTCCTAAGAACACCGATCTCGAAACTCAAGATGAGGTCTACAACACATGGCGTTTGTCGGACTGGCGCAAGATGGAGAAGAAGTCGCACGGTCCTGTCTTCCAGTGTGGAGGCTCGCCTTGGTGGGTGCTTGAAATTTCATGGCCGCAGAGGCTCTACACCGACATTGGCTCTGACTCGTGAATAGGCGCATTCTTTTCTTCCCTTATGGTAACCATGCCGAACATGCCTCATTTTACCTCGAACATGCGTGGGAAGGAGAGCCCCCGGAGGGCTGGTACGCCTGTGTGCAATTCGCTCTCGTTCTCTCGAATGTGAACGATCCTTCAATTTATGTGCATCATGGTAAGACTTTGGAGTCTTGAAGGAATTGGACAGCAAGTCTAATATAAACTTAGTTGCAACCCACCGTTTCACCGCTGAGGAAGGTGACTGGGGTTTCACCCGATTCTATGATCTCCGAAGTCTGTTCGCCGATGCCTGGGAAGGCAAATCTGTCCCGCTGGTCCAGGATGAAGAGGCCAATGTTACGGCCTATGTTCGTGTAGTGAAAGATCCCACGGGTGTTTTGTGGCACAGCTTCCAGAAGTGCGTTTTTACAACGACAATCGGCAATGCATTAGGCTGACTTTTTTTCATAGCTATGACTCGAAGAAGGAGACTGGAATGGTTGGTTTGAGGAACCAGGGTGCTACCTGTTACCTCAATTCACTTCTGCAGTCGCTTTACTTCACAAACGCTTTCCGCAAGGTAAGAAGAGCTTTACTGGCCTCGGCGCTCACAGAGTCTGACCAATTTATAGGCTGTTTATCAAATACCGACTGACCAGGAAGCATCGAAGGAGAACAGCGCCTGGGCTCTTCAGAGATTGTTTTACAACTTGCAGACCAACGATACTGCAGTTTCAACTACCGAGCTGACAGCATCCTTCGGTTGGCAATCCAGCCAGATCTTTGAGCAGCAGGACGTACAGGAGCTCTCGCGAAAGCTCATGGAACGATTAGAGCACAAGATGAAGGGCACTGTTGCTGAAAAGGTTCTGCCGGATCTGTTCGTGGGAAAAACAAAAACTTATATTTCCTGCATTAACGTCGACTACGAGTCTTCTCGCGTGGAGGACTTCTGGGACATTCAGCTAAACGTTCGAGGCAACAAGACGCTAGACGACAGTTTCAGAGATTATATTCAAGTCGAGACTCTTGAGGGAGAGAACAAGTATGAAGCCGGACAGCCGTACGGTCTGCAAGACGCCAAGAAGGGTGTCATTTTCGAGAGTTTTCCTCCCGTTCTGCACCTCCACCTCAAGCGTTTCGAGTACGATCTCAACTTGGACATGATGGCCAAGGTCAACGATCTTCACACTTTCCCCATGGAATTTGATGCCGCTCCTTATCTTTCAGAGGGTGCTGACAAGTCCGAGTCTTGGGTTTATCAATTGCACGGAGTCCTCGTTCACAGTGGTAACCTTGATGCAGGACATTACTATGCCTTCCTCAAGCCTAGCAAGGATGGCCACTGGTACCGCTTCGATGATGACCGAGTCAACCGCGCCACTGACAAGGAAGTTTTGGATGAGAACTATGGTGACTCCCAGCAGCGCACTAATGGAACGACTGGAGGCCGGTCTGCCATTCGCACAAACAACGCTTACATGTTGGTGTACGTCCGAAAGACACGACAAGATGATGTTTTCTTCCCGGTCACAAAGGATGATGTGCCCGATCACATTGAAAAGCGTCTATCCGAGGACCGAGTGGAGATGGCCCGTCGCAAGAAGGAGAGAGAAGAGGCACATCTTTATATGAACGTCGGTGTCTTGACTGATGACACGTTCAAATCACACCACGGCTTCGATCTGACCAGCCCAGACTTGCCCGCGGAGGATCCAGCTGTTCCCAAGCAGTACCGCACTCTTCGAGCCAAGAAGGTGAAGGAGTTTGCACAGGAAATTGCCGAGGAACGGGGTCTCAAGCCGGAATCGATCCGATTCTGGGTCATGGTCAACCGTCAAAACAAGACCACCC